ATATATATATATATATATGTATATATTATATTTATAATCTTGGCGCCCTGCATTTGTATATGTATATATAATATATTCGATATCATGGCTACCTGCACATATATGTATACTCAATATCGCGGTATTTTTCTTATGTATATATCATCGTGGCTATCTAACACAAATATACATATATATACTAATAATCCTATCTATCTGACTATATATATATTCATAACCATGGCTACCATGCATCCAACATATATATTTAAAGACATATATACCATTTGAATCCGTTGAATTGGATATTTCTAAGGCCAGTCTTATATTATGGGGTTTATAGCCACGGCCTGGACAGTGCGGTGCTCGTGGACTGTTTGCATGTAATCGTCAATATGGTGCGCAATAACACCATGTCGCAGTCGCTGTTGAGGGAGACTCCGTTCGTGCCCGTGTTGTTTCCGCTGCTTCTGGACGCCGGCCTCCCTTCCCCCGACCAGCCAAATCACCACCCGGCGCCACTTGAAGACGACGACGAAGGCAATCAACCGTCCAGCACAGGGCTGCGTACTACGTTGGACATCCTCTTGTGCCTCGTTGGACCCGTCTACCCCAACGTACGTACTGTCCCCCCTCTTTATACTCCATATATATCGGAATATACTTGCCCAATATTGGGTCAAGGTTCATGTGATTGTTTGTGTATATCTAACAGTATACCTCTTTTGGCTGTGGATGGCGATACACTGTGTGTACCTACCTATCTACCTACCTACTTCCTCTGTTCCAGGTTACTGCCGACATTTCAAAATTCGCATGTTCCAAGTTACTGGTGACATTTGCATTTCATTGGCTGTAATTCTTCAATTTCTATCAATATCGAACATTTATGACATTTCATTGGCTTACAATTGCTTTAAGCGCTGATTATAAACCAATCTTTTGCGAAAATTCATGCAATTCCCAAAGTATCATTCGCCCAAATTGAGTGAGGGCTCGATTGCCTGTGTCAATTCAAAGTAAATGTCGGCAGTAACCTGGAACAGAGGAAGTAGCTAGTTAGAACCTTCTTTGTAGTTTGGTTGGTGTTGCTCCAAGCTTGAAAGACCATGATATATATATATATATAGTACCATATCTCTCTCTAAATATATATATTGAGATATATATGGTACCATATCTCTATAGTATCTGTATTAGCTCAATATACATTTGTAGACACCCCCGGAAGAGCTAGACGAAGTCGCTAGACGCGATCAGACCAAGCGGCAAGAAGAGCGAAGTGCTGTGCAGGCCCACTTGGCCCAACTGCCAGACGTCGTCGCCGCCGTGGGCGAGGTGGCCTGCCACGGAGTCACCGAAGCCGACCGCATGCATGCGCTGCAGGTAACTATACATTCCCCATATTGTGACCATTGCCAAAGGGTTTTTAAAGTTATGCAAAAGGGCTATTACCTACTAGTATAAGGTTGAGTTTGTTTTACCGACGTGGGGGTGGTGGGGTTATCGCAATGTATGCTGTGACGGGATGATGATGATGTTGCTGTTGTGTTTGTGATATGGTCTCGTACGATGGTGGTGACGTTTTGTATGTGTGTGTCTTGTGCGGTGTATATATTGTCGATTTGATAGTACAAATGTGGGGAGGGGGTGCAATCGAATCGCGCCGACCAAACCGATCCACAATCGATCTGATTGGTTAAATTTCATTGAGAAGGTTTTGATTGGCTAATAATTTTGAGCTCATCTGAAGTAGCCAATCAAATCGATTTTAATTCCAACGAGAAACCACGCCACAACACGAAATTTCACTCGAAAGCACAATATATATATATATATATATATATATGATAAAAAAATAGTGATGATGGTGTTGGTAGGTGCTCCACTTGCTTTGTGAAGACAACGAAGCGCATCAGCTCGTGGCGCTTACATGGACGTCCATGACAACGTCGCCGTCGTATGTGCTGAGCATGTGCTTGAGGCTGGACGTCCACCATGAAGAAACCCCCCTTGGCGGTACGCCAAAGTCCTCAAATGAACTCTTCCATCATGTTGATCACCTCTAGTGATTTTGCTGTCTCTGTGTAAAACTGCTAGTTGGTTGCCGTGTGATATACGACTTATTATTACTATACAAGGACGAATCAATATTTATATTTTTATATTTTCGTTTTGGAAAATCACAAGGCAATTCTAGTGTATTATTTATACAATGTATAGCGAGTGCCCGAACGCTGCTCGATGGTGTGTGGCATAATGACTTAGCCAAAATTTCCATCCTGCAGCATATTCACGCACCGCCGCCGCCGCCCCTCGAAGTACGACCGTTGGCTCGATCATATAGAGTCTTTTGATATTTTAGCTCGAATGCTGCTGAACTAACACGACACCGCACATTAAAACACGTAGACTGGTCCCATAGAACCAGTGGGTCAAGTCTTGGTCAAGACGATGGCAACTACCCTCGGTACGTTGTTATATAAGTCAAATTATATGTAGTGTAATCGTTGCGATAAGAGAGTCTATATATATATCCTGTTCTAACACGAAATCGACGATATATATATATATATATATATTGTAGATGCGATGGTACAGCAATCGACGGCAACGTTGTCGTTGACCCCGAAAGATGCGGCCAAAGTTGTGTGGAAATGTTGTGGTCGTTGGCGGAGTTTGGTATGCGATGGATCGATGATATATATATATATCTTTTATTGTGCTTACGTTGGTTGGGTAGTTGCACAACAGTGAATGCAAGCAACTGGCGCTTCGCGTCCCCGCGCCCCACGCTACGCAGGCCGTGAGCGGCAGCTGCTTTTTGAATGCGTGCGTCCAGTGGGTGATGGAGTTACCCCGGTCGAAAGCCACCTACCCCGTCTTCATCGCGCTCTTCCACGTCATCCTCTGCTGGGTGCACGGATGCGGCCCCGCCATCCATGAAATTGTCACGAGCATCCCCACGCTCACGTTTTTGTGCACAACTATTGGCCACATTTCGACAAGCCTCAGTGGTGGCGACGATGCCAGCCACGTCGAGGTACATTTGGTTGATATATAGTACTATTCATGTCCGCGCTATATCGAATTTGAATGGGCGGGTCTCGTGATCATAGGTTGAATTGGCGGGGCTGTCGGCCATGGTGCTAGGCGTGTGCCTGGACGGTTTAGATGGCAAAGTACGTTGCATATATATATATATATATACCTCCGCATTGGCCGTGTCCAAAGATATAAGATAACTTAATTTTAACGTTTTTTTTTAAATATATGATATCTTTTTAATAAAGTATGCATACATATATATATATGTAAATGATTATATACCTCCACGTTGTCCAAAGGTATATGATAAATTATCATCAACCAAAGATATATGATAAATTATCATCATTTAATGTTTTATTATTATTATTATATGCATCCTATAGAACAACAATTTTAGTATATATTTTTTTAAATTGATGATAGTTTAATTTATAGTATATATATTTTTAAATTGATGATAGTTTGGTTGGGAAGGGAGGGTTCTGTCGATGTTTGTAATTGTTGGTGACTATTAGATCATTCCGCTGACAAAGGAGCAGCTACTGGGACTCATCACGCGGCAAATCGGACTTCAAAAATTCACCGACGCGTTCGGCCGCATGCAGCAACTCGCGTCGTTTCAGAGTACGATTCGATTGGCATGTTAGGATATGACATATACCTCCATGTGTCATCATATCCTATGCGAACGCTCGCTCCTTGTGACTTGTTCTTGGGTGGTGCTGGGGGGCATTAGATTCCAAGCGGAGTGGCGGCGTTGATGGCATGTCTGCCGTATACGACAAAGGGTTTGTACAATGGTTCAAACATGTCGCCGGTACTGTTGATATATTTATGTACAGTCATATTTCTCATTGTGTGGGCGTTATTTGGTAGACGCGACGCGCGTGGGTATTTTGCACGTGTACATGGGAAATGGCACCAGTTCGGCTGCCGTGGGGGACGACAGCCGGTCGAAAGCGTACATGGACTTGATCCGCATGCAAGACGAGCAGCTTGAGGCGCTGCGGGACCAGGTGACGCACCTCACGACACGTGGCGCCACGTCATCGTGCCAGGCCACGAAAAACCCACTTGCAGACGACTTGGCTGCCGCGCACAACCAAATTGCAGAGCTCAAGCTAGCCCAAGACCGCAATGAAACGCGGATCCGTGGCCTTACGACTGCCAACGACCTGGTACATTTTTTGTTGAGATAAGCCAAAGCCAATAGAACGAACGTCCTGGGTTGTCTAGGTGGAGCGAGAACTGCAGCGAAAGGACGCAGCGCTCAAGAAACTACTGCACGCGGAGGCGGCTACGACCACCACCACTTTGGAGATGGCGCCGGCATTGACCGACCTGTCGAAAGGACTCCATCGCTCAGAAGAGCAAGAACTGCGCGTGGACCAATTAGAAAACGACGTGCGTCGGCTGACTCGACAGCTGCAGCAGAAAGAGGACGCATTGGATGCTGCTCGTGCCACGATTGACATGCTCTCGGCGCATCAAGCGATAGCGGTGGGTCACAAAGAAGAACAAGAGCACGCCACGTCAAGTACGATAGATATATAGATACTGTATAGTTGTGTACTATTTGTGTAGGTATTGTATATTGTGAATTCGGTATAAGCCCCCCAACTTTGCATGGTTTGACTAATCAATGTTGAATCATGCTGGAGATCTGATTGGTTGAATATACTACTTGGAAGAGCCAATCAAATCATCCACTCAAAATTAGATGAGCCAATAGCGTCAATTCGTGATTCGATTCGACTTTGGGTGTGGAAATTTGTACCGACTATACCACAATATATCCGAGATTACCGTTTATGGAAATGGAGACTTTTTTGTCATATAACGACGTTTCAACTGAATTTGATGAAAAATTTGATTATTTTCGAGTTTGGGGATGGTGATGAGTAGTAAGTAGACGACAATGACACACTGGAACGTCGAGTCGAGGCATTGGAAAAAGAGCTCCGTGAAGCCCACGACAGCCACACAATGACCGTGTCCACGCTCGTGGCCAGGCACGAACAAGCCACGACACAATGGCAAGCCGACGCGACCAACAATTTGAACCAAGTACGTTGATTTGTATTCGTTTCGTCTGGGGGGATCATGAGAGAGAGAGAGATATGAGGAAGCAACCCCAATATGGCGTTATATATGTAGGCCTTGCAATCCCAAGCCAGAGACTTGGCCATCGCCCATGAAACCCAAAGAACCGCATGGCACGCGACTCGAGTACGTGGTCCACCTTCTATACATGGGCCTACTCACTCTGCCGTCCATGGGATAGTAGTACTAGTACTAGTAGTACTAGTTTGCTCACGTCGAATTTCGTAGATCAAGATGGAAACCGAGTTGCATCGCCTAGAAAATGTATTTGATCAACTGCACCACGAAAGCGAGGTATGTAGCCACACAACAGCTTCCTTCTATCAATCCACCACACCTGCTACGACCTCTTACAACCCTGATGACTGAGGGCTGCTCGCTCGGTGTAGAAAAGGCTCCAGTTGGAAGCCCAAGTAAGTCGCCTTGAAGCTGTGAACGCAGCCCACGACCGAGTCGTACGCCACCAGCAACAGTCCTCGTCGATATCCACCCTCCTCATGGTGTATATATATATATAGGTGGACAACTCCCATGACGTGGAGCCGCCGCAAGAAGTGCTCATGCTTGTGGGCAGTTTGGTACAACATGCTAATACTTGTGTCGTTTGAACGTGCAAATGTGTAGGAAATCCAGTGCCGCAGCTTTCGCGATGTGTTGGAGCAGGTCCTCGGCCCCGAAGGCGTTTCGAAGGCGCTTCAGCTGAGCCAAGATCGAGGCGCGGTGCCGTTTTGGTCGAGTTCTTGTTAACACTAAAGACCTCTACCTCTTATCGTTGTCGTCTCTGGTGTTATATTTCGTCGGTCGCAGCAGACAACTTGGCTTGGGCCGTGTTGAGCTTGTCCACGTACAATTCGTAGCGCTCCTTGGCCACCTATAAACCAAATAACACCAAATATATTATGATATTGTCCATCTAGTACACGATACGTATCAACGGTATATTGGTCGATGATTCAAGTGAGTTCTTCTAGTATTGTTGTATGTATTCCAAACTGGAGCGACTTTATGCCAAATATACTGACAGACCCATATGTACAGAGGAAGAAGAAGAAGGTAGCTAGGCAGGCGTATTGTTGATTAGACATATTGCCCATATATATATCAACTATATATAGTATGAAACACAAAAATACTCGTGAGATACGCGCATATCGATCTTCGCCCGTGGTCCATATTTACATACAACATATAAATTTTTGTTATTATCAACAGATCGACTACTTTTGATAATATTATTATCAAAAAGGCCATCTCGATGGATATCAAAAGTACTTGTTGTTTTTGTTGGCAATATTGTCAAATCGATTTAAAATTGGAGCAGAATGTCTTTGGACAATCGATTAAAGAATCGCCTGAGCCAATCAAATCACGTCCTGTCGAATTTCTGCCAATCCAAACTTTTGACCCGTCCGCAGGATTGGGCAAAACCACATCGATACTACTAATTGAATACTGTGTACAAGATTAAATAGGATAAAAAAATAGATTCGCTATGACATTTGGGTGAAATGCACAATACCTGATCGCGTTCAGCTTGCAAGGCGGATTCCAGCTGGTCCAATGCTTGGAGTTTCAATTGAATGTGCTGCATTTGGCATTGTAGCAACGTGCCCACAAGGCTTTTGACTGTATCGTCTTCGTGCTTGGCAATACCCTTGATCATAAGAAGAATCCACCACATGTTCGCTGAAATACGTGAGGTTGGTGGACTGACAGACCTGAGCTTTCGCGGCGAGTACGGCGACGGCGGTGGCGGCGGTCGTGTGAGCTTCGGCAGCGGCTTCATGTGTGGCTTCCCCCTTGACTAGACACAGATGGAACACTCAACCACACAAACTATCCAACCATATGTAGACATATATTTTAATGTATCCTTCAGGGCAATACTAGTTTGTATCTGACAATATATATATATATTTAGGGCCCCTCTGGCTGCCACGAAAAATATCGTCGTTTTCCAACTTTTCAGAAATATATTCGACCATTTTTCAAACGACAGCTTTTGTGTGTGTTTCGCTACTACATCTCACTTGATAAATGGACATACTACGTCGAATTGGTCTATTTTCTGATTTAAAACAATAGTTTCTACTAGTTCTCATTCCAATCATGATATCCATCCACGGACGCATCAAAATATTTTCTAACTATATGAAAAGGGAATGCTTCTCAGTGAGAATAATATATATATAAGAATAATATATATATTTGACATCAACAATTTCTGTGGCAGTATTTATTATCCGCACTCGGCCTTGAAAAAACACATCTCTGCACACATATGGACTAGATGACATACGACATGATTTATATATTGTTATTTCATTATCCTCTCAAGATATAAACAAACGACATATATATATATATATATATATATATATATATATATACTGTACGTACCAGTAGTCATGCCTGCGATCGACGCCGTCTTGGCCAAAGCTTGCGCGGCAGCTGCAACCGAGTGCGGCTGGCCCTACCAAGCCAAACAACACTCACATCACACACTTTGTTTCTCCACTACAAGAAGCAGAACAGCAGAACTGCAGCAGCATCCATTGACTCACATGTAGACACGTAGCCCGACACCAATCCAGTTTAACCTCATTCAGTATAGACACAGGGTGGATATTACCTGGGCGACGACAGCTCCCCCGCGTTGTTTATTCAGCTGTTCCAACTGCACAATCGCCGCCGCCGCCGCCGCCTTGGCGAGCGACGGATCAGCTCTTGCCACGATACCCGCCAAGTCGGGCACGGCGGTGACGTGGGGATACGTCTGTAGTCTGTCGTGCAGTTCGCTTGGGTTGGTTTCCCGTTGTTCAAGAGGTGTCTTTAAAAACTGCGCGAGGCACTCCTTGGCCGGGCGGCCCACGCGCATGGCAATGTCATTCCAATCGACTGGTTGCGACGTATCGACGTCTGTGAGCGCGTCCAGAAGCCGGCGCTTGTCGACCGCCGTCCAGTTGGTCGTTGTCGACACGGGCGCCAACGCGGTAAAGTCGGATGGGTCCAAGTGTGATGGAAACTTGCGGCCGGCAAAACAGGCGCCGCACACGCCCGACCCGGGACGGGCCCCCCATGCATCCAACTTGCGATGGGGAAGTCCATGCTGCACAAGGCGCTCCTTCCGCTTGGCGTCCACCGTGAGCTCAAACTGTACGGGGTGGGCCTCGGCGCACGATTCGCATACGGATGATGCCGCCTTGAGCTAGAAACAAACAGGATCAGGTTGGTATTGATTTTTATTCAAAATTAGGCCGTTTATACATCTGACATATCACAGGTATAGTGTAGATCCGGAGCATACGTCAGTAAAATACATCTATTTACCCAAGGAAGGTATATATATATATAACAGACATCGACCATGGAAAGAAAATATATACAGCAGATTGCCATGACGGACGGTGATGCCAAGCTATAGCTTATATCATCACGATGCGGTTGGCATCGTCAAAAGGACGAGTCCAAGAAGTACACACACATATATATGTATAATATATATATATATTCCAGTGAAACACTCGAACCTGGGGATAGCCGATAGATTCCGAGGACGACAAATGAGTGAGGTCAAAGGAAGCCAGAGATGGTACGTCGTTCTGAAGCGGCGGTGCGGCGTGGGCAGGGACGTGGTAGTTGATCAAGCCCCAGTGCATGAGGAACTCGTGGACGCGGAGGATTGCACAGGCGTCGCCGGCGAGGTTTCGGCGGCACGCGGTCGCCGTCAAGTACACGTGAGGTGCCGCCCTCGATGCGTTGACCATGTAGTTGCGGTACGTCATGTACACCTACAAGCAAATGGGAAAAAAACTCAAAACAAGATGGAGGAAGGGAAGGGTGGGGTAGGGAGAAGAAGATGGATGGACAGAGCTAGAAGGATATATTACCGTGGGGGGTTTGGCTTTGTTGTCTTGAAAGAACTCTGGCAGCATGCGCTTCTCGAGCGGGTGGATCGAGTGGAGGGAAAACCAACGACTACAGCTCGGCACGACCACGGATGGCTGGTCCACTGTCAGCACGGTCGTGGCCTTGAGTGGCGGTGCCGCCGTGGGCGCGAGATGGCCGTACAGGACGTTCGAGGACTCGTCGATAGAGGCGGCGGCGTCGGTGAGTAGAGTCGCGACGGCAGCGGCGGCATCGCCTTGCAGACGTTGCAAGATCGACGGATCCACGCGAGGCTTCTTGGCCTGAGGTTGGTCGTCGTGTGAGTGGATCTACACGGACACAAGTGGTGACTACAGTACCATGGAGAGAGATGGATGGACAAGATGAACGCACACCTTTTTGGCTGTTGTAGACGACGACGGCGTTTCCACGGCAAAGTCCAACGGGTTGACCCATAGGGGGGTATATGTAGCCACGGCGTGGTGGAAGTCGGACGACACGACCAGAGACGGCAACGTCAGCGCTTGGATCGTATCGATGGAAGACGAAGGTGACGTGGACGGAAGTTCTGATCGGAGGACAAACGTGTCGTAAGCGTCGGGAAGGCCTCGCCAATGCACGGCGACGTACTCTCCAATAGACCCGACGATGCGGAAGCCTACGTCGATGTCATTGGATTGTCTGATTGTCCCCAATCGCGATCCCCGTACCATCGTTGTGATCGATGTGCAATGCGGGAGATGTTGATGCAAGGTTGCTGTGATCAAGAAGCGCATTCACGGATGCATCGTTCGACTTGGACGCAGAGGTGCGCACATGTTCGATGATAGTTGAGTGAGAAGGCGTAGCCAGCTGCAGCAAAGGGACAATGTACGTCGTGAACAACGCTTCATTGCGGAACATGAGGCCTGGAAGTACGCCGGCGTGCCACACCGCAACCAACGCATCCAGCTGTTCCTGGGTCATATCCGGAAAGCGAGAGGCCATACATGCACGAAACCCTGCATCAGTCCGCTCTTGTCCAGGTGTCGGTCGGATGAGTGTCGACTGCTTCGTGCTGGGCATGGTGGGTGCTCCTGTCGCTGGAATCAAATCAAATTTGAAAGCATATTCATCTAATTTCGTGGTATAAATGAATGATGGCATTGGCAGTTACAATCGGGATGTGCCATGTGGGAAGACCTTATTGGGATGTCCTCGTTGCGAGAACATGGGCAATGGGAGATGAATAGGATCCTTGGGATGATGCGTCGAACAAGCATTGATGAGTACGTCTCCACAGTGTAGGAAGGACTACATACTGTATGCCTAGGCATCAGACTACCTTATACCTCACGTAACCGCCAAGTAACTGGCATATGCGAATGCCGCCAAAGTGGGTGTGGACATGCATCCCGCCGTCAAATGTGTCTCCGCTGTGGAACATTGAGCCTAGCGCGACCAAGGACATCACGTCGTTTTCAGTCAAATTCAAGCAACTCGTGTCGTTCGCGGCGTTGCAGTTGACAACGTAAGCATCGCTGGCATATCCACCATGATACATTCGTATGATCTTTGCTTGATGCTCACAGGGATGCACCCAGTGGACAAGACCTACGTTTAGGCACAACAGCCTTGCCATTCCCGCTAACGTCCGTTGTCGTTGTGGATGGCTCCATCAACCGCATGCGCAGCCTGGATGGCATCCTAGTGTTTTCCAACGTCCGGGAGCTTCGCCTGTCTTTAAACCAGGTCCACACTCCCTCTCTTCGTCGCTCGCATATCTTTATTACCTCATCATCATCCCACATGTGCTGCGTAGCAGCTGTCCACCCTGCCGCCCCTAAACCACCTCGTGCACTTGCGTCTGTTGTATCTGGGAAACAACTACCTCACGGTACATACATGTACTAGTCCAACTCGCCCCTTAAATCTGGCTAATTAGAGCTTGACGTGGCTGTGGCACCCCAACACGCTAACGCACTTGGACGTGACTGGAAACAATATTGCTAGCTTGGCGGGTGTCGACGCGTGCCGGTCGTGTCTGCATGTCCTCAACGTGAGCGAGAACAAGCTCGTGTCGTTGGATGGCGTTCAGCATTTGCTGCAGTACGTACCTAGACTTGGTCGGCTTCGGGGGGTCTCTATGTGCTGGGGGTTGTGGTATATCTTGTGATATGAGGATCAAATGCAAAGCAAATGAAACGTTGGGGTGAACTACGACGACGACAACGACGGGGGAATGCTGTAGGTTGCGCGAGTTGTGGGGCCATGTGAATGAACTCCAAGACGACAGCAGCTTCGTGCATGTATTGCCCCTTTGCCACTTGCGCGTGCTGTCGCTGGGGCAAAATCGCCTGTCGAATTTGGACACGGTATTTATGTACATACACTGGTCGATTCAACAAGGATGACGTTATCCGTGCTATGTCGTCGTGACATGTCGTCGATTTAGGTGGCCAGCGTGGTGCTGGGCCTGCCAAACCTAGACGACGTGAGCTTTGTCAACAACCCCGTGGCCGACTGCGACCTGTACCGCATGCGCCTATGTCAACACCCTAGGTTGCGAGTCCTGGACCACAAAACGGTGCAGTGTCGCATCTAGTGACGTTATCCAACAAAGACGCGTACGTAGATCACCACCGCCATGCGACAGAGTTTCACGCGCATGCGCAACACCCAGGACGTCGAGGCGTTGGTGGAGCAGACGACGCTTGGGGTGCGTGACATGTCTCGCTCCTGATAACGTCATGAGGTAGTACCTCGCGCACGTGGACATGCAAAAGCACGTGTTGGACCAAGGCATTCGCTTTCACCGCGCTAGGGAGCAACGCATGACGGACGCGTTCACCCAGTACAAGCACAACATGGAGGTACTTGGGCTAGTTAGTAGTACTACTACACTACTACTACTACTGCACCGTAGTATTAATAGTAGTAGTCGTAACGTTAACCCCTCTCCAAATGTCACGCGTGTGAATTGTCGTAGCGGGAACTGGACGACTGTGTGCACTTTGCCCATGTCTTGTCAACGGCCCAAGCTCGGTACGGCTACAATTGTACAAGGCCTATTGTATTGCTGCAACATATTCCCATTCTTGGATTCGGTTTTGGTGGCAGGTCGGCGGGGTACTTGATGTCGAATGCAGGGCTAGAAGTAAGTCTGTTGTCGTGATGACAAGTGTGTTGCAGACTGCGCATGAGTTTGTCATGCTGCTAGGAATGGAAACGCCAGCTGCAGACGCTCCACATTCCACCACTAGACGACGCTACAGCGGCGACTGCCCTCGAGCCGCATGCGTGGCGACGTGTCAAACATGTCGAGATGGATCATCGCCAAGCGTTGAATCAACAACGAGGAAACCATGACGTGGCATCGTAAGCGTTCACTTTACATATCTTATGGGTAGTCAGTCGTGTCACGAGCACACTCTATCGAGGTAGACCACACTCGTCAACTCAGATGGCACGATGGGAACAAAGTCGTCGGGTCGAAGCTGCGTTAGCGTTGGCCAGTGTACGACATCACTATATATATATATATTATATATACTATATTATACTACTTCGAAGTAGTATATACAGTATATTAACTATAGTATATATATGGTACAGTATATATTGCGTGCCTGACGCTCTTGATATGTTGTAGAAACTCAACGTGGGCGACGCTGCACCCAAGATGCGACCGATTCTTGATTGTTTGCAAACCACACACGAAGCGTATGTCGTTGAAAAGGAACGTTTGGCGCGAACGATCCAACGCACGTGGCGACGACATCACCACAGTGTCAACACAAACCAGAATGCGATACAGACCGTCGACTCTGTCGCAGCGGCAGCCGTGAAAGCCACGTCCAACAAGTTTCGATTTTGGCGAAGGTCGACGAAGGCACGACGATGACATAAAAGGACATGCGCAATACAGTTAATCAACACTGTACATAAACAGATGCATACTGTAGCCCCATAGCTACTGGACCCCGTCATATAAATAGGGTTTGCAAGCATTGACTTTCGTGCGCACGTCACCATAACTTTAGCATTTATACAGTATCACATGGTGTTATTACACCATGGTTTCTTTGGGTTTTGGGGACACAGACATGCCAACGGGTCGTGGCCACCCAGGGAGTAACCCCCATAGTTTAAACCTATTACAAGAATGTCATTTTAGCATAAAATTCTAAAAATATCTACTGAAATAATATATATGTTCAAGAAATATCTTTTGAAACATGACCATTTGATATAGATATATATCACCTGCATGTTCCAAACACGTGTTCCCAGTTGGCGTGGGCGCTGCCTTGGTCATAGGGCGACTCGACACGACCACCGCGTTGACGCAGGGACGCTTTCGACCGATTGATTTGATATTCAATCGAGGTCTAGGAATATTAAATTAATATTCTACTTTGAGGACAATATATATATATATATATTGTTGTGTGTATTTCAAACTGGAGCGACATCAACCGACAGATTGAAATGTGGAGAAGAATTGGAAAAAGACTTGACGTTGAGTCTGGATATAAAAAAAAAACCCACCAAAATCTTCGATATTTTGGCAATTTCTATCAAATAAGCAACAAGTGAAAAATTCGCTGTCTGGATCTAAAATTTGGAGAATTCTTTATTTTGCCAAATATCACATTATTGGGCAAAACAACAAGAGGTTCAACGGACTTTAATATCTAATCTAAACGTTGGCAATTAATTATAAATGAGAATCGTGGAGTTTGTTTCAAAATGAGTTTGATCCAGACAGTCTAAAATAGGTGACAAATTCCTCAAATTTCTCAGAGGGTGAGTCAAAATGTCCAATCAAGTGCCAAAATCTTCGATCTTTTGGCAATTTCCAACAAATCGGCAAAAAGTGAAAAATTCGATCGTACATTGTGTGATACGCCTGTCCCCTCACATACAAACGTCAGTACAAAAATAGATCAACGGATTTCGAGAATCAGCACACCAGTGTCCGTCCATATATTTTGGCTCAAGGGGCAATATATATTCATATATACTTTCAGTATACCTGGGCAGTGAGGATCAAATATATATGCCAAGCGGTGAGGAATGTCAAGAGCACTCCAGACGACGTCGTGATGAGAAACAGTGCGTACATGGACGCTTGAGGGCCCAAGAGTAACATATTGGTGCTCAGCACATGCGCCATCTATAACCACCAACGGTATTGCATGTAAAGCCCCAGCCAAAAATGTGACCAAAGGCATGCCAAGATTGAAGTATAAAGTGCTTATGTACCTGTGACAATTCCAGCTTGCTGACACTGCCTACGGCGGGTGAAAAGCTGAAAACAGAGCAAAACCAGCATGCGACTGTAATCCACACGAGAAACCTCCCAAAGTACTACAAGAAGGCCATGTCACTACGTGAGTGAGGGCACTATTTAGTAGCACCTTGGTGTTGTTGGCCCCGACGCAATTGTTGAGCCACGGACAATGATGGTCCATCTGGTCGACGCAAGCCTGGCAGATGGAGCAGTGGTGCGCGCGATTCGGCCGCGTGATTTTGCATGTGCGGCAGTACGACGTCCAGTTCGGATGATGGTCGGACGGGAGGAGGAGGATGTCGGCGGGTGGCGTGAATGTCGTGCCGTCATCCTCGTCCGACTCGTCGTGGTTGAACTCCATCACGTCGTCGAGGCGGCGGATGGGAATCACTCCCTACGACGCAATGAGCTGTATGCGAGACAAGAGATCACCGTGCGTTGCATGGGTATATATGTCGTATTCGTACTGGGTTTGTGATGAGGCACAAGATGTAGTTGTACATGATGTTCGCGACGAGAAACACACACGCGCCATCGTATGCATAGACCTGTTGGGCGCGCAACCCCTCGATTAGCGTACACATAACGTAGCAGATTGATTGATCGTACACCCAGCGGAGTGGTTGCAATCGTGGGTGCCACGCACCGGACAAAGACGGTTCCGCAGTACGCAATTATTGCTATGGGGTGTCAGCGCTGTCCTTGCGCACGGAGGTAGGTGTACGTACCAGACGCCATAGTGACGAAGAGGAAGCCACCGCGACGCATCGATATGATGCCACACTGTGTCACGGCATACGATACATAGAAGACGTATTGGAAGCACCGATTCGAGAACGATGGCATGCCGCTCTTGCGCAATGATCGGCGGTAGCGAACGTGAAACGTCGAAATCGAGGTTGGATCATTTCTACCAATCCGATGACGAGGAAATATTTTTGCGTATGGATGTAAAAAAAAACCAAAATTTTCGAAATTTTTAACAAATCGACAAAACGTGAAAAAGCCCTTTGTCTAGATCCAAACATTTGGAGAATTCACTAATATTTTGCCAAATGTCATTTCTTTCGAAATCAGTTTGACATCCAGACAGTCTAAAATAGGGACAACTAAATTGCTCGATTAATTTTCGAAATATTGATTGGGCCAAAATTGGGATGTGATCCAGACCCTAGTAAAATTCGGAGTTATATTAATAACATTCTATATTATTCCAATTCTCAATAATATATCCTCGAAGTATTAATAAACAATTAAGCGTTACTGTACAGTACCGCTCTTGGGTGCCTTGGGATGCCGATAACAATGTACTAATAGTCTGTACTAGTACTTCGCATGTAGTCGATCCAGATCGTCACACCAAGAACAAAGAAAGCCCTTTGTCCCTCATTCGCAGCTTATATGAAAGACCGTTAGTCCAACTATTGTACACGATCTACTACTGTAGTACCTAGTTAGTACTATTACAGTATGAATTTTTTCTTTATGGCTTGGTGAACGTGTACATGCAGTACGTGTCCTCCATTTCGTTGAAATGCAAGTCAAACAAGTTGGTGGCGTTCGTCCCAACCAGCGGGTTCACTTTGAACGCGTCTGGCACGACCTGTGCGTGGCACGTGAACCCGCGGGCGTCCATGGCTTCCTTGAACTCGACCAGCGAGTCGCGCTGGGTCGATGCCACGTGCAGGAATTTTCCCCGTGGGGCCAAGATCGCATCGACCACTTGGGCTAAAATGGGGACAATGTCCTTGTGGTACACCAAATCGCTGCCAATGACCACGTCAAATGCCCCACTCGGGCCATACGTGTTGGGTTTCGCCCAGTCGACCGCCTTGACATCGAGGGTTTTCTTATGGGTCGTCGATGGAGGAGGTGACACTTGCCACTGTTTGCACTGGCCCTTGTGGCCCTTCCACGCAGCCTTTTGGCAGTCTCGAGAGCAGTACGCAGCATGGCGGCATCGACCGCACAAGAGCAGCTTCCCGTCGGGGTTGTCGGTTGTAAACCGCTGCAACGTGCCGCACTCGTGGCAGCCCCGCACGGCCGCCGACTCGTCCAATCGATTCAAGGTGGCGTTGTAGTGCAAATTGTCGACCGTGTGCTGGTACAAATCGGTCAGCACGACGCTAGCGGCGTCCGTGTACAAGTACGTGGCGACGCCAGACACGCCGCACCCCGCACCGAGTTCACACACGGATTTGCCGGCAAACAAAGCGCCGTCGGCCAGAACCCAGCGACTGAGAATGAGCGACGCCGACCAGATGCTCACGCCCGTGATGTCTTCTTCGGCCGTCGTGCCAAATGCAGATTTCTCCATGTCTAAAGCCTACGATCACACGAATCCATGGTGTCAAACTACGATATTGGCATGCCACTTTTAATTTGGACGGGGTATTGATATGAGGCAGAACCAAATCGACAGACAATCGGCCGACCAATCAAAAGCCAGAACATCTTCAAGTGGCCAATCAAACTCCTGCAACCATTGATAATGGGTATGTGTACGTGCCTTCAAATAGTGTGAATGACTTCACACAGTTCACGTACATAATATAGTGTGTAATACCTATGTAGTACCAAAAATCGACCGATGGATGTGGTGAATCAGCACAAGAATCCAATTTTTATTGCCGGAAAGCACAGTATTACTGACCTTCTATCAAATATGTGATACTAGGATTCAAAATAAACAAAAAATATCATTCATCCAAGCAGATCATATATATATGAAACAATCCATGTAATGTTAATTGACCTTCATTTAGAACAAAATGCAGTATGAAATGCAGTGCACAGTACAAATTGTTTGGGGTACGAACCAATTCCCGGGCGTGGAGGATCGGTGTCGCCCCAAAATCAAAGTCGAGCACCGTTTCTTGGATGATCTTGGGCTGTTTCTTTGATGAACATGGCTCGACGTCATCATCTTCGCCTTCAATCGTGAGCTTGGAGTCGCCCGTCGCCAGCCCCGACCCCGCGGCCAACTTGTCGTCGGACGCCGACGAGTGTTCGAGCAACAATGCCACTGCAAATACACAAGACAGTCAAAAATGCATAGCCATGGTGGTGGACTACCAATGTCGGTGTTTTCGGCTTGGAAAGCTTCGGTCACGCAGCCGCGGCCAAATGCATTGCGGGCAAGCACGTCGATGTTGTCGGCGAAATGAGTCAACAGGAGCTTCACCACGTCCAAGTGTTTGTTTTGCACTGCCCAATCTAGAGCCACAAGTCAGTCACCATAGACATTGCTCGAGGTCACCGTACGAAGCGGAGAATTGCCACTGGCATTGGCCACGTGCTTGGCGCCACGGGAGAGGAGCAGCTGGACGCTCGTGATGTGGCCGTTCGCACACGCCATGTGCAGAGCCGTATTGCCAGAGTGCTCGTCTTGGAAGTTCACAGTCTCGACAGTCGCATTCGCGCACAGTTCTTGGAGGTCGTTGACGTCGCCAACGCGCGCCGCCGCCAGCAGTTGCGCACCAAGGTCAGCGTTCATCTCGTACGTCGATGATTGATTGGCCCAACGGATTGAGGTTTATCCGGATGATGTATGATTGAGTGAAATGATGATATTTGTATCCAATACCATCGGTAGAAATACCAAAAGTGCAATGGATTGGTTGAAAAACAACCCAGCATTACCGCCTTGCGGAAGTACTACTGTGATCCACTCTTATCCGAATCCGGATATACATAGTTTCAATTTTCATTATGTTTTATCGAGGTGTATGTGTATCGTGTTATATAGGTTATTAATGTGCAGAGTACTGTGACATAATAAAAAGACATCTTGGAGTATAACATATGACAGGTGTACTCTATCGTGAAGGTAAACCTCGGATAGCTTTTATCAACTTATATAGGAGTCTGACTGGAATTGGCTGTCCGACTCATATCACGCAAGACGACATCTTCTAAAGGATGGATGCATGCGTGCGTCACAAAGTACGGGTTACTGTATCTATATTTGTAGCACTTGCCTGTGTAGGCGAGACCAAGAAGCAACGGGTGCTGCTGGCTGGGTCGAATCTCCGAGTTTGATTGAGGTTCTATCTGGGTGCAGTATAACTCCATCACTATCTCATCAACCCATGTATCTACACATGTGAAGCAGCCATTCCTTGCATTTGCTTTGCTGACATCTGCCCTCAAGGGATGTTGAGATACTAAGTAAGCTTTATGCTGGCTGAGAGGATCCGCCCCTGTCGACACCCTTTCCAACATGCACCTGCACGCTGATTGGTCAGCTTTTTCCGATAAAAAAAACGTAAGACAGCACCGGCGTTACGGCAGTCAGTTGTTACATTACAAAGTGTGGCGATGGGGAACAAGGCAAGCAAGGGTGGCGGCAGCTCCAAGGGACTGCGTCCAGGTGTGCACAGCGAATCCGCCACGGGAGGATTGCGCCCGCAGCCCCTCCCGCAGACTAGACAGCCGAATGCGAGTGCTCCTGCGCCGCATTACCGACAACAAGAGAACAAGGCGTCCGCGGTGTTGCCGCCGCCTGTACCGAACGCCGTGCCAGTCGCGTCCACGCAGGTCCCTGTAGCGGCCACGTCGTCCACTGCGGCGGGGAAGACCGCTACAACCGAGCCTGATTGTACGAGAGAGCTGTACCAATGCATCAGCTGACTCATCCATGATTGCTTGTTCGTTGTAGCGGACGGCGAAGACATCAGTGGTCCGAGTGAGCAAGTAACGATCAAAGACGCAGACGGGTCCACGGTGGTGCAGGCGAAAGTGACGATCGAGGACTTTGACTTGCTCAAGGTGCTGGGCAAAGGCAGCTTTGGCAAGGTCATGATGGTGCGGAAGAAGGAGAACCAGAAGATCTACGCCATGAAGACCCTGCGCAAGGCCGCGCTGATCAAGCGCAACCAGCTCTTGCACACCAAGACGGAGCGCAACATCTTGCAGCAGATCAAGCATCCGTTCTTGACCACATTGTCCTACGCGTTCCAGGTCATCCCGACACATCTCTGTCAATCCCTCACCTTGTCACTAGACCCCCGAAAAGCTGTACTTGGTCATGGACTACTGCCCCGGCGGCGAGTTGTTCTTTTGGTTGAAGAAGGATCGTCGGTTTTCCCAAACCAAGGCGCGGCTGTTCGCCGCGGAAATCCTCCTCGCGCTGCAAGAACTGCACACGCATGACATCATTTACCGCGACCTGAAGCCAGAAAACATCCTCTTGGACTTGGACGGACACATCCGCCTCACAGACTTTGGTCTGTCCAAGGAAGCCGTGACGGGCGCCGGCGCCGTCGGCGGCACCAAGACGTTCTGTGGCACCCCCGAGTACTTGGCCCCGGAAATTCTCGAAAACAAAGGGCACGGCAAGGTACGTTATATGCTCCATATCCTGGTCGTGCAATACTGACCATTTGGGTGATGATGTGTATTTCCGAGTAGGCGGTGGATTGGTGGAGTTTAGGCACGCTCATCTATGAAATGCTCACAGGACTCCCTCCGTTTTACGACCAAAACATGCAGGTACGAGATTGACGTTGCTATTAAAAAACACAAATTTAATTACCAAACCAACCATCCACCACGTTGCCGTTGTATTTTTTTTATATATTATATTGCATTCTTCCAAACCCATATGGAGGATCGATTATCCATTGAATTCTTTATTAACACTTTTAATATTTAAAAGACTTTTGTGTGTTATATAAATGTCTTGTATTTGGACAATCGAGGTTCAATCATGACATGTAGCGCATGTACGACAAGATTATCAACGCGCCGCTGCGATTTCCGTCGTTCATGTCGGCCGAAGCCAAGAGTCTGCTCACGGGTTTGTTGCAGCGCAAGGTGCGGTCGTGTTTTGCTAAATATGACGGAAATACCATTAACATCGTTGGTTTAGGTGGGGGATCGATTGGGTAGTGGCCCCACGGATGGCGAAGAGATCAAGTCGCATCCGTTCTTTGCTGGGTTGGACTGGGACCAAGTGTACCGTAAAGAGGTTACGCCCGAGTTCAAACCCCCCAATCGGTACTGTAACTTGCAGAGTTCAGTTGCTGTCGTGGCTGAGAAAGTTGTTGCTTAGGCTGGGCTCGATTGACACGAGTAACTTTGATTTGGAATTCACGGGTGAAAAGCCCGTCGACTCGGTCGTGACGACCACCATGAGCGAAACCCAGCGCACCAAGGCGCAATTCTCTGGGTTCACATACAACGCTGACTCGGAATTGGAAAAGTAGAGTGAGGTGTCGTACACAGCAACACCCTTTGATAATTGCATGCAATGGTACAAGCAATATGTTAGGATTGTGTTGATCTGTGGGGCCATCCGTGTCCATACCTAAACTTACCAAGCATATGCGTTCGTGTTTGTGGGAGGAAATAAATATATATAAAATACAGTGGCAAGTGGTATTAATAATTAGTAGTATTAGCATGTACAATTTTACTTTGAGGGCTACTTTATGCATGAGTAGTGTGGTTTTAGTTGGTTTCAAAGTAAAGATATGAATATTGTGCTTTTCACTGAACTTTGGACTTCGCAGTCGAAACTTCAAAGCGATTTCGAATGTATTTTCCATGTTTTTCCCGACTGATTTTACCCAATCCGAAGCGACAGTCTGGAATGGAGTGATGCGATTGGCTTAAGACATTCATAATCTCTTTGTTTAGGCTATTCGATTCGCCTCCCCAGTCCAATTTAGTGTTGAATACACAATACCACGCGCATTGTCGAGATGCCGTCGTATGGCATATATTACAGCGAAAGTAACTTTAGATGGCCAACATCGCACCACTGAACAACATGCCTTGACTACCTGTAGGTAGTAGTAGTACTACTACTACATACTCCAGAGTACTTGATTTCATACAGTCGTTCGTACGATATCTTTGACATGTTTTATATACAGTATATGTGGGTGATGATAGTACATTAGTACCGGTAGTATGGTTGGACGAGAGAGTAGGTGGTGCTAGAGCACTATATTTATGCGACGTCGTCGTCTACTGCGTTCTCGTCGGTCGTGATGAACGTGGTCGATGGCTCTCGAGGTGCAGATGGCTTTTTGGGCTTGATAACCCTCGCTTCGGGCGGGATCACACTCACGTTGTTCTTGTTGATGCGTTCGCGGGGGTTGAGTCCGGCCTTGATGTCCTGGAGCTTCTTGGTCGTCTCCACCGACTGCTTGGACTCGAGCACGGCTTGGACGTTGCGGTTGCGCTGCAGCAGTCGCTTCGAGTCCAAATTGCGCTGCTTCACATGCTCCTTCCTTCGGCCGTCGATGCGCTTGAGCAGCGCTTGGACTTCGGCCTGCTGCTGCTGCCTGAACTTGGTTTCCTTGCGCGTGAAGATCACCTGCAGCGACTCGTTCATGGTTGACCGCTCGTCGGCCTCGAGCTCGTCCGCGATCAGCTTGATCTTTTGCGCCTCGGCGTAGTTTTTCTGCTGCGCGAGGCGGTGTTGGCGGCGCCGCCACTCGATCAGCTCCTTAGAGAACTTGGGCGGCCGCTCCATGAGCTCCTTGTGCAGCTTCTCCTGGAACGACCGCAGGTCCGCCGTGTGCTTGTCCGTCATCTGCCGGATATACGCCTGCGCCATGCTATCGTACTCGTCCATGTATTGGTCCCACGCCGTGTTGAAGTCGGTGTACTGCATGTTGTGTGCGATCTGAATGTCTTGGCGCTCGGCAATCTGCTTGGCCTTGAGCGACTTGGACTGTCGCTTGGCCTCTTGCGCACGGAGGGCGATGAGCTGCGTGTCGGCGCGCTGCGCTTCGAGGTAGTTGCCGTCTTCTTCACACTTAGCGCGGTACTCTTCCAGGATGTTGATAAACTCCATCACCTTGGGGTCTGGCCCGAGATTGTACGGGCCATCTACGCATATATGCGTATATCAAACGACAAGAAGGTGCTTGTGGTTGAGGTTGTGATTGGGGGTATGTCATGTGGATGGGTAGGTAGGTAGGTACCAATGTCCGGCTGACTCCGAATGAGCAACAGAAACTCGTCAAAGCTGATGGTTTCGTCCTGGAGGTCGACGTTTCGGAGCAACTCGTCCGCTTCAGATGGATTTCGACCCAGTTTTGACAGAATGCTCTCCAGATGGGTCGTGGAAATGCGCCCAGTCCCGTTCTCGTCAAACAGCGAAAATACCGCTATACATTCAGACGACATGACAACGCGACTGGTAGGACAGGCTGGCCGACGTACCGCTCAGGGCATGGACCTCCTCGGCCGAGTACTCGTCCGACTGTTGGTGGCCTTCCTTCATCGCAGAAGTTGACGATGATGATGATACCTACTCTATCGGATGCGCTCCTCTCACTACGATACGACCAACGCACACGTCTATTTTTGCAAAAAGGCACCAAGTGTATTTATAGATGCCGTTTCGACGTTCAGATACGAATCCAAGCACATGATTGGCCCACAGGATTCTGGCAATATTAACAATGCAGGTTTTCACAGCAAAGTGGCTGGCTGACACGAACAAACGAGTGTGTAGGACGGCAAGACCGGTACTGTAGGCGTGGAGGGATGGCTTACGTAATGGAGAGTTATGCGTCTAACGTTATACTAGCGACTAGTCTGAGCAAGTCATCATGATGTCCAGTGGACATTTTCTCCACAGGTGGTTACGGGGCTGCAGGAGGGGTTCGCGTTCGTCGCTCTTTGCGATGGCACGTTCGAAACGCAGTCCATTCCTACGCATGCAATGCATGGCCATTCTGTCATGCTGATAGAATCTTGATGCATCGCACCTCGTTGCACGCTGACACACTTCCAGTGTGCTTCTTCATGCACGCTACACGCAACACCACTTGTCAAGTCTCTGCATACGTCATGCTGGGATCTACCTTCGACAGATTCGTATAGTTGTCGGCATCCCGTGGACTCGACCGCCGCGGGGTGCAGCGTCGCGTCGCCCGCTTTACACTCTGTGCAGTCGTTCTTTGTCGGCATGGCTTCAAATATGAAAGTGCGACAATAATATAGTGTCTTCGTGCACTTTCATTGGGTAAAACCCATGCAAACTTTAAATAGTGTATGACGCTCGCAAGGACATGTCACATCATTTGTGCAGCAATGTGCCAAATAATGTTATGAAAAAGTTACTCGAAGTACTATTAAAAAAAAGAAATATATTAATTCTAGTAATATTTAGGCAGCCCAATATATTCGAAACAATAACTATTAATAATTGCAGTTTGACGCCCCAGAACAATAAATAATTGTGGCCCCTACTATTACCATACTATGTGGCTAAATATTGGCAATATATGATTATCAAAAATAGAGACCAATCCACGATTGCCTTTGTAAACACCCAACTGAGATCATATATATATCTTTGCTCCATGCCTACATAAGCTAGTACTTATTGCGGGATCCCCGAGCTCGTCCATCCTTGATAGCATTACAACAATGATCGAGCACACATATTCGACTACATAACACATCAGGCACTCGTAACACGTGCTTGTTAAGGGGTATTTAGCCACGGGTGGTTGAGCACTTCAGACGCGGTGATCCGCTTGGACGGCTGGAAGCGCAGCATGGTCTCCAAGAAGGCCGCAAATGCATCGGCATCGACCGTGCCGAGCTCGTACTTTTCTGCGAGCACATCCTTGAGCGCCCAGTACTTCAGGTTGTGGATCTTCTTGAGTTCGCCCTTGCGGTTAAAGAACTCGGAGCTAAACTTGCCGTTGGACGCAAAGGTCTTGGGGATGCGGCCCAGCAGCTCTATCATTTGGGCCAAGTGGTCTAATTCAAATGAAGTATATGGTCATCATGTAGGGTTAGTTGCGTCACCATAGCGAAGAAGCAGGACGTACCTTCGTCCCGCGAGTACGACTTGCTGCTCTTTGGATCAAACAAGAGCTCCCCCGTCGCCAGTTCAAACACAAAGCACCCCATCGACCACATGTCAGTCGACTGGTCGTAGTTTTGCCCTAAAATCACTTCGGGACTGCGGTACTACACATATCACACCAAGATTGTCATTGTACATCATATCTCATACATCGTCACAGAAATAGGTACTGACACCAACACCACCACACACAAACTAAGTTACTTAATACTAATACTACTTACTACTCGAGCATATAGCATATACAATCACAGACTTGATTCCGAATGGTTCCATATTTTGTAAATGCTTCCCAACTCTTTATTGCATTTTGCATATTGCGATTCCAAAGTCCGAGAAATCGATCGACCCGATCAAAACCACTCCACAACACGACCACGCAACATCGATTTAGTGTACATATATATATATAGGACTTGACAACAATATATATATATATATATATATAACCATGCAACGTCGCACATTCGTGTGGGGTTTCAAATAGTGTGACAAGAAAGAATGCCGTACACAAAACCTCGATCAACCAATGAAACCGTACAAAACCTCAATTGATCAACCAATGAAAACATAGCAAAAACAATAATCGATAAAAATATAAAAAGGTCAAGTGTTCTTCATCCTATTGTCAAATAATATCGATTCGAAACTGGACGAGCCGTCACCAGTATCAAATGTCTTCTTCAGAGAATGGATTCAAGAACCGCCTAAGCCAATCAAATCACATGTTGTCGAATTTCTGCCAATCCAAACGTTTGACCCTCCTCCACATACGAATCGTTGTACAGTATCGATAGTTTTTAAACACGATCAAATGGATTCGACTGCTAGTTGGCGAAATCACACAAGTAGTCCAATTATATATTCGAGTCAAAGGCACCATACCTGTCGGGTTTGAATGTCCTGGGTAAAATGCTTGTACGTCCAGCATGCGTTACCCAGGTCAGCAATCTTCACTTGGTAGTCCGGCACGGCGTCGGTTCGTGCGGCGTGGTATCGAGCCAACACGGCGTCTTGCCACGTCTTCTCGACACGGTGGGACAGCGGCGCCACTTCGTGCCACGCCCCGCATGCATCTTGAAACGTAGTCGAAGCCAAGTACATGCCTTGGAGCACCCGACGTTCGTGGGCGACGATGTCGGGTACTGGGAAATGGAACCCAGGAATCACATACGCCGCCGACGGCCGCACGTTCAAGAACGCCAACCGACCTGGCCACGTCGATTCCAAGACGTGGCAGATCCACAGGACGTACCGCGCGTCCAACTCGAGGCGCCACAGACTCATGCTTCCGTCTATCGGGGGAATGCCGGAGGTGCTGGGGGGGATGCCAAGGGCGGCGTCTACTTTGGCTGGCAGGTCCCGGCGGTCGTTGCAATAGTGCCTAAAGAACGACATCGCCATAATGGTGCATAAGAAAATGAGCATAGGTATGATAGGTATATGTATACGATGCATTACTTGAGCGAAAAGCACGTGGCGCGTCGAGAGCCCACGACAGCAGCAGACATGGCGTCCGTCAGCGGTAGCTTGAACCTGTAGACCCGGCGCAGGACAGGACCCAGTTGTGTCTTCACCTGTGCAGACACTGAGGACAAGAGCGCAAGAAATGTTCAAATTCTGTCACATAAACTCGTCGACTTGCATCATACAGACCAAGGCGACAGACATTTCACATGTCCAGTACTAGTCCATATATACACAAGCATGCTGGTGTTGTTATAGTGAATGTTTGTGATTCTAAACTGGACCGACGTGCGGAATGTATGTATGTACCGATCCAACCAAACAAGAATCAGTGTGAATCAACCGCCGAACAAACTCGCCGGACCTTTGAAATTTCATATAAAACCAAGTTGAAGAGGTACCTTCAATCTATTTAGCCAATCAAATTGCAACCTTCATTCATTGTAGCCAATCATATCTTCAATCTTTGTAGCCAATCATATCGTCAATCTATTTAGCCAATCAAATGACAACCTTCATTCTATTTAGCCAATCAAATTGCAACCTTCATTCATCTTTGTAGCCAATCATACTCGTTTGCTCGAGATTCCTTGGGGATTTCGTCCTTGGGGATTTCGTCATCAATCCCCCCAAAATAGGCAAATTTGACCGAAAAGCACAATAACAAATATATATAATCCCTTCGGCAACCAACAAATATATTCGCATTTCAAACGTCCAAGTGTACCTCGTGGGGGGGTAGCCACAGCATGATTCGACCGGCGAATTCTTGAGGAATGGGGTAATCTCGCGATTGTTTGACGGGTACCACGTATGACAAGAGTGTCGCAGCCAAAGGCTCGAAAACCGTTCCAGGAGTGCTGGTGCATTCATTCTCACGGACAGTCTCCTGGGGTTGCAAAGGGGCAGCGATAACGTCATTCGAACAAGGGGCAGATGGACGGACGATACTAAAGTTGGACAAGAGGTGGTCATCCGTACGAGCCGCGGGGGGGGCTTCAAGGACGTCGTCGCCAATGTCGTCATCATCCACGCGAAGCGATCGCTCCAACTGGTCGGCGAGGGTCTTGTCCGTGTCTTTTTTCGATTGCTTTTGCTTTTGTCGCTTGAGTTTGCGCTTGAGCTTTTTCCGCTCGTCCGCGTTCAACGTGGCGGGGTCGACTTGCACCGCGGCGCCGCCATAGTCGGCCGGCGCCACCGACCGGAACGGCGGCATCTTCATGAGCGGGGCGTTAAGCAGCACGTTTTCCGGCTTGAGGTCGGTGTGGATGATCTTGCATTGGTCGTGGAGGAACGCCATGCCTTCGAGCATCTGCTTGGTCATGACCTTGAGCAGCGGAATCGGGATGCCCTTGTAATCGTATCGTTTGATCAACGTCAAGAGGTTGTCCCCCAGCATCTCAAACACCATGCACATGTCTACCACGAACATGAGAGACGACGAAGAAGAAGAAGGAGATGACGTAGAGCAACGTACGAGTGCCGTGGGGTCCAACGTGCTCAAAGCTCGCAATCAACTTGACAATGCGCGGGTACGCGCCGCCGGACTTGGTCGCAGCCTCGTTGACGCACTCCAGCAAGTCGACTTCGTCCCGCGCGGCTTCCATGTAATGGGATGCGCTCTTCTGCACCTTCATGGCGACGTCCTGCCCCGTTTCAGCATCGCGACACCGCCACACGGTTGAGAAGTGACCCCATCCTAGCTTTTCCAACACCGTGAAGCGGTCGTTGTACACGTCGCCGACGTTCACGCGATGGTACCCGCCAACCTTGTAGCTGCCTTCTTCTTCCTCTTCGCTTTCGGACGATGACGCGTCGTCTTCGTGGCTCGAGGCACTACTGCTGTCGTCCGATCCTGCATGTCCCTTCTTCTTGGGATTCTTTGTCGTTGAAGCCTCCGTCTTGTGCGTGGGACTGCTCGTGACGTCGTCCTCCGTCTCGTCTTCTTCCAAGGACGGCATCTTCGGCGCCTTCTCCTTCTGCTTTGTGCTCCCCGCCTTGGGCTTGGATGCTTTTAACTTGGCCGGCGCCGCTGCCGCTGCCGTCTTCTTTGTACCGCCCGCCGACGAAGACATCCAACAATGCAATTCGAATTTCGATCGAATGGCGAAACTCAATGCTGGAAAACTGAGTGCCGTCCAGCCAATCACAGGCCAAGATTCGCCGCTACATATTTTTTTGTCAGACATGCGTGGACGTGGGTGGTCGCTTGATGCTGCGCTCCCTGCAGCATGCTGCTAGTATGACGTGCAGAGAATGACGAGGTTGCTGGCGTACTGGCGGGAGCTATGGACTGCCTGGGCGGCAATGACATGGACTGGAGGATGTGCGCTGGTTATTACAAACTCAACGCACGATGCGACACCAGTCAGCTGCTTAAGCGCCGAATCTCCTTGCTCAAGGCCATTCGACACAGCGCTGGTTTCGCTTGAAATGATGGCGACGATTAAACAACGTGCGTGCAAAGTGAGGGATTGCCTACGATTCGCCGTCGTCGCCTGCATTCATTCCGCTCATCGCTATGACTTCAACACTCCACCGTCCCTCAGTGTGAGGATGTTGTGTAGCATTCGACGAAAGTAGCGGCTGGCCTACATACGACGACGCCATCGCCGCCCCCTGATGTGTCCTGGTCATACTCCATCGATCCCACATTCCATGCAGCGCCCGTCGTTGATCCATCTCGAGATCCACGCCAAGGATGTCCCCATCACGACGCGTTGATTTCTCGTGTTTGAATAATACTATTAGTTATTACTATGTTATTAAATGCCCAAATGCTTCAAATATTTAAATCGAATCTCCGAAGGCGACCGGCCCCGCGCGGGTAGCCGGACGGTGGTGTTTTGCGGCCGCAACTGCATCCCTGGTACGGCCGTTGCTGCTGCTGCTTGTTGCATCTGCTGCTGTTGAAGTCGCATCTCCGACTGTTGCTGCTGCTGCTGCTTGATCGCGGCGTCCACGAGGCGCTGCCGCGACTCCTCGGCGCCCATCGCGTCGTTCTCCATGGCTTCCTGCTTGGCCAGCGCTTCCACCTCGGCCTCCATTTCGTCGTACATTTCGTCCAAGTTGCGCTCGACCATCGTGATAAACTCGTGGCGCGAGTACCACATGCTATCCCTCTGTCGCTTGGAGAACTCTTTGTGCACTGGAATGTAATACAGGTCGGCTTCGTCCTCGAATCGTATCGATTTGGCGGCCTGGGACGGCCGTGGCGGCCGCGACGTGTCCTTCATGATCTTTGGTGGCGTCAGTTGGCCTTGGAGCAACCAGTGCGGGACGATGTCCTTTGCATCATCCACGACGGTGGGCGGTGACGGCGGCGTCGTGCCAGACACGTCTGGGGGCGACGCCAACGCCGCGTCACTGGAGCTGCCGCCGCTGTTGCTGATTTCGTTTGTATACCAGCGAGAAAACGCTTTAAATATGTTGGTGGGCTTCGGCTTGCCCTTGGAGTCGTTGAGTTTCACCTTGATCCCTTCTTTCTTCACGCGCCGCCTTCCCGTGGACCGTTCCAGATCCCGCACGGATAGGTTGATCCCGAGTTGATTCCAATACTGATGGCGTAGTACGAGGGGGTCGCGCTTGAGCACGCTGGGTTGAAAGGTGGGCGAGTTCATGGGCAAGGGCTGCATGTTGGGCGACGCGAACGACTGGATAGGGGACCTATCGTAGGTCGGCATGGTCGCCGACGAGAGGACGTCGACGGGACACACGGCAAGCACAGGCATGGGTTTGATGAGGTGGTCTTCGTAATCTGGTTCTCGTTCGTCGGACGAGTTGCTGGCTTCAGTCGACAATTCGTCGTCAAGAACAAGATCCTTGGAACGGGGTGAGATTGTGTCGTTACACGGGTACAAGGCAGCGGCGACAGGGATAGACGGAGGCGCTGTGGTGGTGTCGGGCGGTGTCTTCGGGAGGTCGTTCTGCGGGTTCAAATGCAGAGATGAAGAGGTAACAACGTCGTCGACCACCCCCATGCTCGTGCTGCTTCTTGAGGGTTTATCAGCCATCTGATTTCACGTTGGCGTGCGTGGTGGCGTGTATTTTTTTGTTTTATTCGCCAGGATTTGTAATGACGGGCCCTTGAACTTCAACGTGCGCCGGTGGTATTATTTTACATTCCACGGAACTGGATACAAACTCCAGGTGGTTTCACAACATCGAGAAAAAAAACTTCACGCCACCCAAAATAAGAATATCGGCGGAAATTCTTGCGGCCGTCCGACGTGGGACCAAATACCCGACAGTCCCGACACTTGATGGACAGGAAGTAACAGTGTACAGTAGACTCCGATCACGACATAGTAAAGGCTGAATGACTCAATGTTTGGTCAATTACCACGCACAAACGCCGCAAGCGCTAGGAGTACGAAGTATTAAGTGGGTTGATGTACTAAGTGTACTTGTAGTACCAGTGTAACCCCAAGATATGTACAGTAGTTCAATTCACTTGGAGGTGTGAATTTCTCTCACCTTGGACTGGCGATTTTTTGCACATGTACTCAAGGAACAGGGTGTGTCGGTCGTACAGTACATGTACCTCCAATATGTACTACTACATTGTACTACACTAGTAGATAACGTTACTGTAGATGTACTTGTATCTACAACTACGACGTACTAGTAATAGTAGTATGTACGATTGTCGAGATTTACACGGTACGACGTCTGCATTGCCTCGACTGGACACAACTTGCCACTGCATGCCTGGTCCGATTGTGGCTTTGCCAATCCGTCCATGGAGAGTGAATGGACGGCGCGGCAGAAAAGGTGCGCATAAACAAGAGCTGGCGACAATGGCAACGGATTCAAGAGGGTATATACATTGTATCTTCAACTTCATGGTGTATCTTTTTGCAAGATGAGATTGGAATTTGGGGAATTGTTTACCGGGTGTTTGAATCGACCTGTCGGGTATATGCTCCATGTCGGGTTTTCAAAGGTGGCACGGCGGGTCGCGCGATCCTGATAACTCGGCGGGTTTATGCATCATGTGTTGCGAACACGGTGGCACTTGTCGTGGGAAAGCAAGGGAACGTGGGCGACGACGCAAAGGACAGGGACCAGGGCAGCGTGTCTTACAAATGTCGTGCTGTTGCCGCTGCATGGATTATGTATAGCTAGCTTCCCATCTGTCCGTCCAAATTGTGGTGGTTCCGCCATCAGATATTCCATCCGATTGGCATGTCTCGATCAGAATCAACGTGGAGGCATCCTGTGATTGCATTGGTATGCGGCATTGCTCATGGGAGGGACATAAGATACTAGTACACATGAGCCGCAGTGACGACATGGTGAAGATCGCGTGCATGCATGACAATCAACGAGGATGTGCTACACGTTGTACGAGCTCTGAATACGAGCCATTGGTTTAAAATGATGAAAGGCCACATTCATACTCGGTAACGTTACAGGGTCGTTCGTTTCACTGAATCAACATACACCTTTCCAATGGTTTCTACCCTCTGCTACATGGCAACCATGGCCTGCTCCGCTGTGATGCTTGAGTGCTTTGACGATCGATGTGGCGCTTCGGTTCGCAAATCACGATTTTGGATATTATGGATGATTGTGAATTCTTGTCCGAGACAATCCACGACGTTACTTCGAACTACCAATCAAATCCAATCAAGCAAATATTCCACCAATCATCATTCAGAATTACTTCGAAGTATTTGGCCCATTCTATATTCCCTCTAGCATTTTATAGCGTAAACAGGAAAGTGCAGAATGCGATGAGTATAATATTTGGGAGGTGTTTATGTCCATCAACGTCGTCATCCTTGTCGCCGCCACTGCGATGTCCGCTTTCTACGGGAGGTCTCGTCGACATGAGCAACTCCAGGAACGGGTCCCAGAACACTATGTTCGTGCTGGAGAGGAGCGTTGCGATCGTGTGTTCATGCGTGGCCGCCCTCTGCTACGTGTACATTGTCATGAGCATTCGAGCTCGCGAGTTCGTCGCCACATGTCCCAATTGGTGCACGTGCTCGCTTTGTTGAACCTCCCAGGACAGATTGCCCGTATCGTGCTGGAAGGATTGAAGTCGTCCGAACCTGCTTCGTCCTTCGCCCGGTGCAAAGCACCTTCGTCGCCACGTCAGTCTGAGACTGCCGACTGTGGCGGCTGGAAAGTGTTGTTGGTGCAGTCCCTCATCGCTGGTACGTACGAATCATCTTGTTCACGACTGGCTAATTGCATATGTGTGCGTCCAAGGTCTTCGATCATCGAATCTGATATCGTGGTTGTGGCAATGCGTGATGGCCTACCACTTGTGGCTGTGGGTCGTGTGGGGTTTCGATTGTCGCCGCATGTGCCGGCACATTCGCATCCTCCAAATCGTGTCGGTGCTTGTGGCGGTCGCGCTCAGCGCAGGCCCCTTCTTTGGTACCCCTCGGATCTCATCGTTGTTGTTGCTGATGATCTGGTTTGGTCATGGGATTTGCCAGGTCCATGTCCGGCCTACGACATCGCAACGTTTGCCGCCGCCATCACGTCGTCCCCGTCGCTCCTTGTCGTGTGTCATGTCCTGTGGCTTGTCTTCAGTCTCGGGATCATGGTCGTGGCGGTGCTCGTGGTGCTCTGTCGTAAGCTATCATGTGTCTCGTCTAGGATGCATTCATCATGTACTAGGCAAAAACCCAATCACCTGGCGGCGTACCATCAAGTCGGAAAGGTTCTTACGGTGTGCATCTGGTACTCGATTCTGTATCGCATTGTCGAGGCCCCTGTTTTAGGTGTGTAGTACAGCGCTACTCCCTATCTTATCCACGTTGTTTGACAAGGCTAAACATCAGACGTAGCGCTCAATGTGATTGCACCTGCATCGGTCAGGTCGTCTCACGCCATCCAAGGTCCACGCTTTGCCTTGCACCATGTACTTGGTCCGCTCGAAGGTACTCACTCACTACCCCTACACTACTGTACTACCTACAGTAGTTCGTTTTCCCCAACCACGTACCGGTATAATTCCTATGCCTACAACGCTCCTTGTGCGCCACACTTTTTTATCAAAATCATACTCCGGGGTATCTGAGATACTGTAACTTAGGATGTGGCCTGGCCGTGTTGTATGGGGGAGCGGTCGTGTCGTGGTCGGCAAAGCACGACGCGTACGTCCAGACGACGTACCCGTCGTCGTCATCGTCCAACCACCACACGTCTGCTGGCCGACGCTGTCACAGCCTGGACCACATGTGCTTGTTTGTGACAGCGTATGACGTGTGCAAATATACTTTCCCGCGTCGCAGCTGCCGGCAATGGTAACCCCCCGGCCACGATCTGTACGTGGTGGGGCTGCACAACTGCATCGACGTCAACGTGGCCGAGCAAGCAATCGTCCGGTATCTCCAACGCATATCGCAGTTTGCCGACTTTCAAGCGGTGGCGATCACCCACAGCCGCCGCCTTTTGCCGTCCATGGAGGGCTCCAGCTTGTGTTTGCCAAAGCGGCAGACATTGCTCTAGGCAACGTCGCTGTCGACGAGGTATGTACTGGTCTCTCTGACATTATTGTAGTGACCAAACAAACCAAGCAACCGCGGCAGACAGATTCGAGTGATTGGGATGTTAAAATTATACTGTGAATGTAGTCGCTATAAACATTCCAAAATTATTCGTTTCGTGGTTTGTCGAATCACAAAATATTGCGTCACACTGTGGGAGCGTACTGATTGGTTGAATATACTTGTCCGTTCTGTAAGCTGAGCCAATCAAATTCTCTCAAAAATGGATTAGCCAATAGCGTCGATTCGTGATTTCATTTGGCGGCGAGATCATTCGATTCGACGGGGTCTGGAACTTTGTACCGAATAGCCACAATACTATTATTCCACTGCACCCTTGCTCACGATGGCGTCTACAGGGGGCATTCAATAGCTCGTCATGACAGTAGTTGCGGTGGCGCTGCGACTGTTTGACGCGTCCGTGGCGGTGGCTACATGCAAACTCAACCCGTTTTCCGATGTACGTACATACGATTCCAATTTCATATTGCCTTTCTTTTGCCCATATAGTGTGCACTTTTGTGTTGAATCGCCAAATGTATCGATTGATTCTTTGTACTGAATTTTGTATGTCAAAAGGGGTCCTGTGGTGATTTGTATCACACTAATTGAAGTCACACACTAATTCGACGTTGATGGTAATCTGATTGGCTAAATATATCCTTCTGCCGATAATTCTTCTGTCCTTTTATTTGCTTGTGTCGATTCATGATTCTCCATGTCTCTCCAGTTTAGAATACAAACTACAATATGCGATACGGGACAAACGTTCATTCCGTGTAGGAGCCTACTGCATTGACCCGAAAGGTCCGAGACTCGATGCAGCTCATGCAGTCGTTCAATGTGTCGCTGGAACTGCCGCATCACTGCCACCACATCTTGGGCGGCGGGTCCACTTTGGCGTGGGTAAAATCCCCCATCAAACGCTCGTCAATTGCATTGAAACGGCCTACTTGGCCCAACGGCGCTGGAAGCTGCCGCGGCGGCGCGACGACGGCAGGGCGGTGCCATGTCCCCGTCTGCCCCGAGTAGTATCATCGACGACTACGACGACGACCATGATGACTTGGACGCACGTCGTCGTGGACGTGATGCACGATGTCGACTCGTTTTGGAACGTCCACCTGCCACCGTCGTCGCAGATACCAACGTCGTCGCAGATAAAAATCTCGCACAAACTACGGGCCAAGAAGACGAAGAGCTGGTGCGCTTACCTCGTCGACGCCGCGGAAGGCGCGGAAACTGCGTGGCTGGACGTGGTGGAATGCGACAACTTGCAGCGACTGATGGACTCGAACGACGTACGATATATATATATACAAAAAATATCGTATTTTTTACTAGTATTGGACATTTGGTACGAATTTAGTATATTTTAGTATAAACCACGGGGATTTTTGGAAGGTTTATAGCGAATTCACGATATCTCAGCTCTACTGTATATTTGTGCTCGATTGAACGAACCATGGAAAATCGGGACATTTGAAGAAAGTCGACAATATTGTCGATTTGATACAAATTTGGGGAGGGGTGCAATCGAATCGCGCCGACCAAACCGATCCACAATCGATCTGATTGGTTGAATTTCATTGAGAAGGTTTTGATTGGTTAATAATTTTGAGCTCATCTGAAGTAGCCAATCAAATCGATTTTAATTCCAACGAGAAACCACGCCACAACACGAAATTTCACTCGAAAGCACAAAATCTGTGGTAACGTAAAAAACCAATTTAAGATAACTTTGTTGGAGGCGTCGGAGTAGAATGAACATAACTTTTGAGTCCGTTACGATATTTGAGTTTTGATTCCAATAGACAAGACCCTCCGCTTTCAGTTCATAATCGAATCATCAGTTTAGGCGATGAACATCACAGGTAAATTTGTTACTTTCTAAGCATTTGTACTCACATTTTGATAGCCAATTTAGGATAATTTTTTTTATCTTAAAGTATGTATGTGTTGGAGCATTGAAATTCTGTGTTTAGGGTAAGCGGTTACAACAGGTTGCATATAATTTATACAAGGGTACTGTTTTATAGAGTTATATTTCTGTTGTGGATGGATTAACACTCGACAAAATCTCAGATCCAACCCAATGTGGCCCGTGTCGACTAGGGTACTTCAAACCCAATCTTGAATAACTATTACCAATGGATTCTGCGCCGTTTTTGCATTTCATTCACGTGACGGAATGGCCAGCATTATATGATAGAGGTTTTAACTCGAACAAATTACGAGCAATACAAAGTTATCCGAAATTGGTTAAGTTATCTTAAACTGGTTTTTTACGTTAGATCTTTTATGGCTTTCAAAAGCCCGCAATTTCGTTTTTGCCGTACAACCCCAACGCTGACTATTTGTTTGCAAGAACAGACCACGTCGCGCCGAGCTAGGCTGACCGCATTTTGGATCACTCGATGCCTGGCGTCAACGTACGTACGTCGCGTGAACGATGTCGCGTATTATCGTCTTTAATCGTGTTGGGTTGTTGGGTATTGTAGGTATCGCCGAGACAGGAAGATTCATTATTCCTTCTCCGTGTCGGCCCAGTTTAAACGTAAAACTATATGTATTATAGTAGTAGTTTGCTTTGGTGGTGGACTTATCGTCGCATCGTGGGTTTCTTAGCTGCGCCATCCTGCTGGGTATGGGCGATGGCTCGACATACCCAGCAGGATGGCGCAGCTACCAACCAGTTCCGGTTAGACTTTCACAATTTGGATGTGACTTTGTGGCAACCAAGTACCCGCGTTCGGATGCCATCGGTGCAGTCGACTACTCGATGTGCATGATGTCACGGCGGCGGTCGTTTTGCAAGGCCCTGTGCACGTGTCCCCCACTGTCGACCAACTTGGCCCATCGGTTTCAAATCATGCACAACGGTCGTTGCCCACGTTTGTGAAACCGAACGAAGTCAAGTGCGTTGCATGCCAAGACGACGCCATGGACGACACGGACAATAGTCTAGGTCCGATGCGCCCGCCGCGCTACATTTTTTATTGTGCTTTCAAGCTAAATTTGGTATTTTCGGTAAATTCGACGATGTCAAATCCACCTGCAATCGTCGAGACTGTCGTTTTACTTGAACGAAATATATTCATACACACTGTGACTCCTTTCCGATTCAACGTTGAACTCTTTGTGAAATGGACAACCTTGCACACATCTGCAATTTGATTGGTCGAAAAGTATTTTTTCGACAATTTCATTGGCTACTTCAGTCCGTCGATTTGATTGGCAGCCCCCCAGCCCATTTTGAAATCGATTACCAATACTTCGAAGTACCAATGTCGCGCAGAATTCGCCGGTCAAAATTTCGATTGTCTTCCCTTGCCAGGCCTCAGGTTTGTCGATATTATAAACATACTGCTTAGGATGACTTTTTGAATATGCCGAGAATCGCTATATTATTGTGGACGGATATAGCTACCACCACTCCATCCCCCAACCATGCTACGACACGACGAAGGAGGAGATCCGTTCTTCTTTGGCAGCAGTAGCAGCATGCACCCCGACCGACGACGGCCGCCCAAACCATACGCCGTCCCGACCAAAACCAGCTGGGCGGACGCCCAGGCGCGAGGGCTGTCGCATACACGTGATACCGTTCCAGCACGTGGTGGAGAAGGTCGACGGGGGTCGCGGCGAGGGGGGGGCAGGGGGTGCTGGCAATCGCAGAAGCCGACTTGGGCATGACCAAACAATTCGATATTCCCCTCACTTGGGGGGGCAAGCATACGGGGTACTTGCATGTCGACGTCAGGGTCACGATAGTGTCAGATGTGCACTGGGAACTGTATCTCAACCCGCCGTCACGTCGTTCGTAATAGTTGTCGTTGTAGTACGAAGTCGAGTTACTCAATATGAACGAAGGCGTGCCTCGTTGTTATTTAAAACGTTAATCATCCACTTCCCAAAGTCCTCGCTGCAGCCGTCATATAAACATACTCGTAGCATCGATCCCACAAACTGTTAGCTGGTCTCTACTACCGATGATCCCGCCAGGTCCAGGAGCGTTAGCGCTTCGTGGGCGCTTGTAGGCGAGGAAAATGAAGACAATGTGGGGAGGAGGTGAGGAAGAGGTGACTGGAGATGGGGCTGAGGGACGTGGAGTGCCACGTCTCGCGGTTGAATCGCGTCTACATTGAAACTGCGTTGGCTGGCAACATTCTCGTCTTGCAGATGGATCGGGGAAGACAAAGTAGCAGAGCCCGACCCTCCTCCTCGTTGACGACTCTCGGCCGTGAGTCGTCCAATGCGCTCCATTTGCAATTGCTTGCGCACGGCCGCCAATTGCTCCAACATGGCGTTCTGTAGCAACTGCTTGGACTGTTTGAGTTGGTCCAGCTGGTGCTGCTGCGCCGCCACGGTCGCGGCCATCGCTTGCTGTTCCTCTATGGCCGTCGCGCTGATCGTCACAGCTTCGTTCATCGACCGCGCCGCTTCATTGCGCTAGTTTCATGAATGCATCACAGTTACATCATCCCTTGTGTCATCATCTTGATCGTGCTACCTCTTGAGCAAGTGCATCCATGTCGGCGGCGGCTTTGGCCATGGTCGCGTTCAACGCGTCGGCGCGGCTTGCGTGTGCTGCCACCGACGCCTCCAACTCCACCACGCGGTGTTGCAATGTCTAACCCAGGCAGGATGGAGTATATGATTCCAACAGTCGTATCATGTTACAAACACAACAACATAGTTGTCGTAGGTTGTTGCTATGTACCTGAATCGTATCGTTCAACTCGCTGGCGTCGGCTTTCAAACTCGCACAGGTGCGCTCAAGGTTTTGGGCGAGACTTTGCCACTTTTGTGTGTCGTCGCGCATCGCGTGAAGCTATAAACATGGGCATATGAATCACCACAAATCCACAATTACCAAAGTACCTCGCGATGCAAGTGTTCCACTGCCGACGTCTTGTCCTGCACCAGCTTTCGCAGCGCTTCACCGCCAGATCGTTCGTGGACAAGGGCATCTTGCGTGATGTGGTATGCCTATGGTCGTCGTCGTCGTTCTTCCTTTCAAACTTCAATTTGTATTGGTTGTTGATGCATGGTTGGTACCTGGAGCAGTTTGTCATGTGCGGCTTGGTTTGTGACTGCGGAGGCGTTCGCATTCTCGATGCGTTCCACATGGGTTTGTAACTGCACATGCAGGGCGTCGATAGCTTGCTTGTGACTAGCGTGGAGCTGTTGCACGGCTGCCTGTGCCTGCAAAAGCTTCTCGGCCTGCTCCTACTCGTCGTATATGACGACCAGTTGTCGTCTTATTTCGGAATGCTCTACCTGGACGTAGCCCAAGAGCATTCGCTTTTCGTCGGCCAAGTTGTCGCAAGTGGTTTGCAATGACTGGATCTGTTCCATGCCCTTGGCCACCTGGGCTTCACTCGTAGCGAGTGCCGACTCGGTTGCAATGTGCGCCGAGTCTGCCCTGTGGAGATCGTGGTCCTTCGAGTCGAGGGCTGCCTATGACGAATGCGACACGGTTATCGTCGTTGGCACTATGACATAGCCTTTGGATGGACCAACTGATTGTAGCGCGTACCTGCAGCTCGGCCACGTGGGTTGCTTCGACGGCGATTTGCATGCTCAAGCCAGCGTTTGCTTCTTGCAGCCGAGCGATTTCATAAATTAACCCGTTGTGTACGTTGCCATCCAGTCCCATGTCTCGAATTCGAATCTAAATAGGCATTCATAGGGTAGTAGTACACCGAAAGATCGTCAATTCTATTGACAAGACTACAACGTGCAATAAATGTGGAGAGAGCAATACAATCCGTCACATATCTCTCGATCAACTGCTTCAGTGTCATCATGTCTACGGACCTCAAGGGACCGCTTCAAGATGGTGATTTTTGCCCACGCATCTTGTACCACACCTTCCTAGAGGCCAATATCACTTTGATTACGGGAAAATTGTTGCCATGGAAGGACGATATAGCATCAATATGACGACATCCAACGAACTTTGTCTGCAATGGTGTTTCGTTGGGCCACGCCTTGAGCTTCCAACTCGCGAATGCGAGCCAAGAGCTCGGCATGTTTGGTCGCAGCGGCCTGTCAACATGGGAGTTTGACAATGAATCAAGCCACAGCTTGTAAGCGTACGTGGCCACGGGTACCCATGGCGACAGTTTGCTCGATGCGCTTGGCGTAGTCTCGATTCGCAATCGCTTGGGCTTCTGCCAACTTCTTGTCTGCAGCCACACGTTCCAACTACAAGATAGATATGCTATCCAGGCAAGAGCGATCCGAGAATACGGACCAGAGCGGATTTTTTGTGCAGATCTTTTTCCAGCTGCTGCTTGTCCACACGCAGCCTGCGAATCTCCTTCTGCACACCTTCGGTCTACGCATGCATGCATGCATCATATTCTGGTCATGGTTTCGAGCAACGGTGGCAGGTGCATACAAACCTTTTGCGTGGCGCGCTCTAGGTTGAGGCGGGTGCGGTGGTAGCGCACTTCCAACTCCCGCATGTGCTTGTTGAGACTGGCCACGCTACTCGTGGACGCAGGGTACCTCACCTCCGTCTCTGGGAGGCCCATGGCACTGCGCACGTTGTTGTCTTCGAGAAGGATCTCTATGTCATCGACGGCCACCTTGGTAGACGCCGTCGTGGCCATGTCGAACGTTAACTTGCGAACACATCCGGAATGATAACTTATCCGGATATGAAACCGCCACCAATCGGATCCAGCGTTCGAGATTTTAGTCTCACGATGGATTGTTTCGATCTTTAACGCCGCCTGCCATGTCGACGGAAGCATTGTACGTGAATGCCGTGCTTGCCTATCTCATAGTATCCACTGACATGGCTCTAGCCAAACCACCTACGACGAACCACTCTTGGCTTCGCATCATTCACCACCACGGAAGGACAGTTCATCGTCCCTCGGGCTGGGCCTGAGTTTAGCCACCGTTGTGACACAGCTCAACTCGTTCTTGGCAGTGTTATGGCCTGTGTTAGTAACCATGATTCTTGCGAGTATGGTGGCCGTGAGCATGCGAGACGCTGATGCCGAACGTGCAATGAGGTAACAGACCAAGCCAGTGGCTGACCAATCTCAACCATTCTTGGTGTGTAGCCGGTACTTGTACTACAAAGGCATTGACGAATCGATCGAAAGCTCGAGTACCAAGGTCGTTGAAGCCTTGACAAACGCCCTGGTCATCATCTTCTTCATTGCGATCGTCACGTTTGCAGTCGTGTTGCTGTACAAGTTCAACTGCATGGGGGTACGCCAGTGCTGTTGGTCTCTCTATCTATGAACCTCTATCGTGTATTTTCCAGTGCTCATTGGTCATTGTAGGGTCTGCAAGGCTATTTAATGGCGTCGTCTGCCACCCTTCTTGGGCTCGTGGGCAGCGTGTTGGTGGAGAAAATAGTCTGCGGTCATTGGCACTGGCACGTCGACGCAATATCCATGACGTTTGTCATGTATAACTTTGCCATTGTCGGCACTTTGAGCATCTTTTACCAAAAGGTATTACTCTGCCGCTTTGTATTCCCATGTACATACATCGATTAAATATATACTGGAATACATGAATACACATTGCTAACCCCGAAACTTCTCCCCCAGGGCGTATCGCCGAACGTCGGGCGTGCTTACTTGGTCGTCTCCAGTGTCATCATGTCGTGGCAACTCTGTCAATTGCCTTCGGTAAAACATGGTTAGATTGTTTCACCCTTGGAGGAAACTATGTTACTTCGGGCGAGTTATCCCTGCTATGGATGGCCGCGGAAATGTGCAAACTCATGTCTGTGGTATATGACCATATATGTATAGTGGAGTACGTGGGCGATTCTGTGTGCTCTGGCATTTTGGGACTTGTTTGCCGTCTTGACGCCATGTGGCCCGTTGCGTTGGTTGGTACGAATGGACGACCGACCTCAAATAAACCAACGACTGAACGACGTCCATGTTAGGTCAACTTGATCCACAGCGAAGGACGACCGATGCCTGGGCTCTTGTACGAAGCCGACATCAGACAGACCCACCAGAGCAATGCCAGCACCACCACTGCGTCCAACCTGCAAACAAACCCCGGGAATGCCAAGCCCTACCGCGGGTCGTCGTCCGCCGCCGTGTACGCCATGGCAGTGCCAGGGCCGCGGCAACTAGTCGTGTTTGAAAACCAATTGCTAGAGTTCTGCCGAGATTACAACTCCCCCCACGCTGCACACGTGGCAGCCGTGGCCAAGCAGTACCTCCACAACCAACCCGCGTGCTGGCGATTGCTCTATACAAAGTACAACGTATCGTACATCCGAAGCAACCGATCGTACCCGTCGTATGCTGACGTGTTTGACAGCGTGTCATTGGCCCAAGACAATGCAAGTATGTGATTGTTCATGATGTCGATGAGATGGACAGCTGGTAATGAGCGTGGCCGTGCGACGTAGATGAAAAGGACACGATCAAGCTCGGTCTGGGCGACTTTATCTTTTACAGCGTCCTCGTGGCCCGCGCCGCCATGACGAGCTTTGCGGCGTTCGTCGCGTGTTTTGTGTGTGTGATTGTGGTACGTACGCATCAATATCTCTTCTGGCTCTGGTGTTGATGTCGTCATCTACGATAGGGGCTGGCCATCACCATGTACCTCCTCGGCCATTTCAATGCACTTCCAGCTTTACCGATCTCGATTCTCCTTGGCGTGTCTGCCTTCTTCTGGATGGCGGAGGTGGGCAACGACTACATTGCCTTTCTCGTGTATCGGGGCATTTTGTAACTGCCAACATGAAAAAACTTCGTCAACTGTATCCCTTGACGAATTATATTTTCTATTTGTAAACCCTACTCCAGATAGAGGAGCTGGTTGCCCTCGACGACACCACTACGTCTGTAGTTTCTCGACCAGTTCAGGCAACCGTTGAGGGGCTTATCGTTGCTCCATGCATGCATGCGGATCTACAGTACTCTTCTGCCAGTAGTCTTTGCGGCTCTACATGCACACACATGTGGACTTGCCTGGATTTGATTATTTGTAGCTCTCGGCGCGTCGGTTTGGCGGCATCGTACTTGAACTAGTCAATACATTAATCAAGGTTTTACATAATCGCACTTAACCGGAGATTCGAGAACGGGACAGTGTCAAAACCCTTCAAAAACAAATAGGTATACAAACCCCAAGGTTAAAAAGAACTGGTGAAAACGAACCAAAGGGTTTCCCCCAGTCAACTCTTGCATTTGGTGGATATTAGCAACCGCCCCTTCCTGTCACCTCCACTTCAAGACAAGGCATCGCGCTTCCATGGACATCCCAAACGCGCTCCTTGCGACGACCAGTCCTGATGCAAACCTTCGCAAGCAAGCAGAAGATGCGTTGAATCAAGCCGTGAACGAAAATGCCGGCCAACTCATGGTCACGCTGTCCCAAGCGTTGGCCGCCGAAGACTTCCCCACCCCCGGCCGGCAACAAGCCGGGTTGTTCTTGAAGAACATCTTGGACGCAAAGGACTATGCGCTGCAAGAACTCAAGATCCAGCAATGGTACTCCCTCGCCGACGACGTGCGCAATGCGATCAAGCAGTACGCGCTCTCGTCGCTGAAGGCGCAGGATGCGATCGCGGCCCACACCGCCGCCCAAGTGGTCGCGAAGATTGGGTCCATCGACGTGCCGCAGAAGCAATGGCCCGACTTGTTGCGCATCTTGGTCGAGAACGTGACGAGCGGCACAGACTCTGTCAAGCATGCGTCGTTGGAGACGCTCGGGTACTTGTGCGAAGGGTTGGACGAAGATTCGCTGGAAGCGTCCGAGTCGAACCAAATCCTCACGGCGATCGTCGACGGCATCCGCAAGGAAAACCCCGACAAGATTCGGCTGTCGGCCGTGGTGGCGCTGCGCAACAGTTTGGAGTTTGTCAACGAAAACTTTAGTCGCGACGCCGAGCGCACCCACATCATGACGGTGGTGTGCGAAGCAACTCAATGCACGGACGTCCAAGTGCGCGTGCGCGCGTTCGAGTGCATCGCCACGATCGCCAGCTTGTACTACGAGTACCTAGGGGAGTACATGAGCGTGCTGTGCGACTTGACGTTCAAGGCGGTGCAGGCCGACCAGGCCGAAGTGGGTCTCCAGTCGCTCGAGTTTTGGTCATCGATCTGCGACGTCGAGCTCGAGTTCATTGAAGAAGGCCGGTACGGCGACCCCGCCGTTGCCGCCGCCAACTTGAAGCGGTACGTCGAGACGGTGCTACCGGCGTTGGTGCCGATGCTGCTGAACACATTGACCCAGCAAGAAGAGGACCAATTCGAAGACGACACGTGGAACCTGTCGATGGCAGGGGCCACGACGCTCACGCTGGCCGCGCAGGTGGTGGAGGACGCGATCGTCGCCCCCGTCATGCAGTTTGTCACGACCAACATCCAGTCGGCCAACTGGCACCAGAAGGAAGCGGCCATCATGGCATTCGGATCGATTCTCGACGGCCCGCACCAGCAAACGATCCAGCCGATTGTTGAGAACGCGATGCCGGTGCTCATCACGTGCATGAACGATCCGAACGCGCTCGTGCGCGATACCACGGCATGGACAATCGGTCGCATCTGCGAGATTCACGGCGTGGTCATGGCGCGCTGCCTTGGGCCGCTCATGCAGCTGATCGTGGCGGGTCTGGACCAGGAGAGCAAGGTCGCGGCGCACATGTGCTACGCGATCCACTACATTTTCCAGTCGTTTAGCGAGCTCGACGAAGGCACGACGCCGCTGGATCCGTACTTTGGCCACGTGTTTGACAAGTGTCTCATGACATGCCAGCTGTCGTCAGAGGAAAACATTCGCGTATCGGCGTTTGAGGCGCTCGGCATGATGATCCAACACGGGTCCTCCAACGCGACGCCGCACATCCTTAGCCGGCTCACAAGCATCTTGGAGCACCTCGAAGGCAACATTGAAAAGCACAAGGCAAACCCTGCTTATGGCCAAGAGTTTTACGGACTGTACACGTGTGCCTGCGACGTGCTTGTGGTTGTGATCCAGCGAGTGGACCACGATATCCGCCCATTTGCCGATCGAATCATGCAGTGCCTGCTCAACATCTTTAGCACGGGCCACACGACCGCGGGAGAGGAAGCGTTTCTCGCGACGGGCGCGCTGGCTGGCGCGATCGAGTCGGATTTCAAGAAGTACATGACGCAGTTTTACCCCGTGCTGATTGCGGGCTTGTCGAACGTCCAGGAGCACGCCGTGTGCGCGTCGGCCGTGGGCGTCGTCGGCGATATCTGCCGCGCCCTCGGCGCCGACGTCAACGTGTACATCCCGGAGATTGTCAACCAGCTGCTGGTGATCCTGCGCTTCCCCAACCTGAACCGGACCGTGAAGCCCCCTGTGATTGCCGTGTTTGGGGACATTGGGCTCGCGATCGAAGGCGAGTTTGAGCCGTACTTTCAACATGTGGTGGAGATGCTGCTCCAAGCTGCGCAGGCGTGCGTGGCCGTGCAAGTGGACGACGAGGACGCTGTCGAGTACCTGAACCAGCTGCGGGAGAGCATTCTGGAAGCGTTTACGGGCATCCTGCAAGGTCTGTCGTCGCACAACAAGGGGCCGTTGATGGTGCCTGCGCTCCAAGGCATTGGGCAGTTTCTTGCGCTGCTGTCGGCGGAAACCAACCGCAGCGACAGCGTGACCACGACCGCCGCGGGCTTAATAGGGTACATTTCCCTTGAATATTGCCATATACATATATATATATATATATGCGATACAACACGACTCATGCGATAACGTGTAGAGATATTGCGTCGATCCTGGGCGTGCAAGCCAAGCTGTTGCTCAAGGAGCAGTTTATCCAGTCGTTGCTGCTGGATACGTCGCGCATTGACGACGACCAAGCCCAGAGTGTAGCCTCGTGGGCGAAACAGGTAGGATTGGTGCTCTTGATGCAAATAATGGGCGGCGGCGGCTCATGTACGTGTGTGTAGCTCGTGGATGAGACGCTGCGGCTCTAAAACGTCCACGGATGGATTTGGATTGCTTGTGTTTGATTTTGTTCCCCTTCATGCTCGCCTAATAGCCTGACGCTACCCCCCCCTCCCTTCCCCCTCCTCCCGTTACCCTTTGTGTGTCGAGACGTGGCAGGTTGTTGTCGGCGGCAGTGGCGGGGGGCGGAATGGGGGTTGCTACAGCAACTCCATTGCCGTCCTGCTGCCGCTGCTAGATGCACCTGTCTTGTGATGATGCACAGTTAGTACCTTATTAGTTTTTGCAACTGCCTGACGTAGTTGCTAAGCAATTTAACTTTTTTGACCGTTGAGTGTCCATTCCGCTCTTGTTGGGAAAGCAGAACGTGGGACTTTCAATAGTAAAATACACAATACCACACACACGGGGGGAGCACTGTAGTACATGTACAGGCTTCGAATGTGGTATACAATCGCCGCTGATTCCGAAGAGATCCCCCCCGTTGCCCCCTCCTCCGATATGACCCTCATAACACGTGATTCATCTCCACTAGCCGCCGAGTCATCCCCCCTGTCATCTCCCATAACAAAGTGCCTAAGGATTTAAACTCACAATCTAACGTGGCTTGGTCAAATATACCGTGACGTTTGAGGTCGCCACGAAATTAAATGGAGATAGCTGAAATATATTCGGTAACTTGTCTAATATACTGGTATCACTACAATTCAGGTATAAATTATGACTAACGTTAACTTACACGTCTCGCAAACACAACATCGCTGCCTATGTAAATATTATTGCTATTAATCATATTAATAGTACCAATATGCATTAAATATTACGAAACCTAGCTACGATAGATGAGCGTGGACGTTGCCGTCTCTTGTCTTGGGGTGTCGACGGCGGACGACGCACCGTCGCCCCAGTGCATGTACGATGCATCAACCAGTTCATATACGGACAAAAGCAGCGCCGTTGCTGCCTTGACCAAGTACGTTCCCACCGAACTCAGTGCCCGCCACGCCTTGGTCATACACGTGGCCATAGAGTGAAACATAGACGACCACCACGGTGGCGTAGCACTCGTAGCTTCCTCATCTTGGACGTCGCACGGCGCAATGTCGTCTTCGACCACCGACTCGGAATCGACAGTTGGCTCGGCCTTGTCGTCGATTGTCGCGGAAATATCCAGACGCAGCTTCAAGCAGATGGTCGCGAAGACTTCTTTCAGGTACTTACTTGGTCAATGCGCGAAATGACCACCAGGGGACTTTCACGACCACCGCGTCGACGTCGCATGATGACACATGGACAACCACCGCCGACTCGGGGGTGCCATCGACGACGGACACGGTCGCGTGCTGGTTGGGGTGCAGGTTCGAGCTGATGTTACACGATAGCTTGTTGCCGGCGTCGCCTTCGACACGAGGTCGGTGTACACACACCACCGACTCGGGGGTGCTTTCGACGGACACGGACGTGTGCTGCTTGGGGTGCAGGTTCGACAGGTTCGAGCTGACGTTACACGATTGCTTGTTGCCGGCGTCGCCTTCGACTTGAGGTCGGCGAGCGGGTGTCTTCACTGGGCGGTACGCCGCACGTCGGTCGTATTGCTCGACGGCGACGACGAGCACACGCTTTGACGCGAGGTGCGTACTGGCATTCCAGGTGCGTTCGCGGGCGGCATGGACGGCTTGAATGCTGGATGGCATGATGGATGTGCTCGAGATTTCTTCTTTGAGATAAGCAAGTAGGATGATGTTCCCGTTTCATTTATTTCCACGACGCTATCGAGATCGCCGCGGTTCAACAACAGCGTACTTTTACTTGGTGTTTGTATTAAGTAGTGCGAACCCTTCAAGATCGCCAAAGCAGTACTATTAATAGTGGAGTTTTTAATTGTTTTCGAAATCATAGTATATAAAGAGTGATAATTCGCTGATTGGCCAGAAATGCCGTTTCAACAAATTTTAACTTATCGCACGCACAGGTGAGTGAGTAAGTACCAGCGCTGCCCCGTCGACGCGCATCAGAGATGGATCGCGACAGGAATGCAGACTCAGCAGCGAATGCGCTCCAACAGACCAAGCCCATGACGTTCATGGAGCGTGGTGCCACCAATGTCTCACCAAAGACTGCAACCACGCACTGTCAACGAACGCAGCCGCTGCCTCTGCCTCTGACAGCGCCATGAAATTGAAATTGAAAGTACGCGGTATTTACAAGCTCTCTATCGCCCGAGCGCGCGCGCATATGCAGCATCACCCGCGAACTAGACTAATCTAGCGGATGGAGCTTGTGCACGTTCACACCGGGGTGGTTCGTGCAGTGGCCTCAGTCTGTCGGGCCTTCGTTAGTGTGCGGTGTGCAGTGGGACGTGTTTGGTCGGTGTTGTTATTGTTGTTGGTGCCTTGCAGGCCTTGTGTCCGGGGGTCGGCGCGGTGGTCTGCGTCGTCGCGTTCGTGTAGCAATTCGTTGGGCGTGTGGTGCGGCGGTGCTGCCGAGAAGGGCTTGTGTCCGCTGCCCAAGCTATGTGTCTATGTTAAGGGTCAGCGCCATGAAGCGGTTTGGCCAGTGACGTCAGCCACCCCTGTCGCTTGTGTTTTCAATGCGTCGCTCCCCAAGCCGCTTCGTATTGTGGAATGTGACGACTGCCTTCGTGAACGGTCAGTGTTTGCTCGGACAAGAGTTAGGTTGCTGGCGTCCCAGCTTCATTGGCGGACGGCATCCACAACTTTGGAATGCGTGGCATGATGGACGTATTGCTCTCGACAGCATGAACGAACGGAAAGAATATTCCCTGAATGTAGACGGATGACCTCGATCGTGAAGTGCACTTGTAGGAAATTTGTATGTCATGAGATCAAATGGCAGTGGCCTACAGATTGAAGACTATCGGCACTGCTATATTGTTCATTGCGCTTTCAAGGTTCATAGTCTCATGTAGCAACATATCAACGGATAAACGTTGGTCGCGTAAGAAACGGTCCACGGTGGCGTCAATTTTGGCAGTGGCCCACACCAAGGACGCGTTGTCAGACGCGGACGGGGCGCTCATGTCCCCGCAGTGGGATCGTGCCAATGATGTCGACAACTTTGGACTTGGAGTTCACCAAGATAGTGGCGTCGCTGGGGGAGAGTGCTTACTGCTAGCCTTCGACGTTGTAGCAGGGAACACGACGTTTTCCAGATACGTCGAAAGCGTGCCGTAATTTTTTTCGCGGTTGGTGGCAATGCACGACTCGGTTTGCGCGGTCGAGATGTTGTACGCTTGCTTGGATACTTCTGTGAACGCTTTGTCCACGTCGAGTAGGAAAGCGCCGAAACGATGCCCTTGGTGGACGCAGAGTTTTGGCCAAACCCAAACTCCGTGCACGTCTGGTACGTCCACAGGCGGTTGAGGCATCGTGATCGAAACCACCGTGCTGCTGGTCACATTGGGGTCGATAAAGTTGGCTTGGTAGTTGCACTCACTGTCGCCCATTTGAGACTCGTGCAGAACGCGACAGCCTTTTCCAACGGGGACTTGCCCTCCGCCTTGAAATCAGCGCACGCTGCCATGAGCCCGTACGACGAGTAGTCGTTGGCTTGGGCGAGCCCTTCGAAGGGGTAGTACAAGTCAGCTTCCAACACGGCGCGACTCGAATCTTTGAGGATGGGGCTGCACGGCTTGAAGAGCGTGTCTAGCTGGGCGATGTCGTCGGGCTTGGTGCTGGACAAGAGGCTGTGCACCGCCTTGAGCGAATCGAGTCGTTCACAGCATTGATGCACTCGTTGCCATCGACAAAGTTGAGCCCAAACTCGACCTAGTTGGTGTATTGATAGTAGTTGGACTGGGTGTCGATGGGGCAGGAATTGACCACCGCCCCAGCGAACCGGGTGCCGTGCTTGAGCTTGGCCTATCCGGCCAACTTGCTGGGGTAACTTCCCCCAAAGGTGACTCACTTGCTGGAGCTATAGTCAAGTTGTGCTAGGTGATCAAGTGGTTCAGGAAGTTGGTCAGATCGTTCAACACTTGCTCGGCGCACAAAAACTTAAGACTTTCCGTCGAGAAATCAGGCAACGGTTGCAATTTGCCGTAGAAACGATGCTCCATGCTCACAATCAAAGCCTTGTTCTTCTTGGCCCAGTCTGCGTTTTCGCCAAGTGGTTTCGGCTTTCTGTCCCCCAGCATAATTGGAACAGTCTGTAACGTTAGGATGCAAACATGTGATTGGGTTGATATTGTGTTTGGAAGTGCCATCCGGCCACGAAATCTATTGCCACTCAGTCTTCAACAAGCGACAACATGGCGTTGTTCGCAGTAGTTGTAGCTGCAATTAGAGCACTACTCCGCCTGTATAGCCGTACTTATTAGCTGTGGCGTAGAGGTTAAAGCTGCGGTAGAATGGTGCTATTTGTCAGGGTCGTGGGTTACTCACTCCCTTGTTGTAGTGGAGGTCTGTGGGGAAATAGGCGGAGGGGATAGGGTCACGGTATGTTGTCGTTGGCAGGGCTTTGCTTTAAGCTAAAGCGAGGAAGGAACATCGCCCCTCGGTCTGTCCATTGAATGCTTGGCATCAATGGTATATTTAGTGAACTGTTTTGGCATCCTTGGAAGTGCCCTTTGTCTTATTTATGAGCCCAAGTATATGAAATTGAACCAATCATACATTTGCAGTAAGATTCCTTGAAACAGAAAATACAAGTTTGAATGCCTCGAAACTTGTTTGACCAATCACATCACGCAAGTGTCCGAAAGATCGTGAAATTTCTATGAAACGACACGCCCCACCGCCGCCGGCAGCCTCGTTGGAGGTTGAGCTGGAAACAAAGCCCATTTTGGCAATGGACTTTCAGATTGTGTGGTGGCTATACGACCAAAGCACGGTACATCACATGACTACTTGAAGCCACGGCCACACTAAAGCCATCGAACTTGGTCCACAGGTGTATCCAAATATCGCTGGCGTGATCCGCAGTCTCGTGTCGCGGTACCGCACTCAGGACATCTCCATCTTGCTCTGGTATATGATTGCCCCTTGTTGGTTGTGCATCATGTATCTACTTGATTGTATGCATGTGCAGGTTATTCTTCTTCTACTTGGTTACCGACCTCGGTATACCGTACTTCTACACTTGCGTGGGCAATCTTGTTGTGGCCGCAGCGCTTCAACACTCCATCAATGCCAAGCGTCCCATAGACTACGACGACAGTCTCTACATACACGCATGTACCGACCCCGACACGACAGGGTTTCCGTCCATCGACTCGCACATGGCCATCGTTGTCATCACGCCCGCACTCACGTCCAACTCGGTCTCGGCACTCACGTTTTCTGTACGCACAACATCCTCATTTGTAATGCATCGTCAGGGATGAGACCACTCGTGTCACCTTGTCTCACGTGCTCCTGTGACATGGTAATTGCTCTTTAGCTCATGGCCGTATCTGGTTTTGCCATCGCTTTCACACGGGTATTCGTGGGGGTGAGATTTCCTTCCCAAATTGTCGGCAGCTGGGGCACTGGTCTCGTAGGCCTCGTCGTGGCCAACTTTATCCACGTGAGCGTCCTCCATCACGCCGCCGCCGCCGTGCCCCCCTCCTTCCAGTACGTCAGCTACGATGAAGTACTTTATACGGAACAATGCCATCTACAATTAGTCGCATCGTTGTCGTGTGTTTCGTGGTCGGGGCGGTGTGTTGCGTGGCGTCGTGGGTCGAAGCCAGCGACAGCCGCAACTTCGGCATCCCCAGACATGAATTTACGCGGGTGTTGAAGGCCATCGTCGGTAGCGGGACTGATGACGTGGCAGTCGCTGCGTCCCTTTCAGAAGCTGTGGACCAAGAAAGTCGGAGCCGCGATTCGTTTTACTACCTCATGCAGTCGGTGCACAGTCGCAGGCGAAACGAGACTGCCGTTGCGCCGCCGCCCCAATCCCGAATGGTGCAGTTCCACAAGGCCGTCGGAAATGAAGCCACGATAGAAGACGAATAATCGATTGCCGTTAGGCCAAGCACCTGTGTTGCAAATACAGCTTGGCGCTGGGATGGCTTGAAGTCAGCTAACAGAAAATAAAGGGAGCTCAATTGCTCGGCTGATCACTGAGAGGTCACGTGTAAGCATGAATTACAAAGTCCACTGTATATAGGACCGGCTAGCAGCAGTAAGCGTACATTGTCGTGATGGCCCAGTTTTATCACGGTAGTAGTTTGCACTAAACATCCAAGCATCGCGACGGCAGTCTGCTATCCGACACCTTCCCTTGCGGAGCCATCGGCAGCCATCCATTCTTCAATATTTTCAGCCAACGCAAGCCACATGCACGCATGCATGCGTCCCCCCCATCCAGTCAACAATCCAAGTGTGTACATTTCAAACAAGTGTTTCTTAATTGGCAGCAACTCCGCAATACGCTCGCAACAACTCAGTCATTTCCGCGCGTTTGAGCGCCGACAGTCGGGGCATGAACGATCCTTTGCCCAGCCAGAGGTTGCACAGCAAGCGGTCTTGGAGCAGTGGCCATGTTTTCATGGCAGCGTCGCCTTGGATGGTCGGCGGCAGCAGCAACACCCCCACGGCCGGACCGAGGGGCAGCTCGGCTAGTGCTTTCGTTGACTCGTGGCCGTCGGCGTGGGCGAGGGCGGCAAAGGGCACGGCGTCGGGGCGGGCCACAAGCATTTGAAAGTCGTCGAGGGAGAAGTACAAGACGCGTTTGGTGAGAAACGGCCGAATCACAGCCAGCCCTTCACTCGTAGGGCGAAAGAATCCGTCGGACGTTTTCGAAAACACTTTGAGGCCCGTGTTGACAATCTAATCACAACATATACACATACCATCCATGCTCAGGATATGAAACACCAGCAATATACAACGACGACGATGAGGACCTGGAGCGCGTCGCCGCCAGCCATGCACGCGTTTACAATGTTGTCATGGACGTAGTTTATTTGCGCCGACGAGTCGGATCGACTCCACAGTGCCTGGCGGAATGCCACGCCGTGATCCTTGAACCCGTAAAAGCTCTCGAGTTTTGTCCACACATCGTCCGTGATCCGACGATAAGGCGACTCTTTGGCCGCAACAATGGTCGTACTGACGGTGGTATCCTCGTCGTGGACCTTGGCCTTCTTGGCCTTGCTAGGCTCGTCGTCCGGGTCGTACACGGTGTCAAACAACGGGCACAGCTTCATGTAATGGCCGGGCTTTTCGCACAGTTTGCACACATACCCCGTGGGGGGGTCGCCTGCTTGCACTTCGTCGAGGGGGGGCAGCCCCTCTTGCAGGTCGCCGTCTCCGGGGAGGTTCTTGGTCTTGCGCAGCACTGCGATGAAGAATCCGCCAGAGTCGCCGTCGGTTGGCACCAGGCGCATGCACCGGCGCAACGCATCGCGCATGGCGCTAGATGACGGCGGAAACATGCAGCGGAGGATGCGGTCGCCTTGGAGCTGGGCCGGGACGTCGTTGTAGTCGTCAAACCAGTGGTGCAGCTCATTGGTCTGGGGCACTCGCTTGATGACGTGTCCTTTCGCAGAGCTCTTGGATTTGGAACGCCAGCCCACCGACCACGCCGTGCGGCCAGGTCTTGCCACTAGTCCTGGAAGTTGTTCAGCCACGTCGACCACTTCCAACGCCCCATCGCTTCGTCGCAGCAACTCGGCCACAACCTACAGTGTTATATTCGATTAGGTATATCTAAAGCAAATCCATGATCAAAGGGGGAGGTTTTTTTAATTGTACCGCTTCGTCTTCGACAGGATTGAACGAGCACGTGGAATACACCATGATGCCGCCGACTTTGACGAGCGCGGCGCCGCGCAGCGCCAACGCCAACTGCGTCGGGAACAGCGTCAGCCCTTGGCCAATGTGCCACTCCTTCCACAGCGTCTGGCTCTTGCGGAGGGTGCCGTCGCCACTGCACGGAACGTCGCACAGCACGCGATCAAACACATTGGTAGTTTGCAGAGAAGTAGTCGGCGAGTTGGTCGAGTCCTGGGTCGTGTACAAGCCGGGAAACAACTGCCCGGGGCCACATGTGACAACGGCCGACTGCAGCGTATTGCGAGACAGACGATGTACGAGCATGTACGCGCGCTTCTTGTTCATGTCGTTGGCCACGACCATGCCGTCGGCAATGAGGTCCAGAATCTGCGTCGTCTTGGAGCCAGGGGACGCACACATGTCGAGGATGCGATGGCCAGACTGGACGTCCAGGAGTAGCACTGGCAGCATGCTCACGGCTTCCTGTCGGTCAATGTTGCCATAGTCGGTGTGTTCCAAAAGGCACTTGTGGAAATCTTGCACGGGGCCAGGTTGATGGGCTAGTATCGATACGTTTGGGTTAGATTCCATGTATGTTTACCGTAAAGTGTACACATTGCATCATAAACCAAAGGTCAAAGTGACGTTGGAAATGAGGTGGATATGTATGTGTTTACCAGCTTTGGAGAACGCGACGCGGCCACACGCAACTTGCCACGCCGTGTTGGCTTGCGGGTACCACGAGATGGGTCTACCACCGTGTGGTTACAAGACTGATAGCAAGGGGAACTGTACAAGAAACGTACTGGGGAGGTGTGATCGCCACGTTGTTGTGGAAGTACGTGCGGAGTGGAAACTGAAGCTTGGACGAAAACAGCGCCTTCAGCCTACAAGTCGACATGATCAACGCAAAAACGACAAGCGATGACCAGGATGATGCATCCTACCGCTCGGATTCGAGGCCATCGAGGTTCAAACGAAAGCACACGGGCAGAGGCTGCTCCAGGAGGTGCATGAGCGAATCCATTTCGTTCTCGGCTGCCACATGCGATCGCGTCTACAAGGCCACATGGACGATGATGATTATCGTCGTTTTCAAGCGTGTCTCTAAGCTCCACCTACGAGGTATTCACGGAACGCTAGCTTGAATTCCACCAGCGTATCCTCCTTGGACGGTCTCGTCCGCGCCGTTGCCGTCGTCGCCATTTTCGTGTTGTATCCAAACCAACCAATGAAACAACAATGACGTTTCATTGGTCCTATATGCACCAATCAAATCCAGGCATTTTCTCAACCTACCGACGTGACCTACTAAGCTTAAGCTTACTGTACAGACAACATATTGATGGACATGATCCTCGTCTATAAATGTGACTCTCCATGCACAACCAAGCTACTGTACGGCAGCACGAACTACTTCTACTATGTAGTGGGCTGTTAGGCAGGCCGAATACTCCCTTTTATTCACACTCGGAAATATCCAGCTGTCGACTACTGTATGTAGCTAGCTAGCTACCTAGCTACCAGTAGTTTACGACTGCAGCCCTCGCCCTTCAATACTCATCTTGACGGCTCGCTTGGCACGTTTCGTGGGTCGCGCAATCACTTGCATACGCTTGAGAAGGCGGGCCTTCTTGGACTCGGGGTCCATCTTTGTCGACGGCATCTGGCTCGCGTCTACCTTTGGCTGCGGGCGCATGGTAAAATCGATGCGGATCTGCTCTGGGAGGCGCACGCGGTCCGATCCGTTGGTCGCGTCGGCGTTGGTTGCGCTCTTGTTGAGGAAGCCTCGGTTGCGCACCGATTCGACGCCCCGCGCCGGCTGCCTATGACACCCCTCCGTCGAGTCAAAGTCTCTGTTTCTTTACATGGTCATACCGTCGGTCCGATCGCATGGCGTTGCCGTTGGCTTCGCGCTTCTCGGCTTCGAGTTCGCCGAGTTTGGAAAAGTCCAACGTCTTCGAGAACACGTTGCGGCTCCATCGATCAATGAGCTGGCGACACACTTCCTTGTTATCGGCACTCTCGTCCGGGTGCTTCCATAAGATCATAATCACTTTGCCAAACCCACTGCGCTTCAAGTGCTCCTTGTCGACTACATCGTCAGTGGGTTTGAGTTGCATTCACCACACACTGGAATGCAATCAACAACCACAGACGACACACCACCATCCCGGCCATCATATATATATATACATATATATATATTGTCCAGTCGATTCGAAACAATATTAGAGTGGGGTGGTTGGGGCTCAATCGAATTATGAGGAGAATAAAACCAAAACACAGGCAGACAATCGATATATGGTCGACCAATCCAAACCCACCAACACAAATCAAGTAGCCAATCAAATCATCCACGCCCTTGGACCAAATCAACATGGAATTCGTGTGTGAATACTGAAATTAGTGTGACACTGGACCATCTTTGCATGCAAAGAATCGATCGATCGAGTTAGCGAATCCGCCAGCACCCAAATCCAAACTTGGGGTAAACAAATAATAGGGATAATATCAAATCCAGGAGCCTAGCATACGACCACCAACAATAGAACTCTCTAGACATTTCGATCCGGAGGATGGGATGGATGGATGGACGTACTCGGCAACCGCTGGACTATATCCAAGACTTTGGTGCGTAGGCCAAGGTTGGGCAGCTCGCCCGACTCCTTGGGATGGATCCACTTTTTGATAATCTAGTCCATTACCCAGTTAGTTATTGCATGTTTAGGTCTACCGTATAGTGTATATATATTGCGACGGGTTAATGTATTGCGACTCCTGTAATAACTGATAGTTTTCCCTTGTAATAACTGATATTTACGTGGGAATATGTTGAATATATACTTCAAATTTGTACGACGCAATGGATTCACAACGTTTTGAGAACGAGTGTCGGCTGGTTGTGAAATATATCACCTGTCGCAATACATATACACTATACGGTATACCTTTGACGCGATGGTATACAGAGCAGTCAGTGCCCACACATAGTCATAGATTGTGAATTCGCTATTGTCAATTCGATTCGAATTTGGGGAGGGGATGCAATCGAATCGCGCCGACCAAACCGATCCACAATCGATCTGATTGGTTGAATTTCATTGAGAAATGGGTTTTGATTGGTTAATAATTTTGAGCTCATCTGAGGTAGCCAATCAAATCGATTTAAATTCCAACGAGAAACCACACCACAATACGAAAATTCACTCGAAAGCACAATATAAACTTTCAAATTATTATCGTTTCGTGGTTTGTCGAATCAAAATATTGCATCATTCACTGGGAGAGTTCTGATTGGTTGAATATACTTGTAAGAGCCAATCAAATCATCTACTCAAAATTGGATGAGCCAATAGTAGCGTCGATACGTGATTCGATTCGGCGGCGAGATCATTCGAATAGCGTACACCATACATGCAAGACATTACGTTGGCGTTTTGTGATTCTTTGAAGCAAGCCCCACACACAAACCAACACACGAATGGGCAGTAGCAGCAGCCAATCAACATGGAATTGGTGTATGACTGCAATTAGTGTGAGACGAATACCATTCCTATCAGTCAGGATAACAGATGATCGATCCATGGATTCCGAAGCCCAATATTTGGCGGACGACAGTGAACATGATACCTCGAGCAAGTTGAAGTCCAACATGGGCAGCTGCAGCTGAACTTTTCGCAACAACGTCGACAGCTTGTCAACGAGTTTCAACTACACAAGAAGATAAGGCCACGCACAATGTGCGACAGAATGGGTGGGCAGTAGATGGCTTCGTCCACAGGGAAAATATAAGGCCAAGGATGTGCGACAGAGTGGATTGGTTGGTAGATATACATGGCTGTGTATGTACCTTTTCAAATGCAGGCACCTTGCGCTCCATCGACACTTGGTCGTCGTTGTACGCCTTGTCCATCTTGTACAGCACTTCCTGCTCATTTTCGTTTATATGTATATTCGTACCATACAAAATATATACTGTGGACGAGTGTATATATTATTATATATATACCTGAACGAGCGACTCGATTTCTTGCTGCGACAACTTCATCTTGCCGCGGCCGCGCCCGGGCTTCATGGACTTGAGCGTGTCCTCAAAGTAATCTTCCTCGTGTCCGCCGCCGCGGCTATAGCGTCCGCCTTCTTCGTCCTCTTCGTCCGGCCGTTCGTCATGGAAGTGCTAGCGGCGATGGGATGAATACATACACGGAGGATGCGATGATGTATGGCAAAACAAACCTGGTTGTCCTGGTTGTACTCGCCTAAGACACCATCCAGGTCGTCCTCTTCGTCGATGAACGCTTCGTCATCCTTCGAACGCACCACTTCGTCGCCGGAATCGTACTCATCACCTGGAAATAACACCATGGAATTGATGGATCGCTCGCTCTCATGTAGCAGGAGCGACGTACCCTCGCCACGAGGAGGAGGTTTATGACTAGCATCGTCGTCGTCGTCGTCCACAGCTCGTTGCGGCTTGCGCTGGGCAGGCTTGGGAGGTTTGGATGCCTCGCTCTTCTTGGGTGCTGCGGTTGTTGTCTTTTTGAGCTTCTTGGGTTGCTCCTCTGCATCGGATTCCGAGTCCGACCCAAACAGCCCCGAGTTTGATTCGTTTACGGGACCAGGCTTAACGGAAGAGCCTGCCTCCAACGACATCAGCCCCATCGACGTTGGTGATGTGGTTGGTAGGCCGACGTACCTTTGAACGTCTCTTCGTCCGATTCCGAGTCGGATCCAAACATATCTTCAACCTTCTGCTGTTCATCTATGTCATAACGACTTGGTTCATGGCTGTACGTCCATGGCCACCGCTGCCGCTTTACCGTACCTGTCGCCATCTGCTCCTTGGGGCCAGCGCTATTTTTGCGAGTGTGGAATTTGAATAAACAAGAATTGATCTTGTTGTTTGTATACAGAGCTTTCGAGCGTTTTTAGTCAAAAACAGTTGGAGAAAAGCTGAATTTAACTCCAATTTGGGGTGAAAAAATACTAAATTCGTGCAAACTCACGGCAACCCAAGGACGTACACCTTTGGCCTTACATGAGGTATTTTGCCGAGAAACTTGACACAGTAACTACTTTGCATGCACACCTTCCATTAGGACAGCGATACAGCGATATCCTCTAGAAGAGATCCACAACTGCACTGTTTAGCCATGAATTGCAGGCATTTTGTAGAAGAGCGTTACACTTGTAACTGTCAGTTACCGGATGGCCGACGGCGGCGGCGGGAACAACCCAGCCAGGCCTTCGCCGACGTTCCCGACCAAACTGCAGCAGCTCGATCCTCTCGAGTCCAAAAAGGTCCGGGACAAGCGGAGAAAGCGAGAGCAAGCTGCGCGTCGAAAGGCTGCGGAAAAGGAGCTGCTCCACGCGACGCTGCGGCGGCAGCTGGCGGCTGACGCGTCCAAGGCATGGCATCGCGACACAACCAACGACGAAGGTGCCTCCTCGTTGCCACATCATGATCATCCTCATTCCATCTGTGGATAGAGCTCCAGATCAAGCGCTTTGAGCTGGACTGCGTGAGTCCGTTTGACGAGCACCCAGCGAGTGCTGGCTACGACTTTCGACCCCAACCGTTTCGTTCGCTCACGCCCGCGTCCGTAGCATGCTTCAATCCTGTTTTCTTTGGGTACGCCTTGGCCAAGACGTCGTCCACTGCGCTGCCGCCGCGCCCCCAGGGCGCGGCCAAGCAGGACATCCCCCACCCCGCCTTCCTCGGATACATTCCGTGCCACCACCACGACGCCACGACCATTTCGCCCGTGTTTCTCGGCATGGAGTTTCGAAAACGCCACGTCCAATCGGACAACGACATGGAGCTTTGCGAGGACGTGAACAGCTCGACGCCCCGAACGCGGCAACTGGCCACCGCCGCCGACTTGAAGCGCATCATGGATGCGCGCTTTGACACCACCGAGTGTTTGGTGTGTGATTCGTCGCAACTAGAGGGATGCCCAGGGTGTTGGGAGCCCCCGTCCGACTTTTATGCTCAGCCAAATCAAACAGCGGACCAGCTCGAAATGTCCCCAGAACGTGCCACGTCATCGCCGCCAGACCCGAATCAACAACAGACTGGCAGCAGCACATTGATGCAATGGGCACGACAACCACCCCACCAAGAGAGTACGGTCGTATTGTCATCCGAGGCCTTGTGGAGGCAAAACCTTCTCGTGGATAAGTATGCCATTCGTAAACACCGAGACAAGTACGCGTTGTTCACGCTAACAACGTCATCCAGTTGACTTGATCGAGTAGGAAACAATACTTTGTGGACGTGGTGGTGAAATGCGTACCTGCTGGCAACGTAAGTCGCTCTAATCCTTGAGATTTTGACCTTGTCATGTTGTGGAATGGTTTGCTTTGGAATAGGTTGTGACACTGTGCGTCGACCCAACTGGCACCGTCAAGTATTTGTACGACTTGTACCGGTTCAATTGCGGGACGACCATCGAGGGCGCCGGCGGCCGAAAGGTCTACCTCGTCCTCCCGACCAGGTTGGGAGGTGTATTCATGGTGAATTCGCTATAAACTTTGCATAATTCGCAAAAATGTGGTTTTCTAATCGACATTGAATCACGCTGGAACTTCTGTTTGACTGAATATACTAAGGGTCGTCTGGAATTTTGTACCGAATCCACAATATACAAATATATTTATATATTCCATACATGTCTGCCTTCACATGACAAGAAGTCACCGCCTTTAGCTGCGGGTTCTTTTGGATGGATGAGCTCGTGCTGGCCGCGTCGGAGCGCACGCTGGCCATCACGAGGGGAAACTTGACGTTGATGGACTTCAAGTTGACGCCGAGATCAGGTTCATCGAGTAAAGCCATGTACATGCTGTTAGCCACATCCACAATGCACGACGAGAAGACGCCGGCGATGTTGGCCCAATACCTCAAGCAAAATTTTGCCGTGGCTCCGCTGGGCCATTTGACCCTCCGGTAGGTCGAGTGAGTATGTTTGTGTTGTTTTGGTGGTTGGTTTCTAAATGGGTATGCTGTTCGTCGTTTCATGCTTTGGACGTGATGGGCAGACGCCATGCCAACGAAGTGCCCGAGCCAGTCGTAGACGATCCGTTGCAGCAAAGCATGCATCGCAAGGCGCCCGTGCTCGTCGAGTCGGCGCTCTTGAACTTCCGCATGAGTCGAGAGTACGACCTGATAGCAACACGCAAAGCCATCAAAGCGTCTCGTGACGAAAAGGTATTTCAAATCCACGCATGTCCTAGACCGAAATGAAACATCCAATCGAACGGAGTCCTCCTCCTGTTAGCCCGACCACGACGACGGCGACGACGTACACCACCCAAACTTCCGTCGTTTATGTGTAGATGCTGGCATTGGTGGAGCGCAGTCGGCACCTGACGAACCAACCGCGGCCGCGAAAAGTGGTCCGGGCATACGCGTACTTTCGGTTTGCATTGGCCGAGCCCAAGCCGCTGCCCCGACTCGCCAAGCTGTGGCAATGTTTTCAAAAGTTTGACGAATTGAAGATCACCAAACGTGGCAAGTTGCTCGACGTACGGACTTTCTACGTTCACCACCACACTGCATGACCAATGAACGACTCTAGGCAGCGTATTCAGACGACACGGCGTCGTTGCTATCGCAGCACCGGTCCGCGGCCGTCGACACATTTGACATCCTTGTGGACAAAGCCAACCACGCCATGATGCATCCCGTGGTTGCCGTGTCCAATAAATATGGGATTCCTCTGGGCACACGGTAACACTGTGCAATCTCAATCTATGACGATACGAAATGCAAAACGACTTCACCAGATGGGATACCCAAGTAGATTGAAAGAACTGATGCAAATCGAGAAGTCGATTGTATTACTATCTAGGCGTACATGTTGTTGTAATGTGCAACATCCTTCTTGCATGTTATGATGCTCACATGTTTGGTCGTAGGTATGGCGTCACAGCCAAAGAAGACCGAGAGTACGCCGTCGAGCTGGACATTGTCTTGCCTGAAGAGATCCATGTTAAGTTGGACGTAGCATCGCCCGAGGATGGCGGCGGCGCCGGTGGTGGATCACACACTCCCCGTCGACGTCGTTTTCATGATATGTTGGCAGCGCAAGCCGCGGCTGCCGTGTGGAAGGACATGGAGTGGCGAAAGGAGGCGCGCAGCGAAAAGTTCTACGGCGGCGCAGACCTCGTCGTGGCACCATATTATTTAGTACGCTGGGACTGCTTTGCCCAAGCGTATTCCATAGCTCGCAGTCATTTGGAACGGGCTAAGGACCACCTGGACGCGTACAATCGATTGGCCAAACCGGTGCAAACGGAGGCTGTACTGAAACCTCGCGAGATTGAGCGGTGGACCGCCGACGTCGACGCCTTGATGCGCGAGCTGCCTGCGACGGGCGCATTAACGCAGGCGTGTCGGCGGCTCCAATCCAAGGCTGGGCTGCTCCCTGCCCGCGCCAGTCGGTATTTGAAGGCCCTGAAGAAGTCCAGAGAAGATGCAGCCAAAGCACTCGAGCAAGACGAGGCGCTGCCACCTATGACTAGCACCGAGAAACTCAAATTGGACTTCAAACTGCGCGAAGGGATCTTGAGCAACAACTTTCGGCAGCTGGCGCCAGACATGGACGTGGTGAAGGAGCGCATGGCGTCGGTGATGCGAAAAGGCGTGGGCAAGACCAAGTACTTGGCCCAACAGGTCAAGGATAACATTGACATTTTGAAGCTGTAATAACTTAACGAGATTCAAAGGATCGAGTGTACACTACACGTGTAGGACACATCAGCTGTACTAGTATGTAGGGTCTTCTAAGCTTTCGATGTTTAGTACTAGTATTGAACATCGTCGTCGGCCAAGATACTTGTACTGCATATCACCTTGCCTCGCAGAACGTGGGCGGACCAATCCGCGTCGGCGACGGTTGGTTTCTCCCATTTCATTGGCTAAGAAGTACCCGTTGGATTGCCAAGTACTCCTAAAAATAGCTTTTCCACAGTGAGTGCCGCGCACATCGCGACTGTGGACTCATTTTTGGACGACGTTGGCTAGGGAATGAACATCAAGGCATCGTCGTCGCTGCAGTACTTGCATGCGCCGTCGTCACCCCATATCGTGACGAACAACGTCGGCAGTCCACATGGCGGCACCTCCAATTGCTTCCACACTGGCATGCCCGGCACCCCAACGCGGAAATCGACCATCTCCAATATGACCACGTCGCTCATGACACTGCAGTTGAAAAAACTCGTGTCCAAGAAGAAGCGGCGCTTCATTGACGACGGATTTGACTTGGACATGACATGTACGAGGACGTCGTCGTTCCCTATACATGTTTTACCTCATCCCACACAAACCGCCGTAGACGTGACGCCACGGTTGATTGCGTTTGGCTACCCCGCCGAAAACCTCGAAGGCATGTACCGCAATCACTACAAAGTACGTACACATATCGGTTCCTGCTCTAGATCGTAGTAGTCTTGATCACGGGTCGTTAGGACGTGTACAGCTGCTTTGAACATCGACACAAAGACCACTACAAAGTGTACAACTTGTACGTTGTGACTTGTGGAGGGTATGATAGTGTTCATTGACGCCCCCTTTATTGTAGATGCTCGGAGAGGCATTACGACAAGGACAAGTTCCACAATCGAGTGGCCGAGTACCCGTTCGACGACCACAACCCGCCGCCGTTGTCCCTGCTCATTCCCGCCTGCCAAGACATTGTAACCCACCTCTTGACAAATAATGCTATTCGAGCTATCAGTGATAACGTCATTGTAGTTTGAATGGCTGGCCCAACACCCCGACAACGTCGCCGCCATTCATTGCAAAGCAGGCAAAGTACGTCAACACTTTTGTTTGCATAACTATACATGCATCTTAATCAACAATCTCGGCTGTAGGGCCGGACTGGAGTGATGATTTGCGCATTCTTGCTCTACAGCTCGGAATGGGTCACTGCTCAAGGTGCAATGAACTTTTACGGAAACGCTCGCTCCCTCAACCAGCAGGTACGTCTTCGTCGTCGCGGTTCGTTGTATAAGTAGAAGAAGCTAATGGGGTAGTGTAGGGAGTAACAATCCCCAGCCAACGCCGGTTCATAGAGTACTTTGCAACCATGTGCCACAGCGACCAATTCGACACAGCCGCCCAACACGAACTGCGCATGACCAGCGCTGACTTTCAAGACCTGTGGGACAAGCAGTGGCAGCAAAACCCAGACTCGCCCACGTTGTCACCGTCGTCGTCGCTCTCGTCATCGTCGCTCAACGCTATTGTGGACGGTGATGCCATGGCGGCGGCAGTCGAGGCCGAGCTGCAGCAACTGCAACCCCTCGCGGCGCTGCCGAAAGTGTTTGCTCGTTTGAGTTTGCCGAAACTGAACAATGTTGTCTTGACGGCGGTGACGATCACGGGGATGTACCCCAAGCTTCGAAAAATGGGTACGTTTTCGTGGCAACGTCGTTTGTTGTGCGATGAGCTGACTTGAGTGGCACCACCAGACAACCTGCGCGTGGAAGTGCAAGTGGGCTTTGATCGGTCGTTGGTGTACGACATCTCGGCCGTGGGTACGTCCCGCGTAGAGGTCGACGAGGCGGCGTCGGCGGCGATAGACGGCCCCACCGAGACGTTGCATGTACGAAGAAGAAGCAACGCTAGACAGTAAGAGATTGACGTGCATATTCGGTTGCTTGTAGGTCCATTGCCCTGAGAAACAAGTGCTCTTGTTTGGAGAAGTCCTCGTGACGCTCAAGGTCAAGCAGAAGGAAGTCGGACACTTATGGTTTCACACGTCGTTTCTTGATTCACACACCAAGCATCTCGTAATCAAGAAGGCCGACATCGATAAGCTGCTCAAGGATGCCAAGAAGGGCCACAAGCTGTTTGCGTCGTCCATGCAGGTTGTCCTCGCCTTCAAGTAACGTTAGTAGAAGAAGCCTCTTGCATCGGTAGAGATGCCACCGCACCTAGTTCCTCCTACGGAGGCTGCGCCACGTCATGAGAGAACATGATAAAACATGGGACATGCGTGTGAGTGATGGATGGGTGATACTCCAATTAACTAGTTGCATTTGATTGGCTGAAAACCAAACGTAGGGGGTGTGTCACGACATAACTCACGCTTGTGATTGGATAAAACGTTCGAGACGTAGTTTGAAGCAGGGGAGCAACCTGAAACTTCTTGCGAAGAATACCAACCAATCCAGCGACTTCGAACTCCTTCGTTGCTCCTACCTCAATCTCCGCGGCCATGCATGCCACACGGAACGCCTTTGTCAAAGGATATGATGTCGTTCCCCGTAGCCTGTCTGCGCTATCGTATCTTGGTTTCGATGAGTATATTATTCCCTGGAATGCTTGGTTGGCAGAGAGAGATCGTGGTTGCTGCATGCTGTAGCTCACGGAATAATAGATCTGTATTGGATCTCTATGTAAAGACTGATAGAAAAAGCATCAAACTAGTGGTTTGCATACAGCCCAGAGCATGTGTATCATCAAGAATCATGGGAAGGGGCCATCCAAATTCAGCAGGTTGATGGATACGACGAAACTTCAACGTTGTTGTGATAGTAATATAATTCGATTCAACTTATTTTATCAAGCGTTTTGTACACTCGCACATGAAATCCAAATATTTCACGCATGCATCCGGACATGATCTCAGTATCCGTATGTTGGTCTAAAAATGGCTTCAACGCCAAGCTCATTGAACCAAAGGTCTTTCCACCGGGGTCAGTTTTGAATTTGCCCGTCCGACGAACATGCTTCGCGCATCCGCATCCGTAGCGCTGCGCCGCTCCCGTGTCCCTGCCGCCCGCTACATGAGTGCGGCCACGACGGTGTCTACAACGACGCCCTTGACGACCGAGAATGCTGCTGTGGTTCCGTCAACGCTGTCGTTCACGCAGACCGAGCGCATCTTCGCCGCGAAGTCCACGGCAGAACTCGTCCGTGCATATGCGGTGTTTCAAACGTGCCAGATCCCTTTCCTTGTGCGCCACAGTCAAGCGATGATCAACGTGTCGTACAAGGTCGTGGGCAGCACGATCACGGACTGGGCGTTGAAGCACACGTTTTTCGGTCACTTTTGCGCTGGTGAAAACGCGGAAGACATTCAACCTGCTTTGAAACGTTTGGAGTCGGCGGGTATCGGTGCCATTCTCGACTATGCCGCAGAAGCCGACGTGGAAGCGGAGAAAAAGACCCCGTTGGACGGTGTCAGCTCCAACGAACTGCAAGCTCGTACATACGACTATGAAGACGAAGCCATGTGCGACGCCAACATGAGAATCGCTTTGCAAGCCATCCAAGATGCCCCCGCCAATGGTAAATGCCCCCATCGTCCTCGAGTGCATTTCGATGGTATTTCACTCTCGTGTGTTGTAGGGTTTACCGCTATCAAGTGCACTGCCATGGGAAAGCCCGAGCTCCTCCAGCGCATGTCCAGCATTCTCGTGGAAACTCAATTGCTCTTCCATTCGCTTGACGGTCCCGTGAGCCGCGCCAAGGAAAGCTACGTCGACCGATTGGTAGACTACCCGACGTTCAAGACCGGTATCCAAAGCGCTGGCGCGTCGTTTACCGAAGAAGAATTGGACTCGCTCTTCCGGTACATACATAGATACCCCAGCTTATGCCATTATTGTTCCTTGTACTGATTCGTGTGCGTAGAGCGCTTGATGTAGAACAAGACGGTGTGATCGACTACATTGACTGGGTGAGCTACTTGAACACGATGGACTTGACCATGGGCCCGTTGACGCGCTTTCTCAAAGTCGACCCGCTCACGCCCGAAGAAATCCAGCAAGTGAGCCAAATGATGTCTCGCTTGGAAACGTTGGCGGCGGCCGCCGATGCCGCCAAGGTCAAGCTCATGATCGACGCGGAACAAACGTACATGCAAGTGGCGATTGATCACGTCGTGCTGAACCTGCAGCGCCGATACAACACGGACGGCCGCGATACGATTTACAACACGTTCCAGTGCTACTTGAAGGACTCGACGGACCGCGTGCTCATCGACTTGGAGCGGGCCGAGCGCGAAAAGTTCCAATTCGCATGCAAGCTCGTGCGCGGCGCGTACATGATTCAAGAGCGCAAGCGCGCGCTCGACTTGGAGTACGCCGACCCGATTCACCCGAGTTTGGAAGCCACGCACGCCAACTACAACTCGCTCGTGGAGTTGCTGCTGGTGCACAACCACCGCGCGAGTTTTATGGTGGCCAGCCACAACGAAGACAGCGTCAAAAAGACCGTGGCCAACATGGACGCGCTCAAGATCCCGCGCCATGGCGGCGGCGTCTACTTTGGCCAGCTCCTCGGCATGTGCGACCACGTGTCGTACACGCTGGGCGCGGAAAAGTACCAAGTGTTCAAGTACGTGCCGTATGGCCCTGTGGACGAAGTGCTGCCGTATTTGATCCGCCGAGCCCAAGAAAACTCGGGCATGATGAAAGGCGGCGCTGCCAAGGAACTCGGCCTCCTCGCCACGGAACTCAAGCGCCGCGTGGGCTTTGCCTAACCAACCCACTACACCTCGCATTGTTTTAGATCAGCACATGATACACCCAACCCCCCCCCACCAAACACGACCGCTTTATTTATTGACGTGTGTGCCCCAACCCTCGACACGACAGCGCTTGGAACTGAATCGTGTGACAACGTTCGTGGGTCTGCGATACAGTATGTACAGGAGATACCGCCATGTCCGACTGACTTGCAGAGTAAGCTATAATAAAGAAATAATCACACCCACAACGAAAGCTTACGTTCGTTGACAGTACTGTTGCTTGCATCTAAGACATATCAACATATTGCTGCTGTTGTCTGACTTGAGTGCATACTGTAGTAATATCAAGTCACAGTTCAAGTTGTACATATTAATACATATTAATATAGTAGATATGTAACTACTCTTTACGCCCTGTTGGGGCAATGACAACCAACCTCCATGCCACCACACGACTGTGATGGCATTGCAATTGTGAAGGCTGCATATGTGGTACTACATCTTGTAACTACTTGGGATCCGACGCTTTTGGTGCCGCGTGATGGCCACTGAAACCAGCGTCCGCCATCGCGTTCATCCTGGTAAGCCTCATAAGCATTGCTTGTGTGGCCATATATGTAGCTTTACATGGCGGGCCTCGTACCTGTGCAGTTCGTGACATCTTGAGTGTGTATGTCCAAGTCATGTCTTCCATGTTGGCCTTCGAATTACTGTATGCTCCGATAATGTACTATCAGACGATTCCATATGCGTCGGCATTCCCTTGGCCAACTGATGTGCGCCATGACGCGCTTGGATATGCCCGCTACACCCCAATACGCTGCTTTGAACGTCCTCCTGCAAACGAGTGCAGATGGGCACCAGTTTATGAAAGTTTCTGACAACATGTATCAGTTGGCTCCCGACCATGCGTCGGTGGCTTTGTCAACGCCTGAAGATGACCTCTTCATCGATCGATCTATGTTCGGCCGTCGCCGCTGGTATGGAAGAGTTAGGCCCAGCCAACGACTTGGTTGTCGAGTTGAAAAGTGAGTGCGAGACTGTGGGACACGCACACGTAGGTAGAGCTCAGTTCAGGGTATAACGAGGAACGATGGCTACATCATTCCAGACCTCGCACAACCTCGCCCAACAACACACAAACCATACGCAATCATGCACCCTGGTCGCCATGATATCGCATGACACTGCCTCAACGTTCCTGCAATCATAGACAGAAGGATGGATGATATCGCCGCAAACGCCGATGCGATAGATTGTCCCGTCGAGATCTTTGTCCACCACCTTCGGCCGGTGCTGGCGTATGTTCATCAAGGGTTAGGTCATGGCAAGGAAGTCTTGTATCACACACGACAAGCGGCGAGCAGTCCAAAAGGGTAAATGATCATTTTTCCGATGATTTGATCGTGCCGGTAACAAATCGTGACATTTCGCACATGTGATATATTCCGATCTTTTGAAAGGTCACGACGTTCAGATTTGTGACATTTCACATGTGTGACATTTCGCATGTGTGACATTTCACATGTGTGATAAATCCCGACACTGTTTTGTGACATTTCAACGTTGTGTGATACCGTGTATATTCCGATACTTCGAACGGGCCCTACAGTAGCTCTGTGTCCTGCTGATACTCCTCACAGTACATATCTAACAATGGCCCCCGTCAAGGCCCTGCCGCCATGGATGACATTACATCTACGAAAGCGAGGTCGAATTCCGCGATACCAACACCACGCACATTTCGTGCATGCAACCTCCACTACACTCCGACCGCGGAAACTACTGGGAGGAGGTTTCCACCAAAGCGCGTTGGGCATGCGCTAGACACCCACCTGGATGTTTTGGGCGTAGGTGTCATATTCGTTGTCAATAAATACTGTAGGTAGTACCATGGCTGAGCTGATCGCGGGGAATATTAACTGATTATGGTTTTGAAGGTCATCCTTTACGTAAAGATTTTCCTTTAAGTGGTTATTTAGAAGTATATTATAATGAATTAAAAAAAAGAGTAGTTTATGAACCTATTCAATTATCTCAAAAATATAGATTATTTGAATTTAATACTCCTTGGAATAAAAAATAATAATTAAATTTTATATTAATTGTTATTAAGTAATTATTAATTTTAAGTGGTTAATTTTTAAAAATAAAAATGCGGTGGATTAAAAATTCATTATTATCTGTGGTAAATAATCATATACTTCGAAGTACTTCGAAGTAGTTGATTATCCTACACCTATTAATGTATATATCAAGTAGTAGCGAACCGATTTCGTGCACTCGAAGTACACTAGTACTTCCTGAATCGGCATACCGCAATTAAGCTTAGGGGAACTTGCCTCTTGCTGAGTCCAGTCCTGGGCCATAAGTTGAGTTCATTCGGGCTTGCTGAGTCCATTCCTAGGCCATGAGTTGGTTATCTTGTGCGAGTGAGTTGTTGATGTATATCCGTCCAATGCGACAGTTTCATGTTTGTCAGCCCCAGTGCAGCCTGCATTTTGTTCACAGTAACAACGCATCCACTGGCCAATGGTCAAGGTGCCTCTCACCTACTATGTAGTACTACTTATTACTACACACTAAACACGACTGCGAACGTGCTCATTGTACGTGTTAAAGCGACGGTGGCGTAGTGGCCAAGAGGTCGCCGCCGCCTTCAAGGCCCAAGTCACCGTCGAACGTAAACCCTTGGAACGTGTACGACATGTTTCGACACGAGTTGCCTCGTCCCACAACATTGCTGCTGGTGCTGCTGCTGCTGCTGCTTCGAACTCCGTTGGGTGCGGTGGTGGTCTTGGCATGTGGCTTCTGCACCAGACACCCTTGGCCTTCGTCTTCCATGGCCAGATGCACCGGCAGGTTGGTGAAATCGTCTTCAAAGTTGACAGCATCCAGCGGGTCGCTAAACTGGCACGGCCGAAACGGCGGCTCTACCTCCCGATCCAAGAGCAACTCCCACGGAATGCCCGTGAAGAACGGATGCGCGAGCACCTGCGCGGCGCGGAGACGCTGCGCGGGGTCTCGCTCCAGGAGTCCGGCGATCAAATCCATCGCTTCCACACTCATCCCTGGAGGAAACTCGAGGGGGGACGACCGGAGGCGGCGGTACAGCTCGTCGCGCTCGGTCGTATACCACGGCGGCCGCCCCGCGAGCAGTTCGTACAGCACCATGCCGAGGTTCCACCAGTCGACGGCGTTGCCGTGGCCTTTCTTGTTGAGGATCTCCGGGGGGAGGTACTCGGGGGTGCCGCACATGGTGTTGGTGCCTGTACAAATCATAGTAAATTCATTCGGTTTTTTAGGAGTGTATTATATCTAGACTCACCGTAAAAGTATATACTTTTACGGTGAGTCTGGATGTCAAAAGAAAGGCCAAAATCTTCGATTAAAAATGTATCATTTTGTCAAAATAAAAGAGAATAACGTTCCTGGTGTATTGTCGATTTGATACAAATTTGGGGCAATCGAATCGCGCCGACCAAACCGATCCACAATCGATCTGATTGGTTGTTGATACATTTCATTCAGAAGGTTTTGATTGGCTAATAATTTTGAGCTCATCTGAAGTAGCCAATCAAATCGATTTAAATTCCAACGAGAAACCACGCCACAATGAAATTTCAACTCGAAAGCACGATAATAATAATTGAACAATGTTCTCAAATGGACAGATGAGAGCAAGAAGGACTAAACACACATTCGAACTGGAACATGCAATGGGGGCGTTACGTGGAATAGGGCGTGCGTACCATCGAGTCGATTCGAAATGCCTTGCTTGGCCAAGCCAAAGTCGGCCAACTTGACGTGGCCGTCGACGTCCAACATGATGTTTTCAGGCTTCAAATCTCGATACACGATGCCATGTTCGTGCAAATGGACCAGGGCGAGTGAGATTTCCGCCGCATAAAATTTGGCCACGGGTTCGGGAAAACACCCGAATCGACTCAAGTGGAAGAACAAGTCCCCGCCTGGGCAATAGTCCAATATAAAAAACAGCTGCGTGTCCGATTGAAACGCATAGTGCTACACACGTAAAAAATCAACACCATCAATGGCTGTAAAACATAGATCTCATTATAATTATATATTTTATGGAAACAAACGATAACAGAAATAATACTTCTCATGGCTATCACAAGCAGTTTGTTGACCAATACAGTACAGAAGTAGATTCTATTTGCAGCAACAAAAACACACTACGAAAACTATTGTCGATTTGATAGTACAAATTTGGGGAGCGGGTACAATCGAATCGCGCCGACCCACAATCGATCTGATTGGTGGTTGAATTTCATTGAGAAGGTTTTGATTGGCTAATAATTTTGAGCTCATCTGAGGTAGCCAATCAAATCGATAATTTAAAAATTCCAACGAGAAACCACAACACGAAATTTCACTCGAAAGCACAATAGTAGATTATATATTTCAGCAAAGCGAGAGAAATAAACGTAAACATGCACACTGACAATAACCAAGTCAATCATTCACGTATCCATATACAGTACAGTATTATGACTATAACAATATCACATCACATACTCAAACCATCCTATAGTATATGTATGACCTCTATATATACACAAACCAACAACACATGACCAACCAACCAATCCACTTACTTCTACATGGCGAAACGGCACATTGCCGTTGTCAGGTACAAACTCGTTTGGCGTATTACACTCCAAATCTCATGGATATATGCGCATCATTCAAAGGAGAGTCAGACAAAACACAACAACCAGCCTGTGACTTAGCACTTTTAACAACCAACCAACCCACCACACAACGCCCTTCTTGTCAGCGACGTACCAGGCGTACAATAAACGGATGGTCGATCGATCCCAACACGTTGCGTTCAGTACGCGTGTGCTCCACCTGTTCCTTTTGCACCACCGACTGCTTGGACAGGATCTTCATTGCAAACAGTTGGTTTTGGCGCTTCTTGCGCACGAGCAAAACGCGGCCAAAGCTGCCTTGGCCGATGAATCGCAGCGGTTCAAAGTCGTCGGTCGATGGTTTGTTGTGGTCCCCTCTGGTAGTTGTGCCGTAGTACGGCTCCACTTGGCGGGTTTTCACGGGTCGCGTCGACAGGGTGGACCGGGAGGCGCCGCCGCTGCTCATGCTGTGGCTGTCTGCATACGAAGACGACTTGGACAAAAAGTTGAACCCCCCCATCGAGTCATCCACGCTTCGACCCGTGAGTCGTTTTTGGGGCTTCGTAGGTTCCGTCTGATGCAGAAACAACGTGGCGTGGCGGTTCTTGGTGGCCGCGCTTTTCGTCGTGGTAGTAGCACTGCTGCCCGACCTCGTCAACGACCGATTGTGATGATGCGACGGCTGGGGTGGGGTCATTTGCAACGCCGCAAACAACGATACCTTGGTTGTCTCGGGCTCGTTGTACGAAAAACCCTGCGTGCCTACATCCAACGTCGATACATATGTGTGACACGGTGTACTGTACCTGTTTCCAGGGCGGGGGGTTGGTTGGCCTCTTTAATCAGAAACATGCGCACGGCGGGTGTCATGGCAGGGCTACACGACGCCACCGACGGTGCCGGAATCGACAGCACCACCTGCAGCCACCCTTCCAAGTCCCCCTGACGTTTTCGAAGGAACGCCATTGCGAACGACCGGCGAATGCTCAATTGCCGCGACGGCAACGATGGAATGCGATAGCCCTAGGGGATAATTGAAAGCCACACTCAATATCACGCTACCGACGACACGACCGACCCCCTACCATGCTCTTCAATTGCCCCGCCAGCTGCTTGAAATCATGGTACCGACGATAGACAGTCCATCGTTTGTTATTGGCCGAGCACTACAAAGCCCCCAACGCAAGTTTATGGCTTGAAGAAGATGATGGTGGCGGTGGTGGTGATTGATCCATACCTCGACTTCGAGGCGGAAGACCACATACGGACGATTGGACGATGTCGACGGCTTGGGGGTGGGGCCGCCGACTTTGGCCCCGCTGGCCAAGGAGTACCCTGAAATGCGAACGAGCTGGCCTTGCTCTCCCGGCGGGATGTACACCGTGTCGGGAACTACGGTGGTCTGGACGGTCGAGTGCTGGAAGTTGAGCATCCATTGCTTTTCGTAAAAGTCGCGCTCTTCGTCAGGCTGCGCTGGCCGTTCGTCCTTTGGCACGATGGGCGTGGGAAACCGCCGCGGTGTCGACGCCACCATCCCCACGTCGGTTTCCGTCAAGAAGTCGCTGAGGGGCATGCTGCTACGGCTGCTGTTGAGCGCGGTACTGCTGCTGCGCTCGCTGATAAGCGCGGACCGCGTGCTGTCCGGCGCATAGAGGCTCCGATCGCTCGTGAATGACGCGCGGTAATATTCCTCGGCGGGGGAGTCCATGGACGCCAAGCTCAAGCCAGACATGTGCCGCGTCATGTCGCCCAAGATGCCGTTGGGGTCATGCAGTGGCGGTACGTCCCCTGTGCTGCGGTGGAAATCGTCCAAAACGCTGCAAGCATGGTCAGCATGTCCGAGTCAGACACGATATGTGTACACGACGTACATGGGTTTTGAGTACAAGATGTGGGATGTGAACGTGTTGGTGGTTGCATGCTTTCCCACCGGTGGCTCGCTCTGCACTGGCACACTCGTGGATGCTTTGCGCTTCGAGTGACTGTGACAAGAGTTCCATGAGCATCCTGTCTGTCCTTACGGTGACGTGTGTCCTTACCTGTGCATTGTCATGTGCGTCCAACGCGATGCCACCACCCTGTGTGGGTCGGTCAATTAGAAGCGGCAGGCGGGAAGTAACGAAGAGCAGGCGCGGGCTCCGTGTGAAACTTGGCAAAGGCCTTGCGATGCTAAGCAACGCTTTTCACAAAATCAATGCTATTTTAAATAGTATCATCAAGATAAGGGCTGCATTGTAAATCGAAAACGCAGGCCCTACACCCATCAAATTCTGAGCCTAGCCACTTATTCTAGGTACAAGTTCAAGGCAATTCGCGAAACGAACCCATAACTCTGAAAGGTCGCCGACACCCTTCGTGGACTCGTGCGATAAGGTTTGTGCCAATGTGTCGCTAGCACGACCAAAGTCCTAGAGACAACGAAGATGTGGTTGTTGTAGGTGTACAGTTTACGAGTATTGCATCGTGTCACATCGCTGTACACTGTACTTTACCAGAATTCTACACTGTACTGTACACTACTCGGCATAGAGTACCTGGTACAGTATGAGGACGGTACATTTGGAGAACTAGTACTACTGTACGTAGAAGTCATCTACGAGTACTTCGAAGTACAGTACTCTAATAATACTACGTAGTATGGTGCACGTCATCTATAAACTACCAACTTTTCACAAAATTTTCTGACTTCTATTTCATATTCATTACTCAAAATTTCAGCAAATTGAGACGTAGAATCGACAGATCTCAATGTAATGAAGAAATTCTACGTCTCAGATTCAAATTTGGTGTTGAATTGGTCCAGAAATAGATATTTAACCTAGCGGTATTTTACATGGGCGCTTGGATATTTGGCCATAGGGGTGGCCGCTGAGATGTATCTTGATTTTTGTATGTGACTCTTATCCGTATGTAATATCCGGAGGCAGTTGGGACCTTTAACCTCCCACTGCAGTGATAAAACGCATGAAATCGGTATTTAACGTATTTTGTTTTTGGGTTTAACTACATTAATTGTACGTTAAATAATAAAACCTCCACTCCTCGATTTGGCCAGTTGGAAGTTTTTAGATGACGTGCACCATAGTAATGGTTTTTTCACTAAAGAGTGCAGTACTGTACCTGTTTCGATAGGTACCGCTGTACGAAGAAGAGGATACAGTGTACTAGTACTTACTACTAGTACTGCATACTATTAATAGTAGTAAGTACTAGTACACTATTAATAGTAGTGTATACTATTAATAGTGTACATCGGACAACAGATAGGGGGGACACATCAAGTAGTAGTAAGTTACTACGTAGTGGTAGTGTTGTGGTGCATTGCAATCCGTATCTTGAACAGTAAAAGCAAAGCAGTTCGATAAATAGATGTTGTCCAAGGGCAGGCACTTCCTTTCGAATAACAACCCAGGGTAACGTTATACAATGCACGAATGATCACACATGTAACTACTACATTACGTCAAAGAGTCTATGAATTTGATTCTTTGCAAACCACGAGTACACATCGGGGCGATAGAAGGAGGCTCGAGGCCACGCGGCCGACGGGCACGACATTAGCGGTACTCGATGCGGTAGTTGACTGTTTGCTCAGCATTGAGAGCGGCTGGGGGGGCGACGCCGACGAAGTCTTTCGAGCCAAATGCGTTTCCCCCGTGAGTCCAAACACGATAAATTGTGCGCGAGAGTCGGCTAAGTAGCACTGGATCTGCTCGGCGACAGTGGTACCGGGGGAGTGGGGGACCACATCCACCGACCCAAGGACCTACAAGCGTTGTTAACAACCAGACACATGCCGTATATGAGACCTCGGCGTTGGCTAGCTTGGCAGTGTAGATCGGCGCACGGGTGGCAGCGAACTGGTCGGACGACTCCACGGCAAGGGGGTGCGGCGGAATTTGAATATGCAGGACATGCAGTCGGTCGAGAGGGTGGAGAAGTTTCAGGGCCGTGTCAAAACACTTGGACGCGATGGGGGAGTTGTCCATGGCTACGACAAATACCCGGGGCTTGGTGGGAGGGGGCGCGGGGTACGAGGAGGGGACCGGCGGCACGATGATGACTGGCACGGGACTGCCGCGAATGGCGCGCATGGTGTTGCTGCCTGCGTTCACACACACTTCCAACATGGACACGATCATTGAGTTGTTTATGTGTGTTTACCGAGCTGAGAGGGCTGGGGCCCCTTTGTCCCCACCGCGCCAACGACAATAAAATCTGCTCGACACGAATCTCGGAGCTCCAACAGTTGAGATGAAATTGTGCTTTGCGTCAGTCGCTGCGCTTGGGCACGGACGACAAACTTGCCGTCGGGCACGCCTTGTTGCCGGCACAACGCGGTAATGTCTAATCGAGGGGCATGTGAATCTGTTTATGGCTCGTCTTTGTGTCACCTTTGGTGATGAACTCTGGCGAGTACCGCGATTCGGTCGAGAATTCGTCGATGCAGCACACATGCACCATGCCTTGGCGCCGCAGCGACACCCCCACGTCGCACGCCACCCGTGCGACACCTACGTACTTGCTTGTGATTTCATACTCCCACATGATCAACCATGGGGAACGCACGGCTGCCATCCACGCAAATGCAGAACGACGTGGTGGGCAACGTGCGTTTCTGGTCCAGATGCTCTATGATTGCATAGTTATGATGATTGATGATGGGGCGATGTACCTTGAATCAGGCTCTTCTCGATGGCAGCAAGGGCCACACACACGTCTGTGACAACTTGCCCCGCTTCCAACGAGGCAGCAGCGGCGTCGAAATAATCGTGATGCAGCAACGCAAATAAACTGTCGTGGACATCAGCTGAAACCTTGGATGTGTCGAAGGCATGAAGAGATGCTAGGGTCTCTTCGCCAGCGTGCAGGAGGAGGTCGATCACTTGTAGCGATGTGAGTGAACTTCCACCTGGCGTGTCCTACGACGAGTATGAGAGACAGATCTACTGCTGATGACGCATGCACGAACAGCGTGAAGTAGGAGCGACACTGTATCCAGAATGAGTCGGAGGGCCTGTGACGGCTTCACAATCCGCGATAGGTCGCCGCGGCTGGCGACGCTTCCTCGCATAACGCAAGCGGTGAAACTGCCGTGGTCGCACGTTGTGATTGGTCAGTTGCAAAGTCGAGTGATTGTCGTAAACAATTCATTTATTCCAGATATAATTCTCGTGGAGGCGCTTGATTGGTGCATTTCAAAGCCGCCAGTCAGCAAACACTAGCATTTTCCTTTTTTGCAAAGTGCTAATAGATGAATATTTTCGAATTTAGTGATATATAAATGAATTCATTTATTGCCTATATCACAAAAACAATTCACACCCTTTACATCGCCTTGCACTCTGCAACCATCATGGTGGACCTGAAGATCGTGTCGCTAGTGTTGCTGGTGCTGCAAAACACCCTCTTGGGCATTGTGACCAAGTACTCCCGCGGGACCAAGTACAATGCCACGACGGCAGTCATGCTCATCGAGGCGCTCAAGTTTGTCTTGTGCATGCTCGCGGTCTCGGTGACAAAGGGAAGCGTCGGTGAATGCATCGCAAGCGTGCGTCGCGAGGTGTTTGGCGATCGCGAAGGCTTCAAGAAGATGATCTTCCTCGCGCTCTTATACGCCGGCCAGAACACCGTTGCGCTTCTCTCGTACGACTACGTCGACGTGGCCACGTACAACGTCGTGTACCAACTCAAGATCGTCACCACGGCCTTCTTCATGGTCCTCCTCCTCAAGCGATCCTTCAACCTCGTCCAGTGGATCGCCATGGTGGCTCTCATGATTGGTGTCGCCATCTGTTCCACGGCTCGCCCGACATCCGCTTCCGCCGCGGACAAATCCAACAGCAGCAGCTTCGTCGGCATCGCCATGGTCCTTGGCCTCGCGTTGAACTCTGGGATCGCAGCCGCCTACCTCGAGCTCGTGCTCAAGACCCACAAGCCCCACCAGACATTTACCAACCCCATCGACCCGTTGTGGAAGACAAACATCCAGCTAGCCGTCATCTCCGTCGCGGCCACGAGCCTCGGGGTCACGCATGCCGCGTTCACGACGCCGTCGTTTGCGTTCTTTGACGGGTACAACCACTTCACGTACGGCGTAATCGGGTTGCAGGCGTGCGGTGGCCTCATCATCGCCGCCGTCGTGCGGTACTCGGACAACGTGGTCAAGAACTTTGGCACGGCGCTGTCGTTGGTCTTGAGCAGCTTGCTGGCCAACTACTTGTTTCGCACGTCGTCGCCGCCCCTGTTCTACGTCGGCGGGTTCCTCGTCGTGGCGTCGGTGTTTGTGTACGGAGACTCGCGGTTCCACATGGTGGGATCGGCACCGGCCGCCGCTTTGACGAACGCCGTGCCCAAAGGTCGAGCGAAAAGCGATCAAGATGAGCACTTGGAAGAAGGCCAGACGACGACGCTCTCCATTCAAGACATTACCCTTTCCACCCCCGAAGAAACCCAGTCCTTCTTGAACCAGCGCAACAAGGATTAACAAACCAACTCAAAACAACAATACATACTAGTACTCAAAACAACAATACATACTAGTATTGTGGATTCGATACGAATTTTCTGTCTGTCGAATCGAATCTCGCCGCCAAATCGAATCACGAATCGACGCTATTGGCTAATCCATTTTTGACTGGATGATTTGATTGGCTCTTTGAGAAAGGACACGTATATTCAACCAATCAGAACTCCAGCGTGATTCAATATTGATTAGACAAACCAGGCGAATTTTGGAAGGTTATAGCGAATTCACAATATATCACATATATATATCTGTTGTTTCTACGTCGACTAGCGCGAGTGCAAGTTTGAAATTTAAAACTACTGGTACGTAGCAGTAGCACTTCGCTATCAAACTCGCTATTAACTTGATACGTACTATTAATACCTGTACGTATAGCACTTCATTTAGTAGTACTAGTAGTTACTAACAGTAAAAACTTCGAGTTTTTCACAACGCCATACTAGTACAAGGCCTAACGCCACACTAGTACATGTAGTACTTCGAAGTATTATTAATAATACTTACTATTACAATACGTAGTACCTGAAGTAGGTACTACGTAGTATTAATTAATACACATTAAACGCTTGACTCGCATCGTGTGGTCATATACTGGAAGTAGTATACTACGTATTGTGGATTCGATACGAATTTCCAGACCCCGTCGAATCGAATCGACGCTATTGGCTAATCCATTTTTGAGTGAATTTTTCATTGGCTCTTTCAGAAAGGACAAGTATATTCAACCAATCAGAACTCCGGTGTGATTCAGAATTGATTCGACAAACCACGCGTATTTTGGAAGTTTATAGCGAATTCACAATAGTAGTATATATCAATATATCTTTGATGTATTTATTATGGCAATAATGTCGTGGGGGTCGTGGGGGTGCCTTGGCGAGCCAGCAGCCGCTGCTGCGTGTAGTTCCACAGCAAGATGGCGCCACTCACGTGCACATTGAGCGACCGGATCACGCCCATCTGAGGGATTTCCACACACAAATCCACGGCTTGGAGGATGTCCACGGGGATGCCTTCCTTCTCGTTGCCGAGCACAATCACACACTTTTCAGGAAAGGCAAACGTCGACAGGCACGCGCTGCTGCTCGTCTGCTCCAACGCGACGACCGTGTACCCTTGCTGTTTCATGCGGTGCAAGTACGGCCGCACCTAAATATGATACACATCCCATCATCATCCCATATACATACATCAAACAAATACCCAACGGCTCAAACGCATGTAGCTGTGACACACATGGGAAATATCAACACCGTTGGTATTAATAGTAGTGCCAAATATATATATATATCACAGTCTTCTCCACCACGAAAAAATACTAGTTATTGGCAATAATAGTTTGCCACAAAACCACAAGAGTCATTCGAAACATTGCCATTCCAGAGTGCATGCTTTTGCACAACCAAAAAGCCGCCATGGACAGTACAAGTCGTAGGTAGTGTTCATATCATATGCAAAGACGAGCAACGACGTACGTTGGACGGCGGTACTTCTTCCATGTCGACCCACTTGTTGGCCGTGACACTGATCTGCCGAAACAAAATGTCGTGGGTCATGGCCATGTTGGGAATCAGCAGCTTGGACGCGTTGAAAATCTCACACGTCCGCGCCAGCCCCGCCACGTTTGGAAGCTTGTCCACCAAGCTGGCGCACACAACGACCTACCACCACGATCATCAACTTGAATCATCAATCTCCAACACCAAACACTTGGATTCCCCCCCTCCCCCCCGCCTTGTGTTGTCAACGAGCCATACATGCATGCTATGATGACCCATGACAAGGGCGGTGGTCGTACCGGTTGGTGGCGGCGTCTCCGGGCGTTCACTTGCTTGTCGCGCAGGCTTTCGGCTTGGGTTTGGGCAAGCAGCTCGTCTAGGAACGCGGTGGCGTTCGGGTCAATCTTGCGCTGCACGATGACTTGGTCGTCGTCGCCCACTGGTACTTCCAACGACGACGAAAAGGAGGACGATGGTGGTGCCTCTTGAGCAGACGAGGGCAAGACGAGGCCGCCAGCGACGCTGGCTTGGTACTGGCCGCCGTGGCGCCTGTCTTCCTTGAGGAACTGGGCAAACGACGCCGAAAGGCTCTCCTTGATCTGCTCCACGATCGAGATCGGGACAATCTCGTCAAATTCGTTCAATGTGCCCATGAGTAGCCCCGCCAACGTGCACTCTTTCTACACCCCACCCACCAAAATCAATCCTCGTCGTCATTTTAGCATGATCGTCCAGATCATCGAGATGGACACACCTCGGGCTCGAACGTGGCCATCTGGTCGGTTTGCCGGCGAAACATGCGCTTGCACTCTTTGTTGGTGCTCAGGTACCGCAGCGTCGGCTGCAAAAACTGCACCGTCGACGCGGTGGCTTCTTTGGCCAAAAAGTATGGGAGCAGCGTCAGGGCCACGAATTGAACGATCGTGCGCGTGTGCCCGTGGGTAGAGTTGAGCCACGGGACCATGAGCAGCAGTGTATCCAGGTGCAGCTGGGGCGTGTCGTCTACCGGCAAGAGTCGCAGCGATACGGACGCCACCTACAAAAAGTAGTCATTCACATGGTTGAAATGCCCAATGACAAGTAGACAACACACAATATCACACATGTTGACTACACGAGGTGAATGGATGGAACGAACGAGTATGTACACGTACAAGTAGCAACGACGCCGACAACTGCGGCATGAGGTGGACGTTCTGGAGCAACGCTTGAATGTGCTGAAACGAAGACTTGGGGAACGCCACGGCCACGCGCATGGCAAACAACTCGATAAAGTACCGAATTTGAGGCAAGTTGTGGTTCAAGAACGATTTGTGCCACAGCAACTCGTGGATTCTGTCGACAGTGTGCGCCTGCACAAATCGACTGAGCACACACAGCGCCTGCCAACTCCGCAACTGCCGGCCAAACCCTGTCACATCCGTTGAGTTTAGAACGTACACCACTGACAACCACTAATTCGCAGCAGTGTACATACCGTCGCTGTTGACCATTTGGGGGATTTGGTACTCGGGTTTCAGCTGCAGCTCCAACAATGCCGTCGTGAGCTTATCCACCAGGCCGTGGCAGGCCACGGGGGCGTCTTCTAAAAACGCGAGCACGACAAACCGAACGAAGCGCTCCTTCAAGGCGGGGGGATGGTGGCTCTGGTGCCCTTGACTCGGCAAGTAGACCATCCTAACCCCAGAAGCAATGTAGATTCAGAACTGGGATTTATGGTTAAAAGTTTTGGAAGATATAATATACAGGCAACGAACGTACTGCTCCTTGGCATCCACAGCAGGCTCTTTGTACAGCAACAACGTGATGATTTCATCCACGTACGGCTCGGCGCTCTTGGGATACCTACACGCATCCAACCACGCATATCATTAGAGACACACAGCATATCAAGATGATATATATATATAAATATCTAAATATATTGAGAAAAAATAATTTGCTTTCACGTGATATTGTTTGAAACGCAAACCTACCGACGCCAGAGATTGCACAGTGTTGTGGCTACGTGGAACATCACATTCGGCCGCTTGCCGCCTTGGCCAAATCGACTCCACTTTTGAAACCACGTTTTGAACGTCTACGCACATAGATAAATACGCATGACGCTCTTGGTCATGACGTGGCAACGCGAGAGAACGTACGTCGACGAGTGGCATCAGCCGCGGTTGGAATACGCATTGGATCACTGCGTGGGTCAAGCTATTGGGTTTGCGGCTGTCGGCATAAGCCGTCCACACTTGCGAAAACACGTCGTCCAAGTGATTTTGCTTGTCCTATAGACCAATTCCCAGTCAACTCCTGTGACATCGTGTACACAACAATGTCACATATCAAACACACTCCCCCCGCCCACGTGTCTCGAAAAGAAAAAGCAAAAAACGTCAAATCACCAAGTCATATCAGCCATTGACTATCACAACATGGCACCACACCACTATCACAACATGGAATTACACTGGCATACGTACGTCATCTGTGGGCAGATTGAACACTGTGAACGGCAACACCATGCGAATCACATGCACCATGTGCTCAAGGACTAGGGGGTCGTTGCCGGCTGTGGGCAGCGCATCGAGGGTCGTGTCGAGGATTGTCTGCAGCAACATCGGCGGCAACGCCCAGCACGTCGACAGCAACGACGACAGCACGGCATACTTGGCCAAGACAAACTGCTGCGTGTACGTTGTTGTCGTAGTTGGCTTGCGCAGGGTGAGGCCGAGAAGCTGCGGCACGAGCACTTGCGGGTCAAACACTGACAGCGAATCCATGAGGAATGGCGCTTCGTGTGCGACAAGGTGGAGACATTCAACGACAAACGTGGCGTCGTGCGGCGAGGCGTCGTCGATGGCCGCGACGGCTGCGACGAGGATGGCGTTCAGGGTGTGGCCAGGGGCGCAATCACCTTGGATTTTCATCGCGTGCAGAGCTATATGGGTCAACACGTACACGACGGCGAGTTGGTCGGGCAGGTCGTCGGGCCGGAAGACAGCATACGACGGGCTAGGAAACGCAAGGGCCACACCCTGGGAAAAGTACGCAGGGGGGAGTTGCGTGGTGACCATGGCCTTGATATCGGCCGTGGCCAGAGTGCTGCTGTGAAGTTGCTGGAACAGACGGCACACGTGTGCGTTCAACGGCGTGGCCGACCACAGAACCGCCATGGACGGCACGACGGATGGCGGGGCGGACAGAACCACGCGGGTGAGAGCCGCCGTGCTTAGCGTCGCAGGGTTTTCAAAGTACACCGCCAAGGCATCGTGGATAGCCGGCTCCAGCGGCGCCATGTACGCTGCAAACGCCGCCCGATGCTGTTGAATGTGCTCGGTGGGGAACAGCAGCAAGTACCGCGCGACGACTTCCAACGGAAGCGCCTGTGGGGGCACGGTGAATTCAAAGAGGATGCGCTGTAAGATGGGCACGAGCGACGTCATGATCTTTGGAAAAGACTGCAGCACATGGGCGTGGACAATGAACCGGAGGACCTGCAGTCCGTCGGCGCCCAACAGGGGCGACGGCGGGTGTTCGAGCTCGGAAAACACGGCGAGCATCGCGACGAGGGCGTCCGGCGAGTTGCCGCGCGTCGAGTCGCCAAAAATGGCCTCTTGTACGGCACCAAGGTACGTCAACAAGGTCGTGGTGGCACTGCCAGGCATCGTGGTCAACTACAACGTCGTCACAGATGAGTTTTTGTCCATTTGGTTGTTGACATAGACATTGCAATCGTCAAAAGATATTCAATCTCGATGGCGAAACATAAGCGTCGCAAAAACAAACAAAAAAACGCACTGTTTTGGCCAATTTTTTATTGTTTTTGTCAGACAAGTCCAAAATGACGAATCGAGACGAATCCTCCAGGCATCAAACAACAATCGCTTGGGTGTATTTTAAACTCGAGTGATATTGTCAATGAGTCGGTTCGAAATTGGAGTATTGGAGGAGTGGGGTGCTCAATCGAATGAGAAGAATAACCAAACCGGCAGACAGTCGATCGACCAATCAAAACCCAAAACACAATTTTAAGTGGCCAATCAAATACTCAAATACTCCCTTGGGCAGATTCAACATCGAATTAGTGTGCGAATGAAATTAGTGTGACTCTGAACGATTTTGATATACAAAAGTCAGAACAAAGAATCGATCGATAGATTTGGAGAATCAGTATAACATGGAGAATGAATCGAGTCACGACCAAATGTGTCCGTGAATCGGCAAAGTACTTTGCCAATCTGATTGCAACAAATCCTCATCAGCTTCGAATTAGTGTGAGATCTAAATTAGTGTGATTACAATCACACACCCGGACAAGTCTTGACATACAGAAAATTCAGTCGAAAGAATCGATGGATTTGGCAAATCAGCATAAAAGTCCAACTTTGTTGGGGTAAAAGGACAATAGATGTCGTCGTACTTGGAGAAAGCGCGTGCAAAATGCAACGGTCGTGGCGCGGACACGGTACTTTTCGTGTTTGAATAGGAACGGATCGTTGAGCGACGGAAGGAGGGAGGTCAATACAAACGGAATCACATCGGGATGGAGCACCACGGCGGCGGCAGTAGAAGGGTGCCATGTGTTGATGGCTTCGGCCATGAACTCGACCAGCGTCATGCGTCGGACGACTGGGTTGTCGTGGTGCCAGCAGCGGTGGACGATTCCTTGGAACCATTCAAACGGCAGCGGCGCGGTGAAGAGCGAGGGCGCTTCCTTGTCGTCTGTTGTCGAGTGGATGCTGTGGTGAGGGTGGTGGAGGACAATGGTGGTATGGCGAATGAGCGCGGCGATGCTGGCCCACACTTGCTCGAGCAGGTGCTGTTCGTGGTGGAAGTGCACAATCTCAAACGCATGGACAAAGGTTCCCCACGACACATGCGCGACGGTCGCGTCGTCAGTAGCCAAGGCTGCGCGAAGCAGATGCAGCGCCATCTTCCGGACCACGGCTTCCGCATGTTGAAGGCCGAGTCGGAGGATCGCATGGAATGAAGGCGCTGTGTGGAGGTGGTGCGGGCTGTGGGGAAACAGTTCACACAGCATGAGCAACGAGTCGTGCAGGGTCTCGGGCTGCCACGCGGTCAGCACGTGCGAGCTCAAAGTCGACGCCAGCGCTGCTTCGTGTTGGATCAAGTGGGGCACCACCGACCCAAAGATGGCTTGGCGCAAGCTCTACAAAAAGGTCAGAAACGACGGATCGTGCATCAACACCACAAGAGGCAACTCACTGAGAACGAAGTGTCGGGCGTCGAGATGATGGCCGTGCAAAGCTCAAGCATGCGCTGGACGAACGAAGGCGAGACAAGATGCTGCTCAAAGAGAAACTCCACCACGTACCCAAGCCATGTAGGGTCGGCGATTGTGTGGGGATGCGACGTCGAGGACGCGGCGCCGTCGAATGCCGCAACGACATTGACACGAAGCGACTCCCACCACGACATATCATCCTTGGAAGGAATCGAGCCCAGTGCATGCAAGAGAAGCCCAAGCGCATCGTCGGCCAGTGAAGACGTCGCGGCGCTAGGCAGCAAGAGAGGAAAGCATACGTTGTACACGAGGTCGTCGAGTGCCTGGGACAAGGCTTTTTGTCCGGAATCGACTCGTTTTGCAACGTCCACGCATTGCTTTACCAAGGCAAGCGACAAGCGCGCATGCAACGTCTCTGCATTGTTCATGGAAGCTTCGTCGATATGGAGCAGCGTCGAGACCACGGTTCCCGTTGCACACAAGTCGACTACATCGTCTACAAGAACGAGGTTAGCTGGTGTTTGTGCCTACACGTGCCGGGTGGAGCGACGAACGTACCTACATCCAGGGACGACACAAGGCCCAATGCAAGCAAGTTGAGTTCGTCCGATGAAGTCAATGCGCGGTTGACGCACACGGCGTGCGCGGCCTTCACCTTGGCGGTCCAGCGATCGCAGTTTGAAGTTGGCATGAAAGGCAAAATTATTCAAATGGCTGGTACATTCATCATCCGGAAATCCCGATATCGCATATCCGAATACGGATAGTATCCGTATTGTGCGTGGATTTTCAGATGCAACTCATGGAGCAAAGTGGTTGGATTAGTGTTGTCGGTGCAGCATACGAGTGTGGTCTACGGTGGAAGGGCTCCGCGGGGGAATGACGTCTGGCAGAGTCTGCACGCCTGGCGCCCGTCCTTCTACCACGTGCTTCTTCGCGCGACCATTGTGCATTTCCAGTAAGGGAGGCGAGTGGACGTTGCTCACAAATCGACGCACACTTCGCCGTTTGTAGATGACGTACACCATCCCCATCAAGAGTATGACAAACAAACCTACTGCAACATAGACGGCTGCCCATGGATAGCATCCTCGGTAATTGCCGCACATGTAGTCGTTGCCGGGAGGCTTCGACGGTTCTGTGGCGTCATTTCTTGGGTTCGAAGGGCCATCAGGGTCCTCCTTGTTTGGCTTCGGAGGCGAAGATCCTGGTGGCCGTTGTGTCGATTGCAGTGGAGGGTCGATCGTAGCTGAGTTACTGACGGTAGCGTTTAGCGCTCGGTTGCCGGGTTTCTGGGTGGAGATGAAGTTGGCTGCGGCTACAGTGGCGCCCTGTGCATTCACGCAGCTTTGCATGCATGCGCATACAAGGATCACCACTACGTCAGCTCGTTTCATATCGTTGTGGGGGTGGAAGGTGAACTGACGAGGTTACCGGTACGTCAAGGCATAATTTGGCGGCGACCATCCCACTTGTGTTGGTTTGCTGCTCCTGTCAGCTTAAAAATGGATTCATCGATTGGGTTTTTGTAGGTAATAAAATCTCAAAGTGGCTAAAATCTCCTGCGTTCAATGTTTAAACGTGTCACCTTAACTGATTTTTCAGATTAGACGCTGCGTTTTATTGAAAAAGGCCTCGTGGGTTCAGCGACGGAACGAACAGCTCCCCACGGATAAAGCTCACTCATGCTGTGTGCACTTGTGCGCTGTTGACATCTCGATGGCCATCGAGAAGTCTCAATAGCTCGAGCCCCGCTTCGGGGGCAGTTACATGACAGCTAAGTTCACAATTATCGCCGTATTCGGGCTACCGGTAAAGAAGCGTAGTACCTTGTTGGAGGAGTGTACACACTTCTGGTGAGACAGAGGCATACCTTAGTAATGGAATTAGACAAAGTGAGGGCCGTAGCACTCATCCATGCACGCTTTACAGTACTGCTTACTGTCCCATCTGTCTGGAAGAAGCCCAACCACAGCAGCCGAGATGCCGCATGTTGGGCAGCAACCCATGGGGGTGGAGGGAGGTTCATGCCAATGGCCCTGCAGCATGGCAGCTGGACTTTGGGGCGAGGATATCATGGCAATGTCATGCGCAGGATGCAACTGACGCCGCCGCCACGCCAACCAACCCGCGATGCCACACGTAACCAACACAACTGCAACGACGGCTATAACAACGAGGGGTTTGCGGCGAGGGGTTTCAGTTGGACGGGGTGATATGATTGTGATATTGGGAGCGAATGATGAGATGAACGGAGATCGGATTGTGTTGTTGGCAGGTGTCAATGGGATTACTTTGGCTCGAAGGACAAGTGAGCACGATATCGTCGAGGAGGTAACGTCTTGCTCTAAACGCGGCAGACACCCCATGACCGCATCATCTGGAATCATTCCACAGCACGAGCCAAAAGGAAGTGTGGGCTGTGAGGTTGGACATGTCCCGACGGATGACGGGCCACACACAGGGCCGTCGATCGTATAGACACCTTCGACGCCGTGGACGCTCACGTTCACTGCACCAGCAACGGCGTAATGAATAGTCACCCCAATCCACCTTGCATGCCGAATCATGAGAAACCAATTCAAATGAAGGAGACACAGGTTGGAAAGGACCAGGAGTGCATGAACATCGCTACGGTAGATCGCCGCATCCGACTCTACGTCGTCCAAGAGCGGTGGTGGTGGAAAGGAAAAAAAACTTCACAATCGGGTTAAAAATCGAATGCGCTTATTTTTATCAATTTCACCTCATTAACACCAAGATATTAATATCATTTCTTATATTTAATATTAATAATTAGAAATAAATGATTTCGACTTTTGCTTCGTACTTCGAAGTAGTACGAAGCGTACAAAAGTAACCACATAAATGGTGAGCAATTGAGAAGTAGTAGTATCCGGATACGTAACCCCACAGCCCAGACTGCGACGCCAACCATGTTCCGCTCGTCGATGCAAGCCTTCCGCGCATTCTCCAGTGCGTACTTCTAACCCACGAGCTGGGCGTATCTAATGGCATGGATTAGCTCGTGGATCCCAAGGACGTGTGTTCCCTCAGTTCACTGTGTACGGCAGTGACGCCCTGCTGCAGCTTTCGCCCATCGCACCCGTGTACACCAACGCAGGGTCGTACCTCAAGCTCAAGCGAGGGGTATGCTCTCTTCTTGTGGGCTGTAGTAGGCTAATGATACGGAATGTTCCGTGTTAGGGCTCGCTCATGTTGACGTGGTGCAAAAAGACGTCCAATGGCTACAACTACCAAGAGAAATATGTACGTCGGTGGCGGCGTCAATTCATTAGGCACAGTTCTCACTGGCATGTAGTACTTTGCGCTCACGCCAGCTGAGATCGGCTCGCTCTTGAACTCGCTGGACGACCGCGCGCCTCGGGTACCTATTGCCATAGTCGAATCGATGGCCAAGCTAACAAACACCTGCACGTAGTTTTCGCTCGTGCACTCGCCCAACGCCAACGCTTCCCCACCCGTACGGACTCGTCCATCCATCCACGAAGGTCTTGTAGCTTCCATGCTAAGTTGTTCTACATAGACGGGGGACACGGCGACCAAGGTGTTGGCCGTGGAATACCAACCAGAACACCTCAAGACCGTGTTTGAATACGGCAGCAGCAACGACCGCGCCGCCGTCGCGCTGTCATCTGGTGAAGTGCGGGTGTTCAAGGAGCTTCTCCAGTACTCGATTCCGTTCCTTTATGGGTTCCACTCGACCTTGGCCAACGCGGACCTGTACGACTTGCACTCGAAGCGTTTATATCCCAGCGATGATGATTGATCTTTACTTGTTGGGGAAATTAGCACGGTGGAACAAGACAATAACGGCGGCGCAGCAGGGGCCTCGTATTCGAACAACGCACCTCGACATCAAACGTCCAAGCCGCGCACGGGGGGCGGCGGAGGCGCGGACTGGCCCTTTTAATCCTACTCAGCTCGACATTATGGAACGAGATATGTAGTTTAAAAAACGATTACGGCTAGCCTATCGATTGTTCATTCGAGATATGGTTCACCCTCAAAGGCGGTCAAGTGTCGAGTTTTGTGGTCGTGACTTGGGCGGCTCCTTTCATCATCAAGAATATTTGAACCCTTCCCATGTGCCATGATCAATGTTATGTACTGTAATCGACTGCGAAATACAGAGTTGTATTGTATTATATTATACGTATGGGCGCAGTTTTTCGTGACACTTTTTGGGACCCTTTGATGGGAGGGGTTCCTTTACTCCAAATTGCTACTTGTATTATAATAGTGTTTCTTATTATTAGGGCAATATTATGGAATATTGGAATATTGAATAAAAAACATTTTTCGACATTGCAGGAAATTCTTGGGTTTCAAGATCCAAGAATGATTTTGGGTGGTGTGTCTGGATGCCATAGAATAAAAGAAAGGTCGGAAATGAACAGCCAATCAGAGGATAGCGCAGAGGACTTCGTCCACCCAGAGAGGACCACTGAGGATGGACGTCCTCTTTCGTGTCTTGTGGACGAAGGCGAGGTAGTGGTACTCCATCTGTCTGGCGAAGAGTTCCTTGGCCAGGCGGCGACGTAGGAAGGCAATCACGATGGCCTTTCTCATTCCGAAATTCCCAGTCAATTCAACGCGCACTGTAAATATCGTCAAAATATTCTACTCATGAGTAGAATATTATTTCTCGTGGTTTTCACGATATATCTGATAAAATTATGGAATATAACTTGGTCAAGAAATGGCATCCAGACACGCCAAATTGAAGTCGCTGAGATTCTTGAATATTTTGCAAAATTATCGCGATATTTCTCAATAAAAGTGGTATCCAGACGGGCCCTTAAAGAGGAGAATTAATGCAGTTCGTAGAACTTAAAATCATGTTGAAATTCGTATTAGTGTTGATGGAAAATGAATTAAAAGAGTGGAAATATCGATAGGCTGAAAACCGTTCCGAGCCACTTAGTTATCTGTCAAAAATTGCATCTGATTGGCTGAAAATTTCAGAGTGATTGTTTTCTACCAATCATGCATCGTAGCACGGAACCAAGTTGGAACTGCGCTCATACGTTCCAATTAAAATACACTTCACGACGCAAGGTCGGATAACCTGTACTCACTCCCTCATCAAAGTGTAAGCTTATCCGAGAAGACTATTCGAAGGATATCAACATACAGAAAATCTATGGTGTCCAAGCCCTGCAAAAAAGCGTTCAATCCACACCTGAATCCTCTCCTATGTCTGCGTTATGATTAAGTTGTGCGTTGAATACGATTGGCGATATACTGTACATTAGGCGCAAAGCGTACAGCACTAGTGTATGGGGCGTGAGGACTTCTCGGCGGTGGAGGTGCAACGTGTTGATCATAATCGTCGAGCGTTTTGGCCATGTATACCGTCCCAGAACTACGTCCTCCTTGTTAGATCGGTTGATGCTCTCGCGGGGTCTCTCGCACGTTCACGTTCGACATCATCTCCTGGCGTTTGTCGTCGTCGTACGAAAGCCGACAAGTTAGTTGCCCACGAGATATTGTTGTGGGGGTGGAATCGTGCTCTGCAAAGGGAAAGACCTGGAAGTTGTCGAGGATTGCGTGGTCCGTCAGCGCTGGAATGACGGCGACATCCCCATCAATTTCGTTGTCGTGTTCGGGGGTACCATGGTTGCGCGCTTCAAGCAGCACGGCAATCCACGACGTTGGCACGCCACTGGAGCGTACTCCGTATTCAGTAGCTGCTGACTGAGGCGTCGGGAAGCTGTCAGGACATGGGTCGCGTAGTCTTGAATGAACGCCGATACAGTATGGATCTTTGACGCAGCGCCGACCAGTTGCCCGATGCCCAGGAAAATGTACATGGTGTTCTGCAAGAGAACAGTTTAGTGCTCCATGAGTTGCGATTCGACGGGGTCTGGAAATTTGTACCGAATCCACAATACATTGGGCACAGAGTTTTGATAACGTTGTTACGACAAATGCAATTCTACAGTACTAACTGTAAAAGCCTCAAACGTTAATGTTAGAACGTACTGTACTTGGAGTATACGTATAGTAGTACTATAACGTTAGTACAGTATTAATATTAATAGTATAACGTGAACTTCACCATCCGACAGGGTTATTACAATTAGTAAGCCCCACTGTACAGTAGTACACTGTACAGTACAGCAAGGCTGCTTAGAGTTCTACTGGTACTGTCGGCATAAATATGCTCACCTTTCACTAATTGAGAGTTGAAGTAGTATCCCCAACAGCGTTCAAGGGCCGCAAAAATCTCCAGCAATGTCCAAATGCGCACTCACGAGAACATTCCCATACATTCGCAAGTATATGTCCTTGTACTCCGTGCTCTTCCACTTGTCATGGTGCTGCCACGAGCACTTTGAACGACCTTCGAGTGGCCTTCATTGTAGGTGGAGCTGATGGTTTCAACGGCGTTTGTTGCACACGTCAGAACTGTTTGTTCCGATGTTCAAAGTGTTTAACGCGTTGTATAACCTACGTTTAGCCAGCGTTTTACTTTGAACGCTATAAAACGCGAGGGCAAAGTGGGACACGACACTTGGAGATGCTGTGCAATCCACGAAATTTGCGCTGCGACCAAAACACACGCACGTCACCACCAGCCACGAAGTACTTACATGAAGCTCATCATCGACGTGCCCTTCCTAGCTGACGGTGCGGTGACCATGGTGTGGGACATCAAGCACACCATCTTTCTCGCGATCATCGTGTACATGTGCACACACCACCTCGTGACACCGCTCGTGTGGGCAGTCACGATGCTTCTCGGCCTCGTCGGCCACTATCTCTTTGCACGAAGCGGTAGCCGCACCACGGACGACGACAATGAGGTTGGATCGACGAAAGGGGATGCAGCGATGCTACCCGACACTACCATCGTGGTCTCCGGTGGAACCAGTGCGATCGTCGGGACGACCACATGCCACGGCGACAACCCGAAGCGCATGTTCTACTCGCTGAGCATCTCGCCGGCCCAGGGCTTGCCATGGACCATCGAACGCAGCTACAAGGAGTTCCGGACGCTGTACCACGCCCTGTTTCGGGACCGGAGCATCATCTCCCGCCGCAGTTCATTGTCGTTCAGCAGCCGTGGAAGCATGGATCAAAGCAGAGGTAATCCTCCGTCGTTTCCCAAACGAATGGCCGTGCGCTGCTTTGTCAACCAGGCCAAACGCACCCAAGGACTGGCGACGTTTCTTCAATTTCTCGTCCATGACGACCAGTTGTCGCAGGACCCTCGCGTCGTCGACTTCCTTGGCGTGCACTCGCCACTGAAGCGCGTCCAGCAACCAGAGCCAGCTCTGCCAAAGGTGGCATGGACCAGTCCTCGTCATATTGCGGCGGAAGAGGCGGCCATGGCGCTCTTGACCGACGACGAGCGCTCCAAAATCGAACCATTGCATGCGGATGTGGCAAAGCTCAACGATGCACTCGTCAGCCGTCGGTTGGTTCTCTTGCGGTACTACGATCGATATGTATATCAAAAATGAAAAAAATGCTTGAATGTTAGTGTATTTTTTATACTTTTGTTTTATAGTAGTAGTTATCCTTATTTTTATGAAGTGAAAGTTGACACATATCTTTATCACATTGCACACTTAGGTACGTTTCGAATCATGCGTGGGACATGGAGGCCACCAAGGCGCGAGTGCAATCTGCGATCGAGTACGTGCTGTATACATACTGGCGATTTGATATACAAATTTGGGGACGGGCCAAACCGATCCACAATCGATCTGATTGGTTGGATTTCATTGAGAAGTTTTTGATTGGCTAATAATTTTGAGCTCATCTGAGGTAGCCAATCAAATCGATTTAAATTCCAACGAGAAACCACGCCACAATACGAAATTTCACTCGAAAGCACAATATTTGTAAAAAACAACTTTCGTTTATATGCTGTCGTAGTGATCATGTTTGGGAAGGAATGTTGTTTCCTGAATGATATTTGGGCAGTTTCCGAGATTGTTGCTGACGAATATTGGTCATGTGGTGCGAGTTTAGATGGCGAAAAACAGCGTTGCCCACGTTTGACCGCACGTTGCTGCAGAACGAACTGCAAACGGGCAAAATGTACGTGGCTGATTTTTGCGACTTCAACTTGAACGCGGTGATCGTCGTCCGATTGCACTTGGAAAACTCGTTTCCGCAAGCCAACTATATGCTCAACGCCATGTACACCATGGGTACGTATGTCCATTTTTGAATAGATCAAACCCTGTTCACTCCGCTGGACAAAATACAGCTTTCGGGTTGCATATTTATATATGTGTATTTCTTTGGAGAATGATGTACAAAGTGCAAACATGCGTTTTGGAGTTTGTATATATATATAACTGTGGGTAATGATATACAGTGTATATATATGTATCTACCTTGTCCCTATGGAGAATGATATACATTTGTTGTTGAGTTTGCACATATATTTACAGTGAACTATGGGCAATACGATATTGTCCTTTACCCAAAATTTGGACTTTTGTGCTGATTCGCCAAATCTATCGATCGATTCTTTGTTCTGACTTTTGTATGTATCCAGTATCACACTAATTTCAGTCACACACTAATTCGGTGTTGAATTGGTCGAAGAGTGGATTTGATTGGCCACTTGATTAGTGTTTTGGGTTTTGATTGGTCGATTGATTGTCTCCCGATTTGGTGATTCTGCTCATTCGATTGGGCACCCCATTCCAATTTCGAATATATCGACTTGACAATATATATATGGAGAACGATATACATAGTGCAGTCTACAACGTATCTGACGTTCGATTCTTGAAATCGGTTACAAAGACCAAATATATATATATATATATAAGGGTTCGCCTGGTAACCGGAAATATTGCAACAAAACGCCATTTTGGGGCCGAATCCAAGAAATCTGATCAAAATTGAAACATGTCTTACTTGAAGGGTTTTAACCCAAATCCAATAATTCCACGTGGGATTTACTCGTTGAAGAGGTCCAAAACGCCACATTAAAAAATGGACCTTTTACCTCCATTTTGAAAATGACATTTTGGTTAATCCCATTTTGCGAGAAAATGGAATGTTATTTTTGAAATGTTACCAGATGTACCCTTAACCATGGGCAATATGATAAATGGAGAATGCTGTAGAAAGAGCAGTGTACAACGTGGTCACACTCTTTTGATGTTTTGTGTAGAGCGAGCTTTGTTACATGCGTCGCCTGTGCACCGCGTGACGGTGGTGATTGATTTCTCGCAGTGGCAATTCAAGCACGGGCCAGAGCAGGGCATTTTTCTCACCTTCGTCAAGATGATGGAGGCGCAGTACCTGTTGCATGTGGACCGCGTGGTATTGTTTGATTTGCCGTGGTACATGACTCAAGGCTACAACATGATGAAGCTGTTCTTCAATCCGATCACGCGTACGTGAGTTCTGACTACTGGTATGAGCAAATCGTGACGCCTTTGTACATAGGAAGCAAATTAGTGCTCGCAAAGACCACGGACCTAGCGCCAATCCAAAACCTGGTTGACACTGCCCGATTACTGCAGCATGTGGGCCAAGGCGCGACGTTCCCATTCAACGTCGACACTTATTTGAATTCGGTGGGGGTGCCCGCCCCCCCTGAGGACGACGGGAAGACTGTATCAACGAGTTGAGACGTAGAAACAACAAACGGATGCCGCGGTCGACAGCAAGACGGCAGCTATCGCCGTTCGTGGCCACGTAGAGAAAGAATAAGTTAGTGAGCCGAATGATGATTTAGTTTCAGTATATGTGCGTACTGTAGTTGCCACTGGCTATGATACATTCATAGCTAGCTAGACGACCAAGTCGAGAACGTTGAAATTTTGCATGTTTGATGGCGGCCCCACTACTTCTGTATTTAAAGGGATTACGTCAATTTGATTCCTGTTGTAATTCATTATCATTCACTTTGTTTACTCCGGGGTACACAAACAGCTTAAAACAAGCGGTCCAACTTAAGGTGCAGCATTTTAAGCTTGGTCTTTGTATACCCATTTGCATACTTTTTGGGCGGTTAGGTTAAAAACTGCCTTTGTAGGAATTGATTGGCTAACTCACCTTAAACTGGATCGAGCATCTTACATTGGACTTTTACGTTATTGTGTTAAATAATGGGGCGATTAATTGAAAAAGTACGGACTCTCCAGCACGTCGTTCAAGTTGAGGTCGCCAGTCTGTGGGATCTCTGGGAATTGCTGGTTGGGGAACCGCAACACCAGTTGTTCCCGCAAGTCGGCGAGCAGCGGCTGCGAGTAGAGCGTGACAAACTCTTCGCGGAGGCGGCGGTTCATCTGGGGCACCGAGCACGCGTGGGTCCAGTAACTGTCGTGGACGGCGGCAAACTCGAGTTTATCTTCCCCAATCACTTTCAGCGACGTCATCATCATGTGCGTCGAATCGAGCGAGTGCACGTAGTTGGGGGGAAACGCAGTCTTTTGCTTGCCGACGCTCACCTTGCGCGAGTCGGGCAGCGTTAGCACCACGTGCTGCTTGGACGTGCGCACGAGCTTGGACGCATCGAGGCGGTACGGCTGGGTCACAGGCAGCCCCAGCGGCGTGATCCAGCTCATCATTTGGCCCTCGTCCGCCACCTTTTGCGTACACTCGGACAGCCACGTCATAATCTGTCTGGCTGCGGCAAACAAGTTGGTCATGCTGCCCATGGTCAGGTCGGACGCATACTTGGCCGACAGGTAGATCTTCTCCTCGAGCGCTTCGTCCACATCACGGCCTTGCAGCAAAAAGATCTCTTCGAGGCGGGTTTGAATCTGCCGCCGTGCGCCCACCGCGGTCACACCGTACACGGACGTCATAACTGTCTGCTTGACCACTTTGCGGCTAATGTGGCTCAGCAGCATGTTGGCGTACTCCTTGTTGATGGCAATCTCTTGCTGCCGAAACATAGCTTGGCGTTTGAAGAACGCGTCCTCGTCCGGCTTTGTCACTTCTTTCGGGCGGTGGCCCAGCTTGAGCCGTTTATCCCCGCGTTCCTTCTTGTCCTTCTTCTTGTCGTACGCAGCGTTGTCCGACATGTAGTTTTTGTAGGCCGCGACGAGCGTCGCCCACTCGGCCTGTTTGGTTTTGCGCACTTCGGCTAGACACTCGTCAAACGATCGCAAGGGGGCGTTGGCATCCCGCTCCATCTGCTCGACCACGCGCGTCGCCACGCCCGTGTACACGTCTTGGGGCTTGTCGGCTTTGACCAAGTTAACTTGTTCGGCGCCGGCTTGATCCCGACCCAAAGCAGCATAATGCTGGAGGCCGTTGCACGAGCCATCCATGTGCACGGGCACGTTACTCAGGTACATCTCCGGGTCGGGGGATTGAACCGCGCGGGCGAGTTCAAACACAACCCCGAGCGACAGGAACGGCGCTTCGGCTTGCTGCCACCACCGGCAGTCCTCCGAGTCGCCGAGGGGGGACGCGGCACTTGCGAGGATCTGCGGCATGTGCTCGTCCACAAACTTGACGCGATCGTCAAAGGAACACTTGTCGATTCCGTACAACCCGGCCAAATGCACCTTGAGCCAGTACAACCCGTGTGGCCCCAGCGGCTTTTTGTCTTTGAAGATCAACAACGAGCGAGACATGTCGCTGCCCAAGTGGTTCAAATTCGGCGGAATCGGATACACGCGGCCACGAAAGTCCATATTATACGGAAAGTAAATCGCTTCTTCGTGCTGGAATTCTTCGGCCACTTGCAGTTTGTACACGGTGTCGCACCGCAGCGAGTTGTACTCTCGGTTCTTCTTTTCTACCTATGATTGCGTAGCGGCGTTAGACACTTGTGTTAAATAATATTTAAAAAATGCAAAAAATAGAGATACAAATTTGGGGAAACTAAAAGACAAGTGCACATTGAACAAAGCCCCGAGGCGCGGCCCCGTGAGATAGGTGCAGTCATCCGTGAAGTCCCCCCGACGTTGTTGTGGCGTGCAGTTTGAACCCTGGCCTCGATAGTTTTCGACAAGGCAGGGCTTGATTCTGACGCGTCGGTATATATATATATATATTACTTTCACACAAATGTTGTGCTTTTCGCCCAAATTGGCCACTTTGGAGGGATTGCTGCAATCGCCAACGAATCCAACAAAGCAGTATGATTGGATATAAAAACAATGAACACTGCATTCGGATTGGCTAAAACGAATGCATTTCCTAAGTGCCATCAGAAAGAAACCTCTCACAGTTAGTTCCATAACATATTTCGAAGGTGCGAGACTCATTTAACCAAAAATTTTGAGTATCACACAATTCAAGTGTCATGGCCCTAATCTATCGTACCTTTTTGCACGTCTTGCGATACGTGTCGATATCTTCTTTGAACTTGGCGTCGCGCGCTTCGACATCCGCCATATCCATGTACGCGTCGATTGTCGGCTCCACGGGCATGGGCAGGTCCCGTCGCGGCGGCAAGTCGCCAAAGTCGCCGCCCGCTTTCCACACGTCCATGACCACCTCGAGCACTTCCCGGTTGATGACCCATGGAATGTCGGCGAGGAGGTTCAGCGACCGGATAACGTCCGACATTTCCCCCCGCGCAGCACATTGCAGTTGCCACTTGCCCGAGTCACGGTGTCGCATAATTTTCGTCGGAATCGTCAAGTACCCACCGTTGTCGACGCCTTTCCAGTGTTTGGGGGGCACCACCATGGGCAAGTATCGTGCAAACCCGGGCAAAAACACATCGCCGTCCATAATCTATCGATAAACCCACACAAACAAGCGATCAGCAAATCCTGAAAACACTTCCAAACTCCGACGTATCTGTCTGCGACAACGTACCCGTTTGTACACGGCGGGGCTGCACTGAATGATCCCATACCGGCGGTTGTTCTCATACTTGACCGAGTGAAGGAACGCCTTGTTTCGTTTCTGGGGCATGGGGTAGTCTTCCTGAAAATGTGACGTGGGGCGTTCGCGGCGGGTCAACACGTCGGCGTCGCTTTGGCTGCCGTCTTCGTAGCAGTTGTTCTCCAGCAAATCCAACAATGCCGAGCCCAGTTTGAGCTGAATCTCTTTGCTCCACGATCCTGCGTCTTCAAAGTACTTGACAGCTTTGTCCCGCATCGGGGGCTTGAGGTCCTTGAGCACCTTGGAAAAGTACGCGTGCTTGCCATCTTCTGCGGGTTGCTTGTCGCTAGTAGTAGTACTAGTACTGCTTGTACTTTTGTTGTAGTAGTTGGTCGAAGCGTATTTGTGTCTGCTGTTCTTGTTCATTTTCGCGCGGCGGTCGATGATTTCGTCCTGAATCTCTTTGCCGAGCCCAAGCGTGATTTTGATAAACTTGACGCCATCTACTTCCAACAGCACGTGGTTCAACGCAGTCTTGATCACGATCTGCGCCAACACTTCGGGGGGCAGCAGGAACAAGATCGGGCCAAACAACTTGCCGTCGACAATGTAGTCGGTGTTGTCTTCGTCTACCAAGCCACAAGCATGGGCTTTGTTAGCCACCGCCACACTCGTCTCCATGCAACGTACCTGCCAGGGCTTTTTTGAGCTCGACAATCGCGCGCACCATCGGCCCATCCCATTTCGCCATGTACGCCTTGGCCGTGCCGACTTCGGCGCCCTTGGACAGCTCCGCGACGCTCTGCGTGGTTTTTTGCAGCTTTTCCAACGACAATTCGTAAATCGCTTGCTCGAGACGCAGTTGCTTGGCGTACAAGTGCCGGACTTCGGCGGGGGGTTTGTTCAATTTGGCCGCTTCGTCGGGGATTTCAAAGTCCTCGAGCCACGCATCGACTTCCTCGGTGGACATGTCGCCCAATCGAGTGGGTCGGCCCGCGACGTCTGGCTTGGCGTCGTCGTACATGGATAAATCCAACGAAAACGACGGCCCGTCCTCCTGGACATTCGAGTCGTCAGGCGCTGGACGCTGCTTGGACATGACTGGCTGATGCTTCTTGGTGAACTTGAGTCGTCGCTCAGCGGGCGTGAGATTGATCGCGCGTTCGAACCAGTCAGCCTTTTTGATCGATTCAAACTCGTCTTCGCTGTCGTATTCGTCGTCGTCGGTTGCCGAAGCGTGATGCAGGACTGGCAGCGATGACTTGTGACGGCGGCTGTGGTGGAATCCCATCCCGCGTGGCCGCAGCGCATGTTGTTGCCACCGAGGCAACGCATGCATTGCTGTCGTTGAGCTCACTTCATGACGAAGGAACCGACGAAGCACTCCCTGCATGAGGGTCATTCTGTCAGCGTCGCGTCACCGTGGAGAAAGATGCTTCAATGGCAATCCCACTGAGTTGACAAAAATCGCCCAATCATAGCGCGAGGACCAATACTTTTTTGGTGGAGGAGAGCGTATAGGGGATTAAGTAGCCGCACTTATGAGGATATTCACTTGAAAACTTTATGAGTACTTTGCAAACTACAAATCCGTACGTTTCTGAAACGTACCTTATTGAGCACGCGACATGACCACCAAGATCGCACCTTCGTCGAAGGGGCAATGTCGTCGACATGGAGATCGATCGTCCAGTGCGTGAAGTCGAGCCTTGCGGCGGTGCCGTGGATTAAGGCTGCACTAAACTTGCTCAGACATCCACGACATGCTGAAACATCTACTAGAACCTTGTGAAATATGCCAGATTTCCTTGGCGTTCGACGTCGTTTCGAACAACGAGGCGGTTGCCCTGGGGTACAGTATCTGTGCTAACTTACGTGCAGACATGCCACCTACACGTATGTACTACAAGTGTCCTATTGCGAGATATAGCCCCCACACAATGCACTTCTAACCATAACGTTATGCATTGAGTGACAGGATCCTAACGGTATATTGGTTTTTATCATGGCCACGACCTTGGCATTTGACTGCCCGGTACCGGACACGTTGTAGCTTTGGTAGTTGCGGACAAGGGTCGCATCCTTCGAGGCACGAAAGCCAATGTAGCAATGTGGATGTGAAAATAATGTGGTCTCCCTCGCATTCGTTGTTGACAGAGTTTCAAGGCCATCTGTTCTTTGGAGCGGCTGTCGTGGGATTGTGAAACTGTCGTGTCCGTTCAAACATGAACGTCGTCGTGGAGCGGCGCAAGCACGCGACGGAGCATGAGTCGGCCGAATTGCAGCGGCGGCTGATTGCCGATCAAGTCATGCAGGTTCGTCACGACTTGACATGTTGATGTAGCTCACAGACCGGCGGACATCAACAGATCCCCACGCTATTTCCGTGGACACGCATAGATGTAGCGGACACGGCGTTGTGCCGCGAACACAACACGTACGTAAAGCCCCCATAGAGCAATATATCACCATCCTGGCCTTGTAGATCGTGGAATGATCCACTGCGAGAAGCCATTGTCCACGATATTTCGAAACTCTACGTTCGACTGATGAAGCAAATGAATGTGTTGAACGCCCACAGTATCATCCACAACGCTGCCAACATCACTCGCCTTCATGGCCAACTGCTCGTGGAAGTGCACCGCAAGATTGACGTCCCGAGCATCCTTCTTCGGGTGGGGCAGACCGACCTTTCGTTGTCGACTAGGCCTTTGTTCGTTTGTGTTCCTATTTCTCGGCTTGGTAGGTCAAAGCCACGTCCAAATCCGAGCGCGACATGGCCACCTCGCATCACTCAACTTCCCTCGAGTTTCCCCGACGGAAGTACACGTCTGCGGTGCTCCATACGACAGCCTCTGCTGCCGCCGCCTCCACTTCGACATCTCTGTTCCCCCTGAGTCCGTCCAAACCTCCGACGTTGCCGTCCTCTGCGAGCCAGCCGTATGTAGCCAGTCCCAAGAAGTTCCTCCACGTGCCTCGCCACGCCTACCACTCGTCTCGCACCGCGGTTGACGCCGTGACGCCACTGTGTCACCAACTAAAAGACGGTACGATGGATTCCGTCAATCCATTGGGTGGCCATGACAATCAACGTGTCGATAGCCGACGAAAACCGACGGCGAACGATCGAATGCCACAAGCCGTTACTGGTCGACTTGCCGCGCAACCCTGTGACGCTGCGAGAACTGTTGGACGCAGCGGATGGCGACCCCGACGGCGGCGCCGTGACGCATTTCCGCGATCGCCCCATCCTTGCCGACGCCACATTTGACATTTCCGCGCCCATGCCCAAGCGCGACAGTACCAGTAGACGTACGTCCTGCTATCCCCGCTCAGTCGCGACTTACTGACATCGAGTCGTGCCATAGTTCCCAAGGCGCGGTACTTGATGCGGGAAAACTGCTCGGCACTGCCACATCAACACACGATATTTGACGACTATATCATTCCCCGCGAGGTGTGGGACGCCGTCGAGTCTGAAACGGCCCAGCCCAAGGCGGCGGCGCGGCAGCAGCACCGCTTCGACCCTATCGCCCTTGACGACATCCACGTCGTAAGCGTCCATTTCGATCAAACATTGATCACTCTGGATTCGAGTCTGCTTGATATATCTATTTATTTCATCGAGAACCTGTTGTTTTGCTTGTGCTGGTGGGTGTAGTCGTGCTACTACGCCCGGGCGTGCCCCCGCGAGCGCGACACGCTGTCGACGGCACTACACGCGATGACGCTTCGCACGGAGAAGCCGATGGTGCGCAACGTGACCGACATGGTACTGGACTCGCAGTTCCATGAAAAGAACAACACACTGCTGGGCCGAGAAGTCAAGATGCTGTACATGGCCACCAACGAAGCGTACCATGAGTTTCGCCAGCAGCTCCACCAGCCCATGAAAGTAGCCGAGCTCGTAGACATGGCCATCAAGTGCGCTCTGAACGATATGACGATGAACATGGACGATGCGATAGTGTCCACCGAAGCCATGGCAAGGAATTCCCATACCCACCATCCATTCATTTTCAACCCACATGGTCGTCTGTAGGTGCAAATTCCGCCGCATTTGGTGCCCCCAGTGGCGCAATCCCCTCACCACCACCGACGCAGCAAGGCCACGCCGTCGGCGCTATCTCCGTCAGTCGGGTCGAATCGAGGAGGTACAGTACATGCAAAAAGCGTTTCGGTTCGTGTTTTGGGGTCGACCAAATGCAAATGTCCGAATGGCAACGGGAAAAATCATTATCGATCGCGCGATGGAAACGTGACTGGCTGGCTGGCATTTCTGTTGTGTAGGCAAGGTCAAAACGTCGCGGCGAGACTTGATGGAACTCATGCATGACTTCGACGCGGACAAGCGCCTTGTGGGGCTGTGGAGTCAACGTCGAGGGGATGATGGCAGCCCCAACCGGCCGTTTGAACCCATGGCGTTGGATCCACTCTTGAGGTAGAGTGGAACGAGAACTTTGATGGCTTAGATAGCTCTGAATCTCAAGAAATATTTGGATGGACGGTAGCGTTCGGTTTGAAAACGTGTGGCGGGGACTCCTCATGCCCACGGCCATTCGTTTGGACTTGGCCCTCAAGTACAGTCACCCTGACCATGCGCACCGTCTGCCTGACGCGGTGCTGCTGTGGGAAGTGTGTGCCGCTTGGATCCAGGAGCGAGAAGGTATGTTGGATCAAGTCAAGAAGTTGCTCAAGGGGGGCGACCCCACCCGCATGGTAACTCCAACGATATGACAAGATATGTATACATATGTTGGTTATTTATCCAGTGTATTGGTGGTATGCATGATGGCGTGGGATGAGGTTAAGTGATGGTTTGGTGGTTAGGCGCTCAACGACGCCAAGGAGAAGCTGGTCGTGTTGACTGGCGTGACGAAAAAGGTCAAACAGTGCATCTCTTTGGCCCACGACGAAGTCGGCGACTTTGTACGTCCATATATTGTGTAGTCGTTCGTTGATAGAACGTTGTTGGTTGGTTGTGGTGTAGGTGACATTTGAAGACGAGTTTTACATTTTGCGCATCCACGACCAGCACAGACGACTGCAGTACGTCCATGTGGCTACTCTGTCTATATCAACTGACGGTTGTGGCGTGTTGTTGTAGCGACGAATTGATGGCAATGGCTAGCTGGCGAGACATGGAATAACTAGGAGGCAGGTTGCCACTCTCTGGCATATGCAATCTAGCTCTATACAGTATGACATGGAAGACAAACCTATACAGTATGACATGGAAAACAGTCTGACAGTGCCCATGGGACACATGTTTCGCTGCGATAAGATGATGCCACAGCAAGATGTGAGCCCACACAAGGGTCAAGTTGGTTTTGCATATTAAATAAAGAAACTCGTGTCTGAGCTACGTAAACGCTCTCTCATGCCGCCACGTCATCGTCCGCACTACTTTCTTGTTTGGATGACTTCTTGTCCTTTTTGCTCTTCTTGGCACGTTTTTTCGAGTCTCCAACAGTGTCAGTCACGACTTTGCCCGTTTGAATTGCATCCCGCAAGAGTTTGCCCTTGCACGAACCATAGGCCCGACGGCCAAACATTTTACCGCCGGTGGCAGCAAACAATTGCTCGTCCGTGGGCTCGTCGATCGGGTTGTCCGCATCGCGTTTGCGCTTGAGCTCCTTCTTGGCCTTCTTCTTTGCCTTTTTCGCCTTTGCAGCAGCATCGTCGTCGTCGTCGGATGCGTCGACCACAATCTTGCTGGCCACGTTATTGTACACGTTGTACCACCACTGGTTGGTCTGGTCTTCCTTTTCTTTGGTCTCGACACCCACACCGGCGTTCTCCTCGCGCCGCTTCACCTTGATGTGCGTCGCCATCCCTTGTTCGTCCTTGCCCAACCCTTTGCCTTCCGTCCAGCCCATCTTTTCCATCTGACGCTTGGCGAATGACGACACGCCCGAGGCGACGGCTTCGTTGGCCATGCCTCCCAGCTTCGCCTGGAACTTCTTTCCCACAAGCGGCATCGTAGCCACGGACATGCTGGTTGTCGTTGATGGAGTTGGCAACTTGAAATAAGTTCTGCGCAGCCAATAACATTTATAAGCAACAGCCAGCCGTTCGAAACAAAGTCACCGATTTACAAAACGAAAATTATTTTAATACACATGATATTTATTGTACCACACTCCGTGCACCTTTACAAGGAGGATGACCCAAACCAAAACAAATGACACGATGATGTCGTAACCAAAACAAATGACACGATGATGTCGTTGCTCCCTGCATGCATAAATGCCCATGGTTAGAAGGTTGCATGATATACCTACGGCTGTCCGTGAATTTATAACCCGCTGGTTAATATTAACATGGAAATCAGCGGTAATTTGTTTCGAACGGCCAAATCTATCCGGTTATCCCGGTAAATGATTGGTGGATTCAACGACGCTCTGTGATAGGCCAATGCATTTGACTGGTGTGAGCCTCAGCCAAGAAGGGGCAGGTGCACGGAGTATTCCCAAATTCATACTTTGACGAACATGTCCTCCGAACACGTCGACCAAGTAAGTTGAGCCCACCACCACCATGGATGGCATGGCCTTTGAGAGCCGCCATGGTCGCCACGTAGCTACCTCTGTGACGGGATGATGCACCTGTGCATCGTCGCCTTTCGAAATCACCACGTCAAAAATCACATGGAGATAGCTATTGGGGGAGGGTGATAGCTTCCCCAGGCGATAACCTCCGATCGAATGTGAGGACGCTAACGTGGCTGTGCTCGATAGACTGAAAAGGCCTTCCAAAAGCAAGACGGTGTCTTCCTTGCCTCGAAGAAATTCGCTGGCAAGAAGAACGGCCCCCGTTTCTACAAGTCCATCGGTTTGGGCTTCAAGACCCCCAAGGCTGCCATCGAAGGCGGTTACGTGGACAAGAAGTGCCCTTTCACCGGCAACGTCTCGATCCGTGGCCGTATCCTCAAGGGCGTGGTCTTGTCGAACAAGATGAAGCGCACGATCATCGTTCGCCGCGACTACTTGCACTACATCAAGAAGTACAAGCGTTTCGAAAAGCGCCACAAGAACGTGGCTGCCCACGTCTCGCCTGCGTTCCGTGTCAAGGAAGGTGACGTCGTGACCATTGGCCAGTGCCGTCCTTTGGCCAAGACTGTGCGTTTCAACGTGTTGGAAGTGGAAGCCGCCTCGGAAACCAAGCCCATCAACGTGCGCAAGCAATTCCGTCAATTCTAAGCGAGTTGTGGGACAGCTCTCTCTCAACCACAACATGAATTTGGGTTGCAAATTGCACTTTTGTGTTTTGTCCCAGTAGCTTTACGCACTACTAGTACAAGTAGGGTTTCGTACACTTTAGTTGGTGTACTTGTAGAAGACTCTACGATGCACGTTGGAACCCTTACTTATGTACCCACGGTACATAAGTGCATATACTACATACTAGTAGTACTGTAGTACTGTACTCAAACTTGACTTGTCTAGATTCCGGTATTGCTTGGACCCACTCTCAGTTGTGACTCCCGTGTATCATTCCACGCTAGGCAAATGCGTGATCAAGGTTTTACATGTGTATATTATAGCTTAGTCTATGCGTTGTTGTCATCGTTGACAACGGGTGGTGGCACACTGATTCCAAACTTGATCACTTCCAAGTCGTTGATGGCATACCCTCTCAGCCGAGCTTCGCCAAAGTCATGCAGCATCAACACACCCAAGAATGCTCCCACGGCAGCAGTACCTGCGCATAGACGCACGCGAATAGGCAGCGGCAGAGTCTTGGGTGGGATGTACCAACCGCCGAGCGCCGACGAGGCAACGACAAAGCCATATGTGGCAAAGTCGCGTTGGCGGATGGCTTCCTTGATTTGGCTCCAGCTTGGCTTGTCTTCGATCACTGGAAACTTTGGAAGCCGCGGATCTACCATCGGTTTCGGCGTCCGCGACTCGCCACTGACCGTGTTGCCCATGTGCCTTTATTTGTTGTTGAAAGCGTGGAGCATCCGGATATGTTTTATTATTCGGAATATGTAAAATAAAGGGACTTGTAACAAGTAAATGCAAAGTTGTCGAAGGATATTTGGTTTGGCAGTTTCAATTTCCACGCCACCCTTTTGCAGTGACTGAAGACTGACCGCAAGCAACATGTCGGCGCCGCCTCTCGACCCCCGCCTCCCCAAGTTCCCCGTCAAGATGAAGTACCCTTCCTTTAACGACACAACCAGCAACTTCAACTTCTCGGACTATGCGACAGTCGCCGTGTTCTCCGTCGTGTCCTTTGGTGCTGGCTACGTACTTGGCCGACCTGTCCGCGTGCCATCCAGTGTGGCCACCGGTGTGCTGGGCACAGTCGGCGGGTATCTGTATTCGTTCCAAAACTCTGCCGCCAGACTGCAAGGATTCAAGGAATAGGCGATAAGATATGGAGTTATAGGATCAACAACCACCGTATCCCAAATGATCTGTTTGTTCGTCGAGTTCATGCTCCCATGATAGTGCCATCTCGAATCGCATGGACGTGAAGGCACATTGCTGTGTGTCCGATGGGGTGATAGATCGTGTTATGGCCTTGGCCATGTATTCGATTGATTGTACAGTTGTCGACTATACGCAGCGCATCCTTGGACTAGACATCGACCTTACAATCACACATATGGACTCTGGGTTATGAAACACATCGTCGTTAGAGTCTTGTTTCTGAAATAACATGGCCTGTGCCTACGTCACGTTGCCTCACCTGGTGCAGAACTCTTGTCGAGCAGGCAGATATAGATGCACACATCGGGAAGTTTATACTCCAAATCATCATTTCAGTGTTTGGATCAGAGAGGGGAGGCGCTGCCCCGTTTCGTGGCGGCCAAGTCACCCCCCACAAGCACTCTGCCCCGCCGCCGACTGACCCATGTCACTGACTGCTGTCGCCATCGTCCAGAATGTAACGATCTATCTACCACGTTGATGTGGTAACAACGTGGTAGTTCATTGAGATAGTTACACTAGATGGTTTCCACCCACAACTCGAGTACGTTTTCAGCTGCTACGTTATTATTTATCTTGACGTGTTCATACACAACACACAATAATTCCCGTCAACTACCCATCCTTCCCAAGTCTCAAAACGTGGGGGTTTTCAATCGACATTGTGGCGATTACACTTCTACTTCGCCCGTCTTATCGTCGTCGTGACGCTGTGAAGGGAGGACATGTGTTGCAATAAATTCGCGAACCAACGTATACCGCGGGTCGGTGGGGGTCGGGGGTTTGCAAATGTCCATGTGGTGGGCGTGCGGAATCTCGTGAAACGTCGACAGGTGGATGTGCGGGTCAGCCGACTCTGGCTTGACAATCAAATGGTTGACACCTAGGCCCAGCGGCGCCGGCGCCCCTTCCCCGAGACTCAGCGACGGAATGTGCAGCCGCTCGAACGCCGCGTTCAGCGCCATGAGCCGGGCGTTGTTTGCATTCAGGTCCTTTGTCGCCGGGTGTGCTTGGATGAGCTTCCGAAGGGCGTCGTTGTTCAGCTTGGCGAGGTTCGCCCCCAGATGTGGCACGGCCATGAACACGACGCCCGCCGTCCGCCGCGCCAGCTCCTGCCCGCCCACCTCGGCTCGCCACAGCATCTCCTTCACCTATCGAAGCAAGCAACGTGATTAAATACATGATGGAAATGGATCTATGTATATAAAATTCGTTTCTATTATCTTTTGTAGCCCCCACCTCGTGGGGGTCACGACGTACCAAGAGTCCGCCCATAGAGTGTGTGATGAAAATCACCGGTCGGTCGTTCGCGCCAATGCGCGCGGCGTTCAGGGCGTCCAACATGACCTAATGGTAGTGTCATAGTGTTTCTAATTAGACTAACATCAAAGTGAACAAATAAGCACACGAATCGAATGGCTGGAATATCACTAGTTTACAGACTTGGAACCTGCGATCGGTAGAATGGTTGACCAACCTGTGCTCTTTCGTCGAGTGTCAGCGCTCGCCACGGAGAACTCCATTTGGACATGCCCGCGTCGTAGCCCATGGTCACGAGCCGCGAGTCGGGATGCAAATCGCGCATGAGAAACGCTTCTGGCCACATCGTACTGCGTTCCAGCATGTCCACATCCGTGCCAGACACCCCCATATCTGTGCGCCAGGTGCCTACACTTGGCTTGTTCAGTCGGTCATTTTTCATATAGGACGATTCTTTTTCATCGAAAAACGAAGGCATGTGTGTCAGTACCAAACGGGTGCCCCCGCAGTCCATGCACAAATACAACGTCGATGGGGGGTGTATTCGTGGTCGAGTGATTGTTGTAGTTGGCTATCGCGGATCGAGGCACGATCGGATATAACCCGTCCTTGTAATACACGGGCGGCGACTCGACTGTCTACCAGTCATAACATTCCCCACATAAGATGCCACCCCCCTTCTGATATACCCCCCCCCCCTCCACGAGGGGAATCCGACTAGAGAGGCTTGGGGCACATCACCATGTAACAAGTACATGAGGATGTAGTACCGTAGACACGGAGGACGAAGCAGCCAAGTTGGCCGTCGCGCGAAAGTAACTCGACCGAACGACGACGTTGGACTCTTCGGCCCAATGCAACAACTCTTGACTGAACAGCGCGCCCCCCAGCACGTCCTCCAGCTGCCTGTGGATGTTGCGGTGGTGCACGGCCAGATTGGCAATCACTCGAGCGCATTGGCTCTTGATCGCTTTGCTTGACGACTTGATCGCAGTGACTGCGACGAGGTTTAGCCCGCCATGGGTGACAAACGCGCGACCGGCAGCCGCGTCGTCGTTCTACACCTGGCCCATTCAGAAAATCATGCACTCCTATGTGACGACGATATAGCTTTTGTCTCTCACCACTAACACTGCCAGTGCCGCGAGGCCATTTTCAATCACTTGCGATCGGTAGGGCACATGCAAATGCCCGGGGGGTTGGTCAGACGTCATGTTGGCCAAGCTCTCGACGTTGGCAACTGCTCGCCGGCTTTCCAGAGACGTGGCCTACGAGCATATTGTCATGTAAAGCACACGAGATGTCGTTTGTGATATATTCCATGTTTGTTTCTAGTTGGAATGCAATGTACCTTGCTCGTAGCCAAGTGACGCAGGAGACTGACCATCCACGCTTGCAACACCAAGTGGCCGCGATGGTCGGGCCGCGGTTGCAACGCCAGATGTACCAAACTTTGGACGGCGTGGGCGCTCACCACCGGGTGTGCGCTCACTGACCACTCGGCGAGGACGTCCACCCAGCCGTACTTTGGCAGGATATCGTACTCCTACCATGATTCACACTGCACATTAAGATCTACGAAACTCCTACAGCAAACATGTTGTACATTCACATCGGGCAAGATGTCGTCCAGATGCCCAAGTACTTTGGCCATGGGCGTCTCAACGGTCGTGTGCAGTTCTGTTTGCAGCACATCGGCCAATGCATGCACGGCACTGGAGACGTGGATTTGAATGGCCATGTCAGAGCTACGAGACGGTGAATTTCGAGCGTCTGTGCCGTTGGCGTTGCCGCCATCGCGGGTGATACGCGCCAAGTGCAACAAGGCGTCGTGGGCTGTGGTTGAGCGCAGCAAGTCTTCCGGAACTTGCTGCGCGAGTAGCTCCAAGCACTGTGCACTCAACAACTGCATGTCGGGGCTTGTATCCCGAGCCCACATCGCCACCTAAGCTCGCATCCAAGTACACCGTCAACGCCTGGTTTTAACATTGCCGTTGAGACTGTGGAATTCGCATAACAAATATGAGCGAAACAAAAAATCGCTAACAACTCCATTTCCTCTAAACTAGATGAGTGCTAGGCATGATACGTTACAGAATGAAAGCGCTGAACTATATCAAATTATACAGGTGCGAACATACCTGATGACACCAAAACTTGGGCGCGACGGGATGCAGCGTACTTCGCATCATGGCACCGAGCAAGGCGGCGGCATGTAGCTTGAGAAGGGGACTTGGTTGTTGCTGTGTGGTCATGGCAAACAGAGCAGACGACAAGTGAAAGTTCAAGTGCGCTCCGACGGCGTGAAACAGGTCGGGGTTATGTCCTTCCAAGTGATTCAGTAAAGCCCGCATTGCCCACATGCTAAACTATGATCACAAAAGAGTGTGAAATCTATGGATAAGGTTCTTTTTATCGTACCAATTTAAAGTCGATGGACGTGGACCCAACGATGACTTTGCACAACCGGTCCATGATGGCGTCGGTGGCGTTGGCATTATACTACCAGGCACTTACTTATCAGTGGACTGTCAAGGGAGAATGGTCTTGACCTACCACAGGACGAAGGGGACTATCCGGCGACGAACATTTCTCTCGAATTCGAGTGAACGCTGCCTCGAGTTGGACCAAATCGAGCGACGAGATGGCCACTGGCTTCGGATCGTGTGGCTGCCGGTGCACGATAGCTGGCGACAACTGCAGCAACAAGTGCGAGCTCTTTTCAATATCCACCAACACGTCGTCGGCGCCAGTCGTGATGGCGAGCGCTGCGATGGCTTGTACAATGCCTACAAGCAAGAGTTCGTCGGACTTGACCTGGCATTCGTCTTTACGTACGTTCTTGCAACTTTGGTTCGGTGGTATGCATGCACGTGTCCATGAGTACGGCCATGCCGCCGTGGTCGACCACTGCTTGGCGGAACACCTGCTCCTTCGCTATGGCCACGAGAATGGAACTGGCGCGCTCGTCCAAGTTGGCGCCGGCGTCTGGAAGGTTGTGCGTGGCCGTGTCCAGCGCATCCGAAGCACCATGAATGTCACTTAGCACTTTGCCGAGCGACAGCAGCGCATGCAACGAGCGCACGTTCTCGTCGCTAGATGCGACAGTGTACGCTCCGAGCGCCGCGCCACCCACGAGCACCGCGGCGATGGCAGCCCAGCGACGCGATGGAGTGGACACATCGGTTTCTTTGGTAGCTGCCACTGACGATAACGCGCGAGCGTGCTGGGATAGCGCTCCTCCTTGGTGCAGCAATGTGGTCGCAGCCTTCGCGAGCCGCTGAGCAGTGGCAGGGACGGGTCGCATCTTATTGTGGTTCAACTGCCACGCCGCGGCGTTGAGGGTTCAAAGTGCGTTTTCATTGGTTCATAATTCGAATTCCAGCCAATGAAACGACGACTGCAGATTCAAGTTACCTTTTCAATTTTGACAAAGTGTTGACAAAGTAGTAATACTATTAGTATTACTACTCTGTCAATAGTAAGTTTAGTATACTAAAAACGTCAGTACTACGTAGTATTTGTGTAACGTTCGTTCTCTATTGTGTGGGATAACTAGCATGTTTCGATGGAGTCTATCAATCGCCAGAGCTCTGAAGGCCAGACGTTTGGTGCTTCACCGAGGACTTGAGTGTCTGCTGCGTGATGGAGGACTGGTGCAGCAGCTCCATCATTTGCTCCTGCATTTTGCGCTGTTCTTCTTGGGCAGCTATCTGCGCTTGCGATCGAAGTGCATGGTGCGGGGCAGGCACGACCATGCTGCCGTAGCTGCCGTGACTGCTACTGCTGGACGAGCCGGCGCCGCTGGGGGTTCCTGTGTAGCTGTGCAATGGCACCATGTCGCCGTGTGATGAAGCAGGCAATGGTCGCCGGGGGTAGTTGGATGTGTAGGCCGTGTCCACCACGACCTCGTAAGTGTTTGGTCGGGCGGCATGTGGTTGTTGTCGCGGCACCACCAAGCTCGACGCTAGCTGTTTCTTGCCCAACGCTTCACGGCGTTCTTGCATCGACACCATCGCAAGATGCGCCAGCTTCTCCATGAGCGCCACCTGCGCTTGCGCAAGGTGCGTGCGGGGCTTGGAGTCGAGCACACACACGGCGCCGACGCACAGTCCGTCCAGATCAAAGAGCGGCGCGCCGGCCAGAAATCGGACCTGGAGGGGCCCGGTCACGAGGGGGTTCATTTCAAACCGGGGGTCTCGCCACGTATCGAGAACGACTACCGCTTGCTTCTTCCGAACGGGATATTCGCAAAAGCTAAAGTCACGTCCAATGTCTGACTCGCGGATGGTAACTTTGGACTTGAACCATTGGCGGTTGCCGTCGAGGATGTGCACCACCGCAAACTTGCAGTCGAGCGCTTGGGACGCCAAGTCGCACAGCAAGTCATAAATATCTTCGGGGGGCGCGTTCGACGTGTCCAGGGGGGCTGTAGCCGAGCCGTCGAACGGTCCCCCTGCTTCGCCAAAGCCCGCCATGAGCCGCTCGACAATTTCGCGCTTGGACGGGTCCCGCTGGGCAATTTGGCTGAGCCAGGACAACCCCACCGAGTCGGGGACTACTCCCCTCGACGACAGCGCATTGGCGGCGGTGGCGGCTACGGACGACGACGGGACGGCCAGCGCGACCTGCTGATCCGAGTATGGCAAAGGGGGCGGGGGTACGTCGCTGTGGTTTTTCTTGAGCACAATGTCGTCGATCCCGGTGCCGTCAAAGGAAGACGACGACGTCATGAACGACGTGGACGATGGAACGAGGCCGCTAAACGACATTTTGCCGTCCGAGCACGATTTGCACACGCGCATGGTCGTGAGCCCAATCGACGGCAAGTCGACCGAGTTGTTGAGCGAGCACTTTTTGCAAATGACTTCGCCACATGCGCGGCAGTGGTGCTTGCGGCGGATGCCCGTGAACGTCTTCAAGCACAGGTAGCAACACGACCGCTCGTGGTCGGCCACCCACGTCGGGTTTTCCCGCGTCGTGAGCAGCCGGCTGATGCGGCGGGTGTGGACGCTTTCCTGGATGTTAGCGAGGGATTCTGCCCAGCATTGCAAGGACGCGCGATTCGACCTCCGCGTGGTGCGGACGCCCTACGTGTGCATGGACAATGAGCAACAACGGGGGTGGCGGGGGGTGAGGGTCGTACCGGGGGTTGGCGGATCGAACAAATAAACTGCGCTTCGATCGTACCAATCTCGTCTGTGGGGCGGAATAGGTAGCCGCATTTGGAAATGGACCCGCGCTCGAGTCGGTGCGAGTCGAATAACGACGGGCACTCGGCTTGCTCGATGCTCTCGTACAAGCACACGCCGACCATCTTGGACGGGTCGCCTCCAATGTAGTCGGCAGATAACACCCCAGCATATTCCAAGATGCAGAAATCCTGCGACGGCGCCATAGGCGACTTGTTCTTGAGCGCAAACCACTTGATGCTCAAGCTCTCGGAATCGTTTTGGTCGCGTTGGTAGATCACGGCGCTGTCCAGAGACAAGTCCTTCAGCAACATCTTCATCATGGACCGGAATTCGTGCGTCGACGTCGAAATCATCATGTCCATTACGTCGTCCAGCGTCGATTGCACGGACGTGACGCCGCGGATGCTATAGAACAGCCCGCCCTTTTGGCGGTCTTCGCTCACCGTTACGCCTCGCTTCTCGTGCGAATGCGTCCATTCCGAATCGGCCGAGGTCATGGATGTCACCAAAGTTCGAGCCCATGTCAAGAGCTCGGCCTCCTCTGTCTCTGAAATGTACGGCGCGGCAAAGAAGCCGCTACGGAGGGGCAAGGAACGCACCATCTTCCTGCCACCTTTGTTTTTTTGACTGACGCTCAAACAGCAAGGTATTTTTTTAAATTGCCAAGCGATTAAAATGGAGGCGTATCCGGATGACGTCATTACTGCCCTTTCTGCGCCATGGCTAAAAATAGATCGTATCCGGATAGTCGGCGCAGACGAGGCAGTTACGCGTTGTGCAGTTCAGCTAACGTTATGGGCGGCTACATGAGAACAGCCATCCAGTTTACCGACACCTCTCATTTCCAGCCCATTTGCGGCCCACTTCACTGAATCCAGCATGGAATATCTTGCGACCAAAGTCGCTGCGTAGGGATGTCTTTGTAGCGATGACGAACCGTTGTTCCACTTCAAAACTCTTGCTTGGAGGCCCCTCGTTTGACAACCAGAGATGGCCTGAGTTGAACCATTCGCAAAAGCGTTAACGTTAGCGTAGATGTCCAGCAAAGTTAACGTCAACGCTTTGCTATTTACATTGTAGTGACCACAAGAGTACTGTATTGTGTTGGTGTCGACTCGAGTTCAACTCCATTGTGGGTGTAACGAGCCATGGTCTACAGTATTACTACTATACAATTCGTAGCTACGTTATTTGACATCCTTGAACAATTATACCGCTTACTCCACGGGGAGTTCATTCATCGTTGTTGCCTTGAACGTCATGAAGGGCGCGACGATATTCGCTCGAGCCGTGGTCGCCAAGTTCATCCACCAGTGCAGTTTCTAACAAACACGCATTGGGGAACGATCCATGCGTACTGAGTCAGTGGATGATGGGCCATCACGGGCTATCATTGGTGGTCATTGGACCTAATAACATGAGCGACAACGGGCCAAACGCATTGGCGAGCGCGGGACCATATATATCACGATGGTCCCCAACGAGGAAATGGAACGGCCCGGAAAACCCCATGGCTCTATATAAATACACTTGGCGCGCTTGACAGGTTCCACGGGTCACATGAGACTACGACCGCCGAAATACAGCAGCCAGATGCCTACAATCCCCATCATGGATGTCGAAATCGAGCCAAACAACATCCGCACTTGAACCGGATGCAATTGTTGAAATACCACGGTGTCCCTTCATGAGGTGTTCGGGATCGCGGACCCATATGCGAGCAGCGATGGGAGCAGCCAGAGGCGTACTAGGACGCGACATTGCTGAGGATATCTCGACGACTTATGCAGGCGGTACGGATGAAGAGCAACGACCAAAGCGACAGAAAAGCAGGAATGGGAACATGTAGTGAAACAATAGCGACTTCTCTTTGAATCGGGAGTGTTAGAACGTGCTCGTTTGTCAGCGAGTGCCACGTTGTCACGTAGTGCCAAAATATAAACATGAGCCCGATAGGTCGAAGTGTGCTTCAATCTTATTCGCGACATTCAGTCGAAACCATTCAACCGTCCAGTCATTGGCGGTGCCCTACCTAAACATGAGCATGCCAAGATGTTATGCTCTCTTGCCGCACGACTAATATTTCGCTGAACATGAACACCAGTTCATGACTTACGCGACGTCCAACTGGTTTCTCGAGCATTCTTCCACTCGTCAGAATATGCCGTCGTCCAATACCACTCCACGGATAGCACTCATATGCACCGAAGTATAGTAGAAGCCGATCCCCTCCGCCACCACAGCCGAAGAAACTCACGAATGTCGCTCAGTCTGCCAAAATACGCCATGTCCTCCGCACCACAATCCACCATCATGGTTATCTTGAGTCGTTGGTTACTCAGTTGTGCCGAGAAGTGGAAATGCCACCAGATGTCACTGGTCGCTGTGGACGACTCTAGGTCACCACCATTGGTTTCGATGATCAAGCTATACCGTTGACCCATGGCGGCGGACTATGGAAGTCGATCCTGGGTTAGCCAGGCCGAGCGACGTTCGTGAGTTTCTTGCGCGACTTGCAGTAAGTTGTGGTGGCAGAAATCGTCTCGTACTTTACTTTGTGCTCAAGAGTGCTGTCGACGGGGTGGCCTTGGACATTTTGACGTGTGAAGGAATACTTGAGAAACTGGTTGGATGTCGCGTAATCTTGGAAGGCGCGTTCGTAATCGTGTTGATTTATTCGTGATACATGCGGTAAAGCTCGTCGTCATCACGGAACAAGTGTTGATGGACAATACAGGTATGCTATTTATGCTTCGAGTCGCGAATACATCCCGGAGTCACTCGATTATGCAACAGCCAATTTTTATAACCGGCAGCCCCTTCGTACCGTGAATTGTAATGCTAAGTTAACGCCAACATTTAATATTTAACTCCCCTAGGACCATTTTAAGCCTTAACCGCAAGTTAGGCATTAAGTAGATACGAACTCTCCCCAGTGAATCACCGTGCGCTGTTTTGGCGGGGGAATGACATTTGAGATTTGTGCTAGTTGATTGCCATGGTCGATGATCGGAAAACACTATAGTACTTGTATGCTATATATACTAATGCAATTTGCATATAAAATACTTCGAAGTACTATTTTAACTACCCACCATATATCCCAAATTACCCCGTGCTGTCGCGGGACAAAAAGCTCTGTTCGTTCGACGTGGCAGGGACGCACTCGTCGGTGCCACTGCAGACATGCTCTTGTCCATGCACGCTCAAATGGTGAACCACCGCGCCTTCCCCAAATAACTGCAACGAGAGCGATCCAAACGCAATCGCTAACAACACGATCGAGTCCACTCGCTTTGGGAACACGGTAAGCGTCACCAGCGCACACACCACCGACAGCAATGGGGATGCAAATGTAAAGCTCCACCACATGACTTTGAGCTGCTTGACGATTGTGGGGTCGGTATCTTTGATACTTCGGCCTCCAAAGTGTAGCAGTCGAAGGCAGAGAATTCCGGCCATGGAAATCGAAATGGACCCAAATATCAGCCACACGTGGGCACCGTCGTGGACCGGCACGTCCTCCTTAACATCGTTTGCCACGATGGTAACGCCAACTCCAAACCCTAACAAGGCCGCGAGCAGCACGTAATGCACATACATGTACGCGAGGCCAGCCCAAACGGAGCGTCGCATGGCATGGAGGCTTCGAGGGGGCTGAGTGCCAAAGTAAAAGATAGCGAGAGCAAAGATAACCATCAGTGAAAGCACCATTGTCGAGTAGAACTGAGTCGTGGCCCCCTTGCCACTTTGTTCGAGGTTCAGGATGGACTTGAGGACTGCTTCGCCCAACACAACCAGCACCATACACCCACAGCGCTCGCTGTAGTGATCAATGTTGACGGCAATGCGCAACGCGGAGTCGGTGGTCGTGCTTCGCGTGAGAGTGACTATAGGCCGCACAAAAACAGCAACGACAAGCAGCACGAGGTACGATGGAGTCAGACCCAACCCGGGCAGCACCAAACACGCTGCCAAGGCGATGATGTCGACTGCAATCATGGCCATCTCTGTGGTAAGGTAGTCGCGTGCCGCGGGCATGAGCAAAAACGTGTTGATGTACATGCCTGCAATGGCAAGTCGGGTGATGAGCAGGCCAAGGGCAAAGACGGAGCCGGGTTCACTGGAGAGAACCATGCCTCCAAATCCACAAAGCAGCCCAAAGAGCAGCATGTAATGCAACAGGCTGTTCTCATTGAATCGCGAGTTGTAGTGGGTGTACAGCTGCCACGTGCTGAAGTAGAGGCAAAACAGCACCACAAAATGAGCCACTCCCCCGCCGTCCAAGTTGGCTTGGAGTTTGCGGGCAATGTCCGAACATACTGCGACCATCATGAGGTCTAGAAACAACTCGAACCATTCCGCCGCCTTTTGGTCGTAGTCCTCATTCCAGGCCGCGCTCAACGTTGGCGGCTCGCGCAGGGATCGCAACATTGAATTGTTCCTGTAACGGTCTCTGTCACGATTGGCCAATCAGTTTTGAGTATCCGGTATTGTATCCGGATTTGCGCACTCCACTCCAGTCAACAAGCACCATGTTGTCCCGACAATTCCGCCATGTCATGCGAACTCAGCGGCACCGCCAGGCAACAAGTCGACGCCTTACCTCCGATGCAAAAGCTGCGGAAGCTAAAGTGGCAGAAGGCAAAGCTGCCGAGACAGCGACCGAAAGCAAAGCCGCAGAGGTGAAGGCTGCTGCCACTGAGACCCCCACACCTCGCCCTGGCTTCTTCAGCCGCCACCCCGAAATCGTGTTCCTGGCAGGGTTGGTGGGAATCGGGGGCTACATTTACCGCAGTAGCGTGAACAACAAGAAATTCAACGAAGTGCAAAACGATTTGGCCGAGAAAACACCCATTTCTCCGTATGAAGCGTACGAGTTGCGTTCCCAAAATGCCATCACGTACGGCCGCCCCTTCTGATTCGACAAATACATGTATCCCGACAAATACATGTATCCAACCTTGATGGCATAGCCCAGAGGTATTTGACGCGGTGAAGAAGCAAGCGAAGCGATACTTTCCCTCCAACGAAGCCACCGTGGCCGAGTTCGACTTGTGTTTGGGCAGCGTGTTGCAAGGCACGGCCATGAAGAACACGGTACCCAATCCACAGCTCATGTTCAAGTGCATCAAGTGATTTCTCGTGTAGCATCATTTGGAGCGCGTGCTCTTGAGTTTGCCCAAGAACATCAACGGCAAAATCGACGTCGATTTGCTCTTGGTCGCGTTTTCGTTGGCCGTAAAAGGGTCGGTGGACGAACGACTGGAAAGTTTGTTTGCATTGCCGCTGGCTGCCAAGCTCACGGGCAGCTCGACTTTGACCAAGGCCCAAGTCGAGCACGTTCTAGGTACAAAACCTTCCCGTGCATTGCTGATTAACAGTTGTTGTGGTTGGTGGCTAGGCCATGTGCTGGATACGTACCAAATTCCGTCGGAGAAGCGTGTCGTGGCGCTGGAAGACAAGGCGTATCCGTACCAGGAGTATGCGATTGCCACTCCCGGTCAAATCCTGGACGCGGCCGTGGCAACATCCGTGAAGGCCAAGACCCTCGACGAAGGCACGGAGCAATTCAACCTCGATCAATTTGCCCTCTTGATGAAGTCCAAGGCCATTTGTGTGTGGGGCGAATGCTACAACAGCTCGAGCAAAAAACGCATGAAAAATTAGGCTTTATCAAACGGTAAACCTTGCCATCAAAACAGTAGAAAGGACAATTTGTCAGGTTAATATCCGGATATTTTCGACGTGCCATCTGACTGGCCAGGTGGTGAGTAAATCCGGATGACATGCTTGCGATTTTACAGTAGCATCCACGTGACGGCGCAACGAGAGTATTTGGGCAGGGTGTGCTGCGTTAATTTCACGTCATTCGCCGGCCGCAACGTCCATATCGTTATGTATCATGTGTTGAGTTCGTTTGACCCTTTGATTGTGCCAAGAATAACGCCATGTCAGGGAGTTTTCGCTGATACGCGTATGATGCAACAATTGCATTGAAACGAACCAGGTGGACTTTATCCGGATACCACGATAAGAATCCACAGGTTGAAGTCGGCCTTTTTACTTTTTGGCAAAGTTCCCTCGGAGGTTTTTTCGACTTCACCACTCATTTTACATCGACAGACGTGATGCTCGGACAAGTGCAACGCCGTGGCTTCTCCAGCGTACGTCATGCCGCTGCCTCATGCTCGTCTTACATGACGATGACTGACTGGTGTAATGTAGCTCAAGAAGACTGCTCTGTATGACCTCCACAAGGAGTTGGGCGGCAAGGTGCGATCTCCCCCACTCCTCGCAATAAGGATCCGCTAACATGATGGGGTGTAGATGGTGGATTTCGCCGGGTATTACATGCCTGTACAGTACCCTGCCGGCATCTTGAAGAGCCACAACCACACCCGTACCAAGGGCCTGGCGTCGCTCTTCGACGTGTCCCACATGGGACAACTCAAGTACGTCTTCCGTCGCACATCTTCTTCCAATTCCATAGTGTCTCATGTAACTATCTCTCTTTCTCTCCATATAGGATTACCGGCAAGGATCGCGTGCGTTTCTTGGAATCCATCGTCGTGGGGGACATTGCGGCGTTGACCAGCGGCGAGGCCAAGTTGAGTTTGATCACCAACGACAAGGGCGGGATCATCGACGACTGCGTCACCACCGCGTACGACGACCATTTGTACGTGGTCGTGAACGCTGGCAACCAAGACCTTGACTGGGCGCACATGCAAACGCATTTGGCCAAGTTCCAAGGCGACGTCAAGCTCGAAAAGATCACCGACCGGTCGTTGGTCGCGTTGCAAGGCCCTGGCGCGGCTGAAATTGTGTCGGCGCTCCTGCCGGCGTCCGTCAACTTGGCCGACAGCAACTTTATGACTGGCCAATTCACGCACCTCCTCGGTGCCGATGTGATCCTCACCCGTTGCGGCTACACGGGCGAAGACGGCTTTGAAGTGTCGGTGCCTTCGTCCCAAGTGGAATCGTTCACCCGCCAATTGCTTGCCGACGAACGCGTGTTGGAAGCGGTGCGTTGCTAAACTCGCTGCTATCAACTGTTTCTACACTGGATGCTGTGTGTACTAGCTACTGCATCAATTTGATGCAGTAGTACCTTCTAGCTCACGTGAATCCAGTGGGACGAAAGGACAGTGATCGCTCATGGTGCTACTATCTGGTAGGGTTTGGGTGCCCGCGACAGTTTGCGGTTGGAAGCGGGGTTGTGCTTGCACGGCCACGACATTTCACCCGAAACGACCCCCATCGAAGGCGCGTTGGCGTGGACAATGAGCAAGCGCCGTCGCGAAGAGGGCGGGTTTCCTGGAGCGGACATCATCCTGGACCAACTGAACAACAAAACGTTCACCAAGAAGCGTGTGGGGTTCACGGTGGAAGGCGCGCCGGCCCGCGAAGGTGCCGAAGTGTTCAACCCCCAGGGCGAGCGCATCGGCACGGTCACCAGTGGCACGCTGAGCCCCACGTTGAAGCAAGCGTTGGGCATGATGTACGTGACCAAGGGCAACTTCAAGATCGGAACGGAAGTGCACTTCAAGGTCCGCAACAAGGTCCAAAAGGGCAAAGTCGCCAAGATGCCGTTTGTCGAACCGGGGTATTACAAGAAGGATTAAGCGCCACCATGTTTGTTACAACGAACTATGTTAAGCGTGCAAAGAAATAATTTCCAGTGAATTGTGAGGTTTTTGGTCGTTTTCGTTTAATTTGGGGGGGGTCATCGAAGGATCATGAACGGCATCACTTGCGACTCGAAAAATTGTCGCATATGCGGCTGCACCACTGATGCCAGCATCCCTTCCAGCGCACACCCCGGCACGGCATACAACTCCATGATCTCGCCAAAGCTCGCCGGTAGTTTCTTCCTTGAAATCGGCGATGTTGCCGCGTCCGCCGGACGGTCCACTTGTACGCGAGCCCGTCCGTCGTTGTAGATTTGGTATGCGCGCATCAATGCTTGCTCAAATTGCGTGCGGACTGTTCGTCGGCGGTGGATCTCCTCGATCACATCGGCTTGGACAAACAAGTACTGAATCTTCACGCCGCCAGCAGCCCCCCCCTTGACATTGCCACCGGAACCGACGCCAGTGACATGCACCGACCGAGTTGGGGCCGATGTGGTGGGGACGTTGACTGCCTTGTTGACCAAGTCGCGCGTACTCTCCTCGTCCATTTCCTGCACTTGAACACACATCGTTGACCCGAACACTCGGTCTGGCATTTGCTGCAAATTGGCTGTCACGAGGGGGTCCACTGGGGACACGCGAAGGCTGAGGCGCCTTGACGGCATGGAACGATCGATGCCCACTGACACTGTCGACTTCGCGCCGGACTTGATCGACTGCGCGATATTGCGCATGAGCGACGACGCCGCCGCGCGTCGTTGGAGGTCCTCGCGGTGTTTGGCGCCGCGCTGCAGTTCCATGCGATGCAGCCCCGCGCAGATGTCTTCGAGGGTCGTGCTGATCTGGTAGTTGGCATGGTAATCCAAGAAGGCGCAGCGCAGCCGCGCGATGGACGCCGGCGTGAGCAAGGCAAAAAGGTTGGTCCGGGATTCGGATTCCGCTGCCATGAGGATGGCTTTGGCCACGATCACACACTTGGCAACCGTCACGGTGCTGGGATGGTCCAGCGCGCACAAGAGAAGGTCCAAGGAGGACGACGTGCGTAGCCACAGCTCGGGGGCCAGCACTGCGTCGAGCACCAATTTGTACAACGTGTGGACAGCATCGATGGCGATCTTGGTGTGGTCGGTGGCGCAGAGGCTGCTCACGATGCGAACGTACGTGGCTTTGTGCAGTCGGAGGTACCGTGCTTGGTAAAGTTGCAAGAGGTACATGGCCGCCTCGAACATGGCCGATTTGTCGGCGACCACGGTGCACGTCACCATGACATCCTTTGCAAGCCGAAACAATTCGTCGCAGTGCTGCACCGCGTCGACTGGGTCTTCGTTTCGGGACAGCCATTGCTTTTCTCGAATGCGAATCACTCCAAATACCGTGGTCGCGACCATCGAAGACGATCTGGCCGAGATGGGCATAGCAAACGATCGCAACTTGGGGGGGCGAATCGACGCTGCAGGAGCATCGGGGGTACCATTATCAGTCGTAGCTGCTGCAGCTACATCTGCCACTGCAGCAGCGGCGACGTTAGGGGGCGTCTCGGCGGCGGTCGTCGTCAGCTCGGCGAGTGCAGTCGTGCCTGCGGTCCGGGACAGCCGGCCGCTATGCCCCGATACTTTGGACAACAATGCCAAGTGAGTCATATCCACGGATGCTGCTGAATCGTCTTGCAACACATCTAGAACCGACGCTAGTTATAAATCCACATAATGGATCGACAGTCCCCTTACCACTGAGGTGGTCGATGCGCGCAATTTTCACTTGCGTTTGCTTGCTGGAGAGGAGTTCGGATTTGGCCATCCCGGCCTTGGTCCACTGGACTCTGTCGGGGTTTTCTCGATCCTTGAGCCAGAGTTTTGGGGGTAGCGCCTGCATTTCGTCCTCCGGCTCGCCAAACTGCCCTTTGGCCTTGCGGAAATTCTACTCGTACAATGTACAGAATGAGACGATTCGTATCGCTCGTTCGACTACAACGACGACGATGGCCGTACTTTGCAGTGAAGAAACCAGAGGGTTCGAAGTGCGTGCGTGCGGCTTTGCGGCTCCGCGTCACTGGATCGAGCGATCGAGTACAGTCGCGTGACAATGAGCAAGTAGTCTTCCGAGCGAATCTTCATCGGGTCCGCATACAGCGCCGCGATAACCCCTGCCAGTTGCGGCCGCGCTTCAGGCATGACCAAAAGATCGACGATTGGGCGGTACGGAATGTAAAACAGCTTGGCACGGCGGTCGTTGATGGTCCACGCCACGAGCCACACGACGGGCAAAGGCACCAAACTGTAGTACAACGACGAGATGGACGTCCCCGTGACGCAAAACAAAAACACACACACGCTCGAGTAGACCGAGCTGGAAAAGCTCACGACACGGATGTTGTTGGGGATGCGGCCGCTGCCAATGCACTAGTCGTCGTCACAAACGTCGTAAGCAACTTCTAAGAATATCAAACACGATATTACCGGCTGCGTTTTGTACGAGTACACCAGCAGGTACGTGACCATGATGAGGAACGCGCATGCGATGGGGGTGGCCCGCGCAGGGTAAATGTGGACGTTGAGCAGGACCACGAGGATGGATACGATGGGGTTGACTAGCCACAAGAAGATATTTTGGTACATTCAGGATGACTGGTAGAATAGACGAGTATATAAGTATTGTCCCCTGACCTGTCCGAGCCATGGCCATCATGATTTGAAAGCTCGTTTGAAATCGAAAGTCCATCGTGGTGCCGTGGGGTTCAATGTGCATTTTGTAGTACATGGCGCTGCAGTAGAGCAACACGAATCCGCCAAATCCAATCGCCTAATGATTGATATATATGTCATGTCAACGCCCCCTACTACTACTACTGCATGGACAGCAATGTACCCAAAAGCCCCCAAATTGATCGACGCATTCGCACGTGGCGCCGCTGGCAAGGGCAATGTGGGCAAACCCTTCGGGACAAGTGCCGATACGAGCGAGGAGGGTGGTCGTAGGGATGAAAAACAGATCAAACGTGATCGGATACAACGCTTTCTTGAGAATGGCGTCGCCTAATCCAACTCAGGTTTAACACTTTTTCGAGTGCGGGAAGGCCGTACCGGACGCGTTTCGCTTCCAGTTGCGCAGGACAACAATGCCCAAGCCACAGCATGCCACCAAGACGACCCCGAAGACCTACACACGTATTCGTTTGTATAGCATAATCACAAACAAGAGTCGTCGAATACCTCCAACGCAGCATCCACATTCAGGTTCAAGCCCCGTAACAGCCCTTCTTCATTGGAGATTTTGAATGCGATCGTGAGCGGGGTGAACGTAAACGTCGGCCACTCGGCCCAGATGGCACATAATTTGATGTATCGCAGCAGCCACGGTCTCCTCACAGACGTGGATTTTCGCTGTGACAAGGCGATGGCAATTCCTGCGCCGCCAATATCATTGTTTGAACCAAGAGTGAATGCAATACACAGACCTTGTCCGAGCGGATCATGTATCGTCGTGTCGAATTTGAGCGTCCCAAACTGACTCAGCGCGTATGTTCCTGCAAAAAACCATACGAGCCACACTAGACCCACGGGAACTTTTGCGAGCCAGTCGTAGCCGCAAGAGCTCCAGTCACTTTTGTGGCATGTGCCCACTGTGGCATTCCAGAAGCATTGCAGCGGCTTGTCGTGCGACGTGTTCATTTCGTTTCGGCAAGGCTAAGGGCGACGAATGCAGCGCCAAAAATACTTTTCATGTTATGCCTTCCACTTCGGTTTCATAACCAAACCCTTGTAACCCCCGGAACTTATACGCTGCACGCGATAATAATGGCGCGACGGGGGATAGTTCTGGCGCTAACTTCTGTGGCGTCCGGCGAAATTATTTTCGTGGACCCTGTTCGCGGAGACGATGCCTCTTTGGACGGCAGTTTTGCCAGCCCGTTCAAGACCATCCCCCGAGCCCAAGCCGCAGTGCGAACCCTACTCGTCCAACAACTTGCCGCCAATGCTTCGGCCCCTGTGGATGTAGTGTTGCGTGGCGGAACACACGTGCTAACTTCAACATTGGAGTTCGGCCCCCTAGACAGTGGACTCTCTGCCGCAGGCACCGTCACGTACAAGCCGTACTGTGATCCATTGCACCCTTCCGATATGTCCATCACGCCATTTCCATACGTCATGGGAGCGTCCACTCCACTTCGGTCTGCTTGTCTACGACGACGACAACTCCTATTTACATCGGCGTAGGTACTTGTGGAATGGCATAGGGGATGCGAATGCATGGCTAGGGCCTGACGACCCGCTGATTCAGCTGGGTGTGAACCCCCTCAACAGAACGCTACCACCCAAAGTGCCGTGGCCAGGGTCCACCGACACATGTGTGGACAAAGTCAATGTCGGCCACACATGCTACTCTACCACGACCGCCCCTTGTGTTCAAGATTGCATGGCTGCATGCCAGCGAAATGTCGACAAGCGCGTGTACTCGGACGCCGTGTACAGCGAATTCTACCTCTTGTTTGGCCGAGTAGGCGATCATATATACATGCATTAGTATGTTTCACGCGTTATGGTAGGATCTGACCAAGGAGGAAGAGTGCGTTGAAACGTGTTCTGTGTCGTGCACAACTTGCGAAAGGGTAATGTTGTCCGATGGTGTCAGAGTGTAGATGCTCATTGGCATGATAGGTGACGATTTCCGGCATGCAGACAGTTGTGAACGGAGCATGGACGCCCTACACGCCATCTAGTTGGCACCTTCCCCAAACTACGATATATGCGTTGGACTTGACGTCGCTCGCGATTGCGGATCCGCCCTCTGACTTATATCTGAATGGACTTCGGCTGCCCCCAGCCAGCGTCCCCAACGTCGTTTTCGTCCGTTTCATTACCCATCGATCCCATCCTATACCTCACATTGTGTGCTTAGTCGGACAACGATACGCAGTGGACCCCACAGTATGCTCCCGTAGACGAATCAAAGTCTACTGGTCGAGTTTTGATCTACAATGCGACTACGTTATCATCCAAGACGACCCACTGGACCCAACTAGCTTTCGCTCAAGTCGACATTGTTCGAATGCCTTCGTCGGGAGGTGGAAATTCTCGCCATGCGATTTACGCCATGAATCAAACCACCATCGACTTGGATGCTGGCGGCGGTACTCTACAATATTAACATCCTCCTCCTCTTGTATTTGAACTGTGATCGATCAACAGGACAATTAAACGGCGACGAGTATTTCCATGGCCCGGCGTGGCCTACTGTGACGGGGTTTCGGGTGGAAAATATCTTTGAAGAGGTTCGAACATTGGGTTGTTTTAGCATCTTCTTATGCATTATCGTATGTGACCACGTAGCTGGACGCGCCCGGCGAATGGGTACTAGTTCCATCCTTGCAGGTGCTGTTTTATTCACCAACTAACGTGATAGTACTACGACTCAACGACGTCGACCTTGTATATGATCCCGCCGCGTGGTGTCATCCCAAGCGAGTCGACGATCGAATTTCCCCGCCTGAAACAGCTCATCCGAGTCCGCGGCACCCCAGGCGTTGACGTCGGTTTTTCAGAGCCTGGCCGCGACACGATTGTCACGGCCATCGAGACAGAGGCCGCGTATCCGGCGCCGCAACTGCTGTTGGCAGCGAATTTAGCCTTTGATGGCCTTGTTTTCACGGGCACCCAACGCACAGACATGGAGCTATGTATGTATATTAGCTTGATATCGAGCAGGTAAATCACACGATGTAGATGAAACCCTTCCTGGCCATCCATGGACCCAAACACGGTTCGTACAGTGGCTATGAACGTGATTCCTCACTTTGATAGCCTTAATGATGGATTTGCTAGAGTTGGGGCGATGTACATTGAAAGTGCCATGGCTATTCAAGTGCAGCACTGTACATTTTCCAAAGTACCTGCCAACGTCACGAGCATATTGATCGATAGCCTCCTTACTAATGGATGATTATTGTGATAGTTGGGAGGCAACGCGATATTCGTATCCGGGCGAACCGAGTATGTCCACATTGCCCTCAATCATTTCACGCAAGTAGGCGCCACGGCTGTGTCTATCGTGGCCAAGTCTGTGACCCCCGACGACCCGACGCACCCGCGCCAATTTCTTCACTCGAGACGTACCACTGTCTCGTACAATCAAATGCACGACTACGGCCTCGTCACACGGCAAAGTGCGGCCGTGTTGGTCGTCGGGACGAGCCAAACCACAGTGTATAACAACTTGGTCTACGCCATTCCGGTCGGCGGCGTGAGCTACAGTGCCGCAAATGCCAACGCAGGTATATATATATATATATATAACGTTATTGAAGAAAGGATTCATTGCTATGAACCCAATCAATTCGTTGTCGTTGTAGACGGCAACGTCGCCCAGCTGCTCGTTCGTCCGCTGGAGTCACCAGTCGTACTCGCTGAAACCCTAGCCCCATTGTTAGGTGGCCTGTACACGACACCGTTGAACTTGGGTCGTATCGACAGAGTCGTGTACCCTCTGCAGGCCAAGATCATTGGAGGTCCGGAATGCGCGCCAGCAATGGGTCGGGTGGGAGCATTGTACGGCCAGCAGCACGCGGGGTGCTCCGACTGCTGTCTGACCACTCAAGGCACAGCTAGCATTCGAAATGCACCGCTTGGAATGTCCGCATTTACTTTGGTCGTGCCTGTCCAACCCGGCAATGTGTTAGACATCCAGGTAGAAGGTCGAGAATATGTATAGGTTGCCTTCTTCTATGTTCAATTGTCATTTGTCTTGATAGGTTCAATCCGCGGGATACTATGACGCGCCCGTAGACGTCCACGTCGGGTTTCACTTTGTCACACCCAATCGGCTCGTGGAACTGCCGCGATGGCGCGTGCATTGGCGCGTGCGAACGCGATTCTGTATCGAACACAACTCCCAGCAAACCGTAAGCTGCACTGGTCCGTGCGGCTGCCACGTATCTGCAGGTGTCGACAACATGCCGCCGTGCACTGCAGGTCTCCTCCTTCTTTGAGAAGAACGCAGTTTTATTTGTTGTCTGTCGTAGGATATGACGTCCAACCAACGAGTTTGGCTTGCGAAGGTATGCTGTCGTTGAAGCAGCTAGCTAGCTACCTTGGCCCAACGTTGACATTTCGTTCCAGGTCCATTTCAAGCTTGGAGCACATGTGAAACGGGGTCCATGGCACGAGTGCTCTACTACAACTGTACCCAAACGTGTCTTCGCAGCGTGTGTGTGTGATACCGTGACGTGGCAGAAGGAGACAACGAGATTATTATTTACTGTTAGGGTAACTTTTTATGAATTCGGATAATGGGAAATACCCTATTTTGAATGTTATCCGGATACCCGAAGTGCCACAACAACCACAACAACCCGAGCCACCATGATCAAGCGTGCTATGGTATTGGGTGGCGTCCTAACTGTTGGCGTTGCGGCAGTTCCATTCGTTCGTCACGCCATGTCTCGCTTCAAACCGGCGGTGACCAATGCGCTGACTTCGGGAACAAGTGCCGAGGCTCCGCCAAGCCGGCGTGTGGCGCTCGTCTTGAGTGGCGCAGGTGTGTACGATGGAAGTGAGATCCAAGAAGCCGTGAGCTGCTTGATCCATCTGAGCAAAGCCAATGCCGACGTACGAGTGTTCGCACCGGATATTCTGCAGCATCACGTCATCAACCATCTCACGGGCGACGTGATGCCAGCGGAATCACGCAACGTGCTGGTCGAATCAGCGCGCATTGCTCGCGGCAAAGTCGAGAAGCTGGACTTGTTGGACGTAGCACAGTTCGATGCTGTGGTCGTGCCGGGCGGTTTCGGCGCGGCCAAGAACCTCAGCTCGTTTGCGTTTGAAGGCGAGAACATGCAAGTGCAGCCACAAGTCGCCGCCGCGCTGACGGCATTCCATGCAGCCAAGAAACCGATTGGATTGATTTGCATTGCGCCCGTCTTAGGCGGTAAACTCTTTCCTGGCGCGGAACTGACCATGGGGCGTCGATCTGGTGCCAAGTGGTCCTCCGGACCTGACGCCGCCAGCGCCGTCGAGTCGTGGGGGGCCAAGATCATCGAGAAGGACCATGACGAAGTCCACGTGGACACGGTCAACAAGATCGTGTCGGCGCCAGCGTACATGTACGATCAAGCGACCCCCGCGATTGTGTTTGACAACGTCGGCCAAGTTGTGGACGCCGTGGTTCGAATGAAGTAAACCACGCGATTTAAAACAATTCTGGACAAGCAGTACCTTTATGCCTCGTCGGCTACACATTCCATGACACGATAGCAAACATGGTAGTAGGTGTTGAGAGCTGACTTCGATCGTTTTGAGCAGAAACACTATGGTGTGTACTGGTAAATTCGATACGTTTCCCTGTGCTCGATAATAGAGATGCTGTAAACAGACCTGTGTCATGAACTCACCAACCACAAACTGTTGCCGAAGTCGCCGCTTGGAGTGATATAGTCTCAACGAGGCTGCTGGGAGAAACTATCAATGTATCGTGTAATCATTCTTATTGTACAGAACAAGCAGCGTGCTAGTCTAATGATGGTGGCGGCGGCAACTGCCCCAGCATCAAGTCGCCATTGGTGTCCACCACACACGAGTCATAGTACGCTTGCAGCACGGTGACATAGCTCTTGAGCGATTCCCGTGCATAAACTTGCAGTTCATTGGGGTACAAGACGTTAATGTCGGACGGACACGCCGCGCGCACTACGGACTCGAGGTGCTGCACTTCGTCGTCTGGGACGTGGCGCAAGTAGGGCGGGGCGCGCGACAACTTGGCGAGTGCGAGTCGTTCCGACGTGCGAACGACGTCGACGTCGGAGGAGTCGGCGACCGACAACATGGACGACATGGCCGGAAGTTTATCCAGAGGCTCGGAATTCGTCGACTCGACGCTCAGCCTCGCCAGGGCGTCGTCGACGGACATCAGTTTTGCAAGATGGGCCACGCGGTTCTGCGCGAATTCTATCTCTCGCTTGTGGGCTTTGTTGGCGTCCATGGCTCGGGCGCGCTCCTGAAAGCACACGAGGGCGACAAACCCGTCAAAATTCCGCCACACTTGGACTTCTCGGGCGACGGTGCTGTGGTTGCCTCTGCTACCACTGGAATGACTATCGTCAAGGTCGTCGATCGATGGCATGTCTGTGCGTAACAACAGCACGTCCGTCGCGCTGTCCAAGACGGCGCGGTGTACATGAGGACAGATCTTGTACACGAGCACGTGATGGTACAGCACACGCACGTCGCAGTGCCAGTGCAGAAACAGGGCAAAGTGACGTTGGGCTAGCGAGCGCAAGAGGCGGTGGCGGAGCTCCCACGGCAACACACCCAGCACTTTGTAGAGAAATTGGAGCGTCCGCAGGACCACTTCGGCGTGATCGCAATGCAAAAGTAGTCGGATGGCGACTGTCCAGTTGAATTCTGCCGGCGACGTCTTGATCGACGACAGCCACACCACGCCGGGCAGCGCCATCCACGCCGCCAGTCGGTCCAGACACACGCCGACGCTCTTTGGGTTGGCCAAGTTGGTCGACTCGAACAACGCCAGCACACAAATGTGCACGAGGTCGACGTTTTTGAGGAGGTGGCCGCTCAGCGCCAGCACCACATCCTGGTTGGCGCGGTTGAGCGTGAGGGTGGCGTGTTTCGGAGCGGTAAAGTCGTAGAATTGGCGCTTGTACGCGGCTTCATGGAGAAGTCTAAGTGCGACCGTGATGAGGGTGTTGTAATGCGGGATGGCGGCAACCCACTGGTCGTTGGTGACGGTCTCAACTTTCCGCGACTGAATCAAGCTCGTGACAAACGTAAAGAAAAACTCGCCGCTGTCAATCAGCGACGCAAATAATGCGGCTTCGTCGTGCGAATGAAACGGCAGCGGCTTGTCGTCCAAGGGCGGCTCCACTGTGAACCAGTGCAGCAGCGCTTGCTCGAACGTGGTCACGTCGGTGCTCTGCACGGCCACGGGCAACAACGACGCCACCCAGTGTGGGAATGCACTGCCGGCTGGGGCCATCGGTTTCTTGAACCAGTCGCGGTGTTGGGTTACTTGGGCTACCTTGGCCACGACTTGTTGGCGCACTGTCTCCTGCTGAAGGTATGCAAACGCCAACAACCGTGTGCAGAATTGGGTGTCCCCGCGCCTGGACTCGAGGTCGTCGAGCTTGTTCGGGTGGGCATTCAGTCGTGCCGCCAGCTGGAGCGTGGCAGTTGTGAGGGCATCTGCTCTACGAGACGAGTTGGTGGCGATTTCTGGACGATCGAGCAATGCCACAAGGCACTTTTGCAAGCACAATTCTTCCATGCGGCGTTCTGGGTGCACGGGGAAGAGATTGTCGAGAAGGAACTGCCACAGCAGCAGGAGCGAGTCGCTGTCGTTAGCCATACGGACCGACGCGAGCACGGCATCGAGGGACGTCAGGTCTTTGGTCTTGATGAGTTTGCGCACGTTCGAGGAAAAGATGACGGGAGATTGCAGGCTTCGCCGCAGCGTCGACAACACGTCGTTCGTACCCATGGCGACAAGATTTGAAATGCCACCACGGATATTTCTTGCACAGTTACATTTCCCGTTCACACAGTCAAGAAGTGTACCAGTTAATTTGCTACAAATGTCTCTAAAGTGACATTCTACAGTACTGTTTTGCACTGTGAAGTTGGGTGGTGGCTTATTCGTGTCTGAACCTCCGGAGACTGCTTATCTCTGGGTCTTTCTGCATTCCACAACTTCATGGCAGGATGCAATGCAATATATCTAGGTACTTCCGACATGACCCACCATAGTAGCTTTGGCATATAGGATTGCTTTGAATGGGAGGTCGACGTGAACGCTCCATGTTGTGACGTCGGTCGCCGAAATAAACATTATATTGCGCATACTGGATGTGCTGTCTTCGAAATCTAACGTTATCGTACCGGTACATTGGCACTATTGCACACCAGTGCATTTCCGATTCTGCATCTTGAGAGACAAAAGATTGAATAACGTTAACGAATGCTTGAAAGGATATGGATAACGTTATGGTGTTGGATGGCTGTCAACTCAACTTTCGTCGTTGATTGCCACCAGAGCCACGACATTTCTCCCTGCACTTTTCCCTTGGAAGTATGTCTTCGGCTCATATAGCCAGCTGCGCTTTGCCTTGCAACTCCGAAAGGCACATAGGCAAACTATACCGAAGGCGAATTGCATTTGGCACTTGATGGCACCACCAACATGAAGCTTATCCTGCGGAGGTTCATAGCGATACTCTGCTTCGCTTTTGGTTAAGATGCTTTGACTTCAACAAACAATTGATTTTCAGCGTTTGGGGGATGACAATCAAACGATCCTCAAATAACTGGCGCCGGCGCAAAATGCCCTTGATTTAGGGCTCATCCTAAATGTACTGGGCAGTTTCATTCGCGACCAATCAGAGTACTTCAAGGCGTTCGGATCCGAAAGGTCACTTGGAAGAAACGGAAGGCGTGTGGTGGCATGGACGGTGACCGAGACAGCCACGACGTAGAGGATGCACGTTCGATTGAACCTCTCGACAGCGTGGTCATGTCGCGTGAAGAAGAAGCAGAACGTGCGCGGTTGATGTTGGAACAGCGCTTCTTGCTGCACAAACGCATGCGCAAGGACGCCAAGGCAAAGCACGACGCGATCAAAGCCAAGGCCAGTCGGCGCAAGGATTCGCACGTGGACCACAAGAACATGCCGCACAAGTGGAAGGATGCGGCCGTGCTGGAGCAAGAACTCAAGCATAAAGAACACACGAAGGTGCTCATGGGACCTGAACCCATTCGCCAGTTTCCTGGAAAAGTGTACACGACTTCGCCAATTCGTGACCGCGATGCTGATCGTTTGGACGCCATTGACGACTACGCGGCGTCCGCGGCCAAAAATGATCGGTAGGCTCTTAATCTTTGTCCTGGTGCTTATCCGATGCGATTGTCTGAACTCCAGGGAATCCAACGCAGACATGGACGAATACCTCAAATTAGATCAGTCCAAGTTTCCCCTCCATCAATTCGACAGCTCCGAGTACGATACCAAGTCTCCGGAAGAGCATTTGGAGGAGTGCAAAACTGGGGCGTCGCCCTTCTTTGTCAAAGGCGAGTGGCGGTGGCGGCCATGCCAGATCTTGTCGTACAACACCGACACGGAAAAGTACACGATTCAGTTTCAAGGATCGGACAAGGACAAGACGGTTCGCCGCATCAACTTGCGTTTTGACACGGTACGTACTTCTCCAATCGTGGTGTCGTACGATTCCAACCACCACCCGTTCTCGACGATGGTGCTCAAACGCTAAACTTGTACGGGATATATAGGAGGAACCAGCGACGTTTCAAAAACGAATCGACGAAGCCATTCGTCGCCGTGAAGACGCCAAGGCTCAAATGCGCTTTGACTATTTTGTGTCACAGCAGTCCGTGATGGAACCTCGATCCATGGGCCGCACGACCCTGGAAGGCATCCATCGGCGCGTGGTGGACGGGCTCACTCCGGACGTGGTTGTCGAGGACACGCACGCGCAACTGCTTCGGGGGCTCACAGATGTCGTCATTCGAGAGTACACGCGTGCGATGAAGAAGGCCGTGTTGTGGTATCGCCTCGAGTTTGACAAGCCGCTGCTGGAAAAGTACAGGTCGCTCAACTTGACCGCCCTGCCGCTGCCCCCACCAGCGCCCACGTTTGGAAAGATTCCGATCCCGGCGTCGTTGATGTCCTTTTCCAAGTTGCGCAAGAAGATTAGCCACAAGCACTTTACAGCGTCGTCGGGGTTCCTAAACGTGCTCATGAAGATCTACCACGGGTGGGAAACTGCTTTTATCCACCTCACGTTTTGCGCCACGGCGTTCGACGTGCTCCAGCTGCCGTGCCGCCTCTTGGACTTTTCGGAGATTCAACTTGCGCACTGCGCCAAAATCACTGAAATGCTGTCCGTGGTACGTCCATCCGTCATTACTCGTTGCCATCCCTTCTTGTATGTGACACGTGACAACCAAGGGTTCCATGTACAGGACTGGCGGCGCGCGATTTCGGAAAACCTCGTCGACAGTCTCCAAGACGAATATGATTTTTTCATTTCCGATCGCGACGAGTACGACCTGGGCGAGCTCAAGCGACTTCTCATGAGCATTCGGGTGCGCATGGCGTCTCAAATCCGCATGGTGGTCGAGCAATCCACCGAAGCGTGGGTGAAGCTAGTGCATGCCAAGGTCAAGGCCAACGATCCACTCACGTCGCTCTTTGACGTCCATTTGGTGGTTACGAGCGAAGGCAATGTGGAAATGAGTCCGTCGCAGCAAGACATCAAGGCTGCGATGGTCACACCACTTGAAACGATGGTTCACAACGTGAGCGACATGGATGTGATCGACCCCGAGCTCCTCTCACTGCTGAATCTCGACCGTGTGAAGTTGTTCGACCTGACTGTCAAAAACGACATTGTCTACGGTACTTTCACGTATATGTATGTATCACATTTCAAATATCCATTGCCTAGAAACCGTGTCGAAACTGGGGGCAGCGCGCCGAGACATTCTCAAATGTCTGAGCGACTCTCTCGGCCAAGTTCAACCCGTCACGGACGCGTACGCCAAGCACGCGCGGTTGCTCGGACTGGACGCAGCGACATACATGAAGCAATTCAAGAAGGACCACCCCTCCCCGGTCCCCCTGGACATTCTATGCGACGCCATCCGCCAATTCCACTCGTTGGTGCTCGAAGTGGAAACCCTAAGTTTTGACCTGACATCGTTCCCCCTCGTGTGCGTCAACACAGTGAGCATCAAAGCGACGCTTCGGGACAAGGGGGTGGCCATTCGCAACGCGCTCATTGAGTACATTGTCATGGACGCCCGCGACAAGAACGTCGAGATCAGCCACCGGTACCAAGCGATTCTGAAACGCATCACGGAAAAGCCCACCAACGAAGCGGAGCTGGCCGCGTTGAAAGATTTTGTCAACGCGAGCAAGATTACCATTGCCGGGATTCAAAACGAAGTCGACGAGATCCACGCGCGGCTGCACGCGCTGGGGGAGTTTTCCCACACGATTTCCGACGACGACTTTCGGTTGGCATGGAGCACCAAAGAGTGGCCACTGCGCGTGGCCCACGCCGCCGACACATGCGACTCGGCGCTTGAAGAAGACAAAATCCGCATGATGGACAAGCTCAGCCTTGAAAAAGAGCAGTTTGAACTCGACTTGGAGCGGTATGAGAAGGATGTCGCCCTGTTCAAGTCGTACGGGGAGATCGACCGCACGGAAAAGTACGTGGAGTTGGCATCCACCCTGTACGACTCCATCATGGAAGCCAAGGCGAAAGCAGACAATTTCAACCAGCGCGAAGCTGTGTTTGGGTTCCGGCCTACCGAGTACGCTATGATTGGCAAGCTGGAGACTGATTTCCAGCCGTATTATCGTCTGTGGACCATGTGTTCGGAGTTCAACATCAGCAAGCAAGCGTGGCTAACTGGGCCGTTCCTCGAGTTGAAGGGGCCCGAAATTGACGCCAACGTGACCGAGTGGTGGAAGGCCAGCTACAAACTGAGCAAACAACTGGCCGACGAGGCCCCCGGGTCGGCCGAAGTCGCGCTCATTTTGCGCGAACGCACCGATGAATTCCGTGCCTACCTCCCCGTGATACAGTCGCTGGCATCACCTGCGCTGCGCGAACGGCATTGGGAACTCCTACGCAACAAGATTGGCCTTGAAGAAACGGACGAGGAGCTGACGTTGCACCAGTTGCTAGAGAAGGGCATCACGCAGCACATTGAAACGATCCAGGAAGTGAGCATGGTGGCTGAGAAGGAGTACACGTTGGAAAAGAATCTCAGCGCCATGATCAGCGAGTGGGAACCCATCGAGTTTGAGTGTCTGCCGTATCGGGAAACAGGCACCTACTTGATCAAGAGCGTCGACGACATCATTGCGCTGCTGGACGACCATATTGTCAAGACCCAAACCATGCGTGGATCGCCCTACGTCAAGAACATTGAGAAAGAGTGCAAAGCATGGGAAAAGAAGCTCCAATATTCCCAGCAACTGATTGACGAGTGGATGACTTGCCAGCGCACATGGTTGTACTTGGAGGCAATTTTCAGGTACGATCGCAATGGGGTGTCATATGCGATGGATTCAATTTTTGGCCTAGTTCTGAAGACATTATGAGGCAAATGCCGACGGAGGCGCGGCGGTTTGCGTCTGTGGACGCATTGTGGCGCAAAACGATGGAGGACACGGTGGCCGACCCGAACTTTATGAACGTGATGAACATGGACAAATTGCTGCAAAAGTTTCAAAAGGCCAACGAAAAACTCGATGAAATCCAAAAAGGCCTCAACGACTACTTGGAAATGAAGCGGCTGTACTTTCCACGGTTTTTCTTCTTGTCCAACGACGAGTTGCTTGAAATCCTCAGTCAAACCAAAGAGCCCAAGGCCGTGCAGCCACATTTGGGCAAGTGCTTTGAAGGAATCAACAAAGTCACGTTCACGAACGTCTTGCTTATCACGGAAATGATCTCGAGCCAAGGGGAAACGGTGCTGCTCAAGAACACTGTTAACCCCGAAAGCGCCAAGAACAAGGGCAATGTCGAAATGTGGTTGTTGGAGCTCGAAGTGTTTCAGTGGGACACCCTCCGCGACCACACGATGCGCGCGATCGGCACGTACCCGAAGGAAGTCCGGGAGGAGTGGATCCTCAAGTGGCCAGCCCAAGTCGTGTTGGGGGCGTCGCAAGTGTACTGGACGCAAGAAGTGAACAAAGCCATCGTGGACAAGGGCAACGAAGGGCTCAAAGAGTACGTCGAAGTGCTCAACACCCAACTAGACAAAGTCGTGATGCTCGTGCGGGGGAACCTAACCAAACTGGAGCGCACGACCATTGGCGCATTGGTGGTCATCGACGTCCATGCCCGTGACACGATAGCTCACATGATTCAAAAAGGGGTCGAAAACGACCAGGACTTTGAATGGATCTCGCAGCTCCGGTACTACTGGATCGAAGGCGCCCGGACCAAGGGGGAAATGGACCTCCAAGCTCGCATCGTAAATGCGCGCGTGAAATATGGCTACGAATACCTGGGCAACACGATGCGGCTGGTGATTACACCGCTGACCGATCGGTGCTACCGGACTATGATGGGGGCGATCGATTTATTGTATGGGGGGGCCCCCGAAGGCCCCGCCGGGACGGGCAAAACCGAAACGGTCAAGGACTTGTCCAAGGCGATTGCGATTCAGTGTGTAGTGTTCAACTGCTCGGACGGGCTAGACTACCTGGCGATGGCGAAATTCTTCAAGGGGCTGGCCGGGTGTGGCTCGTGGTGCTGCTTTGACGAGTTCAATCGCATCAACATTGAAGTGTTGTCTGTGATTGCGCAGCAGATTCTCACCATCAATGAAGGCAAAAAGGCCAACGTCGACAAGTTTATGTTTGAAGGCACGTACATCAAACTCAACGCCAGCGCAAACGTGTTTATCACGATGAACCCAGGTAAAGTGAACTTTGACCTTTCAAAAAACTGTCGGCTCAACTGCACTTTGCATCGCAGGGTATGCTGGCCGAGCGGAATTGCCAGACAACCTTAAGGCGCTGTTTCGCCCGTGCGCAATGATGGTGCCAGACTACGCGCTCATTTCTGAAATCCGATTGTACTCGTTTGGGTTTGCCAACGCCCGAGCAAACGCGCGAAAGCTCACACAAGTGTTGCAATTGAGCTCCGAGCAATTGAGTTCCCAAAAGCACTACGATTACGGCATGCGTGCCGTGAATTCGATTCTAGTTGCGGCGGGGAACTTGAGGCAACAACTGGGCGACGATCCGTTTTGGACGGAAGATAAGATTGTGTTGCGGTATGACTTTGGCTTTGTGAAAACGCATCAAAACCCAGTCAAATATTTCGAAACGTTTATCGAAATATATCCAATGCCTAATACATTCTTGTGTGAGGTAGGTCCGTGCAAGATGTCAACTTGCCCAAGTTCACGACCGACGACTTGCCCCTCTTCCGGGGCATCACGTCCGACTTGTTTCCTGGCGCGGACATTCCATCTCCAGACCACGGTCGCTTGATCCCCATGATCGACTTGATGTGCACCCAAGGCATCAGCATTGCCCCCGACTCGCTCACTCGATTGCAGCCCAAGGTTGAATTCAAGCAAAAAGTCGTTCAGTTGTACGAGACGGTAAGTCGAAACTTTCCTGTCAACGTACTTTTATCATTGATGGTTGGTGGTTGCTAGGTGCTCGTACGTCATGGGCTCATGGTCGTGGGCATCACTGGCAGCGGCAAGACTTGCATTGTGCACACCCTAGCGGCCGCGATCACTGCCGTGTTCAACGAGAGCGAAGGCAAAACTCAATCCCTTGTGCACATCCACACGATGAACCCCAAATCGATCACGTCGGGGCAACTGTACGGCAACTTTGACGAAAACACGCACGAGTGGAGCGACGGGGTGCTGGCCAAGACTTACCGCGACTGCGCGCGCGACACGACCGACGACCGACAGTGGGTCATGTTTGATGGGCCCGTGGACGCCGTGTGGATTGAAAACATGAACACGGTGCTGGACGACAACAAGAAGCTGTGCCTCATGAGCGGCGAAATCGTGAAAATGACTGACCGCATGACCATGATGTTTGAAACAGAGGACTTGGAGGAGGCGTCGCCGGCCACCGTGAGTCGCGTCGGCATGATCTTCCTCGAACCGAAAAACCTGGGCTGGGAGACCCTCATGCGAACCTGGTACGGCTTCCTAACTAGGAAAAGTACATGTTTCATACAACGCTTGCATCAAGGCAGCAACTAGACTACACAATGTGTCGAAGGTGGTCGTCACTCATTAACGATTACTTCTACGACGTTCTAGGCTCGAGTACTCGCTCGTGACGGAACTCCGGCCCAATGCCACGTACATTCAAAACCTATTCGAGTGGCTGGTGCCACCCCTTCTCTTCTTTGTGGACAAGAACTGCGTAGTGCCGACTCCCGTGACGTTCTTGGAGCTCGTGGCGTCGTTGATTCGCCTCTTTCAGTGCATTTTAGACGTGCCCATCAGCAACTTGAGCTCCGACATCAATGGCGTGCTGGAAGGCATGTTCTTCACGGCCGTGATTTGGTCGCTAGGTGCGTGTGTCGACACCAAGTCGCGGCAGTTGTTTGACACGTACTTTCGAGAGCTCACGTGTGGGGCCATCTCGGCCGACACGAACGACGCGTACGGGAACTTTGTGCTCAAGAACCCGGGGTACCATGTGATTCCCCGCGCAACCAACGTGCCATTTCCGGAAGAAGGCCTGGTTTACGACTACCGGTTCGATGGGAAAAAGGCAACGTGGCTGACCTGGATGGATTCGTCGTCGGCGGCGGCTATTCCTCGGGACATGCCGTACACGTCCATTCTTGTGCCCACGATCGACACGGAGCGCAATGCATGGCTGCTGGACACCCTCCTCACGCATCATTATCATGTCATGTGCACAGGGGATACGGGCACGGGCAAGTCGGTGTCGATCAAAAAGAAGCTACTGACGGGGTTGAACGAGTCGTTTTCGTCCATCTTCCTCAACTTTAGCGCGCAAACCAGCGCCAACCAAACGCAAGACATCATTGAAAGCAAACTGGACAAACGTCGCAAAGGCGTGCTGGGGCCCCCGCTTGGCATGAGCTGTGTCATCTTTGTGGACGATCTCAACATGCCGGCCAAGGAAACGTATGGCGCGCAGCCCCCGATCGAAATCCTGCGACAGTGGATGGGCCATGGAGGCTGGTACAACCGCAAGGACAACTCGTTCTTGCAACTTGTAGACGTGCAGTTCATGGCGGCGATGGGGCCACCGGGGGGCGGCCGCACCAAAATCACACAGCGGTACATTCGGTACTTCAACCTGATCAACTTTGTCCCATTCGACACGACCAGCTTGAAGTTGATCTTTTCCAAGATCAGCGACTGGTTCCTCATGAACTTTCCCGCGGCAATCAAGGCGCTTACTGCGCCGTTGGTCGCAGCCACGATCGACATTTACGACTGCATTTCGTCGACGTTGTTGCCCACCCCGGCGAAATCGCACTACACGTTCAACCTGCGCGACCTGTCCAAGGTATTTCAAGGGATCTCCCAGGGCACGCCGGACGTGCTGAAAGAACCAAAGGATGTCGTACGGCTGTGGAGCCACGAATGCCTCCGCGTGTTTCACGATCGGTTGATCGACGCCGCGGACCGCAAGTGGTTCCAGGAAGTGCTGGGGGAAACCGTCCAGCGCCACTTTACGTTCAACTACATCAAGGAAGTCCGCGGCCCCAACGACGTGCTGATCTACGGCAACTTTGGCGACGCCAAGGCTAACAAGAAAATGTACGCCGAGCTACGCGATCGCGAAACGCTGCAGTCGTCCATGTCGTTGTACTTGGACGATTTCAACAACATGACGTCGGCGCCCATGAGTCTGGTGCTGTTCCAAAACGCCATTGAACACGTGGCCCGCATCAGCCGCGTGATCCATCAGCCGTACGGGAACTCGTTGCTGGTAGGGGTGGGGGGAAGCGGCCGCAAGTCGCTCACGACGTTGGCCGTGTCCATGGCCGACTTCAAGTTGTTTCAAATCGAAATCTCCAAAACGTACTCTCGGTCCGACTGGCGCGCCGACCTGAAAAAAGTACTCACGCTCAGCGGGGTGACCAACCAGCCGACGGTGTTTCTCTTTAGCGACACGCAAATCGTTGAGGAAGGGTATTTGGAAGATATCAACGGTATTTTGAACACGGGGGAAGTGGCGAATCTGTGGGCCAACGACGAACTCATGACGATCAACGAGAGCTTGGAGAGCGCGGCGAGTGCCTCAGGCCTCAACACTGGCAACGCCGCGGAAGTGTACAATTTCTTCGTGTCGCGGTGCCGCACGAATCTCCACGTGGTGCTGGCGCTGAGCCCCATCGGTGACGCCTTTCGCCGCCGGCTGCGCATGTTCCCTTCGCTGGTGAACTGTTGTACCATCGACTGGTTCACTGAATGGCCAGAGGAAGCGCTACGCAGCGTGGCGGACCACTTTTTGGTGGACATTGAGATGCCGTCGGCGATGAAGACGGGCCTCGTGGATGTTTGTGTGGACATGCAAGAGCGCGTGTCCCAAATGTCCAAGGAGTTCCTTCAAAGTCTAAGGCGACACTACTACGTCACCCCCACGTCGTACTTGGAATTGATCAACACGTTCAAGAAACTCCTCAACACGAAACGCACCGAAGTGAGTCAAATGAAGAAACGTTACGACAACGGCCTGACCAAACTCATGGAAACGGCCGACCAAGTCGAGAAAATGCAAGTCGAATTGGAAGCGCTCCAGCCCATGCTAAAGGTCGCGACGGTCGAAACCGACGCACTACTGGAGACGATCTCCAGGGAGCAAAAAGATGCCAACGAAACCAAGACGGTCGTCGCAGCGGAGGAAGCGCAATGCAACGAACAAGCTGCGGCTGCCATGGAAATTAAAACGTCATGCGAGGCGGGATTGGCAGAAGCGATCCCGGCGCTGGAAATGGCCGTGAAGGCACTGCAAACGCTCACGAAAGGCGACATCACCGAAGTCAAAGCGATGAAAAAACCTCCAGACGGCGTCAAACTTGTGATGGAAGCGGTATGCATCATGATGGGGGTCGCCCCCGTAAAAGTCAAAGACCCTGCCGGGGGCAACAAGAAGGTGGACGATTACTGGGGCCCCGCACAGAAAACGCTATTGAACGACACGCGATTCCTGCAAAATCTGCTCGAGTATGACAAGGACAACATTCAGGAGGAGACGGCGCACAAGGTGACGCCATATACGAACAATCCAGACTTTTCCCCGCCGATTATTAAAAAAGCCAGCGTGGCCGCATCCGGTTTGTGCTCGTGGGTGCACGCCATGGTGGTGTACAACCGCGTGTCCAAGACAGTTGCTCCGAAACGAGAGGCTCTCAAGGCGGCCACGGCCCAGTTGGAAGCAGCTCAAGCCAACTTGAAAGCCAAGCAGGATGCGTTGCAAATCGTGCTAGATAAAGTCGCTCGCCTGGAAGCCGACTTGGCGGGCGCGATGAAGAAGAAAGCGGACCTTCAATTTCAAGTCGACGACTGTAGCAAAAAGCTGGTGCGCGCCAACCAGTTGATCGGGGGGCTCGGGGGCGAACGCAGTCGATGGCAGGAAATGAGCGCCAAGCTGCAAGTCGTGTACGACAACGTTGTGGGGGATATCATGCTCAGTAGCGGTGTGATTGCGTACTTGGGGGCGTTTACGTCAACATTTCGCGAAAAAGCCGTCAACCACTGGAGTCTCGAATTGAAGCACAAGGGCATCACGTGTTCCGATATGTACAGCCTGACCACTACGTTGGGGGACTTAGTGAAAATTCGCGAATGGACCATCGCCAAGCTCCCCAACGATTCGTTTTCCATCGACAATGCCATCATGATGCAGCGAAGCAATCGGTGGCCCCTGGTACTGGTTGATTGTTCTCGTATTTCACAAATGAACGCTTTGGTTTATAACGTAGATGATCGACCCCCAAGGCCAAGCGAATCGATGGGTCAAGAACATGGAGGAAAAGAATGGAGCCAAGGTGGTCAAGCTGTCCCAAGCTGGGTTTGTCCGCGCCCTCGAGAACGCCATCATGGTCGGTGCGCCGTTTCTGATTGAAAACGTGCCCGAAGAAATCGACCCGATGCTCGAGCCAGTGCTGCTCAAGCAGATCGTCAAGGCGGGGGGGGTGTTGACCATTCGATTGGGCGACAACACGGTCGAGTATGATGTCAATTTTCGGTTGTACATGACGACCAAGCTTCGGAACCCCCATTACCCCCCTGAAACTTGCGTCAAAGTGAACTTGCTCAACTTTATGGCCACCGAAGAGGGCTTGCAAGATCAAATGCTGGGCATCGTTGTGGCCAAAGAGGAGCCAGTCCTCGAGGCGCAGCGGGAAAAACTCGTCCTCGAAGATGCGGCCAACAAGAAGACGCTCAAGGAAATAGAAGACACCATCCTGCACATGCTGCAAACCGCCGAAGGTAACATCCTCAACGACGAACGGCTCATTGAAACGCTGGGGGCGTCCAAGATCACGGCCAACAAAATCGAAGAAAAGGTCCAGGAAGCTGCCGCCACGCAGTTGATCATTGCCGAGAAGCGCGCCGGCTACACCCCCGTGGCCTTCCGGGCATCCCAGCTCTTCTTTTGCATTGCCGATTTGTCTGTAATCGACCCCATGTACCAGTACGCCCTCGAGTGGTTCATTCAGCTGTTTGTGCAATCGATTGGTCGCGCGACAAAGAGCTCCGACTTGACCAAACGGCTGACGTTTCTCAACGAGCAGTTTACATACACGCTATACGTCAACGTGTGCCGGTCGTTGTTTGAAAAGGACAAGTTGCTGTTTGCGTTTTTGCTCACGGTCAAGATCTTGACGGGCAATGGCACGATCCAAGCCTCCGATTTGCGCTACTTTTTCACGGGCAACACGACCATGGACACGGCAAAACCAAACCCCAACCCTGCGATTCTAAGTGTCAAGACGTGGGCAGACATTGTCGGGCTCGACGGCCTACCAACGTTTCAGAAGTTTTCAGACAACTTTGTTCGCGACTTGCATCTTTGGACGGCGGCGTACACGTCCCAGGATCCGATGGCGGAGCTCGAGACGATTCCGTCCGTGACCGGCTACGACCTCTTTCAAAAGCTGATTGTCCTTCGGTGTTTCCGTCCAGACAAAGTCGTGCCGAGTGTCATGACGTTTGTGGCCAGCATGATTGGCCAACGCTTCATCGAGCCGCAGCCATTCGATCTAAAGGCCGGCTACGACGACTCGACGTGTGCGACGCCGTTGATCTTTGTGCTCACGCCGGGCGCCGACCCCATGTCGGAGCTTCTCAAACTGGCTGCTGAGTTGGGGTTTACCAAGAAATTCGTGGCAATTTCGCTAGGACAAGGCCAAGGCCCGTTGGCCGAAAACGCCATCGCCGAAGCTATCGACAACGGCAATTGGGTGTGCTTGCAGAACTGCCACTTGAGTGTGAGTTGGCTACCCACGCTGGAGCGCCTCTGCGAAGAAATCACCCCCGACCGCGTGCACGCGTCGTTCCGGTTGTGGCTGACGTCGGAACCGTCTCGCCAGTTTCCCCCCTTCATCCTCCAAAACGGGGTCAAAATGACCAACGAACCCCCCAAGGGCATGCGTGCAAACTTGAAGGGCAGCTTCCTCACGTTCACAGACGAATGGCTCGACTCGTCGTCGCGCCCCCAAGCGTTCAAAAAGCTGTTGTTTGGCTTGTGCTTCTTTCACGCCACCGTTCGAGAACGCACCAAGTTTGGGCCGTTGGGGTGGAACATCAAGTATGTGTTTTCCGGCTCGGATTTGAACATTTCCAAGGACCAGCTCAAGATTTGCATTGACGACCTGAACGAGACCGACGCAATTCCGTACGCGGCGCTGGCTTACCTGGCAGGCGAGTGCAACTACGGGGGTCGAGTCACAGACGACAAGGACCGCCGGTGCATAGTCAACACGCTCTCGGATTTCTACACCCCCTCAATCCAAGACGAGGGCTACAAATTCAGTCCGTCGGGCACATACTATTGCCCTGCCCCTGGCCCCCTATCGTCGTATTTGACGTACATTGATTCCCTTCCCATGAACGAAGGCCCCGAGGTGTTTGGGCTGCACGACAATGCCAATATCTCATGCGCTATCGCGGAAACGAACCTGTTGCTAGAGTCCGCCCTATCGTTGCAGCCGCGAAGCAGCGGTGGAGGCGGCAAGTCGTGGGACCAGTCCCTGGCCGAAGCCGCCGCGGACATTAGCCATCGCATTCCTCCTATCTTTGACACGGAAAAGGCTGACCTCGACTTTCCAGTGTGCTACGACGAAAGCATGAACACCGTGCTCACGCAAGAGTTGATTCGGTTCAATCGGTTGATCGCGATCATCTCCAGAAGTCTCAAAGAAGTCCAACGGGCATTGAAAGGTCTCGTCGTGCTGTCCGCAGAGCTCGAAGCCATGGGTAACAGCATGGTCAACGGCCAAGTGCCGCTCATGTGGTCCAGCTGCGCGTACCCGTCACTGAAACCTCTGGGTAGTTGGGTGACAGACTTTCTAGACCGCCTCACGTTCCTTCAAACGTGGATCGATGCCAAGCAAAGCCCTGCCACGTACTGGATCTCCGGCTTCTTCTTCACCCAGGCATTCATCACAGGGACTTTGCAGAACTTTGCCCGCAAACATACTCAACCAATCGACCAGGTTACACGTAGCATATTTTCGAAATCTTGTCGTCGTACTCTATTCATCGGCATGTACCATGTAGTGTGGCTTTGACATGGAAGTATTGTCCGCGGAAGCGTCGAGCGCCATCACATCGAGAGCCCCCGACGGCGCCTACATATTCGGTCTCTTCATGGAAGGCGCAAGGTGGGAAAACGCCAACATGTCCATCGTCGAGTCGCGGAACCGAGAACTTCACGTGGCTATGCCGATGATCCTCCTTCTGCCGAAACGACGAGACAACATCGAGCCCGTCAAAGACTCTGACCCCAAGGGCACGGCGCATATGTACATGTGTCCTGTGTACAAGACCAGTTTCCGCCAAGGAACGCTGTCCACGACGGGACATTCGACCAACTTTGTCATGTTCATTCGGGTGCCCATGTCGCCCGACCACAATCAAAAGCATTGGATTCGACGGGGTGTGGCCATGCTTACCCAGCTCGACATTTAATCAACATGCAGTTTTTAGTATTGATAATGATTGGTGTATGTGTGCGTCTTGTCCAATTTGTGAAACCGACGGGACTATTGTAACTGCTATAACTTGTGTAACTGACATAACGGTCGTTCGTCGCTTGATTTCCGAACGACCAGCATGCAGGCGTTGGCGCATGAATTGAACGGTACACGTCGAAACAACCCCCGAAAGGGCTCGACGCAAACTAAGGGGTTGCAGCTGTTTCATGCAACGACGACTGTTTGTGCCGCCGCCGGCATCATCGACTCGTTTGAGATTCGAATTCAAATCGGCAACCCGCAACGCGACGACGAGTCGTACATGTGCGAACGGCTCCAAGTGGCGTCCTACTTGACTGTGTGCAACGTCAAAGTGCTCATCTTCAAAGAGCTTGGCATTCCCTATGAAGAGCAAACGTACGAGCAACCGCACATGCACAGTACCTGTAGCATGACGACAAACTGTATGCATGGGTAGATTGTTCCACCGCACCGTTCTCCTCGAAGACAATTTCGAATTGGGGCAACTCGGAATCCACAACGACTCGACGATTTACGTCGTGCGCAAGAAGCGCTACCGTAGCATTGGCGCATCGCAAACGACCATCACAACGATCGTCCTCAGCACGTCGGCGGCGGACGGGTACAACCTCGTGGACATGGCAGCCCCGTTGCCGCCCTTTCACATGATTGTCAAGCGCATCGCGTTTGCCATTTCGTACTTGCGACAACTCGATCGGTTTGTTCCACAAAACTTGTTCTGACCCTAACGTCGACGCATGTAGCATGCAACAGTCTCACTCGAGGCACAAGATTTGGACGGGGGGTGCGCCACATGATGCGCAAAGCCCCCGCGGACACCGCCCGCAGCCACCTCCGTCCAAAAAACAAAGCGAATTGGCCACTGCACTGGATGCCCTTCGTGTGTCGCTGGCCGTGCCGTTCGAAATGCGCACGCAAGCCGACATTCGCGTCATCAAAAAGTGGCTCGGTAGCCAAGTCGTTGTTACTTTAAGGTGGTTGTAGCTTACAGTTTGGACATGTTCGTAGGAAGCATCAAGTACTTTACCGACGCCCACGTACCTGATTCGTCGCTCTTGGACGTATCTCGACACATAACATGCGCTACGTATAAGGCGGGGGAGTTTGTTTTCCGACAAGGGGACCCCGAAGAAGGGTTTTACGTGATCATTCAAGGCAGCCTCTCGATCGCCGGTCATGGCGAAGGGCTGTTTGCCACGATGAAACGAGGCCAGTGCTTTGGGGAAGTAGGGTTGTTCAAGAATTGCACGGGGCAGAGGTAAGGAAGTGTTGATGCAAGTGCAAGAAGGTTGAGATATGGGCTTCATCCGTTGTGTTTTCAGGTCGGCTAGTGCCATCGTCAACTTTGACACTTCCGCAACCGAGTTGGCTTGCATTTCTCGGGTATAGCATGCCACTCGTCGTTTAGGGGTTGTTGGTGGCTGACGGACCATCTAGGACGTTTACATTCGCAGCATTGGCATGCACAAAGAAAACATGCTCGTCGAGTATGAACAATTCTTGTCCGAGTGCCCACAGTTTGCCACGCTTCCCAAAGAAAGAATGACATTGCTGGCGTATGCGGCGGACAGCAAGTACGTCGATAGCGGCGACTTTTTACTGCGCAATGGTACACACAACTCGGACCTTCTACAGGACAGCCATCATCAGCCTGCTTCACTTTCGATCATGTTGAATCAACAAATATATATCAATGAATGACCCCCCTTAGGCTCCCAAATCGACCACTTGTATCTCCTCATGCGGGGCGAATTTCGAGTGACAGCGTCCACGGTGGTGTCGGTGCCGCGACCTATCATTGAAGATGATGACAACGACGACCTGGTCGACTGTGACCCCATGATCGAAAAACGAGTAGGTTAATCAACCATCTAATGTGTGTTTGGTGCTGAACTCCAGCCTAGGCCACAGTCATGACATTGCGTTCACCCCCCACGCTCTTTGGCCACGTATGGCAACATTACCATCGTACGAGTCACACAAAATTGGTATTTTGTAGGAAGTCTGCTCCAAGCTCAAGAATCCGCAAAGTCAGTACGACGTCGAAGCGACGAGTCCGTGCACATTGCTTTCGTTTTCCAAGGCGACGTTGCAGCGATTTGTCACCAACCACGATACCGCCGTGCGCGATATTCTCAAGGACTTTGAGCTACGGTATGATCTAGCTATTGAAAAAGCAATGAAACAGTACACTCATGTGGAGCCATGGCAGGAATCAAGACATGGCGCGCCGGCTGGAGCAGGTGGTGGCACATGTGATGGCCCAAGAACCGAAACCAGATGTGGAGATGGTCGCGTTAGACGCGTTCTTTGCACACACTCTGTCCAAGCATGGCGACGCACGGTCCATGTCGACGGTATCGCAACCATTTCCACGCCGTCTCACGTTTGTTCGACCGTCGCAGCCCCCGCCAACACACGCGCCCATCCCCCCTTCCAGTCGGGGGGCTACCCCTCGCGGCCCCAAACCCAAGCACGAAAGTGGATTCACCACGGCGTTTGCGGCCATGTGCAAAAATCATTTCCACGAAACGCTGCCCCACGGTGACCTTCTCACGTACGAGCAACAAGTACACTACTCGTCCAAGCCCAGCTCCAGTTTGACCAGTGAAGAACAACTGACCAAGATGAACTGTCTCATTGACGGGCTACGCAGGATCAAGCCTGTGGACGTCGTGTTGGTGGACGTGCTGCGCCACCCTACGGGCGACCAGTACTGCTTTATGGCCGCCACATAGCTGGCTTACAATTGAAGACAAAGTATGCAAGTAAGTGCATTGTGTTTAGATTGGTGGTACATTTAACTACAGTAGGCAGCGTGCCCCGACATGGTAGTTCGTACTATTGTACTCGTAAGGTATAAAAAAGCATGTTTTTCGTTCATTAATCCAACTCCCCAACAGTCAACTACAGGAGGGAGGAGGCGTGTGACACAACGGCACTTTACTTGAACATGACGATCAACAAGTTGATAATGGGGCCGAAGAAGTACATCAACAACATGAGCAGGAGACAGCAGCAGCAGCACATGACCCGGCGGCAGATCTTGGGACCGAGCAGTTCGTTGAACACGTAGAACGGATTCATACTGAACTTGAGGCGCCCCGCCGGCGGGGGCAAGAACGGACTGTTGTTGGGGTCGCTGCGCCCGTGGCCAAGGGGGGTGACCTTGGCTTTTTCTTTGGGCACGAGCTCCATACTGATGCAGATGGCGCCCATGGGTTCCTTCACGTTGGTCTCGCGGTTGAGTCGCTCCAGCTTGATCCACGTCGAGTCACTCGGGTTGATGTCCCACAACCCGGTTGATTCCTTGATGGACTGAATCGTGTCGTTGTTGTCGGCTTGCTTGGGGGTTTCCTTCTCCTTCTTCTTTGGTTTCTTGTCCTTGAAGATTTGCAACGGCGCCTTGAGCTTACACACTTCCTTGAAGTGGGCCGACATGTCCAACAGCCCTTCGGCGATGCAGTCGCTGGCCGAGAAAATGTCCTTGTCCCACATTTGCATTTTGAAGTACGGGAACTTGGAGTTGTGCTGCTTGTGGCCTAGCGTGACGGGGAACTTCATGCGCCAGTTGAAACTCGCCTTGCCCTTTTTCGCCCGCCAGTGGATATCTGTGTCTTGATAGTCGCCACCTTCCAACTGACATCGCACAAACAAATCGTTCATGTCGGTCAGTTCGTCAAAACTCGGCACTTCCTTGGTCTTCCACACAACCACGCGCAGCTCGTACTCTTGGGGGGGGGGCAGCGCAATGTCCACAGGTTCGTACGTGGCCGCGTCCTTTGGCGATAAAATGTCGACCCACATCTTGAGCTGACCCATCTGCGCCTTGGACGTTTTGATGTGTAGCGGGCGCTGTTCCACGGGCTTGGGGCCCCATCGGCACACAGGGTTGACCGTGTGGAACTCTTCCCCGAGGAGTTGCCAGTTTTTGTCAAAGAACCGATCTTCCAAATCGATGGTCGTTGACCCAATGAGATCGTCGCCGCCAATCAAGTCGTAGTCGTACGCGTCGATAAACAACGTGGACGCGCCGGGGAAGTGTGTGTTGAACTCGTACAACTTGTAAAAGTCGGGGTCCACAACGTCTTCAACGTAGTTTTTGCGGTCGTTGATCTTGTCCTTGCCGAGTCGGAGCACCAAGTACGGGTCGGACTTGCCCGGCGCGCCGTTCAGACCAGGGTCCATCGGCATAAAGTTCTCACCGTTCAAGATGTAGACGCGCACTTGGTACGGCATGGGCGTGAGCAGCTTTTCGAGGTTGATCAGCGGTTCCTCGTCCTTGTCCAGCATCACACGCACCAGCCCCTTGAAAATGCCGGCAATGTGGAACGTGCCGCTTTCTGCGGCCGGGGGGGGCTTCTTGGAGCCCATCTTGAACAAGCTGAACCCGCTCTTCTTCTTCTTTTGCCCAATTGTCAACTTGTACGTTTCAAACGGGCGCGTCTTGAGCACTTCGAGTTCCAACGGTTCGCCACGTTCGTCGCGGTTCTTCATGTACTTGCGGCGCTTGATTTCGTACTCATCGGCGGCACTCTCGTCGTCGGGTTCGTCCGGAACCAGCGCGGCGTCGGCGCCACTTCCGGTGAGCAACGCCGGATCGTCCAAGTTGATTTCCACGTTCATGGACGTCAACGCCCCAAACACACCCGCACCAAAGTCCTCCTTCGACCCTTTTTGACTGTTCAACAACCCCGACGCTTCGTCGTCGTCGTCGTCGCCGTCTTCCTCGGCCACTTTCGTTTGGATGTCGTCCAGGTCGAGGCTTTGCGGGGCAATGTACCCTTTGCTCCACGGCAATTTCGTTGTCATCTGCAAGTGAACCCACCATGAGTATTTTCATATCATATTTGTGTTTCTTCAAAACTGGAGAGATCGACGTTCCGAATGTATCCACACAACCAAATGGGGACGAGAATGGGCAGAAGAATTTAGCCAATCAGATAGCAGGAAATCATCAGTCCAATCAATCAACAACAACAGCTAATTAGTGCGTGAACTAAATCAGTTCACCACTGGCCTTTTCTTCCATTCAAATTTCAGTACAAAAAAGAGTGGCAACTCAGCGCTGAAGTCCAAATTTTGACTGAAAGAAAGGCATAATATCCAAGGCCAAAACACAATACACAACGTACGTCAATTGAAGCGTTCCCGATCGTGGGGGTATTCCACCCGCCCAACCGCGTGTCCTTGACCATGATGTTGAGCATCGGGGCAAACAGCGAGTCTTCCGGGAGCTCAACTTCGCGGACAATGCGTTGCAGAAAGTTGGGGTTCTCGCCGGATGGACGCTTGGACTTTTCCGTTTTCATTTCCTGGCTCGCGTGTTCGCGCCCGCCCAACGTAAACTCGATGAACGGCAACTGAATGGGCAAAAACTGGTACGGTCGCATGTCACGCAGCCCGAGCACGATGATCTCGACGTACGCCTTGCGCACGGCGGGTACAATCGACTCGGGGGGCGGCAGTTCCATGTCTGGCTGGTCCATCTTGACCACGACCACGGACGCCAGCACCGCGCCTTCCGTGTCGCCTTCCTCTTGTTGCATGATACCACACCATTTGGGCTGCGGCAACGGGCGCGGGTCGTCGGGTTCCCGTACATCGGACGACGAAATCGACACGAATGCCGACCCCATGTAGTCGTGGCCGCTGTCACCAATACCATTGTCCCAGTCCATTAGGCGAATGACCACCTAATGTCCACAAGAGGCAATGAGCCACAACAAGTAGACACACGACATGGGGGGGTAGGTACCTGGGGGGAGAAGTGGAGGAATTCCGGGGGCGGCAAATCGCAGTCAAACGTGAGGGTTTCGTACCACGTAGGGTTGACCGTCTTTTTTTTTTCCTTTAGTCTCTTCTCCTCGCCCATGAACCGCACCTTGGCGTACGGATCACTCAACCCGTCGTCGTCCAATGCTGGCAGCTGCCGCGCTTGGAAAATGTTGACGCGGACTTGGTACTTGTGGCGCTTCTCGAGTGTTTCCTTGTCGTAGTACGACACCCACGCCGCTTTGGACAGGTCGGCCACGTCGATGGGGGCGAGGCCCAGGTTGAAGAAGATGTTGCCTGGGAATGCTTCGTCGCCCAGCGCATCCACACAAGGGTCTTCCTTGAGCGTGATCCACTTGGGCTCGATGGCCATGTTGGCTTCCACTAGGTCCTTGGCCGTGTACCGCTTGAACGCGATTTGCTTGCGGGGGTTCATCTTGTCGCTGCCGCCCTTGCACAAGTACACAAACACATCCGGAATTTGCGAATAGTCGCCGTCGATGGGCATCGGGAAGGCCACGGGGCCGCTCTCGATGAGCTGGTTCCACACGACCAGCCCCTTGTTGTTGTGCTGGCGTTCAAACGCAAGCTCAAACAACCCGCATGTGATGATGACTTGCATGCGCGAGTTCTTGAGCGGGTTTAGGGACGGAATCTGGGGAATGTCCGAGCCGGTGCCGAGGAACGCCCGAAACTTGAAAATGCTCGTCGCGGGGTGCAACGACGGCGGCAGCGGCCGCGCCTTGACGCGCTGGTTGATTTCTTCGAGCTCTTTGACGTTTTCTTGAATGGAAAATGACACGAGCAGACGGCCGCGGTACGTCGTCGCCTGTTCAGGGTACGTGTTCATTTGGGTCTTGATGCTGTCGCCCTTGTTGAGCAGGTTCTCCTTAGCGTGTTGCAGCGGCGCCCCGTACAAGTTGATCCACATGGGCCCGAGCTCGCCATTCATGCTACGGATCAAGCTGATGCTTTGGTACGCATGCGCGACGACTTCGTCGCTTCCCACGCGGTCCCAGTCCATGACCTTGAACGTGATTTTGCTCGCCATACTCGGTTCTCGGAGTACCAGGTACATGTCGTCGTTGAACGCAGGGTTGAGCAGGTGTCGCTCGCCCTTCTTGGTCTTGACACGCGTCCGAATCGACGCGTTGCCGCCGCTGCCGCCAAGCGAGCATTCCACATATGCGTCAATGCCTTGCTTGCCCAGGCTTTGGTCCATCGCGGGCAAATGCTCGCCGTTGTGGATCTTGACGACGAGGAACTTGACTTGTTGCTGCACACTGGGGGGCATGAGGACTCCGTCAAGGCCCGACTCGTTGGGTCCAATGGGAGGCGGCGGCACAAACTTGTCGTCGGGGCCGAGAATCGTAATCGACACGCGGAGGTACCCTTGGACCTTGTCGCTACCGGGGGCAATCAACCCAATCCACTTGTTGCAAATCTGGTGGTTCATGTTCGAGTACACAAACGATGTGTCGAACGTGGTTTCGCCGATGAGCTCGGCGCGCTCGAACGTGTTGGCGTCCATAACGGACAGCTTGAGCGCGCCCATCTCCATCTGCTCCTTGTCCAAGTTACGAAAGTTGAAGATCAGCACGTCGTCCCACACGGCGCTGAGTGTCTGGTGCTTGGTCGCGGTGTTCTGCTTCTGGTCCAGCACTTGAACGTACACGACGGGGTCCGACGTGCCCGTCGCGTCCTTGGGCACCAAGTCCCGCGCTTCGATGACGTGCACTTGCACCGTGTAATCCCCCGATCGGATGTTGATGTTCTCGAGTGCCGCCTTCTCGTCCGCGAGGGCTTTTTCGCGCGCTTCCTTCTCCTTCTTCAGCTCTTCGTCCGACTTCTTTGGCACTGTGTCGGCCGCTTCAATGTCCACCGCGTCTTCGTCGTCGTCGCCGGCCTACACGATGCCTCTAAGTGCCGATACAATAAGAGGATCGAAAGGACGTACGTCAGGCACCCCCGCGCCAATGCTCTTGACCATCTTGTCCAAGAAGTTGCCGCCCTTCTTCTTGTTGGACGCGACGACATCGTCCACGTTGGCGTGGTAGATCCATTGGACCTTGACCGTGATCGACCCCAACTCTTCCTTGTTGTACTTTTTGTTGAGCAGGTCCAACGTCAGCGTTTGCGCCTGGCAGTCCACGAACGACGCCAACGGCACTTTGACTTGGCCCATGAAGTCATTGCCGAACGTGTCGACGTCTTCCACGATGAACTCGACGTCGAGCGACGCGTCCGTGACGGGGATCTTGAAGCTTTCGTTCCACATGGCCGCGAGTACTTTCTCCTTCTTGGTCGTCGTAAACTTGACCTTGTTGACCACGACATGGATAATCGGGTCGCTCGACACGCCCTTGTCCATCGCCTTCAATCCTTTGGCGCTGTCCACTGTTACCAACAGCACGTTCGGCGGACCAGACGACGCTGGTGCCGACGAGTCCGAGGGGATGTCGATGCCCACAGATCCTGCAGGTGCAGCCACCGCCGAACTCGATGACGGTGCGGCGGCGGATTCAAATTCGACCACCACAGTGCCCGACGCGGCCTTCATCTTGCCAAACTTTTCGAGCGGCATGCTCACTTGGAACGGCTGTCCGGTCGTCACGACTCTGATGTCCGTCATCGGCACGACCACACGACCGAGGGGTTCGTTGTTGAATACGCCCTTGTCGAAGACGTTCACTGCCAACGATTCCACGACGCGCAAGTCGACGTCGTTCCCGATCACAGATTCGAAGTTCCATTCGGGGTTGAGAGTCTTCTCGATGTGCTTGGATTTGCGGCCTTCGCTCTTCATTTCGGCCCCCGTGTGATCCAAGTACGTCAGCACCACATACGGGTCGGACGTCTTGTTCGATCCGAACCCGTCGGTCCCGAGCACGCCTTCCGCGCGGACGACACGCACGCGAATCTGTTCCATGCTGGTCACGTCAAAATCCCCACTGAACGCCTTACGCACGACATGCCTCGATTCCGGATAAACGACATGCGGATGATTGTTTTCTCGAGGAATCAATTGTATCGTAGAATATGTATGCCGTTAAATAAGTTTGCCCTGTTGGGCGATCGTGATAGAACTCACCTCTGACAGTACCCTGTCTAAACGATGCGACGAACACCATGATATCCTACAATGCCATTACAAGTCCAACGAGATGTAGCGGTGTGTCAGGTGCTTGGCTTGCTGCATACCGAGGCTACGAGCGGGTAGACTTGCTTTATTGGATGCAGAGCCAGGGTAGCTTGATGCATTGTTTGATCGTGGGTCAGATATGGTCGGACTATTCGTGGCAAGGCAGCATATCTGCCGTCGTGAACTTGTTCCGCTGTAATGCGTGCTGCTTACGCAATCACTTGCATACAGTAAGGAGTATATCCCGTTCTATGATGAGGAGATACACAACTCGAGCATCATAAGACACAGTAACCAATCCAACGCTTGGCGTACTTCATGATAAGTAACGTTTACTATGGTGGTTTGACAATTGCACCCCTTCAGAAATGTTGTAGTGGCTACAGACCTGACAAAATTTCAAGTCGTCACAGCTCTAGCCTCCAAAACATAGCTGTATCACACGGGGCACACACAACCACGTCGTTTATTTGAGGGAATTACTCCCCCAAATCGTGAAGTGACCGAGGCTTGCACGTCGTTTACAAGCGGGAGGGCTTTGCCACAGCGGTAAACTCTTGGAGTTGTCGCCACAGCGATGACTCCATGGCGATCGTGCCTTGGGTCACATGTCGATTGTAGATGCTGTTTCCACGCTCGCCGGGTAACCACAGGGGGGCTCCGGGGGCTATCGGAGAGTTGGACTTGACCCGCCCGAGGATTTGCTCGACTCGCGACGTGAAGTCACCTAGGTTTGCATGAAACCGAGTGGGGTCGATGGCAATCACACAGCTGGCCCAATCGTTGGCGTTGTCCTTGTCGTGAATAGCCCCGCCAGCCAGCGCATTGCTAAACAGTTCCACTGCCAGCGCCAACGCCGATCCTTTATGCCCCCCAAACGGCAAAATGGCATGCACGGCAGCGGGGTCGGTCGTGGGTGTGCCTAAAGTTGTGCATGGGTGAGATATAGTACTCACATTGCAAGTGTGAACGAAACTGATTGATCACCTTGGGTGTCGATGGCGACGTTGTCTGCGATGGTTTGGTTGGCCAACTTGGCCAAAATGATTGCAAAGTACGAGATTGCCGACGTGGCTAGGTCCATCACCAACGGAGTGTCATGGTTCGCTCTGGTAAAGCCATGAGAACGTCAAAAGGGCAAGGTGACAGAAATACCTTGGGAAGCCGATGGCAATGGGGTTTGTGCCAAACAGGGGCTGCGTGCCACCATGCGGTGCCACAAGCTCGGGCGACCCGCTAAAGACGAGCCCAATCAACCCATGGCGGGCAATTTCCTGCGCGTAGAAACCAATTGCTCCGGTGGATGTGGCGTAGTTGCGACAGGTGACGACGCTGGCTCCGGTGGCCTTTGCTTTTGAAATGACAATGTCAGTGGCTCGCTGCACGACGAGCATGCCGCAATGCTGGTTGCCATTCACAGCAGCAGTAGTCGGCGTGTCCTGCTCCATGGCGATATCTTTCGCGAGGCAATGTGGGCTCTTGTCTAACGATTTGGTCACAAGTTTCACCACCCCTTGCGTGTTGCCGCGAAGTTGGGCATACAATAAGACGCGCTGGATGATGGCGGACTCCTTAGGTGAATACCCTAACACTTGAAGGGCTAGCTTGGTGTGATGCTCTAGTTCATGTACCGAGACCTGAACCGAAACAGCCGCTGCCTTCGTCATGTTTCACCAAGAATTGCTTGGTGATCGGATGTTTCGACACTGGTTGACGTTGCAAATTGCACCCAAAGATCGGTACATTTTGTCCAATGAAAGGGTCAGCAAAGGTATTGAACGTATTTGATTGGATAGCCACCTGGGGTATGGCAGCCAACCTGGAGGTGGCGACGATGTGGACGAATCCTTCGCGACGTGTACTTCACGGGCAATCGAAAGTTCAAGCCTGCTGTGCAATCCTTTGTCGCGAATGGCGGCGCCTACCTCGGGGTGTGTTTAGGAGCGTACGCTGCATGCGTAAATCAGTTCGATCTCGCGCACGATGAGCACAGCGAGCCATACTGTCAGTTTGACGAGCGATGCAAAGATTTTATCCGTACAAGTCCACAGTGTGTACTATCAAACGCATCATCAAGGCGGCCCAAATCTGGCGCTTAACGTTATGGTCAAGGTTGGCTGAGTGCCATTTGGCTCGTACGCTGCGTCGCTAGGTGAAGCGCCAGTTGGCATAGTTATGCCGAACTGGAATGGTCAAGGCTCCGTAGGTCTACAGTCCCCACTTCGAAGCTGATGATACTTGGGACGATGCCCATTTTGGTCGGAAAGCCGATGACTGCTCGGACCTACTGCGCCAATTCCTGACGCTCTTGGCAACGCATAACCAGAAAACACAAGGATAGATGGCATAGTTATCGAATGACCATGTGTCTAAGATTCCCGTCAACGTTAAAGCTCTCCACTCGTCAGACTTAACAGTAAAGGTCTGATTTATACGGATAACCCTTAGAAAGGACCAATTTTAGTATTAGGTCGATGCGACTTGGATCCGCGTTTTATTACCTCGTGGGCGAAATTGGAATACTACGTAGTACTACGTAGTACTGTATAAATAATATTCACTCTAAATAATTTAAATACTTTTGAATAAGTGTTCAATTAATTTGAACTGAGGTTTAAAATATGAAGCTGAAATAGCTCAAGGGTTAGAGCACAAGGTCCGTAAGGTCGTCACTTGCAGTGTAATGCATCTTTCCCAAGATGCAATTATTCCCTTGAGAATGAATAACGCTGCGACGAGCATCCTTTTTTGTTTTACTCGTGTGTTCATCCATCCCTCATACCTTGATGTCTTCCATGTTCACCTGCTGCATTTACATAACGCCATCCTTTGTGACGAGAGGATCCTGCTCCCAACTTGCTGGTCCGTTGGAAATCGAGTATGTAAAAGTGTTTTGTTTCAAAAAGTTCGATGCTTATCGTCCTGGCGTAATGTTCGACGTCGAACAATTGGCAAGAACGCTCACTCATACCATGGGTACAAAAAAGTTTTGGTGCAGAGCACGAAGAGGCATCATGTCGGACGAAATCCGCGTGACGGTTGTCCGTGCGTCGCATATTGTGGGCAACGACGGCTTTGGCTCCAACAAGACGTCGGACCCGTTCGTGGAGCTGACGCTGCTCCGCAGCAACGAAGAAGTTATCAAGACATCCTCGACGTACAAGACGAGGGACGTGCAAAAGACAGTCAACCCCTTGTGGAACGAATCGTTTGTGTTTGACATTGACTTGCGCTCGGCCAACTACCTGTGTTGCACGCTGTACGACAAGAACTTTTTGAAAAATGTCCCCCTCGGTCGCGCGCTCGTGGCTATGGATGACGTGCGCAGGTGTCTCGTCTCTGGGCGAGTGGAGCGGTCGTTTCCCATCGTCAAATTCGGGCCCGTGAAGCATGCGACAGGGGAACTGTTCTTGGTGTTTGAACCGAATGGGGGCAAGTCGAATACACCTGCGAATGCTGCGGGCGGGGGTGATGTCGCCATTGCGGTGGCGGCAGCTCCAGCCACAGGCCCCCCCAATCTACTCCATGTAACGGTCGAAAGCGCCACGGGGCTGCCAGCGATGGACTCTGGCGGCACGAGCGATCCCCTTGTGATTGTCTCGTGCAACAAGACGAAGATGTCCACGACGACCAAGTACAAGACGCTCAGTTGCATGTGGAACGAAAGCTTCAAGTTGCCTGTTGACGATCCGAGTCAGTTTGTCCAGTTTGTCGTTGAAGATTTTGACACGGCGTTCAACGACTTTATGGGCCAAGCTAAAGTGCCGTTGGAATCGCTCCACGACGGCAAGCCACAGACGTTGACGTTGGAGCTCTTGGACAAGAAATTCCGTCAAAAAAACAAGTTGGGCACGCTCACGGTCACATTGCACTGGACGTTTACTGAGCACGTGTCGGCCGTCGTAGCATCCAACAAGAAAAAGCGTGTGACGTTGCTTGATAAGCTCTCGAATGCGGTCACGGGGGTGCCAGATGTAACCACAACTACAATCTCTTCCCATCCAGATACTGAAAGAAATATGTTAGGCGGGTGACGACGACGAAGAAGGCATCGATGCCGACGCATTGGAGGCCCCGCCCGAGCAAACCAAGTCGCCAGATGAGCTCAAGAAGGAGCAAGAACTCAAGGACAAGGCTCGTGACGAAGAACGCAAAGCCCTTGAAGACATTCAAATCCAATCGGGCGATTATTCCGTCCAAGTGCACATCATTGAAGGTTTGTGACCCCCCCCAAGACAAAAACGTAGTTTTCACCTGAGTGTGTGCGTAGCGCGCGACTTGGTGCCAAAGGACGCCACGGGGACGTCTGACCCGGTCGTGTACGTGGAAGTGATGGACCAAAAGCAAAACACAACGATCAAGTCCAAGTCGCTGAGTGCCGTGTGGGACGAAGTGCTCATTTACACGTTTCGCGATTTGGACAAGGAAAAGGTCGAGATGGGGCAAATCAAGGTCACTGTCATGGACGCGAATACGCTGCAGCGCGCCGAGCTCATTGGGGAAACGTCGTTCGACGTGTCGTTCATTTACACCAAGATGAACCACCAGATTTGCACGACGTGGGTGGGGCTGTGTTCCCCGGGCACCGACGGCATCCAGGGCTACGTTCGGCTGTCGATTTCCATCATCGGTCCCGGCGACAAGTTTGTCGCGCCGCCACCGATCGATCCGAAAGACAACGGTTTGGCCAACGTGTTGATGCCACCTAGTGTCAAGCAGGAAGTGTCGTTCTTGGTTATGACCGTGCATGTGGGCGAAGACCTACCCGCCATGGACAGTGTGACAGTATTGGGGCAAAAGCTAAAGCAAGGCATCGATGCATACGTCGAAGCGTCCCTGGCCGGCAATGCGTCCATCCGCACCAGAGTCAAGTCGAAAAAAGGAGAACGATATCAGTTGTGTCCAGCGTTTAACGACGAGCTGTGGGTCGTCTTGCGCGAGCCTAGCTTGGCCAACAAGGTGACGATCGCAGTTAAGGACTGGGATCGCATTGGCAGCGATGAAGTTGTCGCCCATTCGTACGTAACCATCCCCCGCGCATGTGCTGGGGGCTCAATATTTTCGTATTGGTAGGTACCAATCGTTGCGGCTGATCCGTAAAATGTGCACCGCGTCGTCAACGGGGGCGTATGGCCCCATGTGGCTCAACTTGTACGGGGCCCCGCTGACGTTCACATCCAGTGTCATTCCCGGTGAGAACACCGCCAAGGGCGAAATGAACTTGTTTCCGGACCTGGCGTCGTACTACCGGGGTCGCATCTTGGTCACGTTTGACATCCGTCCAAACGAACGACACTTGGACGAAGTGAACCAGCGAATCAAGTCCACGCCGCTGCCAAGGACATTGTTTCCCCCCACAGCTGCGTACAAGCTGCGCGCGTTTGTCGGCACCGGCACGGACATTCCCCAAATGTCATCGCTGTCGGGGGCGGGCACGCGCAACTCGAAGATGCAAATCTTGATCACGATTGGGCTGTACGAGCTCGCGTTCGAGCGGAAGGATAACGTCAAGGGCCTGGTCGTGTGGAACCAACTGCTCGAGTCCGACCTGTTGATTCTACCGGCGGACGCGACTCAAATTCCAGACATCTTTGTCTACTTGTGCAAGGGCAAGGCTGATGGTTCGTACACATACCTGCATATCCTTCTTTTCCAACTACGGACGATCTTATAACGACTCTGTGAATAGGCAAGGTGCAAGGACGAAAGCAGGTGTCGTACCGCCGATACAAGGCCACAGAGTTACTCGAACAAGCCATGGGCAATGACCCGTCGTGGGTGTCGCTCAAAGAAGACCCAAGCGTCGACGCATTGGGGGACGATGTCTTTCCCGGTAACATCTTGATGAACCTTGGGTTCGGCACGGACGACACGGCGAGTCGGACGTTGGCCAAGTGGAAAAGCGTGGCCAATGTCGACCGGTTGTCGCAGCGACACAAGTACCAAGTCCGTGTCAACGTGTTCCAAGGCCGGAATTTACCGTCCATGGACGACAACGGCCTCGCCGATCCGTACATCACGGTACGGTTCAACGGCGAGCAACAAAAGTTGGCCGTGAAGAAGAAGACGGTGAACCCGCTGTGGTACGAGACGGTCACGTTCGACGTGGACTTGCCGCCTGAGGACCTGCTGCATTATTCCCCCCAGGTCCGTACTTGTAGTCAAGGGTGATGTTTCTCATGATGGGGGCTGGTTACGGCTCTAGGTGATTCTTCGCGTGATGGATTGGGATGCTGGTATTGGCAGTTCGGCCCACGACTACATTGGGTCGTCGTTCTTACCGATTTTGGCGTCGGACGTGCGGACTATCAACGATGCGCGTCCAGACCCCGAGCCCAAGTGGCATCCCCTCGTGCAGCAAGAGGAAGGGGACACGGACGGACAAATTCTCGCGTCGATCGTGGTGATCAAATTGGACCGCCCCGACGCGGTGCTGCCTCCCCCGCCGTCCATTGTGCCGAAAACGCGCGTCGCATACTTGGAAATCATCGTGTTGGGCCTTCGAGACTTAAAGCCATACCAGTTTTTGCCCATTCAGCTGCCGTACATTGAATTCAACCTGGGCAGTTCGGACCACGCAAACCAAGAAATGAAAACGGAAAAGTCCAAGCGTCCGTCGGGGGCCAACCCCAACTACCTCCAGCGCATTGTACGCGAAGTCGAGTTGCCAGAGGATTCTTTGTTCGCTCCAATGTTGAACATTCTCGTCAAGGACACACGCCTCGGAGGGTGGTACACGCCGCTGATAGGCAATGCCTCGATTAACGTACGTCAAACGCATTGAATAACGTCATGGTCGTCTCTAACAAATGTGTAGATGTCGACTAAGATACCATGGGGTAAAGGCTACATCCCGCCGCAATCGCTGGATCTAGACAATATCGAGGAAAAGACGGCCGACGAAGACGACGGCGAAGTGTCGGAGGACGCATCGTTGCTTCCGCGAACGTCCTTGAAGGCGAAAGACATTGGCGCGGGGGTGTTTGGCGCGTTGGAGCTCATGAATGTGCAAGTGGACCTGAGCAACCCGTCGCTCTGGACGGACGAAGGCATCCGGTCTACTCAGCTGTCGACGCAATTATCGGTCGACAGTGATGCTGATCAAGGAGGCGCCGACGAGTACGAAACCAAGCGGAAAAAGTACATGAAGAACCGCGACGACTTGTCGGAAGAGCTAGAGGCCAGCGTGCTCAAGACAAAACCGTTCGAAACGTACAAGTTGACGACTGGCCAAAAGAAAAAGAAAAAGTCGCTACTGTCGCTGCTCAAGCTTGGGGGAGCTAAAACATCCAAGTCCGCCCAAGCGCAAAACGGCAGCGGGTCATTTCATGTGGCCGGCGTGTTCAAGGGTTTGGTAGGATTTATCATATACTGTATTCATGTGGCTATCGACTAACGTGGGTGTTTGTAGATTCGTGTGATGCTGAAAGAAAGCGACCCCCCGCTGGTCAATTTAAGCAAACTGCTCCACCCGCAGCCGTATATTGTTCGCATTTACGTCCTGAACGGCGAAGGGTTCCAGCCGATGGACCCTGGCTTTGATGGCAAGCCTGGCAAGTCTGACCCGTACCTGGTAGGGCCAATTGAATTCCTACCCCCTTCCTCCTCCCATCGACCCCCCCAAACCTCGTAACCCAACAACACGTAGGTCCTTCAACTGGGCAAAACCAAAATCAACGACCGTAAAAACTACTTGGACGACGTGGTGGACCCCGACTTTTACAAACTGTTTGAAATCAACTGCGACTTTCCTGGCGCGTCCACGTTGACCTTGAGCGCGTACGATTACGACTTGATCGGTACCGACGACCTGATTGGCTCGACCCAAGTGGATTTGGAAGATCGGTTCTTCGACAAGCATTGGCAACTCCTCGGCGACGAGTACAAGTCCAGTGAACGATGGGGCCCCAAACCAGTCGAACAACGCACGTTATACGTACGAACGGACGTGCACTATTCGAGAATGCTGACCTGTGACGAGCTAGGTGTCGACGTCTCGGGCTCCCATGGGCCACTTGAAACTGTGGATTGACATTTTGACGCCCAAAGAAGGGGCTGTGTACCCTCCTGTGGACATTGCGCTGCCCCCGCCCATCACGTTTGAGCTTCGCGTGGTAGTTTGGAAGACCAAGGAAGTGCCGAGCTTTGACGAACTGACCGACATGAACGATTTGTTTGTGCGGTGTCAGCTGGAAGGGTCGGATTACCAAGACACAGACATCCACTGGCGGGCGAAAAAAGGCAAAGCCAGCTTCAACTGGCGCATGAAGTTCCCCGTCACACTAGGCCACAAGCAGCACAACTCCAAATTCCCATACTTCAAAATGCAAATGTGGGACAAGGACGTGTTCTCGGCCAGCGACTGCATCGCCGAGGGCATCTTGGACATGTCGCCGCACTTCAAAAAAGCGAGCATGCTCAAAGCGCCGTTTCAAGTGTTCCAAGACACCAAGCCCAAGGTCAAGGAAACCTCGAATGCCCAGCGCGACAACGCCGCGATTCGATCCATCAAGGAATCCACGGGGTTGTGGGACACGGACCCAACCGACTCGACGTGGATCAAGATGGAGCGGCTCAACCGCGAGACCAACGTGAAGGAACCCATGGGCGCCGTGTGCATCAGCATGGAGCTCGTGCCTGTGGAAAAGGCCAAAATTCAAGCCGTGGGTTTTGGAAGAAGCGACCCCAACAACACTCCGTTCTTGCCCCCGCCGGCGGGACGACTCAAGTTCAGTATGAATCCGTTCTACGTGTTCAACGAACTGCTGGGACCCGCGATCTGCCGCAAGGTTATGTGCTGCCTGTGCCTCGTGGCGATCATGGCGGCTATGTACTTCCTCGGGCCGTTTATGAACTTGTTGATCGTGTTGGCCAAATAACGTCAGTATATTAATTATTACACGTTTTGACTGTTCATCGAGGACCATATTGGGAGATGAGGGAAAAACTGGATTTGTTGTATCCTCCATGAATGACAAGTGATAAAACTGCATTGTGTCATGCGCTGGACAGAGAAAGGCTCGTCATTTTCCAATTAAGTCTGGGCCAAATTTGCTACGGCTTAGTACTAACCTCTACTCACCAGACCTCGATCATTTGTTCATGGTTTTGTGTCGAGCCACAATATCGTTGTGCTGCTGATGGTTAGGTGATCTACACCGACGAATGAACGCCTTGGGACATATATTGAGTGCAGACTCATTATTGCGTAGCCACGTACCATGATAAATACTTCGAAGTAACTTTTACATGTACTGTCAACCATTTTCGACACTTGAGAGGTCTCAACACCGTCCACCACCAACTACAGTATTACCCGCATGTTTTATACTATTAATATTAATATTAATAGTATGCTTGGAATGTACTAACTTTTTTTCAGATTTTTCTATTTTTCAATACAAAAATCTGTAAATGCACCAAAATTGGAAGTCGTATACTGGATCTTGCCTGTGTACTCCGGGAGTATCATTTTAGAACTAACGTTACAGTACTTGTATGCTTATTAATATACAACTCCGTCCTAAATTACTGCCACGTTTGACGTTTGCCACATCATATTTTTATGACCCTGCATTAGTTTTTGTTAAAATTTGTACCAATCGAAAGAGCAGAATTTCTGCTATTTCTCACGGTGATTTTATTACCTTAAACATGGTATACACATTCGCTGCGATCATATAAAAATTGCCACTCGTCTGGAAAATTTTGACCACTCACCGACCTTCATTATTGTATGGTCCAAAACAGGGGCACCAATCAATTAATAGATATATAGAGGTAAAAATCACCTCTAGCAAGAAATTACCTTGATCCATCAACACATACACAATGGAGCGCAACCGAAACGATGGCATCCCGACCGCTACCAAGGTCGCTATCTTGCTCGCACTTCACGACGCTGCCGTTGGTACCTCGCTACCCCATGGGACCTTTACCCTGGTAGCATTGAAGTTCAACTGTAACCGCACATCAGTAGCCCAGTTGTGGAAACGGCGCAGCCAATGCAACGACGATCCTGATGTGTTCGCCGCCTTGGAGACCAAATGGCGTGGACGTTGCGATCGGCCTTGACTCGCCAAATAAACAGCCTGAACGCCGTGACAAATGTTGGACTCGAATACCGCCAGTCAGTCCGCAGTGTCGCCTTCCACGCGAATGTGTCCAAGTCGACGCTGCATCGCCGAGTCCAAGAAGGGGTCCTGGACTTCTGATCCACGAACTTGAAGCCAGCTCTCACACCGTTGCACATGCAATCTCGTCTGGCGTTTTGCCTACAGAACGTAGTGGATAGTGTTGATGTGACGTCGGGGTATGCGTTCCGGGACTTCGACGACACCATCCATGTGGATGAAAAGTGGTTTCATATGGAGAAATCTGGTCGTGGGTTTTACGTCGCACCCAACAAAGTGTTGCCGGAGCGAAGACACAAGAACAAACGATACATTGGGCAAGTTATGTTCCTGGCTGCTGTTGCCCGACCACGATTCGACACCCACCGTAATCAGCACTTTGATGGGAAGCTCGGGATTTGGCCATTTGTTGCTCAAGTAGCTGCGAAACGAACGTCTAAGAACCGCGCGGCAGGCTTCATGGAGACGAAGTGTGTCAATGTGAACGGCGCGGCGTATAGAGCGATGTTGTTGTCCAAGGTGGTGCCAGCAATCGAGCAGAAATGGCCACGAGATACAAGGAGAATTTGACTTCAGCAAGACAACGCCCCCGGACATGTTGCTGCTGGTGTATTGTGGAAGAACAGTACACTCACTCTGGTTGTTGAAAACCAGCCCCCGCGAAGCCCTGACTTGAACCTCTTGGACCTTGGTTTTTTTACTGCAATCCAGGCTTTACAGCAGCAAAAAGTTGCGCAAACAGTGGACGCCCTTATCACCAACGTGTCCAGTGCATTTACTGAGCTTAGTGAGGAGACTCTAGATAACGTGTTTTATTCGTGGATGCTGTGCATGGAGCAAATAATGCTCTGTGGAGGAGGGAACGACTATGCAATCCAGCACATCGGAAAGGAGCGTCTACGACGATTAGGTATTTTGCCTCGAGTGTTTGCATGCTCTGAAGAGGCAGTGCTCGCTGCTCGATGCGTCAATAACTGAAGTAAGGGAAATTAATAATAAAATTCCTAAAAGTCATGAAATTCGAAGACTCCAAAAATCAAAACGTGGCAGTAATTTGGGACGGAGCGGTATTGTGCAATGTAAAGCCGACTAGACGATGCCCCATTACATTTCGTTCGTAGTGCATACATTTGAGATCCAGGAATAGCCTTTTACGGTAAGATCAGCAGTGCGAGTCCTGATGGGGGGCTTGGGCGCTGCACTCATCGTAATATCCGAACGAGGCCTGGCAATCGTTTCGGTTTCCCAAACGGGCAAATGGGACTTCCTCCATAGTATAATGTTTGAGGAAGGCGTTGCCACGACGACGGCGTGGGGTCCAACGTGGTAGGGGCCATTTCGGTCATATTGTACTGGGCCGTGGACCACACGGCCGTGCGAAACTGCCGCACCGTGTCCATAAGCGCAAATGGGACGGGGGGACGAGCGTGATGTCGATGACTACTAAAGGTCCGATAAGGGATCGAATGAGTTAGCTTCCCACGGTCGTATCCGCGCTGTTGTAACGTTAGTACGCATCCCAGTCGAAACCAGTTATTTCAAACACATTCGAAATATTTCGAACCAAACTGGTGTTTGTTAACATGGCCGAGTTCATATCTTCTCATGCAAACTGGGTTAACCACGCGCCCAACACCCTGGGCGACGGCGGAATAGCGCTCACTGTGAGTTTCTGCGAAATACCCAGAGCATTCACGATGGAAATCGTGTTGTGAGTGCCTTCAAGGAAGCGATTCTGGAGATGTTGTTGCCACCATTACCGTGTACCGACCACTTGGTCACTTCGTCACTACAGCTGCAGCATCCACATGGCAGCCCACGAAGCGTTGGCGTCCAAAACAGCCCAAAACACCGTGTCATGTAGCTCGTTGTAGTATGTCGACTGAGCCAAGTCACTGGCGTTCGAAGAAGTGATTCCAAGTACACTTCACCACATCATGTGTTTGGCAGCCGGCAGTGTGGGCCATGCCGAATTGCCGACCAAAGTCCAGCCACATGGCGGAGGAAGAACGACGATGTTGTCGATGAAGGAGCTTCGACGAAATATAGAGATGGAAATGGCTAGAGATAAGTTTTGCAGCATGTACCGGCGAGTCGCGGATTGACTGAGCAACAACGTCGACGGGGTGGAGTAGCCCTTCAAGAGCACTGACGCCGCGTCGTCGAAAAGGGAAAACTGCATGTAGTCGTCGTCGTCAATTTGAGCATGTTCAGGTCCCCGAAGAACGAGTGAATGCCTGGCTGTTAAACTGTGGCCACCACAAGTCGTTTTCAGTGAAGGGTGCCACAAGCTGTAACGACACCCAAACTACTGTAGCTGTACGTACTACGACCTCTGTCCAGGAATAAGTGTTCGATTTTGCAAAGTCGAATTTCCAAGAAAGAATGTTCATTATTTGTATTACGACCTTATGTTCACTCATCCAACAATTGAACTAGGCCCAGAGCAGCGATAATGTCGTCATCAACATCCGTCTCGTGACCAATATTCAATGCCTCGATTTCAGTGCAAATTGCACCTAACTCTAAGCTCTCTCGTACTTCGCATTGCAGTTTTTGCATGTAGGCAGAATAGTCGAAACTACTCAAATATGCACAACCAGAACTCCAAGAATCTCTTGAGCAGGAAACCATTTCTGGCAACCTGCCCCGAGAATACAATGCATCTTTTTTCATATGTGGGATCTTATAGTCATTCCCACCATTGCAGAGCATGACTTTTTGGAGGCACCTCTGCAGAGTGACAAAGTTCTTGTTCAGAGTGAGCGGACTGACACGGGTCCACACCTCCTCGGTTGCCGCAACAATCTCCTCAAAACTGCTCGAATGCTTCTCAACTAGCAGCGTCTGAATGGCCCAAAAGAAACCAAGGTCGAGAACATTCAGGTCGGGTGAGTGGGGTGGTTGGAAGACGACTTGCATGTCCCACCCCTCCACCTTACACGCAGCAACGATGTCCACATCGCTTGGAGGCATATGGGGTCGAGCGTTGTCTTGCTGAATCTTGATGGCCCTTGACTCGCCGCTTGGCCACTTCGACCGAATCGTTGGGATCACATTGTCGATCAGCATTGCCTTGAACGTCGGCCTGGTCACGTTCACAGTCTTCACCACAGGGGTTCCGGCATCACGCCGACAACTGCGACGCTGAGCAAGGACAGTCTCGGTGAAGTGCCACGTACCGATCTTCCATCGAACCATTCTTCCTTGCTATTGTCCCAGCGCGGTCGAGCCACGGCAGACAGGAACATGACTTTCAGCAGATGCCGCTTGGACTTACATGTTCGCTGCTTGATCTTCTCGCCAGAGGCACCAATGACCTTCCTTTGCAGTCTTGTCATGAAGAACCACTTCTCGTCCACATGGACCGTGTCGTACATGGCGTCGATGAACTTCTCGCCGTCGATGTCGTGAACTTGATCGATGGCCCAGTTGAGTCGGCACACTGCGTCAGTCAGCGATGGCTTCACTACACTTGAGTACTTGGTAATGACGCTGCGTTTGTAGTACGTGTGGAGGTTCGACGTCGGCATGCCCAACGCATGGGCCACCAAACGAAGCAATATCGTCAGGACTGGGGGATGGTTTGGATGCGCTGCGGAAGGTCAGTGTAGAGCTGCTTGCGTCTGCTCTTGACCTTCTTGCGCTGCCCGACGGAATGGAGATCGTCTTTTTGCCCGACAAGTCGACAAAAGCACGCTTCCAGACCTGTCGGACAGTCGTTGGGATGCAGCCGAACATCTCGGCCACCGTGTCAGCTGCACGCATGCGAAGCTTCCCGCTAGGCGTACATTTGGTCAACAGGTGCTGGACCATGTTGGTGTACTCACTGTCCGTGAGGTTCATCTTGTGCTGACCCTTGCGCATCTTTTGGAATGACTGGACTGAACTAAGTGAGCTGGGTTTGAATGCCAAACCCCGCCCGGCACTTGGCGCCGGATAACAAGGGGTTTCATCCGGAAATTTGGGGTCGCTATTCAAAACTCAATAATCTAAGCATGATTATACGTGTCTGGTGTATGTTTCAGGTTCAATCCAATTTTCTTGGTGTGGTAGTTATAAAACAGCCTATAATATCTGAATCGGATAGCCCACACTTTCCTCTTTCCTCGGGTATCCTTACTTTCTCCAAATTCACATTTTTTGGACAAAAAAACTCAAGTTTTCAAAAAACGAACACTTATTCCTGGACAGAGGTGACAGAGGTACTGTAGTACTCCGGAGTATGAAGGTATTATCCGGAGATTGGTTCATCATCCGGATCACCAAAATCGATAACTGATGGCAACAGACCTCCAAGGCCAGGCGATGTCGCTGTTGATGCCACGGCCGTCAGGTACATCCACAAGCTCCACGCCCTCCCCCCCACCCATGACACAGTCTCCTGGGGATGCTCCGCTACCTCGTTCGTCTAAACGGAAACGTACACATGTGCATTCGCGACGAATAGTTGTCACATGTGTGCTGTAGGGTCTTCGTCTGGCTCACCGTTACCGTTGTTCGTCAAGCGTCCTCATGCGTCATTGGAGCGCCACCTTCGACTGTCCAATTTCCAATTAAAAGATGCCGGCGCGACATGCATGGAATTGAAGCACAAGCTGGACAATGCAGCGACGGTGTTCCGCCTTTCACACACAGCCATGCACCTTGAAAGCAGGGTTGCAAGCAGCCTCACGTCGAATCGTGAAAAGTCTGTGGAAGTGCGTACCATTGAAACGTTCAAACAGGCGGCGATGGGCAAACTCCACCCGGCGCCACGATGCACTCTGCCCCAGTCCACGCCACCACAGACCCTGTCGTCGTTGCCAGCGAGCAGCAACGTCGACACCGATCACACTAGCATTCCATCCTGCCAAGACCCGTATTTCTACCTCCGTCCACTGCAGCTCCACTCCCTCGACGACTACGACATCCAACAATTGAAGCGCCTCGTGTTGAGCCCGCCAGACATCCAGACCCTGCACCGCTCCATCTCCAAGTGGCTCTCCGCCTTGCTAGACTCGGCGGCGTACCCTTCGTCCCCGGATGTGCACATGGATATGTCCCGGTCGGCGTTGCGTGTCCAGTACATTGCCCTGGCGGCCCATTACCTAGGCAGCCATGCGTACGCCAGCGCCCTGCTCAAGTCCAAATTTGGCACCACCTTCGCTCCGTTTGTGTGTCGACTTGACAAATATTCCGTTCGCCGGGCGCATTGGTCGCTGTCCGAGCCCCTGTGGCCGTCCGGGGACGTCGTGGACGCAGCATTTCCGGACTTCCGCCGCTTGGTGCGGGCCACACGTGACGGATGCCCCGAAGTGTTGAGAGAGCTTGTGTGTTCTTCTTCTGAACTGGACGACAAAGAAATGGCGTACCACAAGGCCGACGACGAAGCCACGTACTTGCAGCAATGCATGTGGATGACCAAGCTGGCCGAGTTTGCCCAAGGGAACTTCCAAATGGTCTCGAATGGGCTCAAGGCCATTGGGCGATCCATTCTAGCCATCCATCGCCGTCAAATGCTGCACCGATGGCGCCACGACGTGGACACATCGCAATGGCAAGCGTTCTGTCTTGCGACCAACGAATCAACCAACTGGACGAAAGAGGCGCCCTTTTTTTTGCGCCTAGCCCTCAGCCCTCCAACAACGTCAAAAGCGTCGACGTCTGAACCGATCGACCCGACCAAGCAACGCTCGACGTGGCTCCAGGAGTATGCGACATCGTTCAGCCTGGACGATGCCGTGCACCATCTCATGGACCCTGCCACCGTCTCCCGCATGTATCGGCACGGCGAAAAACTGCAACTGGGCCATTATGTCCTATTGGACGAAGAAGTCAACCCCACTGGTGCCGACGACATGATGGACCAACTGCATGCCACGCGTCAGGACTTGGCCAAGTACGACCGGCAGCTGGCCTGGCACGTGTGGGCTACGACCAACCTCCTCGCAGACCCACAGAGCTGTGCGTTCAAAGTGAAACCCAAAACGGAGGCTCTTCGACCTCGCGTTGCTCCACCTTCCAAGCTGCCAGAGGGATCATTGACGTCGCCAAGTTTGAACACGATTCAATCGCGGTTGCAAGAACTGGCCCTGCAGTTGCAACACAGCCAGCAACACCACGAAGCATCCAAGTGGATTGGCATGGCGATCGAACAGCTCGGCCATCATCCTTTGGAACCAGCCCACAACCACCCCCCATCTGTCACCGACAATCTCATTGGGGCCAATGACGTCGAACCCAAGGGCAACGACGACGACATATCCGACGACGATCAAGCCGTTCTCGTGGAGTCACCTCCACGCACCACTGCCACGGCCGAGAACTTGATTGATTTGACCGAAGATGACGACGTCGTCCCACCACCGGCCGCCCCCACCTCACCCACGCGGACAATTCTTCAGGGACAAAACCTCGACAAGCCGTCGTCGCCTTCACCCGCACCGCCAGCCGCCCCCCCCGCACCCCCTGCGTACGCTGACGAACGCATGTACCTCAACTGTGCGGCCACGGATCGTCTAGTCGTGCGGCAGATGGGGGCGCTGTTTGACGCGGATGTCAAGAAGTGGTATGTCCACGAAGGCCAGAATTTGACTCCGTTTTCCAGGTGGTCCCCCCATCCTCGCGCCGTGGAATCGGCGCCAGAACCCCCCAGCAGTCCCACCGCATCCCCCCCTCGACTCTCCACCGAATGCATGTACTTTGACTGTCCTTACATTGAGCGGGACCAAGCCCGGTCGCAGGGGGCGCTGTGGGACTCGGAGAAGAAACTGTGGGTGGTCCCTGCTGGCCGAAACCTCAAGCCGTTCCTGCGATGGACGCCCCGCGCCCCGCAAGTCTCGACCGATCGAAAGTACTTGGACTGTCCGTTCCCTCAAAAGTTTCTGGTCAAAGGGCTGGGCGCCGAATGGGACCCCGAAGCCAAAGCCTGGTTTGTTCCCCCCGGATTGGACCTTGCGCGATTCACCCGCTGGCTTCCCCCGCCACCACCCACCACCGAGGAAGCTTCCCCCGAACCCTCTGTCACACACACACCCAACCCCCCGCCTTTTGAAAACAAAGTGGCAACGGAGCCTGCTATACCGCCCATCGCCATGTCGTCGTCCAACGAAAACGTAGCCTCCACACCATCACATGCTGCTGCGGCAGTACCCGTGGCCAAAGCTGCCGCAACTCCACCGGCGGCACCGGTGCGCAAAATATCAGTCAAGCCATTGAAGCGTCGGGCGATCTCCCATGCTGCTATCCTCTCGTCGTGCAAGAATGTGTTGTCCGACATGATCGATTCCATCGAACGCACGTCGGGGTGTCCAAAGTGCAAACACGAGTACCTGTGGAACTGTGTTCAGTGCACACGTTGCAAAACGCATTGCAACTGCATGGACGAGTATCGTTGCCAACAAAACCTGCGGTCGGAACAAGCGTCGATGTTTGAGGCGGCGCGGCGACGCGCTCGGCTTTTGAAGCAAGGAGTAGGGGGCCAAGTGGGGCCCCTTGCAGACTACACGTCGTGTGTCACGGGGGCGGACTTGGTGTCGACGGCGCGCATTCTAGCCATGTGGCGAGACACCAATATGTTTGGGGTGCTGGGAACTCCCCCGACGGCGAGCTTTCAAGTGGTGAAGCGGCAGTATCGGTCGATGGTGTTGCAGCTCCATCCAGACAAGTCCAAGCATGACACGGCGGACAAAGTGTCTGCGTTTATGGCCGTGACGAAAGCGTTCCGAGAAGTCAAAGTCATGTTTGGGATTCCGTAGTGCCATATGCGATCAGATCAAAATTGAAATAACGTTACTGTACTATTCCATGTTGCAACTTCGAAGCATGTATTTGTACTATACGTACAGTGGTAACGTTACACCAACTCTTACCTGGTCGCTGGTCGCGGAATATATTTTATGGTCGCGGAATAGTACAAAACGGATGTGAAATGGATGAAATTTCTGACCTGGCAACATCCAGACAACCCCGTCAGTGAGAAATAGATTACGTGTTGAGCGGTTAGCCGTCGGACTGGTATAACTCGGGCGCAGTGCGGGCCATCAATACCAAGCAAAAAAAGTCTTCGTCGCCCAAACCCGTTTTTCGCCAGAACACGAAGCTGTGGAAACCTCATTGCCAAAAGGTTGGGGCATATTGCGTCAACTTCATCTTGGCCATCTTCCAGTTGACCTTTCGAAGTCCTTTCGCCTGGGAAGATCTCCACGGCGGATGTCAGCGCTGCGACCCGCTGGTTGCAACCAACCGCAGACAACGCTTGAAGCTCAAGCTGTGGTTTCATATCCTTAACGTAATGAGAGAAACACTACCGTAATATGTGTTGTAGTCAACGAGAAATCGACGAACAAAGTAAGCAAAGAGCGATGCTGATGTCTGGTGCCCCACGTTAGCCAACTTAATGACACACGTCCCATGGCCCGTAATTGGTGATTGGATGGTTCGGTTGCAAACCGGATTTCTTCGATGTTGTGGACACAGCTACAATTGTAGGTAGGCTAGAGCTATGTCGTTATGTTACATTATCATTGGGTTGCTTGAAGCGTCGCCTGAACGCCCGTAGAGCTTAACAGGTACGCAAGGTTGACGGACAAGTGGCTGATCATGCCTTCGTTTTTCGTGACGAGGGCAGAGTACGCGTCGAACGTGATGACGCCTTCCTTGTCAGCGCCAATCTCGACAAACGTCTTGTCAACGATGAGCTCGATCTGTTCTTTGGTCAGTTTGATGTTGTTTTCGGATGTGGTCGTGTGCAGCATGGTGGTGAGTTCGGGCTTGGACAGTTTGCCGTCGCCGTCCATGTCGAGAATGTCAAACGACACTACGCAGTAGCAAGTGATGGCCAAGTCAATATTGAATCGCTACAACATATACACAAGTGTTGTTAATGTACATCGTATTTTCTCAGGCAATGTAGCTTTTGTAGACAACAACGACACGCTCTGGGCAAACTCGTCAAACGAGATGCGAGAATCGTGGTTGGCGTCGATCAAGTGGAAAAGACGATCGGCATAGATGGATTCCTTTTCAGGAAGGCCCATGGCTTGCTGGAACTTGACGCGGTCGACGCTCCCCGTTGGCAAAGTCACAGTGTCAGAGCTGATGGCATCGGCTGGACTGTCCTGTAGCTGGTACCGTTGGAAATGCGCCCCAAGCAACTGCAGTTCGTCGGGAGTCAACCTCGTCTTGGCTTGCATGGAGACCATGACCCGCGGCGTCAATGCTGGCACGAGGGACCCATTTGTTGTGTCCACCGACGCGCCAGCACCCATGGAGAACTCGGGCGACGGTTGAAACCGAGTTCAGCAATCCAATCATGAAACCGTCACTAGCCGTTTCACGAGTGCTAACGTTAACAGGCAATTTTTTATCCGGATACGCTTGCACTTGACCTTGTGAATACAAGAGGTATTATTTTGAACGGCCCATACATCGGTAATTCCGGATAAAATGTGCTTCACCAATCAAATGATAAAAGACTATACCACACAGAACGGATCTTTACCGAAGATACATCAAGTAATCGGCACCGTGTGAACCACGAGTAGACGAGCATGATGTCCTCCAGTGATGACGATCTGCGGTTTCGAAGTGCGTCGGAAAGTAGTGCGCTGCTATCCGCGTTCAAGGTCAAGCCATTGGAAGGACAGTCAGGTGAGAAATCGTTTCGCGCCACGCGACGCGCGTTCTGGAGCGAAGCTCGCGCCGTGTGGAAGATGGCATGGAAGGTATCGCTAGTGACTGTGTGTCAAACGTCGTTGCCTACGATCTCAGCTGCGTTTCTGGGTCATTTGGGCATGAACGAATTGGCCGGCAGTGCGTTGGCCAACATTTGGATTTCAGGGGTTCAGGTGGTCATCTACGGGTTCGCCGTCGCGCTTTGCACGGTACGATTTCGTCTTGATTTGGAACCAAACAAAATGGACTGCGTTGTAGTTGTGTGGTCAAGCTTACGGCGCGCAAAACTACGAACTGGTCGGGATTTGGCTTCAACTCGGCATCTTCTTCCTCACACTGTTCTCGATTCCCGTGTGCATCTCGTTCTTCTACGTCGAGCACATCTTTGTGTACCTTTGCGACGACGTCCAAGTCCTCGCGTTCGCAAGTACGTACGCGCGGTACTCTGCGTTGAGCATCTGGCCGCAGTGCGTCTACTACGCCCTTCGGTACGTCCGTCGCGCCCCCTTGGATCCAGTACGCATGAGTGTGACGTAGGCAATACTTTCAAGCGCAGGAGATCGTCACGCCCGCGACAGTCATCAACGTCCTCAGCGTCGGCGTGTGCATCGTCGCCAACCAAGTGCTCATCTACGGCGTCGACGGCTGGATACCCGGGCTCGGCTTTATCGGGTCACCGCTCGCGCAGTTTGCTGCCGCCGTCTTCCAGCCGCTCGCCCTGCTCTTGTACTCTTGCTTTTTCCGACGACACCACGAAAAGACGTGGTACGGGTTCACGTGGGAGTGTTTGGAACGTGAGCGAGTGAAGCGGTTTCTGCTGTTGTCGCTTGGGATGACTATCAACATGGCCATGGATGAATGGGTGTACTCGTTCGCGACATCGCTGGCGTCGTACCTGGGGCCAACAGTCTTATCGGCCAACAGCATCATCTACAACCTGTGGAACCTCGTGTTTGGCGTGTACTGGGGCTTTGGGCTGCCGACGCAGGTCCGCGTCGCCAACTTCCTCGGGTCGTACCAACCGGACCGCGCCAAGCGCACCATGTGGGTCGGCTTTGTGCTGGGCACGGCAGCCAGTGTCATGTCGGCGCTCGTCGTGTACGTGTTCCGGCAACCCATCGTGGATGCGTTCACGCCCGACCCGCAGCTCCAGGCCACGATCCATATGGCATTGCCTGTGTTTTGCATCGCCGTGTCGCTGTCGGGGCTGCATCTGGTGCTGGCGGCGGTCGTAGAAGGCATGTCGTTGGCGTCTACGTTGGTGTGCATCACGGGCATCGGGTCGTGGGTGATTTTGTTGCCCAGTGCGTATTTGTTTGGGGTTGTGTGGAACGGGGGGTTGCCGGGGCTGTGGTGGGGCAGGTACAGCCTTACATATGTACCCCGTCGACTGAACGCGTGGCTTGATTTGATGAATGTGTCGTGGATGATGATGATGTTCTAGTGTGCTGGGGGAACTGGCCAAGTTTGTCATGATGGCGGCCTTCTTGTACCAGATTGACTGGGACGAGATGGGCCTCCTCGCCGTCAAGATGTCCGAGGGCGAAATGGACGACGACGAAGTCGAGGACGACGTGATCCAGCGCATGACACGCAGCATGTCGACGCCGTCGCTGCTGAGCACGCCGGTGCTGTCCAACTTTACGACCCCCCAGCAAGTGTACCCGCACCACCGTCTGTCTGAAGACGACCGGATGCTGCACCTGTTACATGGCGCCGCCAAGAACGCCAATCGAAGCTACCGCACCGCCGACAGTTTGTGACAACTACAAATGTAAAACCTGACGACGACGACATAGAGAATGTTGGTGTTTGAAAAGAATGCATGTTTGCATACTACAAACTACTGTGGTACTGCGGAGTGTACTACTAGTACTACTAGTAGTAGTAGTATGGTGTCATGGGGGTTACTAGTATAAAGAGTTTGGTTTAATCCTTGTAAGCATCGAATCGTCTAACGTTAATCGAATGGAGTGAGTGGCTACTGAAGTCTGGTGGTGTAGCGTCGTCCACTTCGAAGTAAAAGCAGAGTGCGTACGGTGTTACCAAGCAGCAGCCAGTGGTATAACAACAGGACCCTATGAAGAGTACTAACTGTAAACTACTTGTACTACTACGTGTGTCTAACTACCGATGATGCTGTGTACTAACTGTAAGTCAAACAGGCAGTGCTGTAGTACTGTGTGACCCTTGTCACCTCCTTCGGGCCGATGAATTTGATTTCGCAAGTGCTGAACTATCAATTTGGACATCATTATCTGACGACAGATGGAGGGAATGGGTGAATGACTGCAGTCTACTGGTAGACCAACACTGTCCAAGGGACTTGAAGGATGCTGGCGTAGTCGTTTCGACAGGCTGAAACAATATCCCAGCACCGTATCGCAGTTCCAGACAACTGTTGAACGATTTGTTATCAACCGTTAATTCTAATGGATTCTTCTTCGTGGTGTATTACGTCCGCGACGACGACGGGCCGGACAAGGTCATGCCGACGCTGCCGCTGGTGTTGCTCGTGTCGTGGAGGTTGTACAACAGCTGGGACAACCATCGACTGGTCGTCATGTCTTCCTTCAACACGTCGTCAAACGTTTGGTTTTGTAGGACTTCGGGGAGGCATTGGCGCAGCGCGTCCTTGGCGCGGGCGTTGTCCGAGAGTCGGAGGTAGCACCGGATAATGTGCTTAAGCAGTCGCGTGGACGGAGCCTCGACCAACATGGTGACCATTTTGGACAGGACCGACCCCACGGCGTAGAAGCGCTCGGGGGTGTGGCAGATGTACGTCAATCCCATTTCGTCGAGGAGGATCTTTTGCACGATGAACGTCGCGACCTACCAAGACGATCGTTACAATGACGCAACACGGACGTGTCTCGTACCGTCTTGGACAATTCGCTGCCCGCTTCCATAATGCGCAGACATAGCGGGATGATCTCGGTCTGCAGCAAGAAGTTGATCACGTCCGTGTCGTCAATCTTCACCAACGCACCGATGACCCCCAACGACGTCAGTCGAAGGTACTCGAACGGTCGGTTCTTGCTCACGGTGTTTAAGAACGGGTACAAGTACAGCGGAATGTGCGCGTTCAGGAAATGCGTCCGCGTCTCGGCGTGCGACGCGACGCACTGCAGAAGCGCCAGCGCGTTGCACACACGGTTCGACGCATGCGCGGTGAGCTGCGGCGGGGACAGGAGCGGGTAAATCGAGATGATCTCTTGCAACAGCGCCGCGACGGTTCCAAACGAGTGCCACAGGATCGGCGCCAATTCTGGGAACTCCTCGCGTTTCTTGCTCAGTTCCAGCAATGCGCCTTCACGTTGTTCGGGCACGGACAGCTCCAGAACCAAGTGGTACAGCTGATCGGATCCCATCGGACCATCGGGTGCTTGGCCAGGCGGTAAGCTCTGTCGATTCAGTTCCATCATCGCAACGCAACCTTCGAACTCACCAACCCCAAATTCCTTGTTTAGTACTACTAGCCGGGACAAAAGTCTAACTCTAATACTGAGTATACGTTACTTCAATATGTTGCATTGAATCTATGGAGTAGTTTTTTAAAGTAGACTAGTATTACTATGTACTACTAGTAACTAAATTCTAATACTATAATATAAACTGTAGGACTTTCTAGTTAAGCGAATTGATCTCATAGTATCCGGAGGCTACTATATTAAGCGATTGTCCTTATAGTATCTGGAGGCTAGGTATGACAAGTGCGATGTGTGACTTTTTGTTGGTCGAATCCCTCGCATTTTCAGAAATTTCAAAAGCTACCTGTTCTCCAGGAATATTTAATACGGATAATTGTACCGGTTTGTTGCACAGATAAGTACCATATAGTCGATCGCCTTGTTTGGACATTTTAGCAAGGGGTTAAGTGCGCCCACGAGTGGTTCGCGATAGATAACCACTCGGTGCAACTTAAACCCGGAAATAGCATTAAATGTACGTACACATGCGCTCACCGGGGTTAGGACAAAGTCCCGGGTTACAGGGCTACGAGTCTTATGTATGACCAGAAGATTTTATATACAGTTAGTCTTATCTGTGCAAAGAACAGGGTTGTCCCGACGATTATCCATTAACTCAATATTCCCTGTGAACAGGTAGTTTTCGACCTCAGCAGGTAGTAGCCAGGGAATTCCTCCTCCATTTTACTACTGTACGTACTAATCGCATTCACGATTAAATCCAGTTGCAGTAGTGTGTGAATGAGAAAGCAACGGAACATGGCAAGCACTCACCCGATTGGGCTACTAACTTACCGTATTAATAGTAACTTAGTAGCAACTACTTACAGCTATTATTTAATTCAAGGGGACTATTATTAAAATAATAGTCCCCTTGAATTAAATATTCTCATCCCATGATGGAACTGGAAATATCAGGGTAGATTCCAGGCTTATATTTGAAGGGGTAAATCCCTCAAGTATAACTGCAACCCGGTTTTCACTAGTTTGTACACTGCATTAACCTCAGCCCACACTTGCGCTACAGTGTTGAGGACAGTTGCGGTGTTACGTTGTCACATCATTAAGAAGGGACTACCAACATGGTGAAAACGACGAATGACCGCGCCATCGGAGTACCTTAGCTATTCCGGATAATGGATAGGACTTCAAAGTACTACTTTTAAAGGAATCCACCTTGTTCTTTTATTCCGTATCATAGGAAATGAAGGTACAGCACTCCAGCATTTCGCATTTTGCCATGACCGCCCAAGGAGATGATAGCAGTGGTGGCAGTGCCAACCACCATCACGAAGAACCCGAATCTCGTCACGAAGAGCACCATGAAGAGCCCCATGAATGGAAGTCCCAGGAAAAGTGGGTGAAACACCAAGAAAAGGAAGCTGAGAAGGAAGAAAAGGAGGCGAAGCAGCACGCGAAGGAAGCTGAAAAGGAAGAGAAGAAAGCCCAGAAGCATGCCGAAACCGCTCGCAAACATGCCGAAGCAGCCCGTCGACATGCCGAAGCAGCCCGCTTGATCCGCAATGCGACCGTTAATGGCACGATCCCTTTCCACGAAGGCAACTGGACCCATCCTTCTGGCAACTGGTCGCAGCACCTTCTCCCCGAAGCAACGAACAGCACCCTCAACCAAAACATCAAGTTTGAAAGTCACCATGGTGACTCGTTGTCGCTGGAAGCGATTTCCCACGACCAACGCCATAGCTCCCTCACAACGGCAAGTGGTCTGGCCGTGGTTGGCGTGTTGGGTTTTGTGGCATTCAAGGTGGTCAACAAGCTCCGCCGCCGTGCGGACTACCACATGATTCCATCGGAGTCCACGTTCTTGATTTAAAGCATTTGGTGCTCCATGTAGTGGGTTGGCAAGATAATTCTACTTTGATATGTTCGCTCTCGTATTTTGTTTTCCGCGCAAATTGATGACACCCCGTTGACATCGCAAGGGGCAACGCGACATGGGCCAGCATGATTTGGCGGCATGCAATATATCGTTACAGTAACTACTGTACCTGTACTCGGAACTTGCCCATCACCAAATCCATTCAAGCTCATCCACATCCCGCTTCTCATTGATTCATTCATTCATATCAATGAGAAGCGGGATGTGGTGCACCTACTACAGGACCTACATCCGTATTCCAGAGTATAAGGGTAGCTTTATCACTCTTGAGAAAAGACACGATTATTTGTCAGGTTGGGCGAGTTTTGTGGTGCTAACTTTTGGAAACCAAACGCAATGTGCTTTCAATCACATGCTAATAATGGGTCAAACCTGTTCACTTTGTGCTTGTGAGCACGACAATAGTCTTCTATGACGCTCAAGCTTCTTCCTGCCCATCTACATAATTCACTGTCAACAATCGCCTGACGATCTTGTCGTATCCGGATGACGAGTGATTTACTTGAAGTAGTACTTATTTAATACTCCTAGTAGTACTTCGAAGAGCGATTCCCTGATAAAAATTCATACAGCTTATATTCGAGGTGATATCTACGAATCCGGATACATCTGGTACATGTGAGAGGAAGGCCTTAACGGAATTCATCTGGATACCCCCACGCTGTCGATACAAAAAACCCAAAGCTAAGGGAATTACTCGTACCGTATGTGTAGGACGAGTCCAAGTCAGTTGATGGCACTTCGCATTTGACCATGTCTGCTCCTGGAAACTCTGGTGAACACCATCACGCCGAAGGGCCTCGGTACTCTCGAGGGGAAGAAACGAGCCATGAACATGATAAGCACCATGAAGAAGCCGCGAAATACCACGACAAGGAAGTGGCTAAACATGCCGAAGGGCCTCGGTACTCTCGAGGTGAAGAAGCTCACCATGAGCATGATAAGCACGGTGAAGAAGCCGCGAAATACCACGACAAGGAAGCGGCTAAACGTGCCCATGGAGCCCACAAGGGTGGCGAAGAACACCGCAATGTTGACGGTGCCGTCGCGCATGGAGGGTACAGCCATGGCGAACGCAAAGAAGAAGCGCCCCACGTTGAGGAAGATCATCTCGAACAAGCCAAGCAAGGCGGGAGTGTGGCCCACGGTGGTTTTTACCACGGGGAGCACAAAACAGAGTCGTCCAACGCGACGCATGTGAATGGCACCATTCACTTCGTCCAAGGAAACTCTACCGGCAACTGGTCGCGTCTCGCTAACGGCAGCACGCACGGCGACCAAGTGATCCAGTACGATGGCCTTCGTCATCAAGGTGGCGGCTCGTTGTCGTTGCAAGCGAGTGTCCGCGACCAGCACCACAATGCCCTTGCGACGGCGGGGGGTGCCGCAGTGCTTGCCGTGGTGGGTTTTGTTGCGTTCAAGGTGGTCAAGAAGCTCCGCCAACGCGCCAACTACGAGACGATTCCTACGGAGGCCACTCGCATGATTATCTAATTTTGCCCTTCCCCCATCGTAGTTAGTCGTCCGAGAGTATGAATCCATAACTCTTGCTAACGCTTTGTCTGTTGAATCGACTGTGGTTTGTTCGATGTTCTGCTAACTCAATGCAACATACAGTACCCCCCCCCACGGGTGACATACTGTACCCCTCCCACAGGTGACTGTAAATTGCAACAATTGGGAATACCGTTCGTTACATGTTACAGCTTGCACTCGTTTTGAAAGTCAAATGCCACCGCCGTGTAAAAGTGCTGTTGCAGATCGTCCAACGTGCAATATCCCTTTTCGTGACAGAATGGCATGTCCACTTCGACTTCGTTGGCCAAGAATTTGACTCGTTTTTCATCGTTCTTCCCGCACTTGTACACGTGGAACGCCAGATTGCTAGCGAATGGGGACAGCCGCGACACTTTGAACTGCCGGTGGTGGATCTGGGCCTCTGTCCAGGATGCCACCAGGGGCGACGTGGACGAGCACATGCCCAGCAAACACGCCAATGGAAGCACTGTTTCTGCATGGGCAAAGCGAAAGTACGCAATAGCAGCAGAACCAGGATGATCCGTGGCGGTCATCGTGGCCAGCATGTCTGCCAGCAACGGCGCGGCGATCGCCACCGAAATTGCAAACCCAGGTCCGCACTCGTAGTACTTTTTCAGGTCGCTGTGAAAGTCCAGCAGCAGCAAATCTCGCGTAGGAAACAGCGAGCACCACATGGAGGACGTGTTGAACAAGGCTACGTCAAATCTATACCAAAGGATGAATACGTATATCAATAGGGATCGATGGTTGAAACAAGGACGATCGAAGGGGAAGGTTGCATACGTACGCGCAGGCGTCGTACACGGCCATAAGTTGGCTCCACTGGAAAGATGCAGACGGTGGCAAGTGCAAGCCAGCGTCGCGGAGCTGGGCGACCATGGCCAAGGCCCGACTAGTCTCTTCAAACGCTTTGGTTTGAATAGTCATGTTGGTGCTGTAGCGAACCCACGCCTTGTATTTCGGGCAATTGTCAAAGAACCGAAGGGAAATGTCCTACGTAACAGCGTCATCTCCATATAATCCTATGTCGCATCCACATCATGAATGCATAAGAGTACTTGGCCTTGCGGTTGGCACTTGTATGAAATGTTGGGGGGCGACGGTGTGTCTGCAAAATACGCCGCGGCGAACCTACGAATGTTGACACACCATTGCTCTGCTGGGCCAATTCGACGTGTATACCGTTCAGCGCTTTGCTTTGTGCGAAGGACGTGTGTATGTTCAAACACGAATGCGTCGGGGGAGTAGCGCGATGGCAACGAGTAGCGATCGGCCAGCATCCGCGCCCGACGCCCCAGCCCTTCCATTTCCACTTCGCCAGCGGGGGCTAGGAGTTCCGACACGCTTTGGGGATACGAAAACGCATACGTCTGCAGCCACTGGGGTAGTGTGCTGTTGTATGCAGTTTGCAGTTCGTGAAGGGTACGTTGCATCTTGATGTAATCGGATTCCATGGGATATCGCGTGCCATGGCGATACACGGCGTTGATTTGAACGAGCGAGCATGTGGACCAGTTGTTTTTGGGCTGTTCATGTGGCTCCTCGACAGAGCCAGACATGGCATACGGCGTGTTGGTGGACAATGGAAACACGACGAGCGACGACGTGGCCGCCACGAGTGGCTGCATGGCCTGTGCATCCAACCACCATCGACATGCCAGTACCACCCCAATGGCCAGGACAGGAAGCGCGACGAGGATTCGCTTTGCCAGCCGGCCAACATGGCAGTTGCGATGGTGCTCAATGGACTTGTACGAGCGCGTCATAACAAGGACAACCCAACTGCGGAATGCCGACAAGCACAACCAGCAGCGCCGGCCCCGCCAAGATTGACTTTACATTGCACATCTGGTTTCGACATAACTTTGTATTGACCAATCACAGCACTTGAACACAAGAAGGCAAAACTGCAGCCTTGGGAAAAACTACGTACACTGCAACCTTGCACTGCACTTTAACTTTGCTACAGGCAATCCATCAAGTCCAAACTCCACCTATGCCCACTTTGATTCTCTCAAATGATAGGGACTCTATGTAGCCTAGGGCAACGCACATGATACAAACAACGAACGGACGACGGCGAAGTGGTATACAACGTTGGTATATTCTCCTGTCGTCTATTCGTCGTCGTCTTCGCCTTGCTCGTCATCCGAGTCGGGGACTCCCCCACCGCTTTGCTTGCGTTTGGTTTCTTCGTCCTTCTTGGCCCGCCACTCGTCATACGGACACGTCGTGTACGAGAACGGGATGGCGTCCAGCTGCAGCAGCCAGAGGGGGAAGACCGCGTCCTGCTCCTCGCGCTCCATGATCTCGGGGAAGATGAACGCTTCCTTGAAGCCTTCGATGCGTGCCACTTGGTCGGGCTCGTCGAACGCCAAACTCGGCCGATGGTTTTCGTTCTTGTCGTTGTACACTTCAAAATGCGCCTACACAACCCCCCCCCATGGCAAAAAGTCATCATTCATGACACTTCGTTCCTTTTCTCGATATTTATATTATCAAATCGATTCGAAATTGGAGCTACACGAAATCGGCGGCAGACAATCGATATACGACCAAACCAAACCCACAACATGAATCAAGTGGCCAATCAAATCCTCGCTTCGACCAATGCAACATCGAATTAGTGTGCGACTGAAATTAGTGTGACATTGGATGCTTCAAGTCAGTATACAAAGAATCGATCGATAGATTTGGCGAATCCGCATAAAAGTCCACATTTGGGGTAAAAGAAAGACAATATATCGGTACATAGCATTGGCATCGGCGCGGTACCTTGGCCAAGTATAAGCCTGCGCTGGGCGCTTTGGGCAGGTCCATTTTGGTCTGTTCGAACGCTTTCGTGATCGTTGACGCCGGTGTCGACCCTCGAAGTACGTCCATGGTCGTACCAATCATCTTGCGGATGTGATGCAGCAGAAAGCTTTGGCCAATCACGCGCAGACGAATCCACTCGGTGCCGTTCTTCACAAACGGCGTGTCGGCTTCAAACGACAAAATGTATCGTTTGCATCTAGAGCAGCAGCGACCATGTCAGCAAGTGAAAACTGGCGGTGGCGGCGTCGGTCGTTACTTGGGGCTGTAGGGCGGCAACTTGGACGTATAATTGTGAAAGTTGTGCGTGCCTTCAAAGATGGCCAACGTCTCCCGAAGCTTCTCCAACGCAGACGCATCCAAACGGAACTCTTTTTGCTTGGCCCACGCAGCTGGATCGACCTCCAGGGATTGGAACTCGTCGTTCGTCTTGGCCGTCCATGGGCCGGCCGCCGCCGCGCCTCCTCCCTCGGACGAGTCTGCAGCAGCAGCCTTGGGGGCAAACACAAACGTTGGCGTCAAGTACTCATACGTTCGGCGATCGCACGAGTTTTTCGCGTTAAAGTTCTTTGTCACGAGCACAATTTCCAACACTACCAACCATGATGATCGACCACCAACTCGTGAGCACTGACTGTACTCCAGGAACAGATCGCGACAAAGGATCAAGTACCTTGGATGTCGGTTGGCAAGAATGAGTTGACTTTAAGTCGAAATTCTTCAACCTTGCCATCCTCAATGCATAGCTTGGCACAGACCAGCTGACCGGCGGCGTGGACACCCTTGTCCGTGCGGGCGGCGCGATTCCATCCAATCTGCGGAGTGATTAGCATGTTTGAAGTGTTCATGAGGAAGGCTACCTTTTGGATCATGCCATAGTTGCAGCGAGCAATGCCACCTGCTTCATACAATGCACGCTCGAGCTCGGCTTCGACGGTCTTGACGCCGATGTTCCTACATGGTATGTCAATGGATGCAACCTGCTGCTGCATGACAACACATACATTTGCATGCCCGAGTATTGCTTGCCCCCATATGCCAACAGCAGTCCGTAGCGCTTCTTCGTCGCAGTGCCACACTTGTCGGTCGTGTCGGTGGCATCCAGTTGGGATGCGTACGAACCTGGGTGGATCGCGGCCGGGAAGTGGTTACGTCGGTCATACTCATCTTCCTTCTTTTCATCGTCGCCACCGTTGGCTTCGGCGTTCTCACGTCGAGCCTTCTTCTCTGCCTTCTTCTCAGACCAGTGCTTTCGTTTCGGCTTGGCCATGATGGATGTTGAGATGTTGGTGGCGCTTGAAAATCTTGGGTGGTGGAATTCATTGCCACAGGCCCTGTATGCTTTAATATTGCTCTTAATCGAGATTCGCACTTTCGAGGGTCGCTCTTTCAACGACTGGCTCGCGCTCGTGTCGGCCGAGCCCTCGAGTATACATTTATCCAGATAATAAAATAAACGAGCGGTGAATTTCATTCTCGCCGTTGATTGGCTACGCATGTGGCTGGTCTCTAAACCACCACCGACCAACGAAAGCAAGGGTAGCTGCTCGGCAATTAGTTTCTTTTGACGTGTAAAGTTAAGCAATGGTAAGTCCAGGTCATGGAGCGTGGTCTGTGGATGTCTCGATATGTATGTGGATGCTGAGGATGGCATGATGCGACGTAGACCTTCTCCCGCTTCGTGACCATCGGCCGTGTGGCCTTGATCAACTACGGCCCTGACTCTGGCAAGTTGGCCACCATCATCGACGTGGTCGACGAAAACAAGGCTTTGGTCGAAGGTCCTTACAGCGTCACGGGCGTGAACCGCCACGTGATCTCGTTCAAGCGCTTGGCGTTGACTGACTTGACCGTCAAGATCCCTCGCCAAGCTCGCGAAGCCACGTTGAAGAAGGCGTTGGTGAAGGCCGACATCTTGAACAAATGGGCGGCCACCGCCTGGTCCAAGAAGACCGAAGCCAAGAAGACCCGTGCCGGTTTGAGCGACTTCGGCCGCTTCAAGAGCATGATCGCGCGCAAGCAAAAGTCCGCTTTGATCAAGAAGGCGATTGCCACTGCCAAGAAGAACTAAACACAGGTGGAATGGTAGTAGTCACTTGCTTAACCGTGTTGGGTTTGATTTATTGTGTACAAGGAGTGCCCATGCTCCTAGCTACTGCATAGAGCGAGCCGCCCATGGTCAATAATATAACGTCGAATGATCACATGGTCGCCTCCACGTTTGTTTGGAATTTGATTGGATTTGGTTGGCAAAGTTGCGATTAGGTTTATGTCCAAGCGAATTGGTCGGTCCACTTGCAGCTGCTATGCCTCGCCGTTGCTTTGAGCCTAGGTGGCAGGCACCTCCAGTGCCAAGTGCATGCCCGCATCACTGTACTTCATACATATTGCGTGAAATCAGTAAATAGTAAGGCACTTCAAGAACGCATGCCCGCATCACTGTACTTCATACATATTGCGTGAAATCAGTAAATAGTAAGGCACTTCAAGAACTTGACGTTCACAATCAACCAACGCATGGAACGATGAACCCTCAAACTTATCGGTACAGTACAAGTTGCCTGGCTAGATATTTTACTCACAGCGTACGGCGAACCCAACATTGAACAGGACAACCACCTAACCTTTGAGGTGTTCTATCTATATTAATACTGCATGTAGTACTACCTCAACCCTCCACCCTTTGGCACCTCCTATAATGTCGACTGACCATCTATGTACATGCACGTATATGCATTCTACTGTAGCTATAAAAGTCACTTGATTCAAAGATGTCAAATCCCCGTGTTGTTGTTAACCAAAACGTGTTTAGGCTTTGGCCAACTTAGCATGGTGCGCCTTCTTTTGGACGACGCGGGCCTTGCGTTGTTGCAAACTGCGCTTGGCGGTGTTCTTGAACTTGAGGTCCGGGGTGTACGCCTTCTTGGGCGCAGGGGTCGGGTCTTCACGGATGGCTTCGTGCACGGCCGTGTACATTTCTTCAATGTCGTCCGAGCCAAGGCCAGCCTTGATGTAATGGGCAAAGTGCTTTTGGAACATTTCCGGGTCATCTTCTTCCAATTCCTTCATGTGGTTGGCAATGTGTTCGCCAAAGATGCGTTCCTTGTGGACATCGGCATCGTACGACTTGGCGTCGCGGTCGTAACCGGGGAAACGCTTTTCGCTGTGGGGGATATCCAAACCGGCATCGGTGGCGCCCTTCAACGCACCAAACACGCGGTTACCGGTCGACGTCGTGCGGAGACCCACGTCCAAGAACGCGCGGAAAGGGCGCTTCTCGTCGGCGACTTCGGCCACGTAGTACGTGCGGCCGTTGGCTTCGGTCTTGACGACGGTGCCATCCACTTCCGTGTTGCCTTCGTAGTCGCCGTCCAAGCCGAGCTTGTTCAACAAGCGGCGGCCGACCAACAAACCCGTGGCGTACGCAGCGGCGTAGTTCTTGAAACCAGCCTTCAACCCGTAGCGCTTGAGTTCATCAGAGTACGCAGAGGTCAAGATCTTGTCGCCGTCGATTTCGGCGTACGCGATTTGGGCGATCACGCGCTTGTTGGTGATGCGCACGACAAGGCGGTACTTGGGCGAGTTGTACTTGTTCTTGTCTTGCGTGATCAGACGCTTGCGGGCGCGGTAGTCGGTCTTGCCTTCACGGCGACGACGGTACTTGACTTGGTAGCGCTTGAAATAAGCCTTGTTCTTAGAGACCTTGACGAAGGGCATGCTAACTTGGGGAAATTGAACAATACCGTGCCACCACGGTGATGGGGTGCAAGTGTTAACTGGGGTGGGTGACAGAGTGGTTGGCTCTCGGCACTCTCAGTGGGCCAATCATATTGCTGTACGAGAACCGACCACGAATTGATTGGCTGAAAACATTGTCCAACCCGGCGACGATTAGGCCAAATTTATTCCGTTGTGGACATTTCATTGGTTAGAAAGGCAACAATAATTATCAAGTCGATTCTGGTTGTCACAATATTAATAATAGAAACAAGGGATTACTACACCTTTTTGCGGTTAATTTCAGCTTTTTTTTTACTGTATTTCACTTACTGTTAGCTTGCAGTATATTTCACGAGACCATCGATATATTCGGATAACGTTAACTGAAGTTTGAGGTCGCCACGAAATTAACTGGAGATAACCGAAATATATCGGTGGTCTCGTGAAATATACTGCAAGCTAAGCGAAATTCAGTGAAAAAAGCTAAAATTAACCGCAAAAAGGCGTAGTACTAGTATAACAGTAAAAATGATTTACAGTAAAACTACTATAGAAGTACTACGTAGTAGTTAAGAACTGCTTCACTCGAAACATGATAATTACTTTTGCAACTCGGACAAGCGGCGCTGAATAGCTTTAAACACTGCCGACTGGGGCTGGGGTTGACGTTTGGGACTAGCTTCGATTGCAATGTCCCACTTGGCGTCCGTTGTGGGTTGTCGTTTCCGACGAACTTGCACTTGGCGTTTGGCTTTGAGTAGCAACGGCACTATAAGCACCAAGATCGCGTCCTTGACCTCGCGTGTGAGCCCAGTGAAGCGAAAGCTCGATTCGTTCGTGGGGTGGTTAAAGTACATGGCCGAGAGCCATCGCGCGGCCGCCGTCCGCGCCATTACATCCGACGTCCACGACGTTAAAATGTGCTCGACTTCGGGCGAGTTCATGTCGAACGCAGGCGCGGGAATGGCGTCGAGAAAGCTATGCATCAACTTTCGTTAGAAACCAAATGAAGCTTCGTTCTTACGCCGGGTCACAGAGCTGCCACGTGTACAGGATGTCATGGACGCCGTTTGTGTGGGTAGCCACCACACGTTCCAGAGTCGAGTGGTCCACGGCGGTCAAGAGCGATTCGATGAACCTGGCAAAATCGACGGCGCGACTCCCTTGAAGTGAAGTGGACTCGAGCAGCATGACGGTATCCGTGTTTCGGATCTACACAGCCACCATCGAATCAGACACACAAATATTAATAAAATACTAGACGCGACCAGCAGTTTGAGAACGTAGTTGGCTTGCTCGAGGGACGACATGAGCCGATGGAACGGCGTTTTCAGTTGACCCAAACGGCGTTCCAGGGTGACCCATGAAATGGCGTCCGACGGCGCTGTCTGCCTACGCCATATCGCCCGTCGATGCAGGATCAGAAACCACGTGGAATCAGAAACCCCGTGGTATCAGAATCACACATGGAATCAGAACATACCGAAAGTGGGGAGACGTCGTGTCTTCACGGGCCATCAACTGGCGTTCGGTGCCTTCGGCGCGGCGGGATGCTCGTTGGAGGTGACGATCTTGAGCCACCAGCACTTGTTTGACGTGAGCTTCCACGTCCGCCTGCCACGTCATGACGGTAGCTTTCAGATCGTCCCGTTCACTCCGTAGCGCTTGCATGCGAAGAGCAGCGAGTTGCTGTCGATTCCGTGTTTGCGCATTCCGGGCACTTAAAACGACGCTGAAGGTAGTTAATTGGTCTGTCACAAATGCCAAGGACTCCGCAGAGATGGCTGCCCACGTGTCTTTGGCAGCATGCCACTCCTCTCGCAAGCTCCTGACTTGGGCCGACAGGGCGTTTACGTACGCTGCATGGGGGTTCTTTGGCCGGAAAGTGTACTGATACAGTTGGTCCAACGATGGCAACACCGCCGCCTGCATCGCCCCGACGTCGCCCCGAATTGTTTTCAAGTCCGAAGCCAAACCACGAAGCGTGTCTTTCCATTCCCCGAGGTGCCCGTGGGTCGGTAATGAGGAGGACTCGTCCTCAGTTTGCACCGTTTTGGACTCGCGCTTCAAATCAAGGATGGCTTCGACTGGAGAGGGAGCAGCGACCTCTTCCACTTGATAGAGTCGGACGGCCACTACTTCCTCTTCGAGGCGTCGTTTGTCGCGCGCTAATGTCGCGCACGTCTCTTGCGACGATGCAAGGCCGCTCGACATGTCGGCGAGCGCGATCTCCAGCGTGACGATCTTGTCTTGCTGGGCGTTCGAAACAGAAACTACGTGAGAAAGACGAGCTTCGAGAGACGTGTTGTCGGTGATGGAGATATCCAATTGATCCTGAATAGTGTTCATCGACGTCTGGAGCGTGTGGAGTTGAGCCCCCAGCGAGCTGAACTTCTGCCGCTCGGCATTGAGTTCAGCTTGGCACTCGGCTGCGACCTCTTCTGCTCGTTGACGAAAGTGGATGGCATTGTCCAGCTCGTCACGGAGTTTCTTGAGCTCGTTTGTATACTGTCGTTGCAAAGCGTCGAGGCCATGGCCGTGGTGTTGGCACGCCGCGTGGACTGTCTTTGCTCGCTCCTGGTTCAATTCGGCTTGCAATGTATGTATGTCCACCAAGTGCTGCTCTTCTTGGACCATGAGTTGGGAACGACACATTCCAACCTCTTCTTTGCTCTTGGTCAGCGCCTCCTGAAGAAACTTGATCGCCTTGTACGCATCCCGCAGCTCGGATACCGCCGACATGGCAGATATTTGGAGATTTCTCGCGATTTCCAAGCATGCCATTGGCTCAAATACCAGCCAATCCAATGGCGACATGATTTACAACCCGGCACAAGATCGCAATAACGTTAGTCTTTCTTCACGAGGACACAAGTGAGCTGTCCACCCGTCACTCGAACTCCTCAATGCGCCAGTGTGTAGTATGCGACGACTACACTGAATGCATCTTCATAGCGATTCTGAGTATCAATAACCTATGCTACTCCAACGGTTTTCCTGTCATGGCACAAGAGGGGACAGGTCTTCCTTTTTGGTAGGAGTTATGTGAAGCATCATTGGATGCCAATACAACTCGATGCGAAGTACCTGTGCCAAATCGACAAATGGACAAGCATGCAATGATGCTTCGTCTGACATCTAGGAGTCGATTGTGATTCTTCTAGCTGATACACAGTTCGTACTCGTTTTGAGATACATAGGTTTTGCACAGCACGACGGCACATTTCCAACGATAACGTTCCTATTAGTAAGTGTTACTATTTGGGACCTGGAGTCACTGTAGTTGGGCCGGCGGTGGCGGTGGTGTTTTGAGCAAAGTCGCTCTCGTTGACGGTTTGGAACAAATACGCTTGCATGATGTGTTTCAGATAAAACCCCATGACATTGCTCCACGCTTCCCCCACATTGGGTGTGCTTTCTTTACCAAGCCAGTGCATGATCACTTCAATGCACGTTCCGACGTACACGGCAAAGTGATGCGGCCGCACGAGCGGGATGGATCTGTGCATGTGGCCCAGGTGGCGACATCGGTGCTTGACTTTTTCGTGGTCGTCGGACGCCGTTTTGAGGATAAACGTCATGGCCAGCACCAGGACCTCGGCGCGTTTCTTGGGGGACGAGAACACCCCCTCCATCGCCGAGTCTCGCTGGAAGAGGCGATGGAAGAACTCGTCCTGGAACAGCACGATGCCCGGCTGGTCGTAGCCTTTCATTTTGTCGGGCGTGGCTTTGCAGATATCCCGCCATGTCTTGGTGCATTCTTCGGCATATGTCTGGTTCAGCATTGGAAACAACGGAATGTTTGCGGGCAAGTAGTGGTGCACGTGGTCGGAGCTTGCCACGCCATGAAGGAGGAATGGTGTCGCGGGGTACTTGTTGTCTGATATATCACCGCGTGCCACCTTGCCTTGTTTGGCGCCCATAACACAATTGACCAAACGATACCACAATGCTAATGTGGTTATTCTGTAAAGCCACGCAACCGATGGGCGGTTTCGTCCCTTCAAATAGCAGCCCTGTCAAAACCAAAATTCTCAACGCAACAGTTAGTTTCTTGCCAAGTTAATGTAAAGTGCTACAACCACCGGTAGCACATATATATATTCTCCGGGGTAACACATAACGTTATCACGTTGTGCGTTCGTGCTTTGTTAGGTGTTTGCGCTACTTCAGCCGACGATATGTGAGTTTCACAAGCAATGCAGGTTTCATTTTGACATTCGTGCCGATAATAATAGTTGAATTCATGTGATTGGGCACAATAATGTGCCAGAATCATATTGAAAATGCAACCAAAAACTCGACGAAGGCAATTATTCCTTGCATTTTAACGTTACAGTTAGTCGCGATGAAGATTCTCAACAAATTTTCAAGATAACGTGAACGTTAATGTAACGTTCGTTATGTACTCGTAGTACATGTTATCGGTATGTAGCCAGTTGTGAGGTACGAGTGAATGTTCGGCGACGAGATATGACGAGATAGGGTATCTCGTCAAGCGACTTGCAATGGCCAGTGAGCATCTCACCGAGGCGGTTGAAACAGGTGGCATTGCGTATTTCGCGGCTGTCTGAGGTGGGGCATATGCAGGTAGCATTTCCGCTCTCGAAAGCCACCGACTCGACGTCGAGTTTGCACACAGCCGAGAACTCCACTACCCCTACACGTTCACCAGTCGTTCCCATGTCGACGCCATCGCCGGTTTCGCCTTCCTCGACGGATCCAACCACTGTCGTTGCACCCACCAGTGCTACCCCGTCAACACCCCCACCTCAGTTGACAGTACCAATGCCCACAACTCCACCGACGACGACAAAGAAACCAGTGACAACTGCAAGTAGCACGGTAGCTCCTTCCACGATGAAACCATCGCCAAACTCTGTTGCACCAACTGCCACGCCCTCTGTTACCCCCGTGCCTTCATCCAAATTCCCCACGCCCCGGACGGCATCCTCGCCTGCTTTGACTTCTCAAGCTACAACCAATAACCTTGGCACCTCGGCTACCCTTACGTTTACTCCACCCCCGCCACAACCAGGTAGAACCTACTTTGTTTTCACTTTCACAGCTAATAGCATGATTGTACTAGACGTCACGGGTCTTGACAACGCCCTCTCCGACTGGAACAACTCAGCTACCTTCGTCCCAACTCATGTCCAGATCGACACCACCGTGGCCAATCCAAGCAACAATCAGGCCATGTTGATAGCTATCATTGCGTGTGCAAGCCTCGCCTTGTTTCTCGTGGCCTTCTTTGTCGTTCTGTACGTGCGACGGGCTCGTCGGGGTTCCGAGAGCAACGACCGCACCCGCCGGGGAGACGACGAAGTCTACCTTGGCACCCCGCCGACCTCGACCTTCAACAGGACGAGTCAACATCCTCGCAACCAGCGCCAGCCGCCCCAGTTGTCGCCTCGCCAACGACAGCACTTGTCCAAACTCTCCCCTCGATCGTTCCTCCACCACTCGCAGCCCACGCCCACGTCGACTTCCAACGCGTCGTACATGCTGCCTAGCCCCGTGAACTTTATCCTCGACCACCCTGGCGGTAATGGCGTCGAGTACAACAACAGTTTCACCCGGACGGCCATGGCCAACCGCAGCTTTGCCGTCGACGACATTCGAGACAACAATTCCGCGGGGTCGTACCAATCCGACTCGGCCAAAGGGTACTTTGACCTGCGGCTGTCCACCCCCGCTGGGTCGTCAGGCAGGAGTCTGTCGTTCAGCTACCGCATCACGTCCCCCGAAGCAAGCATGCCGCTGTCATCAGTGTCGCCGCGAAGTGTCAACTCGGACTTGGCCATGTTGGACGACGACCACCGACGGTCAAGCGGGGAGTCGTCCAACTTTAGCATTCGTGTGGACAGCAAGGAAGATCTCACCGCCGACGGGAACAATGACGATCTGGACGGCAGTAGCGACCACGTGACCCAACTGCACGACGACGGCGATCGTATGAAGACTGCAATAGACCACCAAGCTCGCCGGACAAGCAGCGTCTCGTCCGACCTGTCGTCGTATCATATTTAAGCCAGTTATTTCCACGATGGGACTGTTGCGGTGGTGAACTGGTTCTTGATGGAGGTTCCTCCATGAGCGCTAGCTTGGGGATGGAGGGCTGGATGGGAAGGGATGGATGATGGCGGTTGTTTGTTCAATTGCAGTTTGGGGGCGAAAATCGGAGTGGCTCGAACTGCATCGACGTTTTCGTGTGCTGGGGGCATCGGGGGGGCGTTGTGTTGCAAAACACTCACGAGCGTGGCTTGCATGTCTGCTTTGGCTTGGCTTTCTTGGGTCAATCGGTCGTGGAGCTGGCGATTCTGCGCTTCCACCATACCCCTCCACTGTTCTTCCTTTTCGCGTTGGTCCAACGCCGTTGCCTAGACATGTACTACATAGTATGTGGCTAGGAACACAATGAAAACTATTATGACTGGCAAGTACTCTCTGGTCCTCCAGGGCACGACGAAGAATGTGCACTTGGGTCATGAGCAACTGGTTCGTCTCGTGGGCAGCCGTCGCAAGCTTTTGAAGCTCTTCGTTTCGACGTAGGGTGGCATTAGACCGTGTCACGAGATCCTCTTCGTGGACTAGGGCAAGTTGCAGCGCTTGGCGGAGCCCATTCCGGAGCAACTCGATCGCCTTGTCCTTCTCGGCCACTGCTTTCTTCAAGTCGCTACTTTCATCTTGAGCCATTGAATCCATCCCCGTTGGCATAGGTAGGTACCGAATCTCGTCGGCTTGTTGATGGGCAATGCCCCGCCACTTGACTTCCATGGCCTCTCGAACGTGAACCAACTCTTTCGCCTCGGATTCCTTTCAAGCTGGTTTAAAAGACAGACCGTCTTATCATAAGTACCAAAGACTCGTGTAGGACGTCGGCACTGCGTTCTGCCTGCTGCAACATCGCTTCGCATCTCGCGGCTGCTGGATCAACTGACTCGTGCTCTTGGAATAGCATTCGCGAACGAAATGGACGGGGACATGCATGTGGGGTCGAATCCCACTCTTGTTTCTACAACAGAATCAACATTCCCATGGCTCCTCATATTCCATGGATATGTTCGCTTGCTTGTGCAGTACATCAAGTGCTTTGGCATATTGCCCTGTGGGCAGAAGGGGCGGCGTTGGAGCTGGATTGGACATACTTGCGGCTGCTTGTTCCTAACGTTCGTCGCAAGCGAACCCTTATAGTCCAACGCGAAGGCAACCCACCCACATTTATGCGATACTGTACCTGAATGTGCAGCATCTTTCGCAAGCCTTCCAGTTCACATTGCACATTCCGCTGCAACATGCAGATCATGAGATCGTGGTTGTGCATGTCATGCCATGCTGATGTACCTGAATCGATCCCAATTTTGAATATGCTTGGTGCTTTTCCGTGCATGGCGCTATCTCAAACATGTGTTGTAACTGAAAGGTCGCGGAACGTAGTTTCACAGTTATGAGAAAGTCCAAGAGGTTTACGCTGCTGCAGCATTCGGAATGGAATGAGATGGGCAACTATCCACATGGGGACGTCGATGTACTGTACACTGCCTCGGACATGTCCACGACGCGCCTCGAGTTGGGAGCCGGCGGGCTGTCGTTATGATGACTACCTCCCATGTCGACATCGTCGTCGTCGTAGCTTCATGGCGACTGGCGGGATGGCCACGGGTCTATTGCATTGTGAAAACCGTTCCACAAGTGGTGTTTTGGGCTTCTCCAATAATGCACAGTAGATGGTCATGCAGTATCGATAAGCTGACTTATGAGTGCATACGAGTTCAACCTTTCAATTCGTTGTATTGTTCACAATTCCATCTAATTACTGTGTTATACGCACAACCCAAGCGGGTGTACCTACTGAAGACGCAATATGTACTCTCCCCACACAGGTACTGTACATCTTACTTGAAGGGCTATCTTATTACTCTACATTCGGTCAAGTATGCAATGCTGCTTGAGCAGGTAGCTTATCTTGAGCACCTCGACAACCAAATGACGAATGAGACACTAAATTAATCGCACCAATGGGGGTTTGTATTAAAGATGAGTTTTCAACCACCCCACACGCTTCGAAGCAATCGCAACGACGTTCTTCTTACAAGATTTGCTTGATGAACTTGTTGATTTCTTCGCCACGGTTACCATGGTCACCGCCTTCGGCAAAGTGCAACAACTTTTGGGTGTAGCCGCCGTTGGGGGACGACAGCTGGAACGGCCACAAGAAGTTGGCGGCTTCCTTGAAGTGGGGGCCGCACGTAAATACTTCGTGGATCAAGTCTTCGATACAGATGATGCCGAATTTGCCCAACACCTTCTCGACCAACGAGTTGTCGGTCAACGCGATGCGCTGCTTGTTGATCTTGCCGAATCCACGCTTGTAGATGAGCTCGCGGGTCGACTTCAAGTTAGGGTACCCGTACGCGATGAACGGCTCGACGAGGCGCAACATGTTGATGGTGGCCTTGTTGAGCTTGACGAACACGCCGTTTTGGATTTGGGTCAGGCGGAACAGCTTCAGGATCTTGCGGACCTTGGGCGAGACACCAATGATACCGCGGATGCGCACGACAAACGCAATCTTGGCTTCGGCAGGCACGTAGAAGTTGCCGACGGCCTTGGCTTGGCGGCGGAGCAACACGTTTTGCTTTTCGATCTAGAGTGTCCAAGATGCATATAAGGCCTTGGGACGCATCATGTGATATGGGTGGTGGAGACGTACGCTGCGGTATTCCTTGACGTACTTCTCGGCGCTCTTGAACGCGATTTGCTTCACCTTGAGGGAGTGCTTCTTGGCGGCGACCACGGCTTCGGCCTTCTTGGCCTTGACCACTTCAAGAGTGCGGCGCTTCTTGAGGATGGATTCGGGCACAAGCCTACACACTCACAAATGAATATACGGGTCCAACAACCCACGACAAGGGCAAAGTGCAATTTGCACTCGCACACATGTTGATTGTAGGTGGAAGGAGACGGTTCGCACGACCTACAGCCGTCCACGTTGTACCAAAGGAAACAACGGCGACAGACGACTGCATGGCCGGCTTCACCACGCCCGTACTTGTGGATTTCAACAGAGTTGTTGCGAACAACAACACTGTCACAGTCCCCGCCGATGATGCGCAGAGCGCACAAAGGCAGGATGTGTTGGGTGGTTTGGAACAGCCAGGGCTCCCACGTGCATATACCAACTAGTGGCAAGCCCACCCAAAATGCATTTGAAGAGAAAAGCGTCTTGCGTCCACCGTCCATGTCTGCCAGAAGGCGTCGACGGTTGTTTGGTGGCGCAAGGACACTAGCCTTACTCTCACAATCCTCGACCACAACCCATTCAGAGAACGAGGTGGTGAGATGGCGGCACATTCACGTGCACAAGTTGATCGAACGGGCTTGTCTGCTTCAGACAGCAACCTTGATGTGCGGGAGGCATGTTGCAATGAGGAGATGAAGCACTCACACGCTGTTGGCCTTGGCAGGGGTCTTGGACACAGCCTTGGTGGTTTTGGTCGTGGCTTTGGTGGGGGCCATGGTTTCTTTCTGGTGCGGATTGAAAGTGGCCACATCTCACACTACTGCCCTGAAATTGCACGAGGTTTGCACCACCCAAAGACCACCTTGCCTGTGATTGGCCGTATTATTGTCCTATGCATTCTCATTGGTCACTTATGCAATTGGATGGCGTTATCCGGCTATGTCACTAATATTGTTTAGGGATTTTATGTCACTACCATAACACCCTACTACGTAGTATTGTACATGCTGTAACCTCCAGTATAACTAGTTAAGACGACGACCACCAGTTTGAACCTCCAGTGTACGTGATGGCAACTTGAGTTATGGCGTGATCGCACTGCTATGCAATTCCTGTAGGCACCCATCAAGAGTACACGTACTTGAGGAATACTACTGTACTATGAAGCTTCGGGTTGATTTGTGAAACCGGTAGTCGTAACGTTCGTAGCGGTTTCGCTATAAATAACCGTTTCCAGTCGTGGTGCCGCTGCTTGGGATGACCACAGTGCCGCAGCAAGCGACGTTCAGTGTATATGGGACGATATTCAAGGTGGACGTGCGGTACCAGTTCATCGCTGCCCTTGGCCGAGGGTCGTACGGTATCGTGTGGTACGAATCCATGATTATCCAATACAAATCACCAATGGCCGTCGTGTTGTAGTTCTGCCAAAGACGTCGTCACGGGGGAAAAGGTAGCCATCAAACGAGTGGCTCCCATGGCTCGCAAGCACAATGATGCCAAGCACACATTGCGCGAGATTTGCCTCATGCAATCGTTAGGCGCCCACCCAAACGTAAGGAAAACTCATGTGTAGCGAAATACTGTAGTCACCTTCTCACTGGACTAGATTGTGGGAATCAAAAACATGTCGGTGAATGTTGCGGACGATGAATTGTACATTGTCATGGACTTTATGGACACGGACATGCACCGCGTGATTCAAAGCAGCCAGGTTATAAGCAAAATAGCATCGTTTGATACAATTGACAACCCCTGCCTTGCTGTAGCCGCTGTCCGAGTCCCATTACAAGTTCTTCTTACACCAAATCCTCCGCGGTGTCAAACACCTCCACGACAACGGCGTGCTTCACCGAGATCTGAAACCTGGAAACATCCTCGTCACCAAGAATTGCCAAGTGAAAATTGCAGACTTTGGGCTTGCCCGCAGCGTGCCTAAGCGTGTCCCACCTAAGCCCCGGCCAGCTTCTGCGGGTCCGACTAAAAAGGAACCACCCGAACCTGACTGGCAGCCCATGACCGAACATATTGTCACCCGATGGTACCGCGCGCCGGAACTTATGCTGCAGCCCGATGGCCAGTACAGCACTGGCGTGGACATGTGGTCTGTCGGGTGCATCTTTGCCGAAGTAACTTCACTTTGCACCGACTCGTCTACCATGGTGACTGATGTAGTGGTGGTAGATCTTGGGCCGTAAAGCCGTGTTTCCAGGCAAGAATTTCATCCACCAACTCACGTTGATCTTTGACGTGATCGGCACGCCGTGCGGCAACGACGTCAAGAAAATGAAAAGCTCGCAGGCCCAGCGCTTCATTAAAAGCCTGGGCAAGAAGGCCAAAGTGCCGTTCCGGACGCTGTTCCCCACCGCCAGCCCCGATGCCATCGACCTCCTCGAGAAGCTGCTACAGTTTGACCCCCACACACGATGCTCCGTGGACGAAGCTCTCGCCCACCCGTACATGCAAGGCATCGATAAACGATACGCGTACAAGGACATTGCCGTACGACAAACACCCTTCGTCTGTGGGGTGCTAAACAACATCACATGTCCCCTTGTAGGTGCCGGCAGGGAGGATGCACATGTCGTTTGAGTCGCAAAGTTTATCCAGAAACGACCTCGTCAAACTGATTCAACAAGAAGTGCATGCGTTCCACTCGAATGCAACAGCAGACGACTCGACGTCGTCCCCAAACACAGCAGCAGCGGCAATAACCAACCTCTCCACTGCTGCCTCCACTACGTCCACAGCCCACCAAACCCCCGCGGGACTGCGGACTATTCATGCTCTATCGAGGCAATCCACCATCACAGCTCAGCATACGAAAATACCAGCTAAAGAGACAGACCGTGTAACGTGCCAAAACCTCGATCTCATGAAAACCATGCTGGGTAGTGCCACCCCCTCTATTTCAACCTCCAGCCAAATAGTCACTGCGAAGAGCCCCCCACGGGGAAGCGGCCAAGCTACCCGTGTCAGCCTTCCGATGACCCAAAACAACGACGCCGACGAAGGGGCACCACTAGACGCTGTGCATGTCGTGGGCCTGACGTCGCTGCTCGCCCGAACACGCCCCACCAGTGCTGCCCACACCCGACCCACTCCTGCCACCCAACCGCCCGTCTTTGCCTCGACTGGTCAGCCCACCACAACGCTGCAGACAACGTCGTCGATGAGGCCTACAAGTGCGGCTCGCACACGTCCGCCCATTGTGATCCCCACCCACGCAGCCGCGGACGTTCAACCGGCCCAGTCGTCATCGTCATCGTCGTCTTCGTCGGACGACGATAGGCCCCCTCGCCCGTCCGCCGCTCGCATGGCAGCAGCCTCCACGTCGACCTCGTCCGCCCGCCCCAAGTCTGCGCCTGGACGCACGGCACTGCAAAAGCACTCTACTCCGTGTGTTGGCTCCACCGCATCCCTTATTCGATCTACGCAACAGCTCAGGAAACCGTCGCACCAGGCATCAGCAGCACAACAGCCCCCCCAACCACCCACCGCCAACCGCCTACCCGAAGGCCAGCAAGACAACGACCTCGAGCCAGCAAAAAAGGGCAAAAAGCTCACGGTCCCCAGAAGCCCCAAGTTTTCAGTCATGTCGTGGCAGAAAACTCGACCGGCCACCGCCAAGCCAGGGAAACCCACGACCACACGAGGGGGTGTTAAAAAGCGATAGTAAACCACCAAGTCACCACGTGCTTGTATTTCGTATATATTCAAGTCATGTCAGAAACACTAAAGACTAGTCTGCCGTGCTGGAGACTCGGCTCCAACAACATGCGATGGAATAGGAGGAGGAAGAGGAGATGTCTTGCTGGTGGATGCCGAAGCGGCGGCCTCGGCGTCCGACTGCCACGACTCGAACGCTTCGCGAGGGAGCGCAAACGAGGCATCCCCAGACGTCGCGCGCAGCGTGTGTTCCAGCGTCACGGCCGCAACTGTGTCCGTGACGTTGGCCATGGCCGCCGCAAACAGCGCGTCGTCGTCGCCTTGGTCTTCTGACAAACCAGAGGGCAAGGAGGACTGGTCACGGGCAGCTGCCAGCGCTTGACGTGCGTCTTTCGTTTTCGCGACGGACGCTTTGGCGGCAGCCCAGTCGGTCGCTGGCAGTTGATCGTATTCGTCCGGTGCATCCAACGTGGTAGTAGCATGCGGGCGGTGAATCTTGAAGACCATGGCAGCCTCTGCTTCGTCGTCGTGAGCGTCACTGTCGACTTCGCTACCGTCGTCGTCGTTGTCACTGAGAGACGGCAGATCCAATCGGTTCCGTCGATCGTCCACTTCTGCTTGGCACGATGCAAGGTACGCGTCCTAATGAGGTTTATAAACACATCGAGCACGACGTTATATTGGTCGTACTTGGGCCGCAACGACTTCGTCCGAGGTTTCACAGGCGGCATACGCGTCCAACACGTCGGCGTTGATCTTGAGGAACTCCATGCCCCATGGAAACTCGTCCATCAGCTGCACCGCTTCGTCCTAAGGCCAACATGAGAAGGACGTCACGGAGAGAGATAAGAAGGACGACGGACCGCCAAGCCGACGATGTACAAGGTCGCGGCGATGGCTTCGACGCACGACAGCTTGTGAGGCTTCCCATAGTTGACCGTGTTGGCCGCGACGAGGAAGGGCAGCAAGCGATGGGTCCCCGACTTGATCTGCTTGATGCCCATTTCTTGAATCCGAGCCCACGAACAGTCGATCACGGAAATGCCAATCGATTCGACGATCCCCAAATCTTCGCGCGACACGATCTTGGTCCCATGCGGCGACAACACGATTCCACGGAAGTGCGCGCCGGGCTTCATGCTCGTGACGTACCCGAGGCGGCACAACTTGCGCCCCGTGCAGCGCTTGGAATCGCATTGCTGGAAGTCCCACATGCGCAGCGAGATGGGGAACGATCGACGCTTAAAGGACAGGTTTGTCTCTTCTTCGCCTTGGGTTTCCTCCCGCGGAGCGCCACGACGACGGTCTTCTCGTTTGGGTTTGGTACTGACACCCTTGCCCTTGCCGCCGCTTTTACTGCCGCCGCCATCGCTGCCTTCACCTCGCTTGGATGCTTTCTTGCCGCGCCCTTCCATCGTTCTGTCGATCGCCAATGGCAGAGATTCGAATGCCATTGGCCAAAATAATTCAGCCAATCCACGACCGGGAATTCCAACCAGTCGTTGCCGAGTAAGTTCAACGCACCAGCCATTTTGAACCAAGATCTGGCGCGATGTCCAAGCGCACGGTCGAACTCGTCCATGAACCGAGTGCTGCCGCGTCCGCGCCGCTCCTAGGTACGTCCCTAGGATCATACTCTGATGGATATATGCCGCTGTGATACTCATTCCACTTCAGTGTCCTTCCGTGGCGGCCCACCGCTCACCACTACCGGGTTCCATTGCCAAGTGTACGAACATGCGGCCAAGAAGAAACGCATTGTGGTCGCCGACACGGAGAAAATCACGTACCAAGCGGCCAACTTTGGCCATGGCAATTCAAACGGCGACTTGTCGAGCTACGTCGTCGGCGTTGTGGACAAGACCACGAACTCGGTGCAACTGTTCAACGTAGACCAGGTGTACGTGATGCAGCAAAGCGTCAAGAGCTTCCGCGAGAACGTCGACGACAACACCCAAGATGTACATATACATGTCCTTATCCTCCACGGCTGGTCACATGATACCGTGTAGTCTGTGACGTCGTTCGAGCGCCAAAAGAACCTCGTCGATGTGTTTGGGAGCAAAGCGTCCAAGCGCATTGTCCGATCGCGCGAAGAAAACAAGATCCAAGTCGACAACATCCGCGGCGCGTCCTCCATCACCCAAACATTCTCGGAAAAGGTCCAGGAAAACACCGAGCTGCTCGCGGCGAAACGTGCCGCCGACCCCAAGTTTTCCTCGGGTACGGACCAACCAACGACCGCCACACACGAAAAACGAACGAACGACTGCCTCAAACCTCCTTGATGACATCGTTGAATCGTCGTGGCACAAACATTCATAGGCTAACTTGTCCCTTTTTGATGGTAGATGGGTTTGCGATGGATGCGACGCGGTTGGCCATGTTACCTCCTTGCAAATTGGACGCATTGACTCCCGACGGCGTCTACGACATCTCGAAATGTACGACCACCACACAACTCGAGATTGAACGTTGATATATATTTATATATATATATATTGACATTGTATGAATAGTTTTGAGCGACGATGTGATGGAATCGCTGCTGATGAAGGCGGACGAGTTCATTTCTGTCTTGTCGACGAGTGCGTTGTCGGAATTCCTGGCCCAAAACGACGTGGCGGCCGCAAACTACATCACCCAAGTCATGACGTCCATGGGAAAACCGTACGACCGCGACAACGTGGCACTCATGTTGTACGTGATGTACCTGGTGCAGTTTTACCACGCGCGGTTCCCGCTGCAGTCGAACGCGGCCGCGCTCAGCGAGACCATGAATGTGCCGCACTTAGTGGTCAAGCAGATCTTGGACACGTTTGCGGATGCCACGGTCAACTCATATGGAAAGACGAGGTTTGTAGGCTCCTTTAAACATGCAGAAAACTGGCATGTGACGATGCAACGTGTATAGCTACTCGCAGTCCAAGGTGCTGAAAGACAAACTGCTCGTGTACTTGGTGGTGGTCGCGCTCACAATTGGTGGATTCAGCCTCGACGTATCCGCCATTGCCATCGACTTGAAGCGAGCCCCGGCCAAGTACGAGTGTATACCTACTTCTTTGTGGTTGACTTGATTCTGTCGTGTAGTATCATTGGATACACCAAGCAAGTGGGGTGCCGAGTGGACAAGGTGAAGACCGAGGCAACTGGGCTCGGCGGCAAAAAGAGCGAAGGGTTTCGTGCAATCCTGACGTTGCCGTTGCAGTTTCCGTCCCTCAAGAAAGGGGGGCCGTCCCGACGTTAACCCATGCCTTAACAAGTCTTTATAATCCTTTACACTCCTTGAATACTCAACTACCGTATCCCGTAGTACGGAGATTCATACGATTAGTTGTTTGTTGCAACCGCGTCGCATACGCATGGTCTACAGTAGTATGTGTGGTCGAAAGGGTAAAGATAGACCTGTACTTTCGTTTTGTCGGTTTCAGTTTTGAATCGGCGGTGCGCGTAACTTGCCCACGTCAACCGTTATGCCCGCCAAATCCCCCCAGCCGAAGCGACGTGCTTGGGGTAGCGTCCCCAACCTCCCGTGGCGCCGCCCCTATGGCCATCGCGTGGCATCCTCCGACTTTGTCACGTCGGTGTCTGTGCGACAGGTCTCAGGGCGCGAAGTCGTCACCCCGCAGTCGTCGCCTCGGAAACGACCCCGCCTCGTCCGCATTCCATCGCTACAGGACCACGTCGCAGCCTTGCAACAGTGGATTGCCGACGGGATGAAGCCACTGGTGTCGTCGTGCTTCGGGCCGAGTGTCGTGGCGTTCGACCCAACGTCGACCAAGGTTGCCATGTGGCAAACGGTTCTGGTCACGATTGTGCTCTACGACGCGCTCATGGTACCGCTGCTTGTGTGTTTTGACCAGCTGCACCATGGCATGTGCACGTTCAACGGCGTGTTGCGCTTGATGGACGTCGCCGACGTCGCGTTCGTTGTGGACGTGTATGTCCAGTTGTTCACAGGGTACTTTCACAACGGCGACTTGGTGGTCCGCCCGGCGTCCACAAGGCGGAGGTACATACGATCCAGGCAGTTTCCGCTAGACATCCTTGCCCTGCTACCGCTGGCGTGGCTGCCCATCGACGGCAGCACATTGTGTGGTGCGCTGCGGGCCAACAAGCTGCTGCGGCTGCGGCGGCTGCCACAATACACGATTGCATTTGACAAGGTTAGTATGTGTTGCGTACAACGAGGCCTCACAAGGTCGCTGGCTCGCGAGGATCTGGCACTCTGAATGGTTTGATAGGTGTTTGCCCGATACTTTAAGTTTTGCAAAATCGTCAAGGTCGTTGGGGCCTTGTGTGTGTTCTGCCATGTCATGGGGTGTCTGTACGTTTTGTTTGGCATTGCCGACGACGACAACAAGTGGAAACTCGAAGCACATGTGGCCCACGAACCGCTCGCGACGCAGTACGTGGCCGCCGTATCATGGTACGTAATACCCTCTCGCGTCCAATAAAGGGCAAAGTGCACCAACACAATAATGACATGTTCGTTTCAGGGTCTTGGGCATCGTCTCGCATGTGGCCGAAGGCGTGATCCCCCGCACGGTGTGGCAGACGCTGTTCATGTACACGGTGCAACTGGGCGGGTTTCTCCTCTTTGTGTACATTTGCGGCACGTTGTTTATGATTTCCAAGTGCGACGCCAACAACCGAGAGCAGTTTGACGCCAAGCTCAACCAACTGCGCTACGTGCTGTCGTTTCACCGGGTCCCTACCGAGATTCAAGACCAAGCGATCGAATTCTTGGAGGTACAATGCACATTCCATCCTCGGTTTACGAACGACCAATGTCATTTTCTACGTCTTTTTCGTCGTTGGGTAGCATGGGTTTATCAGTGGCGAGAGCCAGGACCGGAGCAACATGCAGCTCTTGTGTCCATCCATTTCCAAAGAAGTCAAGTACACCTTGCTCAAGGATACCGTCACCGCCGTGCCGTTCTTTAAATCGTGTAGCGCCGCATTTATCCGAGCGATCATCGACGTGATGGAAACGCGGTCGTTGCCGACCAACTTTTTCGTGTGTCGTACGGGCGACCACGGCGAAGACATGTACTTTGTGCAATCGGGGGTTCTGGCTGTGCTCATTGACAACGTCAAGGTACATCGAATAAACCGCCGCCTTACCTCTCAAGATGATGGCTTTTAGGTGCGAGAGTTGCGCAAAGGGGGGTTCTTTGGTGAGCTGTCGCTCTTTACCAACCAAGTCCGCACGGCCGACGGTACAAAGATGGAATTTCTTGGTCTGTTCGAATCAAGTTGACTTGTAGTCGCCACCGCAACCTTTTGCATCTTGCACCGATTGTCCCGCGTGCACATCACACGTGTGTTGAATGCGTACCCCGAAGCTGAAGGGCCGATTTTGGAGAGCGTGGAGAAAATCTCCGAAGAGTTAGAGTCCAAGATGCCCAAGGGGGGAGAGATGGCGAGGCGTGGCAGTTTGCAGTACTCGGATACGGCGCTCCGAAACAGCACCAGCAACATGCGTTCCACCAAGCTACTTCTGTCACCCATGGCCGATGGCCGAATGATTGGGTCCGGGATTGACCGCAAGACAATTTCCGTCATCGCAGGGGCCCTTCGGAGCAGCACGCAAGCCGAGCCGCTGTGGACTCGCGCGCTGTTGGCCAAGCCGTTGGACCGCCGGAAACGGCTGCGATGTGTGTGGATTCTTGCAGTGATGGTACGACGATCGGTTAAACTGTTGAGGGTGTATGAAGGCCAACTTGATATTAGATGGTGACGATCTACAACATGTTCACGGTGCCGTTGGTGTGTGCGTTTGAGCTCATGGGGTACTCTATGTCCGTGCTCCTCCTCAACACCGTCGCGGACATCGTGCTATGGATGGACATGTACGGGAAGTTGAATTTGTCGTACGTGATGGAAGCCGAGCACATCCTCGAGTCCAAAGAGTGTGCGCTCCACTATCTTCGCACGGACTTTGCCTACGACTTGGCTTGTACCTTTCCGTGGTGGGTATTTCACCCCCCGTCGCATGAATCGTTGCGGTTTGTCCGACTCTTCCGGTACTGTAACATCACTCCATACTTTTCCTCTTGACCATTGTTATTATTATGCCTTTAGTGTGCTCAACTTTCTGGCCGAGTTTGAAGAAGTCTCGACGTTTGTCCGGATTAACAGTCACCACCGCATTGCCGTCTTGGGCATGGGTCTGCTCCTGTCGTACCACATTGCTGGCTGCTTGGCCCATACATATACCCGAGACGCGGGGTTCGCCGACATGGAATTCGGCTGGCTGCCCCCCAAGTCGATCGAGTTGAAGCCCATCGTGAATGCCATCACGGGCGACGTCGACGGGTACAAGTATTCAAACGGCACAGTTATCCCCCCCACTTCCCCCGACGTGAATCGTTTCCTATTGCTGCAATACGCTCGGGCTGTGCAATATGGCGCCGTGTGCATTACGAATCTAGGGCGCACGTACGAACCTGTGACGTTTGCCGAGTACAGTTTGGCGTTTTCGCTCATGTTGATTGGCATGTTGCTGGTGTCGCTCATCATTGACGAAGTCCAGAAGCGAGTGACGGCGTCCGCCGTGGAGCAAATGGAGTTTCTGTCCACGAGGTCCCGCATTTTGCACTTTCTCAAGCGGCAAAAGGCGCCCGCGGAACTCCACCGCCGCGTCTTGGCGTATCTCGACTTTTCGTGGAGTGCTCACCGAGGCGCCGACATCAACGGCCTCGTGTCTGAGCTGCCGAATACAATGCAGCGCGACATTTACGGGTACATTTGTGGTCCGATTTTGGAAATGATTGCACGCTTGGACCACGTCAGCGACGTGTACGAACCATTGATTACGACCTTTCTTGATCACGTGAAGATTCAACTGTACGGCCAAGACGAAATGATATATCGCGTTGGGGACATTGGAGATGCAATGTACATGCTGTTGCAAGGCAACGTCGCCACGTATGTCGAAGCGTACAGTCAACTACGCGAGCTCAACCAAGGTACCCTTGTTTTGACGATCCCATGACATTGCAAGCAGTGTGGATTTCCTCGTGTGAACAAGTGCACGTTTGCATCATGTATACTACTTAGTTGTACTGTTGACGAAACAAGACAGTGCATTGTCGTCGCCATGTGCATATGACGTGGCAATGTCGTAGGGGACTTGTTTGGGCTCGCGAGTTTGAACTTTTCCGTCGAGTACACGGCACACACGGACAACGCGACCGCGCGTAGTGCATGCGTTGTGGCGATAATATCGAGGAAAACGGTGGCGTTGCTCAACCAAATCTACCCGCGATTTGCGGACGGTGTGAAGAAGCGCAGCCAGCGAATGGGACGCCAGGCCACGATGCACGCCAAGGCGATGGCGGACAAGAAGGCGGTCGTTCCGCAAGCCATCAACCCCGACTCGAACACGTCTGTGCTGTGGGAGACGTTTCTCTTCTTTGGCATTGCGTACCAAGTGATCACGGTGCCGTTTTATATGGCGTTTGGGTTTGCCCAACGCCACGTCGCAGGCGCCGATGTGTTCTCCATCATGCTGGAACTGTGCTTTCTCGTCGACATGGTGCTCAAGACGCGCACGGGGTACATGGATTACGGCAACAAGGTTCTCAACCTGAAATCAAATGACACGATCACATGGACAACAACGTGGATAGGTGATGGACATCGCGGTGATCCGCCGTCGGTATCTGCGGTCCACGGCGTTTGCAATCGACCTTTTGGCCGTGCTCCCGACCAACCTCATCAACGCCTTCATCGCTCGCCCCCGGTCCGAAGCGTGGAATATCAACAAGTTGGTGCGATTGTTCAAGCTATCGTCGCAGATTGACCACTTGGAACGGCAGTACTTTACCATCATCACGCAAATCCGCGTAGCCAAGCTCGTGTTTTACGTGTACTTGTTGGCGCACTTCGTCGGATGCATGTGGTACAACTTTGCCAGCAACGAGTCGTCGATTCTGAACGTGACCCCCACGACCCAATTCGGCGCTGACCCGTGGCTCCCTGGCACAGATATGGCCACGGCCAACCACACAAATGTGTTCAAACTCACCAAAGCCCTGTACTGGGGCGTGGGCATGCTACTCGGGTTTCAACCGGGTGGGTACCCGTCCACGATCGTCGAGTATACGTTCACGGTAGGAAAGTTCCCGCTTGAACGATATGCTTCACAAGGTTTGGGTAGGGCGTGGTGCAAACGGTGGGGGTGTTCTTGTTGGCATATGTCGTGGGCAACCTCTTGGACATTGTGCAAGTCACGGACGGCAACAGCCGACTGTTCTACAGCAACTTGAACTATGTGCGCAAGTTGCTGCACTACTTTTCGTTCTCGGACGACGTCCAGGCCAAGATCCAGTACTTTTATTTCTACCGGTTGTTTCATAGCATCCACGAAGAGCACATTCTGGTCCAGTGTTTGCCGCCGTCGTTAACCGCCGACATTCGCATGTTCCTCCTCACGCCCATGCTCAACAAGGTGCCGTTCCTCCAGGACAACCTTGCCGGCGCCAGCGTCACACGCATCCTCGTGAGTCAGATGTCGCAGATGCTCGTGACCCGCGACGAGATCATTTGCCGGCAGCGCGACGTCGGCCGGGAAATGTACTTTGTGTTCACGGGGTGCCTCGACGTGTTTATCTCGACGTCGTCGTCCATTCGTTTTGAAGGCAACCTCGGCGTCAAAGTGCACGAGATCAGCGAAGGATCGTTCTTTGGCGAGAAAGCGCTGTTTTCCAACGAGCCGCGCAACGCCACCATCAAAGCACGGACGTTTTGCACGCTGTACAAGCTATCGCTGGCGCATTTACAGTCGATCTTTTCGTGGCATCCCGAGTGGAAGGCCAAGGTGCTGGACATTGTCAAGTCCTTGTATGAAGAGCACGCAGCGCGGTTGGAAGTGGTCACGGGCATCTCAGCCAAGTCCGCCAAAACGGCCACTGCCGCCGTCGAGAGTGTCGGCGACAGAGGCAGCTCGAAACTGCCCCACATGTCGCCCCCCCTCCTGACCAACGACACTCATGACACGACATCCTTGTCTGCCGACGCCAGCATCGACAACATACCACCCATCACCACCCCCACCTTCCTAACTCGACGCATGTTGATGACAATGAAAGACCTCGTCGAGCGCCTTCGCCTCAAGGCCACGCCGTGGTGGAGGCGGTGGGGGCGTCAATTTTTATACATTGAGATTCAGTCGCCGTTGTACTGCTCGTACTTGACGCTGCTATGTGTTTCGATTTTGCACGTGGCCCTCAGTGTGCCCTTCATGCTCACGGTCGCACACAGCGGGATCACTGGCTTTGGCTTGGCATTGATCAAGGTACCTCGTACATCCTTGCTTCAACTTTTGTTTGGGGAGACGTTCTTGATTGCTCACTCTCTCTCTCTAGACTACCAACGTCCTCGTGGACGTTGTGTTTGCATATGACATTTGGTTCAAACGACATCTCGTGGAAACGACCACCACGCGCGAGTTCTACGAGCGCAACGACGTCCACCAGACCAGCGTCGCCCTCGACGTGCTGGCCATCCTTCCCCTCGACTACATCTCCGAGCCTTTCTTTGACTGGTCCGTTGTCCTTCGGTTCAATCGGCTCTTGAAGCTGCGGCAGCTCAGCCGCACAATCAGCGAAATCCACCGCTTCAGCATGTCCTACGAGCTCAACCGGCTCAAGCTGCTGGCGTTGTACTACTTTATTGTCAGCTACTGGACTGCGTGCGCGTACTTTGGTGTGACATTTGTCGACGGGTTTGCCAGTCAGTGGAACATGTCGCTGCCCACGGCCGAGTTTGAGGTGCGCGCAGCGTCCTGCCACGTCATCACACATTCATGACTTCACTCTATCGTAGATTCGCGACCGTGAAACGTTCGAGACAGTGTCGCATCGGATCTTGCGATGCTTGTATTTTGCCGGGGCGTTGTACACGGGGGCCGGCATCGTGTACGAACCTACGACCATGTTGCAATATGCGCTGCTGCTGATCATGTCAGTGTTTGGGGTGTTTGTGATGGGGTATGTGATTGGCGAAGGCTCGATGCTGTGCATCTACCTCATCCAGAATGAAGTCGACTTCAAGATCAACCAGATGAACGTCATGGAGTTCTTGGCACGGAAGCGGCTGAATCGGGCGTTGCACGGCCGCGTGCACGGGTACATGTCGTACTGGTGGACTACGCACCAAGGCGTGGCGTTCCAGTCCATCTTGGAGCAGCTGCCGCCCAAGATTCGATCCCAAGCCAGCCTTCAGATCGCACGGTTGAGTCTGTCCCGGTTCACGATGAGGTACCTGCGGCCGCTATCGAAAGACACTAGGGACCACGACAGTATCATTTACAGCTTGGCCCAACGGGTGGTGTTTGAAGGTGGGTTATTAATATATCATCTCCACCATCCATTTGGTAGCTCACACCAAATTCCTTTGGGTGGCTTAGGGTACCCCAAGGGCGAATCTGTCATTGTGCAGGGCAACTTGGGCCAACACGTGTACTTTGTGTCGAAAGGCGAACTCATTTCACACTCGACGCAATCTCATATTTTTGTGCCGTCGAGGTATGCACTTTGCTAGTTTGCATGGGATACGGTACAGCTCTCACCTGCGATGCTGCTCCGCATGCAGGTACACTGAAGGGCAGTACTTTGGAGAAGATGGCTTCCTGGGAGGCGCCGTGTGCCATTGTTCCGTCGTGACCGCGCGTGCATGCGACCTGCTCTCGCTCTCGGCTGCAGACTTCGTCCTCGCCATGGAATCTCATCCACGGTAAGCAGATTGTTAGTTGATGAGTTACAACTAAATAATCCACGTTGTAGGTTTGCGGAAGCCCTGCAGCTCTCTCGGGATGCCACGGAACATGTTGCGTACCAATCCATGTGCATCAAGGACGCCGGGGAAGAAGTGGTGAGGCAGACGATAGAGGAACAGGCGGCGACGTTGGAGCACTTTCAACCCATGACTGCAGACAAGTGCAGCCTTGTGTTTAAGCAGTTCCTCAAGCTGTTTATGAACACCCATGCCGTCAAGTCTGCAGCCAAGCATGCTACGGGATCCAAGAACGCCAGGCGGTCCCTCGTATCGTGTCAAAAGTGTTGGAAGCGGCTTGGCACGGTCCAATGCAACGAATGCCAGCTCACGTATTGCAGCCCATGCTGCAGCCAAGTTCATGCTGCCAAGGAACTACGGGGGCACCTTGAGCATATCACCACTGCGGAGATCTTCAACCCTCGATCCTCGATACTCAGCGCCCGGAGCAAGGAGAGCGGTAGTACCAGCACATCCCGTCGGACACAGCATTTCGAGTCGCGCCACTTGTGAGTTCCGGATAAGTTGGAATGTAATCACAACTATCCGGATAACTTCTGTTGGCGCCGGATAATACTTGTAATATTCTGGTATCCGGATATTTCGTATCCATTTCTCTGTGGTGGGGAAGGCATAAAGATTCGTCATTTCTGCTCCCTTGTAACCCCCCCCCCACATCAAGAGCATGTCGTCGCTGCTGAACTCGTTGGACATGAGTCTGGACGACTTGATTGAGAAGAAGAAATCGTCTTCCAACAAACCCGCCCGTGAAGGTCGCAGCGGAGGTGGCGGCGGTGGAGGTGGACCCGTGCGTCGCAACCGCGCCAACACTGGCCGTGGCCGTCGTAATGCCGAACCATACTCCCGCAAGGTATTGCCGCCAACTGTTGGGGTTCGTCGATTTCGAACTGAGTGGACGTTGTGGTAGAACGACGATGATGACGATATGGGTGAAGGATCGGGCAATAAGTCTGGCAAGCGAGGTGTGTTAGACAAAGGGAATCCACCGTTCTGGCGACAACTCATGAATGAACGAACGTAGCGTCCATCTTGTCACGCTTGGGAGGCCGCGTGAACAACGAAGAAGCGGGCCACAAGATCTTTGTGACGAACTTGAAGTTTGACGTGTTGGAAGACGACTTGAAGGAGTTGTTTGGCACGGTGGGCAAAGTGTCCAAAGCCGAAATTGTGTACGACAAGTCTGGCCGCTCCAAGGTGATTATTGCTACCACCACAACCACCACCTGGAAGCACGTCGACTGGTGGCTGCTGACGATCTAATCCACGACGTACTCGCCGCGGCGGAGTTGTCTGTCGCCCCCGCTTGGCGTGCTCTCCATTCTGTTGTTCCCACGGGAACGACAAGACATGTGTGTGCGCATGTTAACCGCCGTGGATGCATCTGTGTGCGCTTAGGGTACGGCTCGCGTGTGGTTTGTGCGTCGGAATGACGCCGAGCAAGCGGTGAAGCGCTACGACGGTATGACGTTTGACCGATCTCTTGCCCATCCTCACATTGGTGATCTCTTCTAGGCCGACTCTTGGACGACCAAGCGTTGAAGATTGTGCTCGACGACGCAGCCACCAGTGGCAACGGCAACGCCAACCCCCGCAACAACAACAACTCGTCGCAACGTCGCCACAACTCGAACGATGGCAACAACGTGCGTCAAGGCGTGTTCGGCACGGCGCTGGACGATAACGATGAGCCCAGGTTCAATGTCACGTTCGAGTTCGTGCATGCGCGCTCACTGCTCTGAGGATCCCCACCTAGTGTATTCACACTCTCCATTGCGTAGTGGTGGCCGAAGAAACGGCGGAGGACGTCGCAACCGCCGCGGCGGCGGAGGTGGCCGCAGCAACAACAAATCGGCCAAGGACTTGGACAACGACATGGACACGTACCATGCCGACTTGTAGATGAATGAATGCCGTGTCCATTGCGGTCGCGCCATCGGTTGACACGATGTAGAGACGCTGCAGTAACACTAGCTTGAATATGCAACCAACGAACCCTGTACACATTGCACACGACTTGGTTTTATATACTGGCTCCAGAGGAGGTCGTCGTTCCTAGACAATCCCAAACACGGGCTTGAGCTTGATAACGAGGCGCCAGTCGTCCTTGCCGAGGTCGTCTTTGAAGTTTTCTTTGAGCGCGTCGATACTCGCCCGACTCAGGTGCGAGTACAACTTGTGCGTATGGTCAAACTGGCGGCCGTACGTGACATTGCTGTCGCTTTCGATCTTGACGGCGACGTTGCTGCCCTTCTTGGCCGTGTCGACGTTCTTGTTGTCCTTTTCAATCGACGCCACGCGGCCGATGGTCACGAGCACGCCGTTCGAGACGGACACGAGGGGCGTACCGACCTTGAGAATGCCATCTTCGACGTCGACGCCGAGGATGATTGGGTCCTTCTTATTGAAGATACATGTCGGGATGATCTTGAGCACGACCGGGAACACGGCAACGTCGGCAAACTGCTCGCGGCGCAGCTGGCGGATGTTGTCCATGTACGCTGTAAACTGGTCAAACAAGTGGTAGATGATGTCGGCCGTGAAGATGCGCACGCCGAGCTCAGCCGCCATCTCGCCGGCGTCGTGCTGCACCTTGACGTCGAACGCGAGAATGGTCGCAAACTCCTTTTGGTGCTCCAGCTGGACGCTGGCGCGCATCACGTCCTTCTTGTGCACAGGCCCAATGTTGACACACGACACGGGAATCGGCGGGTCACACCCGTTGCGGAGAAACTCGAGCAATGCTTCCAGCGCCCCAAGCGTGGACGCCTGCACCATCACCCCGCGCTTGGTGGCCTTGACGCTGTCCATGATGTTGGACAAGTCCGACATGACAGCGTCCTTGAGCTCGTTCACGTCGTCGTCGGGCCCCACGACGTGCACGGCGGTCCCCGCCACCGCCTTTTCCAGCCCCTGCGCGCAGATCTTAACCCCCATCGCCGCCTGGATCGTCTGGTGGTGGACGTACTCGCCCTTGACACGAATCTCTTTCATCGGGTGCGGCGTCAGAAGCGACCGGATCGTCGTGACCACGGGGCCGTCCAGCGTACACACGACGATGGTCTGGCCTTCGCTCAGCGACCCGTTGACGAGGATCGTGTCGATGGTGGTGCCGAGGCCCTCGATGACCTTGACTTCGAGCACTGTGCACTGCAAAATGTCGACAAATGCAAGGGACTTGGCCATCTTTTCCTGCGTGAGGCGCACGAGCATCCCGAGCAAGTCGGGCACGCCTTCCCCCGAGATGGCCGACGTCGGGATCAGCGAGATTGTGCGGCCGAGGTCGTTGTTGCGGTAGTATAGCTCGGCGTTGAGCTTTTGTTCGGCAAACTGGACCTTGATTTGCGCGGCGCGGTCTTCGAATTCTCGCTGCACGTGCTCGTTCTGGAGCTTGAACGCGTCCTGGAACGGCATGTCGGGGCAGGTCTTCCAGCTGTAGCATCGATCAATCTTGTTGAGCGCTACGACGAACGGCGCCCGCTTGGCGCGCAACAGACGGATGGACTCGAGCGTCTGCGGCTCGAGCCCGTGCATGATGTCCACAACAAGGATGGCAATGTCACACAGCGACGACCCGCGCGACCGCAGGTTGGTGAAACTTTCGTGCCCGGGCGTGTCGATGACCAGCAGCCCCGGCAGCTTAAAGTCGAGTTTCATTGTGGTCTTGCACAGCTCCTCCGTCTTTTGCTTGATCGCTTCCACGGGGAAGAACGTGGCGCCAATCTGCTGCGTGATACCGCCCGCCTCGCCATCCTGGACCTTAGTCTTCCGGATGTTGTCTAGCAGCTTGGTCTTGCCCGTGTCGACGTGCCCCATGATGCAGCAAATGGGCGACCGCAGGTTATCGAGCGACACGGCGGCGCGCGCTTCGTCTTCGCGGACCCGCCGACGCTCGGCAGCTTCGCGCTTCTTGCGGTCCTCTTCTTGCCGGACCTTAGACCGGTTGCGCTCTTCCTCGGCGTTCTTGGCGTTCTCCGCGTCTTGTTCGGCTTGGCGCTTGGCCAGGGCCAGCCCTTGCTCCCGAAGGCGTTCTTGCTCCTTGAGCCGTTCCACTTCGATCAAATCCTCAACGTTTTCGTAGTTGGCTTCTTGGACCTTGAGCCCAATCTTGTCGAGCACGTCGTCGTCGTCCCAGTCCTTGGCATCCCAGTCGTCGTCTTCTTCTTCTTCGACTGCTTCCACTGCCTTGCCTTCGTCCTCGTCGTCGCTGGCGTCCCATGCATCGGGCGCTTCGGCTGCTGTTGCTTCTGCCACTACCTTTTCGGGCTTGGATGTGGTAGCGCTCGCGTCTTCTCCATCCTTGACAGCTTTAGCCTTCTTCTTGTTGTCGTACGTAACTTTGGGTTTTAACGTGCCTTCGGCGGCGACCACCACCAGCCCTTGGGCTTTCATGGCCTCCAACGCCGCCTGTGCCCGCCTCGCTTTCTCCTTTTGCGCTTTGGTCATGTACGTGCCTTCGGCCTTTTGGGCCTCGACCTTGGCTTGTTTGGCTTGGCGTTTGCGTTCGGCCAACTCTTCCTTCTTGCGAATCACGTCCAACCGCGCTTCTTCGGCTTCGCGGAACTTGCGGTCTTCTTCTTCCTGGATTTGCTTCAAGCGATCTTCCTCCGCTTTCAAAACGGCTTGGCGCTCCTGCAGGGCCTTGGCAGCGGCCGACAGAGGCTTCTTTGGGCCTTTGGATTCGGCCACGGGCGCCGCAGGGGCGTCGGGCTTGTCGCCGTCCTTCTTTTTCTTGTCCTTTTTCTTGTTCTTCTTCTTGTCGGCAGCATCGGCAGCTGAAATGCCCATGCTGGCTAACGCGGCCGCCACGGCATCGTCGACCGAGCCTGCAGGTTTGTCTGCTATAACTGGGGCTTCCACTGGTGCTGGGGGTGGCACATCGACGTTGGTAGTGGTGGCAAATTCATTCAAGACATCGTCCCATTCGTCATCACCACCCGCCTTCTTGGCGGGCGCGGCTTTCTTTCCTTTCTTCGGCGGCATCTCCTCTGCGAACCGAGAATGAACGCCACCACAGTCCAAGGTTTTGGAGAACGCTTTTGATTGGCTGGTTCAAGCTAATGGCGGATTCTCATTGGTCCGAATCATCTAACCAATCAAATGACCCCTCGATTCGAAATTAGAGGTAAGCTTACGAATTATACTTGGCTTTTGCATTCAGAGACGAAAAACAAAATACAGCCAATCCACGAATAAAGACCCCACGCTTCAATCTCAACTGCACAATCTCAAATGGCACGAAAGGTCGTGGCCGTCGAGCCATAGTACAGTACTGTACTTCAGTTAATATAAGTAGGAGTACAGCTCATGGTAATGCAAACCTATATCATTTTTCTACTTGACAACACGCTCGTACAAGTATGTACCATATAAACGCTGAAACGGTTTACTAGTAGTAGTCCTTTAGAAACGGTTTCATCGCGTGAAGAAACCGCTGAACTTCGAACGGGTTGTCGCAGTTGCGTCATGGGAGCGCGGTCCAGCGTTCGACCGGCAGCCACGATGGAGCTTCCAACCGTCTCCTCCACTTCCACCAGTCGCGTGCACCGTTCGCTGGGGAATTTGGTGCCCCGTCGGTTTAGTCGCACCGTGGACGCAGAGAGCTTTGGCAGCTTCGTGCTCGAGCAAGGGTCGCTGTCGTGGCAAATCAACCGGCACAAGACCAAAACGTTTGACCCAGACTCGATGCAAGCGTCAATATGGAACACGTGGCTGCTGTTCGTCGTGCTGTACGACGCATGGGTTGTCCCTCTGGTACTGTGCTTCGACGTGATCAATCCAGATATTTGCCACGAAGCATGGCTCACCACAGCCCTGATGGCGTTTGAGTTCTTCTTCATCGCGGACATCTATGTGCAGATGCACACAGGGTACTACATTGCAGGCGACCTCGTGCGATCTCCAGCCAGCACCCGTCGGCGGTACATGTCGTCATACCAATTCCCCATCGACGTACTCGCGTTGATTCCACTGCCGTTCTTCTCCATCGTTCCGTCCACCAACCACGCTGCGTCGTGTGGCTTGGTGCTTCTCAACAAACTGCTGCGCTTGCGACGTATACCAGCGTACACGTTGGATTTTGACAAGGTGCAACGCAATTTGGAGATCAAACGGGAGCTCATTTTTTGCCAACATCCTTAGGTGTTTGCCATGCACTTTAAGTTTTGCAAAGTCGTGAAAGTGGTCGTGGTGTCGTTCTACAGCTGCCACTACTTGGCGTGTCTGTACGTGTCGTTTGGAAAGGCCACGGGTGACCGCGGCGACCTCGCCGAAGACGACGTGTGGAAGATCCGCGATCACTCGGAGGAAGGGCACCATCGGCTGCCCACAGAGTACTTTGCCGCCCTCTTCTGGTAGGTCACGCCCCCCCTTCAACGTGTAAACCCTTTAAAATCTCGGTATTCTAGGTCGCTTGGTCTTGTGTCCAAGTGTTTAGAGGGGGAAATACCGAGGACGTTGCTGCAGTCGATCTTCATGGCGGTCGTAACCATGGGCGGGTTTCTCCTCTTTGTGTACATTTGCGGCACGTTGTTTATGATCTCCAAGTGTGATGCCAACAGCGCCGAACGCTTTGACGCCAAGTTGAATCAGCTGCGGTATGTCTTGTCGTTTCACCATGTCCCACACGACATCCAGGAGCGTGCGATGGAGTTCTTGGAGGTACGACGACGTTCTATTCAACAGGTTCGACACGAATGTGACCTCACGAACAAGTAGAACGGCTTCAAGAGCGGCGACGCCAACGACCGCAACACGATGAAGCTGCTGTGTCCGTCGATTGCCAAAGACGTCAAGTTCACATTGCTCAAGTCCATGGTGGCCAACGTGCCGTTTTTCAAATGCTGCAACGCCGCCTTCACACGCGCGTTGATCGACTTGATGGAAACGCAGTCCCTCCCCACAAATTACCTCGTGTGCAGCAAAGGCGAGCAAGGGGAAGAGATGTACTTTGTCCAGTCAGGGGTGCTGGCCGTCCTCATCAACGAGATCAAAGTACATATCATCCTTAGCAGCACCTTATGACGTCGACTGTGCATAGGTGCGAGAGTTGCGCAAGGGAGGATTCTTTGGCGAGTTGTCGCTGTTTACCAACCAAGTGCGAACGGCCAACGGTACGTCCATCGCGTGGGTGTACATGTCGTGTTGTGACACCGTATATCTGCAGTGGTCACATCCACGTTTTGCATTGTGCACAAGCTGTCGCGGTCGCACGTTCGTCGGGTGTTGCGGGCGTATCCCCAGTTTGAGACGCAAATTCTGGCCTGCGTGAAAGCGCTGTTGCAGGAAATGGACCTTCAGAACGACCGAGTCGCAAGACGACGCGTGAGTTCCATGCGTCCGGAAACGGTCACCAAGCGAGCCCAAGCGTACGAGAACTTTGTCAAGAAGGACCTAAGAGGGGGCGGCGGCGACCAGGGGTCTGCGGCCAGCTCTCGGCGGATGAGCCACCGGTTTGTCGACAACATTCTGGTGTCCCCGACCTCCAACGACATACGACCGGCAAGCCATGTACGAACATGCATCGTATGGTTCAATATCGGGGACACAACTGTATCATATTGTATGGTGGTGGGTAGTTTGTTTTACGAGAACACCCCGTTGCATCCGTCAAGGCGTATTTGCGTCGGTCGACTCGGATTTTGCACTGGAAGCAACTGTTGATGCCATCAGCCATCAATCGCAAGTCTCGCCTGCGCCTGGTTTGGTTGTTCTGTATCATGGTAGCACCAGTGTCCTGACCTGTCGAATTGGCCACTCACAACTCGAGATAGGCCACGACCCTGTACAACGTGTTCATGGTGGCCCTGCTCAACACGTTTCAGCTGCTGGGGTACCCGGTGTCGATCCTCGTCCTCAACACATTGGCAGATGTCGTGTTGTACTTGGATATCTACGGCAAGTTCAATTTGTCGTTTGTCGAAGAAGCCGAGCAAATCATGGACACGGCCAAATGCGCCCGGCACTACCTGCACACGTCCTTCTACTTTGATGTCATGTGTGCACTGCCATTGTGGGTTCTATACCCGCATCTCCACCTCAAGTTTCGCTTTGTGCGGATGCTTCGGTACAATTTTCGGTTTTGTCAGTCAATCGGCCAAGTCAATTCATTATCTATGTAGGTTTTACACGTTCAACGACGAGCTTGAAGAAGTGTCGCTGTTCATCCGCATCAACAGCCGGCGGCGCATTTTCGTGCTGGGCGTGGGGCTGTTCCTGTGCTACCACATCGCAGGGTGCATGGCCCATTCCCTCGTGTACGTGATGGGCTTTGATGCCAGTGGCCACGGGTGGCTGCCCCCCAAGTCCCTCCAACTCGAACCAATTATCAATGCCACGACCGGCGACCTCGTCGGGTACGACTACATGGACGGCGCCCGCTTCGTGGCGGTGGGGGACCCGTTCGTCCACCACATTGTGCTCGAGCAGTACTTTCGGGCGCTGCAGTATGGTGCCGTGTGCTTGACCAACCTGGGGCGTACGCTCGAGCCGGAAAACCTGTGGGAGTTCATCTTGGCGTTTGTGCTCATGTTGTGCGGCATGCTGCTGATTTCGATCATCATCGACGAAGTGCAAAAGCGAGTGACCGCGTCCGCGATTGAACAGATGGAGTTTTTGTCCACACGATCGCGCATCCTTCACTTTTTGCAAAAGCAAAAGGCCCCATTGGACATGCATCGGCGCGTGTCATCGTACTTGGACTTTTGGTGGAGTGCCCACCGTGGCGCCAACATCAACGAATTGTTAGGCGAGTTGCCCAACAGCTTGCAGCGCGAGATTTACAAATTCGTTTGCTCCCCCGTGCTCGATGTGATTCAACGCATGGACAAAATCGGGGGAAACATCGAGCGGGTGACGGGGCTTCTCCTCGACAACTTGGTCATTCACTTGTACGGACAAGGGGAAGTGATCTACCGGCGAGGCGACAGCGCCGACACGCTGTTCATCCTGCTGGTCGGACAATGCGGAGTCGGCCACAACCCCCGCAGCTCGGCCACTCGACCCGTTCGAGCGCTCAAACACGGTATAATTTACGTCACTTAACAAAACGAAACTGGTGTGGTGGTCTGAAAAATAAATTCGATGTTTTAGGTGATTTCTTTGGCGTGTCGAGCCTGGAATTGGACAACGAGAACGTTGTGCACAGCGACCAAGCACTAGCTCGAAGCGCGTGTGTGATTGCAATGGTGAGTCGGTCCACGCTGTTGCTCATAGACCACACGTTCCCGACGTTCTGCTCGTCGCTTTTGCACCGGGAGATCAAGCGATTTGGAGAACATCGCGCCATGTCCAAGTTATTGGACCCCCAGGAACTAGTGTCGATGGGCAAGACGAAGATGCCGGCGGCAATCAACCCCGACTCGAACTTTTCCCTGTTTTGGGAGACGCTTCTGTTTTTTGGGATGGTGTTCCAGAGCATCGGGGTGCCGTTCTACATGGCATTCGGGTTTAGTGAGGAAGGGATTGGACCGTCCGACGGCATCTCCATCCTGCTTGAAACGTGCTTTCTCGCAGACATTGTGCTGAAAACGCGCACGGGGTACGATTATTACGGTAACAAGGTACTGTATATATCATTTTCCACTTTGAACTTCAACACGATATATCATTTATGTTCCACTTTGAACTTCAATTTCGTGCGTTGCAGGTCATGGACGTGGTGCGCATTCGGCAGCGGTACCTGCGGTCGCTCAACTTCTTCATCGACGTGGTGGCGGTGATGCCCCTCAACTTGGTGAATATCTCTCGCGCGACGCGATCCGAGGCGTGGAACATCAACAAGTTGCTTCGGCTGTTCAAACTCTCGTCGCAGATTGAACATCTGGAGCGGCACTACTACACGATCAACATCCAAATCCGTGTGTTCAAGCTCGTGTTTTACATTTACTTGTTGGCGCATTACATTGGCTGTATGTGGTACAACTTTGCCAGCAATGCGTCGACGTTCTTTGGGTTCATTCAAGAAACGCAGTTCGGACACGATCCGTGGCTCCCTGGCAAGAAGCTCGACCTGAACAACACGGATCACTCGACGTTTTGGAAGTACTCGCACGCGCTGTACTGGGGTCTCGGGCTCCTGCTTGGCTTTGAACCCGGGCAGTTCCCCGAAACCGTGCTCGAATACATGTACACGGTACGCTGGCATTCTTCTGTCGACCCTTCAAAACCAACGGTTGTAGATGATCGTTCAAACGATTGGTGTGTTCTTGTTGGCGTACGTTGTGGGCAACTTGCTCGACATTGTCCAAGTGATGGAAGGCAACAACCGCGAGTTTTTTAGCAACCTCAACTACGTGCGCAAACTCATAACGTATTTTGACTTTACACCCGACGTCCAGGCCAAGATCCAGCACTTTTATTTTTACCGGCTCTTTCACAGCATCCACGAAGAGCACGTGTTGGCGCACTGCTTGGCGCCGTCGCTCGTTGCCGACATCCGGCTGTTCCTGCTCACGCCCATGCTCAACAAAGTGCCGTTCTTTCGCGACGAGAACGCCAACTCGACCGTCACGCGGTCGCTCGTTCGGCTTTTGTATCAAATTCTAGTCACCCGCGGTGAAGTCGTGTGCCGGCAAAACGAGATTGGCGTTGAAATGTACTTCATTTTCACGGGCTGCCTCGAAGTGTTTGTGGTGACGACCGCCTCGGCCGTGTCGGACGGGTTCCACGAAGTAGGCTCGCCCCATCGAGGGCTCAAAGTAAACGAGCTCCAGGCGGGGTCGTTCTTTGGGGAGAAGTCGCTCTTTTCTGACCAACCGCGCAACGCGTCGATTCAAGCCAAGACATTTTGCACGTTGTATCGATTGTCGAGAAAGCACTTGGAATCGGTGTTTGTCCAACACCCCGAGTGGAAGGGCAAAGTCATGGACATTGTGAGCGCCATCTACGAAAAACAGCAAGCCAAAATCGATCAAGACAAGCAAGAGAAGGCGCGTGTCGACAGCGAGGGCGTTGGGCGGGCCACCAATAGTCACCAGAGCCCGTACGACGACCACGACCACAGCACGAACAACGGGCGGTTTCACCGCATTTTGGGAGGTCGGCAGTCGGCGTCCAAGGGGGATTCGGATGACCATGCCGCCGCCACTGGCGCTGCCACGTCATCATCATCCTCCGCTTTGCAATCGTGGATGCACCGGACCCTCAACCAGCTAAAACTCGTCGAAGTGCAATCTCCGTTTTACACACGGTACTTGAACTTTCTAAGCGTGTCGCTCTTGTACACGGCGCTCAGCGTGCCGTATTTTGTCACGTTTGGCCGCGATCGAAAGATGTCGACCATCTCGCTGGTCGTATTGGTATGTCGCATATATCATTCTTGACGACATATGTTTACCACCCAAATGTAACGCTTGTAGGTGTTGGACGTGGCCACGGACGTCGTGTTCGCGTACGACATATGGTTCAAGCGCAATGTGGTGGAGACGGTGGCATCTCGGGAGTTTTACGAGCACCGCATCACACGCGACCGAGCCGACGTCGTGCTGGACGTTCTGACACTACTGCCACTGGACTACTTGTTTTCGTCGGTCGTATCGAATTCTGCCGTGCTCCGTGTGAACCGCTTTATAAAGCTCCGTCAACTGACCCACACGATCAGCGAAATCCATCGCTTTAGCATGTCGTATGAAGTGAATCGCCTCAAATTGCTGGCGCTGTACTATTTCATCATTTGCTACTGGACTGCGTGTGCGTATTTTGGGTTGACAATCGTCGTGGGGTTTAGTGCCGAGTGGAACTCGTCGCTCCCGGTTGAGTACTTCAATGTACGTATTGTTGCAATCTACAACAACGATATATATATATATATATATATATATGTACACACTCATATCTGGGATTGTAGTCGCAAAACCATGCCGACGAGTACAATGTTGGGTTTGCCTTTCACCAGTTCCTGCGCTGTTTTTACTACTCGGCGACCATGTACACGGGTGTTGGCCTTGTGTACGAGCCCCATGCGATCTTGGACTTCTTGGTGTTGTACCTTGTGTCTGTGTTTGGTGTGTTTTTGATGGGGTATGTTATCGGCGAAGCGTCGACGCTATGCATTTACCTCATCCAGAACGAAGTCGAGTTCAAGATCAACCAGATGAACATCATGGAGTTCTTGGTGCGCAAACGCATGGACCGATCGGTGCATTCCAGAGTGCACATGTACCTGTCATACTGGTGGTCCACGCAACAAGGGGTGGCATACCAGTCGATCCTCGAACAATTGCCGCCGCGCATTCGCTCCCAAGCATACATTCAAATGGCGCGGTTGAGCTTGGCTCGGTTTTCCATGCGATACATTCGGCCCTTGTGCGACGAGTCTATGGGTTTGGACCCGGTCATGCACAGCATTGTGCATCGCTTGGTCTTTGAAGGTGCGCCCAAACGTCACTTTGCCGTGGAATTTAATGTTTCAATTGCATTAAGATTTGACCAATTCGATTGGAGGGTACCTACCCTTCTCAACTGTTATGTTGAACCGTGATACGTGTAGGCTACCCGGCGGGCGAATCGGTGATCGTCCAAGGCAACATTGGCCAGACCATGTACTTTGTCTCCAAGGGCAATTTGATCACGGCGTCGCCAACCCCTGATTTCTGCTCGACACGATATGTCGACGGTCAGTTTTTTGGCGAGGAAGGTTTCCTCGCCTCGAGCTTTTGCCGGCACTCTGTCGTGACACTCCGCGCGTGTGACCTGCTCGCGCTTTCCTCCATTGACTTCCTTGTGGCGCTCAGTGAGCACCCGCGATTTGCAGAGTGCGTGGGAATCGCGTGGGACACGATTGCCAACCATAACATTTCGCTGAAGGATTTGCATGGCGCGAGCGACGTGGGGAACTTTGTATACAACATGATGGAGCGAAAGAAATCGGGGTTGCGCTTTGTCAGGATTCCGTCCATCGATCGCGCCGAAGTCATGTTTCGGCACTTTTTGCGGCTCTTTGTCCGCCAAATGCCCGACAACATGGTGTACGACGACGGTGCAAACATGCAGCAGCATGACACGCAAGCGCTGTGTCAGCATTGCGAGGACGTCCAGGCGACCGTGTATTGCAACCTGTGTCCACAGGCATTGTGCGACGAATGCTCGCGCCATATCCACGAAAATACCCACTTTGCTCAGCATGTGGACACCATCACAAAACTGCACACTGCAACGTTGCTGCCACCCGAATCTCAGCGGAAATCGAGTGGCTATCGAATCATGCGCATCGTGCAGTCGCTGCAAGTGCTCAAGAACGACCACGTCGTGATGCCATCCCACCTCGCAGTCGACGGCGAAAACAGCGACGTGTCCAAGCGATCCAAACGGAGCATTCAAATCACCAGGTCCATGTTGGTGGAGGCAGACACTCGGAAAGGCACCCTCAAGGACCTGCAACGCGCCAACTCGCGCAGAGGGTCTCGGAAACACTCGATGCCTCGATCCCCGCCCCCCATCGCCCCCGGCCACATGATCGATAACAAAGTCGTCGAGGAGTTCAAACGCGACTTGTTGAACAGGCCATCGCTGGTCCTGAACCCTGCACCATCCGAACCAACGAATGCTGTGACAGGTCCTGTAGCGGGATTGATTGTCGCCCCCCTTCCCCAGCCGCCCGTGGAAATCGTCATGGACGGAGCCACCGACTCGCTTCGCTTGAATTCGCTGCAAGTGAACACCGAAGGGACGACACCAATAAACTAGCTACGAATGAACAAAAACACCGCAAATAGTGTGATTGCGTGAAGCATCTTCATGATTTACTGCATCTGCATTGCCTCGTATACTGTAGTGATGCAGTGGTGTCTAACATGCGACCATGGGATTCGTGACGTGTCGCAACACAAGAACTTTACGACATCTGCAATGTCAAAGCTCTGTGTTGACTTATGTTCGTAGTAGTAACGCTAGTACAATAATAGTCCACAAGCAAACAACGAAATGGGCCCCTAAGAACTTACTACCCACCTGCACCCGTTTGCGGTTTCGTATATTTAACGGCCGCGAGACCAAGAAGCGTCCGACATGACCGGCAACGTGGTCGACCATGATGGCGTGTCCAAGCCTTCAAACAAAGTCGCGCCTTTGGCTCAAGGCGAACACCCCAGTGCAGGAGATAGCTTTACGCTCCGCCGCGGCAAGCTGTCGTGGGAAGTCACATACACCAAAACGGGTACCATAGATCCCGATGCGTTTGCGATGCTGGTGTGGGAGGTGGGGCTGCTGCTGAGCGTCCTGGTTCAGGCGTGGACGATTCCATTCCTCGTATGCTTTGAAGACGTGCATCCAGAACTCCAGCATGGGTCGTGGCTCATGGGTATCACCTGTGCCTTTGACATTCCGTTTGCTGTCGACATGGTTGTGCAATCACGGACGGGCTACTACGATATGGGCAACTTGATTCGAAATGCAAAGAGCTCCCGGAGGCGATATCTGCGCTCGTGGACTTTTGTTGTCGATGCAATCGCCATTGTGCCTCTCTCGTTGATTTTCTGGAGCAGTCGCGGCGTATTCCTCGTCAACAAACTCATACGACTCCGCAAACTGCCCGTGTATACCCTTGCATTCGACAAGGTATATCGAACTTTGCAGATGTTGAGCCATAATGAACTTGCAGGTCTTGGCTCGATACTTTACGTTTTGCAAAGTCGTCAAAGCTGTGGTTGTCATTTACTACTTTTGCCACGTTATGGCGTCTATCTATGGAGCGTTTGGAACGACTCCCGATGAAGACGACTGGAGATTGCACTTGACGGCGGATTCCGGACACAACGATTTGCCGACCACATACTTCTCAGCGCTTTTCTGGTATGTCTTGACGTCAACATTAACAACTAACGGCGAACTGGCAGGTCTTTGGGGCTCGTCTCCAAGAGCTTTGAGGGTGAAATTCCGCGCACATTGGCCCAAAATGTGTTTACGTTGGTGGTCATGTTGGGTGGCTTCCTCCTCTTTGTGTACATCTGCGGCACGTTGTTTATGATTTCCAAGTGCGATTCCAACAGCACCGAGCGGTTCAATGCCAAGATAAGCCAGCTGCGGCACACTTTATCCTTTCACCAAGTGCCCAAGTCGATTCAAGAACGCGCAGTCGAATACTTGGAGGTGTGTGTGTTTAACGGCTTGTCGAATATATGTGTGTATTCACGGCCATTAGAATGGCTTCAAGAGTGGCGAAGCCAACGATCGACATACCATGAAGTTGCTGTGTCCATCGATCTCCAAGGACATCAAGTTTTCCCTGCTCAAAACCATGACATCCAACGTACCTTTTTTCAAGTGTTGCAGTGCAGTGGTGATCCGAGCCCTCATCGACTTGATGGAGACGCAATCGCTACCAACCAACTTTATCGTGAGCAAGGTGGGCGATCAAGAAGATGGTATGTATATTGTGCAGTCCGGGGTGCTCGTGGTTCTTCTCAATGATGCCAAGGTGCGCGAAATCCTCATCGACTTGTTTAAATATCATCCTCGTTGATTTCTCTGTACTAGGTGCGCGAAATTCGAAAGGGGGGGTTCATTGGAGAGCTATCGCTGTTTTCGAATCAAGTGCGGTCGACCACAGGTACTAACTAATTCGTGGCGGTCGTGGTGGTGTCCAGGTGTTTCGAATCATCCATGTCAATAGTGGCCACGGCAACGTTTTGCATCTTGCACAAACTCTCCCGCAGTCATATTCACCGAGTCTTGCGTGCGTATCCGCAAATCGAGTCGGAAATCATGAACTGTGTGAAGACACTCTTGGCTGAACGCGATGCCGACGCCAACAGTGCCGAAACCAAGCAAAACAAAAAGGTCAGACGGGGAGTCAAAGCCATCGTGAGCTGGAGTACGCTAAGGCAGCACTTGGGCAGCGCCAAGAATCACATGGTCACTCAAACCAGTGTCGCAGAGTCCACCACCAAGTCGTCTCTCGTGATTGCCAAGCCCGCGCCTACACATCAAACCGGCAGCCGACAGTCCAGCACGCATTTCATTGAGTTCAAAAAGTCGATGCATGTGTCCCCAGAAGAGGTGCGTCCGGCGAGATCATATGCATTGCCTCATGGGTTTTATTGTAGGGTAATTTGCACGAAAAGCGTGAGTGGTTGTGGTGGTGGCACCAGCAACTACGGTCGCGGAAATGGAACCGTCGGGGGCTGCTGTTATTCACTGCCATCCATCGAAAGTCCAAATGTCGCTTTGTATGGCTATGTAGCCTCATGGTACAATTGCTATCGAGTGTCACGATCGTTTATATGGGACGTGTAGGTCACAACCATGTACAACACAGTCACCGTGCCAATGGTCAATGCATTTCAGCTCGTGGGATATCCCAGACACATCCTCGCCCTAAACACCGTGGCGGACGCTGTGTTATGGGTGGACATGTATTTGAACTTCAATTTGTCGTACATTGTCGAAGCCGAACACATCCTTGACACTACCATGTGCGCGCAACGGTACTGGCGGTCAACGTTTCGATTCGACGTGCTGTGTGCGTTTCCATGGTGGATCTTCTGCCCTTCGCACCACACGCTCGTCCGTTTCACGCGCCTCTTACGGTATGACCCCGCCTTTTGCTTCGTCCTTGTGTGATTGCTTTTGTATCAGGTGCTTTTGGTTGCATTCCAACCTGCACGAACTCGAGCACTTCGTGTCTATTGACAGTCGAAAGCGCATTGTCCTGCTCGGCATTGGGCTCTTCATGTGCTACCACATTGCAGGTTGCATGGCGCATTCGCTGACGTTTGTGTTGGGCTATGGTACGCACGCCCACGGGTGGCTCCCTCCAAACTCCCTCTATCTCCAGCCAGTGTGGAATGTTACAACGGGTGCGCTAGCAGGATACAACTACTTGGACAGAACTGTGTTGGTCGCCGTGGACGACCCCCTTGTCAACCATATCCTCCTCAAACAGTACCTTCGGGCGTTGCAGTATGGCGCCGTGTGCCTGACCAGTCTGGGGCTGACGCTCGAACCCGAGACGCTGTGGGAATTCGTGCTCGCGATCGTGCTCATGCTGAGCGGCATGCTGGTCATTTCGATCGTGATCGACGAAGTGCAAAAGCGTGTGACAGCGTCGGACATTGATCACATGGAGTTTTTGTCGCTGCGGTCGCGCATCATGCACTTCTTGCACAAACAAAACGTCCCCGGAGACATCCATCGGCGCGTGGCATCGTCCATGGACTTTTGGTGGAGTGTCCACCGCGGCGCCAACATCAACGACTTGTTGAAGGAAGTGCCCAACAGCATTCGCCGCGAAATCATCGGGTCCATCTGTGCCCCGGCGTTGAACGTGATCGAGCAAGTCATTGGCATCAATCCCCCCCTCTTGGACCGCGCGTGCGGCATCTTCCTGGACAACGTCGTCATTCAACTGTTCGGCCAAGGGGAGGTTATGTACCATCGAGGTGACAGCGCCGACGCCATGTACATTCTGCTCGTGGGGGATATCGTGTTGGTGGCCAATACTCGATCGTCGAAAGCGATGCCTCTACGTTATGTCAAGCCAGGTCCGTGCCTTTCTGTTTTCCATTCGTAGGTGCTCATATTTGTTCTGTAGGCGAAATATTTGGCTGTTCGAGTTTGTACATGGGCAACGTGGGGGGTAGCACTGTGCACGTTGAAAATGCTATTGCACGCACCGCATGTGTGGTTGCGCTGGTGGATAGACCCACGATTCAGGTGTTGAACGCAAAGTACCCGTCGTTCTGCACCACGTTCTTGCGAAAGGAGCAGAAATTGCTCGCCGAGCACCGAGCCATGACACGGTTGCTTGCACAAACCGAGTTGGCCGCGCTGTCCGGACAGAAGAGAAATGGCACGATCGATCCTGATTCTACGTTTTCCATCGTGTGGGAGACTGTCCTCTTCGTGGGCATGGTGTTCCAAGTCGTGCGGGTGCCATACTTGATGGCGTTTGGGTTCCAAACCCCTGGCCTCGACATCCGCGACGTCGTGTCGATGGTGGTGGAGACGCTATTCGTTGTGGACGTTGCCCTGAAAATGCGCACGGGGTACTACTCGTTTGGGAACAAGGTACTTATATTATTCATTCTGTCCTCGGTTCTAAGGATATATGGTTAGATTACCAACCGATCCGCGATTCGACGCCGATACATGTCGTCAATGACGTTTGTCCTTGATGTGCTAGCAGTCCTCCCCGTCGATGTTGCCAATGCATTTGTTCCCCGGCGACTCGAGTGGTTCAACACAAACAAGTTGTTGCGGTTGTTCCAACTACCGGCGCGGTTTGACATGCTTGAACGGCACTATTTCAAAGTGAGCATTCCCATTCGAGTGTTCAAACTCGTGTTCTACATCTTCCTGCTGGCGCATTTCATTGGATGTACGTGGTACAACTTTGCCAGCGATTTAGCCTCCGTCATGGGCTACGGCGGCAACTCACAGTTTGGAACGTATCCGTGGCTCCCGGACAAGGACATGGACATTGCCGACCATCACGAGTCCGAGATATACAAGTACGCCCGTGTTTTGTTTTGGGGATTGGGCCTCTTGCTTGGGTTTTACAAGGGCGAGTACCCTCAACTCGTGGCGGAATATGTGTTTACGGTACGTCCATAAACGCCCCGCGACTTCACTTTGACGTTTGTTGTAGATTGTCGTCCAAACGATCGGCGTGTTCTTGTTGGCATATGTCGTGGGCAACCTCCTCGATATAGTTCAAGTCACGGAAGGCAACAACCGCATCTTTTACAGCAACCTGAACTTTGTGCGCAAACTCACGACATACTTTGCCTTTTCCGACGACGTCAAGACCAAAATCCAGCACTTTTACTTTTACCGCTTGTTTCACAGCATCCACGAAGAGCACATTTTGACGAAGTGTCTGCCGCAGTCGCTCGTTGCCGACATCCGGCTCTTCCTGCTCACGCCCATGCTCAACAAGGTGCCGTTTTTCCAGCACGAGGCCGCCAGCTCCAACATCACGCGGTCGCTGGTGCGCCAGCTCACCCAAGTGCTCGTAACTCGTCACGAAGTCGTCTGTCGGCAGCACGAAATCGGTGTCGAAATGTACTTTGTGTTTACGGGGTGCTTGGAAGTGTACGTTGCGTCCGACCAACACTCGACTACCACCGCTGCCAGCATCGACGGCATGTCCGTCAGCAGCCGCGGCACCAAAGTGACAGAAATCGCCGCTGGGTCGTTTTTCGGGGAGAAGTCGCTCTTTTCCGACCAGCCGCGGAACGCGTCGATCGAAGCCAAGACGTTTTGCACGTTGTACCGGCTGTCGCGCACGCATTTGGAGTCTGTGTTTGCCCAGCACCCCGAGTGGAAGTCGAAAGTGCTGCAAATCGTGGCAAGAATGTACGAAGCACAGGAAAAGGTGTATCGCGGACGCTTGGCCAGCGAAGCCACGACCCGCAAGATGCATGATAACCCACCCCCCCTGCACCGTAGCCCCCATTCGAAACCACCTAGCGGCTGCTCCATTCACAATTTGTCGTCAGCATTCGAAGATGACCACGTGAGGACGGTCCGGGTCGTGCCGTGGGCCCAACGCTGGAGACGCCACGTCATGTCGATTGAAATGCAATCGCCTCCATATCGCTGGTTTTTGATGGTACTGTGTCTGGCGTTGCTGTACATAGCGTTGAGTGTGCCGTACTTGATTACATTTGGGCACGGGCACGACAGCAGGTCCATTACCATTGCCATAACGGTATGTACATCCTCCTGCCTGTCCTTGGTCGTCAGAGGATGATGAAACGATCAATATATTGCACCTAGGTGTTGGACGTCGTCACGGACATGGTGTTTGGGTGCGACATTTGGTTCAAGTTTCACGTCGTAGAAACAACGTCGTCGCGAGAGTTTTACGAGCACCGATACCACTACGACAGCAAGGGGATGACCCTGGACATCGTCGCCATCCTGCCGCTGGATTATGCGTTTGCTGCCTTTACCACCCACGCCTATGTGTGGCGGCTGAACCGCTTCCTCAAGCTCCGCCAACTCACGTATGTGATTGGCGAGCTCCAACGCTTTAGCATGTCGTACGAGATGAACCGGCTGAAAACTCTCGCCTTGTACTACTACGTTATTGGGTACTGGACGGCGTGCGCGTACTTTGGACTGACGACCGTCGTGGGGTTCAGCTCGTCGTGGAATTCGTCACTTCCCATTCAGTACTTCAACGTACGTGTTTATCCTGTTCAACCACCTACACCTAGATGTGGCACTGATATATACATACAGTCGACGGGCCATGCGGACGTGCTGTTTTCGATACATCAATACGCTCGCTGCTTTTTTTACGCGGCGAATTTTTATACGGGGTCCGGTCGCGTGTACGAACCCGTGGCAAGTTTGCAGTTTGCATTCCACTGTGTCCTGTCTGTGTTTGGGGTGTTTGTGATGGGATACGTGATTGGCGAAGGCTCCACCCTATGCATCTACCTCATCCAGAACGAAGTCGACTTCAAAATCAACCAGATGCACGTCATGGACTTCCTCTCGCGCAAGCGCGTGGATGTCGTGTTGCATTCGCGTATCCACAAGTATATGTCGTATTGGTGGACGTTTCAAAACGGCGTCCCATACCAGACGATTCTGGACCAGCTGCCGCGTCGCATTCGGGGCCAAGCCAACATTGACCTTGCGCGCAAGAGCTTGTCCCGGTTTGCGTTGCGATACATCCGTCCTCTGGTGCACCATAATACCCTAATGGGCGGTGTCGACCCTATCATGCATAGCATCGCCCATCGGTTGGTGTATGAAGGTACCTTGCATCTTCAAACCACTCCTCGCTACTTATCTTCTTCACCGTCGAGGTCGATGGGGCTTGAAATGGTTGCATGGTAGGTTACCCCACGGGGGAGTCAGTGATCGTCCAGGGCAACATTGGCCACACCATGTACTTTGTGTCGACAGGAGCTCTCATGACAGTGTCCACAAACCCGACCTTCGTCTCGGTGCGGTACGACGATAGTCAGTACTTTGGCGACGACGGGCTGCTTGACAGCACCACGCGCCACTATTCGGTCGTGACGCTGCGGGCGTGCGACTTGCTTGCGTTGTCCGCCGTCGACTTTCTCGCGGCATTGCACGAGCACCCCCGCCTGTTGGAATGCTGCACGGTGGCGACTGGCGTTGCCCTTCGGCTGTCAAAACAGAATGAGACGAAGCACAACGATCCACAGGGACGCCAAATCCCCAAGCCCCACGTTGGCCGGCTGGTGTGCGACGAACTTGTTCGGAAAGCTGCGGACCTCAAGTACTTGAAGGTGATGGAGTTTGAAGTCGCGAACGCGATGTTTGGAAACTTTGTTGGTTTGTTCATGTACAGTGAAGATGGAGCCATCGCAATGGACAACAAGAACGTCCATCCAAGTGGCCCTTTATCGGCTCCAATGTGTCAGTATTGCGAAGACCGAACCGCCGACCGATACTGTCCTCTGTGCCACCAAGTCCTTTGTGCACACTGCACGTGCTCCATCCACGACAACTCGTACTATTCGTACCATACCAAGAGAATCTCAATGCTCCACGCGCCACCTACGAGCGACCTCCCACCTACACCCCAATTTCCAACAAGTCCCAAAATGACACCCCATGGTCAGTTGAAACTCGTGACCAGCCACCCCCCCTCCTCGAGTGTGTACGATTTTTTGTACAAGCTTCTGCAACAACGGCAAGGACGCGTAGAACCAGCGACATCCCACGTGATTCACGTCTCCAACGAAATGATCTCGGGGTCGTTGGACGTGAGCCCGTCGTCCAAATCTCGCGATGTGCCCCGACGACATGTCAAGCACATCCGCCACCACCACCACTCGGCGCTTTCCAAAAGCTTCAACTTGCACGAAATAGGACGTCTAAATCGCAAAAAGGGGCCCCGGTGTCGTGTACTCCAAAGCCAAGGGAGTTCTGCTCGAGAGAGCAAGCCCCTCGACATGTCGGCGGCGGCTCGACGAAGGGCAAGCATCGATGCAATTCAGCACTTGAACAGTTTACTTGCGTCTACCACAGCACCACTGCCCATCCAGGCTGCACCGGGGGTTCAACCAGGCGCAATTGAACAGGTGGGAGCTATTCCACGATGTCTCGCACAACGCTCAAACCAAGTGGTATGCAGTGATGATCCCTCGAACACGCATGGTACCAATGACAAGCAACCGATTTTTCCACGAAGTCCACAAAATGGACCAGTCAAAGGACCTGCGGTACAGCTCCTGGGCAACGCAGGTCCAGCGCACGACCACAAGAATGTTCACCTGGCGCCTCTGGCTAAAAACGTCAGCGTGGATGCAGAAATGCAAGAGCCGTCGATAGAGTAGGTCGGTCCATACGAATCTAATTTCCAACCGATAATAACACCCAAAGTTGAGCTATGTATGCGGCCATCAACGTACTATTATAGGATCGTGTCAGGGATCTTGCAACGGTACCGAATTCGAACAATGGCAATCTATTTCGCATGTATGGCCAATTACCACGGTTACACTTCATGGACAATGGGCATTTTTCGAGATGCGCGCGGTTTCGGCCTGAAACGGCCACCTCCATCTATTTGCATGCGACGAAACCATCTTGAACACTATACTCATACGTGTACGTTCCATGAGCTTCAAGGTTGTGTCGTCTGCACGCAAGAGTACGGCCAGGTCAAACGGGCGTGTGGCCCCCACCATGTTAGCCGACACAGACACCATGGACAGCATTTCCGACATTCGGCGAGGCAAGTTGACGTGGGAGATTTTGTACAAGTCGTCCAGCACGTTCGACCCCGACTCGAGCAAGGTTCAGATGTGGCATACGTTCTTGCTAGCCCTGGTATTGTACGACGCGTGGCTCGTGCCCCTGCTAGTGTCGTTTAGTCAGCTCAACCCAGCTATTTGCCGCAAGACATGGCTTCAAATGCTTGCGACGGCCGGTGAAGTGTTCTTTGTGGTCGACGTCTACGTACATATGCATTCGCGGTTTTATCTGTTTGGGGACCCTATTCGGGATGTCAAGTTCATAAGGCGGTACTATTTGATGTCGTGGGGATTTCCACTCGACTTACTTGCACTGGTTCCGATCAATACGATCATTCCGGCACTGGCATCCACCCAACCGTGTGGACTTGGCCTACTCAACAAGCTGCTTCGGCTCCGTAAAGTGCCTGCGTACACGTTGACCTTTGACAAGGTACCAATGTGTTTTATTTCTGTATCAAGTCGGGACATGTCGGCAACCCGGTAGGTATTTGCGCGCTACTACAAACTGTGCAAAGTCGTCAAAGCTGTGGTGGTCGTGTACTTTTCGTGCCACGTCATGGCTTGTGTTTATGCCTCGTTTGGCAAATTGGTCGATCCATCCAAAGACGAAGACGCGTGGAAAATGCACGACTTTTCAACGTCAACGCACGAACGAAGGCGGCGGCGATTGAGTTCCGATTCCAGCGACGACCAACACACTTCACAGCTCTTGACAGAGTATCTGGCTGCCCTCTTTTGGTACATCCGTCTAGTTTTTGCCCTGGTGTGTTCACAGGTCGGGGTTAGGTCCCTTGGGCTCGTGTCCAAGTGTGTCGAAGGCCAAGTGCCGCGAACGTTGATGCAAACGCTGTTTATGCTGGCAGTCATGATCTCCGGGTTTCTCCTCTTTGTGTACATTTGCGGCACGTTGTTTATGATTTCCAAGTGCGACGCCAACAGCACCCAAGAATTCGATGCCAAGCGCAATCAACTGCGGTACATCTTGTCGTACCACCAAGTCCCTATGGACATTCAATCGCGAGCGGTCGAGTATTTCGAGGTACATAGTGTTGACGTTGCGTCGGATGCACGATTCACATTGGCTAGAATGGATTCAAGAGCGGCGAAGTCAACGACCGTCACACGATGCAGCTATTGTGTCCGTCCATTGCCAAAGACATCAAGTACGCCGCACTCAAGGACATGGTCACAGGCGTGCCTTTCTTTAAATATTGCCGCGCCGCGTTCATTCGTGCCCTGATCGACTTGATGGAAACGCAGTCAGTGCCGACCAACTACATCGTATGCCGAAAGGACGAGGAAGGCGAAGACATGTACTTTGTACAGTCGGGTGTTCTGGTCATTCTCGTCGATGACATCAAGGTGTTTTTGATGTTTCGGCAAGTTCAGTTTGTTGGCTCAATCGTTGTGTTTTAGCTGCGAGAGCTTCGAAGCGGTCATTACTTTGGCGAACAGGCCATTTTCATGAACCAAATTAGAAGTGCCGACGGTACAATCTTGGAGGTTACCCATTTTGGTTGACATGTCCATTTTCGTGTAGTTGTAGCGACGACATTTTGCATCCTCCAGCGGCTATCGCGGGCTCGCGTGCGCATGGTCATGCAGGGATACCCTGAGTGTGAAAGCCAAATCCTAAGCTGTGTGTCGTCCATTGCCGACGAACAGCGCAAGAACAGCAGCAAACTCATCCAACAGCGAAGCCTGACAAAGTCCACCGGAGCAGCGGTGTTCCATATCGACGAACACTCGAGCCCGACGGAAGGGTCGACGAAGCAACAAGCCACGCAACGGCGCATGAGCAAGCGCTTCGTGGGACCCCTGGGGGAGTTTGCAGATGGGCAAAGTGAACAAGTTGGTGGAAAGAGCCCGACGATCAAATTCGTCTTGCACCGATGTCTTTTGAAGACTGCCATATCTCGCAAGTCGACGCTGCGGCTTGTGTGGTTGCTTTGTGTCATGGTAAGCTGAGAATATTGTACTTCACTTGAATGTATTCATCGGTCATGGCTGGCTGGCTGGCTGTAGGCTACGACGGGGTACAACGTCGTGGTGGTGCCATTTGTGAATGCGTTTGAGTTGGTGGGATACCCCGTGTCCGTTTTCGTGCTGAACACGATAGCTGATGCCATTCTGTGGCTGGATATATATGGCAAGTTCAACTTAACCTACGTCCACGAAGCCGAGCACGTCGAGGATACGGTCAAGTGTGCCCAGCACTACTACCAAACAACGTTTCTGTTGGACTTGGCGTCGACGATCCCTCTTTGGGTTGTCCGTCCATCGCTTCACGTCCAATTTCGAGTCTTCCGTTTGCTGCGGTACGTTGATTGAAGAGAAATGAATGGATCGTTCAACAGAATTGTTGTGTTAGGGTCCTCCGCTTGAATGATGAGCTCGACGAAGTGAGTCTGTTTGTCCGCATCGACAGTCGGAAGCGCATTGTTCTTCTTGGCATGGGGTTGCTGATGTGCTATCACATTGCTGGGTGCATGGCGCACGCATTAACGCTATCTCTGGGCTACGGCATCAGCCAACACGGCTGGCTCCCCCCCAAAACCATTGAGCTCCAAAAGATTATTTCCAACAATACGGGCGACTTGCTCGGGTACACGTACATGGACGGAGCCCAATTTGTGCCGTTGGAGGACCCCCTTGTGAATGAATTCATCCTGCGGCAGTATACTCGTGCGCTTCAGTACGGCTCCGTGTGTTTAACAGACCTCGGACGCGTGTTGGAACCAGAGACGCTCGAGGAATTCGCCTTGGCCCTGGGTCTAATGCTATGTGGCTTGCTGCTCATCTCGTTGCTCATCGATGACGTGCAAAAGTGCGTGACGGCGTCGGCCGTGGAGCAGATGCAGTTTTTGACGCTGCGGTCCCAGATGATGCATTTCTTCCGAAAGGAAAAGCTCCCGCAACAGGTTCGAAGCCGCGTGTCGGCGTACTTGGACTTTTGGTGGAGCGCCCACCGAGGGGCCAACATCAACGAGTTGTTGGGGGAACTGCCCAACACGATCCGGCGCGACATTTACGGATTCGTGTGTGCGCCTGTCCTCGACGTGATCGAGCTCATGGACGGCATGGGCCCCCATTTCGAACGAGTTTGTGATATGTTTCTCGACAACATCGTCGTCAACTTGTACGCCCAAGGCGAGTTAGTGTACAACCAAGGTGAGTACGCCGACTCGCTGCTCGTGCTGTTGGCGGGCGACGTCATGTTATCACCCACATTGACGGGGCTGCCGCAACGATACGTCAGGCCAGGTAAGCAAGCCACATCGATGGAATGCGGTGATGTCGAATATTCATGTGCTCCATGCAGGCGAGATATTTGGCTGCTCGAGTCTTGTCCTGGACGGCGCGTGCAATGTGCACACGGACAACGCCGTGGCTCGAGACGCTAGTGTAGTCGCGCGTGTGAGTCAAGACACGTTGGCTGCGATCACGGACGAATATCCGACGTTTTGTCATGGCTTGTTGAAAAAGGAGTACAAGCTTCTGGCTGAGCACAGAGCCATGGCGCGATTGCTGGATCAGTCCGAGTTGGCTGCCATGTCCCAGAACGGACAGCATGGCGTCGTGGACCCCAACTCAACTTTCATGATGCTGTGGGAAACGCTGCACGTTGCAGTCCTGGCAATGCAAGTCGTGGGGGTTCCATATTTCTTTGCGTTTGGGTTCGCAATCGTTGGAGTGCAAGGGCGCAACTTCTACGCAGTTGCCATCGAAGTGTTTTTCCTCATGGATATCGTGCTGAAGACGCGCACTGGGTACTACTCGTTTGGCAACAAGGTACATACATGTATATCAACCGGATATGTAGGTGGCTTGGGGCTCACTCGTGATAGGTGACAGACTTGAAAAAGATACGAAGCCATTACCACCACTCGGTCACATTTGTGTTGGACGTGGTGGCCATCTTGCCGTTGGATTGCATCAATGTGTACTTGCCTCATCAATCCGAAGTGTGGAACCTCAACAAATTGGTGCGTCTACTCAAGTTGCCGGCGCTAATCGAAAAGGTGGAGGCGTACTTTTTTGCCATCAACATTCACATCCGCGTGCTCAAGTTGGTGTTTTTCGTCTACTTGCTCGCGCATTACATTGGCTGTGCGTGGTACGGGTGTGCGAGCTTTCCGTTGACAATATGGGGTCAAGGAGACGACTGTCGATTCGGAAACGATACGTGGCTACCAAGCAAAGATAAGCACTTGACCAACAACGGCATGTCCCTGACGTTCAAGTACACGAGGGCGTTGTATTGGGGACTGGGGGTGTTGCTCGGGTTCAACAAGGGGGAATACCCTGCCACGCCCTTTGAATGCGTCTTTACGGTACTCGAATCCCACGTGTCAGTTGCATGCAATGATATATTTATTAACGTTGTAGATGGTCGTACAAACGGCGGGCGTGTTTTTGCTGGCGTATGTCGTGGGCAATCTCCTCGACATTGCCCTAGTCATGGACGGCAACAACCAACTGTTTTACAGCAACTTGATTTACGTGCGCAAACTCACGACTTACTTTGACTTTACCGACGACGTCAAGACCAAGATCCAGCACTTTTACTTTTACCGGTTGTTCCACAGCATCCACGAAGAGCACGTGCTGACCCACAGTTTGCCGCCCAACCTTGTCGGCGACATTCGGCTGTTCCTATTGACCCCCATGCTGAAAAAGGTGCCGTTCTTTCAGGACGAAATGGACAACTCAAACGTCGCCCGCTCCCTTGTCCGGCACTTGACGCAGGTTCTGGTGACGCGGCACGAAGTTGTGTGCCACCAGTACGACGTCGGCATCGACATGTACTTTGTGTTTGTTGGGTGCTTGAATGTGTACGTGTCTCACACGGACCGAGACACAGTGTCGGTGCACAACTCGCTCACGTACGAGTCGTCGCACATGGGCAACAAGGTGGCCGAGCTGCACACGGGGTCTTTCTTTGGAGAGCGGTCGCTGTTTTCCGACCAGCCCCGCATGGCAACAATCCAAGCCAATACATTCTGCACACTATTCAAACTCTCCCGCACTCACATGGAGTCTGTGTTCGTCCAGTACCCGGAATGGAAAGTCAAGGTGATTCAAGTCGTCGAAGAGATCTACAACATCCGACAACACAAAAACAACCAGCGCATGGGACCATCTGTCGTGGAGCCGCCATCGTCCGAGCAGGCGCCCACTACCAACACTTCCTCCTCGCCCGCGAGTTCAACCCCCGTCGAGTGCAGCAAAGTAAACAGTTTCGTCCTACGCGTCGTCAGCACTGGCAGGCACTTAGCAGAGTCGGTGGTCTTGTGGCTACGTAACACCAAGTCGATGGTCACAGCCATCGAAGTTCAGTCGCCATTCTACCGCGCCTACTTGCAGTTGGTTCGATGCACGTTGTTGTATGTGGCCATGCGGGAGCCCTACGTCGTTACCTTTGGAGCGGCTGCGGGTCCGAGCGCAGGCGCCGCTGTGGTTATGGTACATACACACAATGAAACCAAACATTCCCTCCTTCACGGTAATCATAGGGGCTGGACGTTGCAGCGACGATCGTGTTTGTGTTTGACATGTGGTTCAAGTATCACATCATCGAGAAGCCCGCGTCGTTTGAGTTTTACGACCGCATTCCCCACCCCACCCGCGTCGGCCTCGCACTGGACATTCTGGTCGTGCTGCCACTGGATTCTGCGCTCGCGACCTTTGGGGGCGGTGGCGTCCCCTGGCGTCTGGTTCGAATGATCAAATTAAGGCAACTCAACCACGTGTTTCGAGAGCTGCAGCGATTCAGCATGTCCCACGAACTGAACCGCATCAAGCTGCTGGCGTTGTACTATTGCATCGTTTGCTACTGGACCGCGTGTGCGTACTTTGGGATGGCGTCGATTCTGGGGTTTAGTTCAGTGTGGGAGTCGTCGCTTCCTGTGGCGTACTTTGCGGTACGCCCTTGTCTAACCACTGACTTGTGGATTTCTAACTTTCTTGTTTTGGTTGGTCTAGTCGCCGCCAGCGTCTGCCAGGTTTGACATGTTGTTTTTAATGCATCGGTTCGCTCGGTGCTTGTACTATGCGGTCAACATGTACACGGGGGTGGGGATGGTGTACGAGCCGTCGGCGCCGTTGCAGTATGCGTTCAATCTCATCATGCACGTGGTGGGGATCTTTGTCATGGGGTATGTAATTGGGGAAGGCTCGACACTGTGCATATACCTGATTCAAAACGAAGTCGACTTCAAGATCAACCAGATGAACGTCATGGACTATTTGGCTCGGAAAAACAAGAGCGTGGTCGACACCCACCTCCACGCCCGCATCCACAACTACCTGTCGTACTGGTGGTCGTTTCAAGATGGCGTCAACTACCAAGCGATCCTGGAGCAGCTCCCACTGCGCATCCGAGGACAGGCCATATTTGAAATCTCGCGCCGAAGTCTATCGCGTTTTTCCGTGCGGTACATTCGTCCGTTAGTCCACCAACGAGGCATCGACCCCATCATCCACAAACTGGTGCGACGCTTGACGTTTCAAGGTACGGACCCATCTACACACCTATCCTCACTTCAAGATGCTATGTAGGGTACCCCGCGGGCGAGTCGGTGATTATCCAGGGCAACATTGGTCACACCATGTACTTTGTGTCGAGTGGCACAGTCATGACGGTGTCGACCTTGCCCAACTTTATGCCATCTCGGTTCGAAGAAGGACAGTTCTTTGGCGACGAAGGCCTCATGGCGTCCACCGTCCGCCACTATTCGGCCGTGACGCTCCGCGCGTGCGACTTGCTGGCGCTGACGGCCGATGATTTTTTAAACACGATGAACGAAACGCTGCAAACAAAAGAGGGGTGCCGCGTCGCGAGGGGTGTTGCAACGTACCAGAAGAGCTTCAAGTACCGGTTGGCGTACGACAAGGGGTCCCTCGGTCAAATGATCTGCAACTGCATGATGGACATGGCGTCGACGTTGCGAACGCTCAGCCCCATGACCCCGGACGTGGCGGAAATCATGTTGGGCCATTTCACCAAGCTGTTTCTTCCGCCGCATGTTCACCAATTGGGGGGGTACGCGCTAGACTCGATTTCCATGTGCCAGCATTGCGAAGCCACGTTATCGCATATTTATTGCAAGCAATGTCGCCAAGTGTTGTGTAACAAGTGTTCTTCACTCATGCACGACAATACCCACTTGTCGTTCCATTTACCCAGCATCATGCACCTCAAAACACCAAATGAACCACCTCCAGAGGACCCGAAAACCCCGCGTTTGCGTGAGTTTGTCTTGTCAGTGCTGCCGCGTCGTCGAAACAACACCGTGTCTGCTCCGCCACACGCGTCGTCCATGACTGGATTGGGCATGAGCTCGTCTTTCCACAGCGTCGCCCGTCCTTCGACGTCCAAGCCGCTGCAAACCCAGCGAGAAAACGACACGGGACCGTCGTCCCCACTAGAGAAGCGTTCGGGCCATGTCATGCGATTGCCTAGACGCGACCGAGAGGGGGGGTCGATTCAATGCGATTCAAATACGGTCGAACCTCACGCCCGGCAACTTGTGAAGTTGTCTCATACGAAATCGGAGGCCGCACTCGATTGCACCGAGCGGTGGCGCGCGCCGGACCCAGTGCGGGGAGGCCAGCACAATACAACCATGGACACCATCAACCACCAGCGCAAACGACACAAACCGGTACAAACAGGCATGAAGTCTAGTCAAAGCACACCCAAGATCATTCGTGTTGTTCAAGCCGCACAAGGCACATCAACCAACCCACCAGTCGTTAGTGACGCTGGAACCATGGCCCAGACACCGACAACCACATCGACGACCAACTAATTGGACAATGTTTCCAAGTGTGTAAGCAATTCCGTGTAGGCCCCTTTCGGAGTAAACTGGGGTTGAACCGTGATACACGTTAGGTGTGGTGTGAAACTCTGGTGTTGAGTATAGCCACGGCACCAGGATGATGAGTTTCGTAGTAGTCATGGCTAACCTTACAGTGGTTTAGTAGGACAGAGTCATAATGCAGTCGTACTGTATATGCATTTCCTCTTCTTGCGCAATGAACAATGTGGGCTTGCCAACCAACCAAACCGCGTTCGGTGGGAAGTCGACAAGAACGCGTTACGATGGCCAGTTAATAAAGGCTAAGCTGAAGTCTATTCAAGCCAATTAAATGACCAGAAGAATGCCCAACCTTTCGACTTCATGCAGCACTTTTCAGAATTGAAATCCCGTTCCAACGAGACGAGTAAGAGTAAGCTGCATTCTGTGACGAGGTCTCTTTCAAGTGCACCATAAATTGGCCATCTACGTTAGATGTTATCTTCAATGTTCGACCACTGTTTGAGAGGTTTTAAAGTGTTGGTGGATGGACGTTCAATCGCGCAAGATGGCGATTTTCTTCTCCATCTGGGCGACGAGTTTCACGAGCGCGTTGAGCTTGTTTTCAAAACGCACTTCGGTCTCGAGTAGCCGGATTTCGAGGATTTCTTCCATCGCTTCGAGCTGTTTGGCGAGGGGATCGTGGTGTCCATTGCGCATCTCGGCAATGGACGACGCACACGACAATCGTTGCTTTTGCTGTTCTTCTTTCTGGAGGAACATTGGAGGCAACGCAATCGTCAAGTTGTGTTTCTGGAGGGCTTCCAAGTCCCATCGAAACTGCACCTAGATATGTACATGGTATGAGCATGCATATTGCGAAGAATTGACTGAATCGTACTAGGGCTTCGGCTTCCAGTCGGCCCGTCTTGTGTACATCGTAGAGCGCAATGAGCTCATCGGGGTCAATGTCGATGCCGTCGCCAAGGATGTTGAAGCCGTTGAGGATTTCAATCATTTCTTTCCTATATATATATGGAAATATGGATGAGGTCATAAACAGGTAGGTAGGTAGGTTGAGGTAGTCACACGCACTTTTGGACAACTTCCAGAGTCGAGAGCGTGTCGAGGCTCTTCTGCATGGCGTCCTGCACTTCCTCCTTCATCACGTGCTGGAAGTTGGACCCAATCACACTGATGGGCAACGCCAGGATCAGCATGCCCGACATCATGGTCAACGTCGCAATGAACTTGCCCACGGGGGTCACGGGGTAGTCATCGCCGTACCCCACCGTAGCCATGGACACGATGCACCACCAAAACGTGGCGGCAATGCTACGAATGCACAATGTTGTTGGTGTTTTGTTATGGCCGACCGTTTGAATGTACCTGTAGAATGGATTCATTTCGCAGCAATTGGCGGCCGGGTTTTGCGTGGGATGGCACGCTTTCGACTGGAGTGGGTCGCGACACTGTTTTGGTGAGTCGGTCAACTCGGCAAAGTACATGGCGCTCGAAAACACAATCTACACACACACCATCATCGCAGACGTTCGTTACCAATCGATTACTTGTTTGGATCTACCATGGCCATGATGATGAGGAAAAGTAGCATAAACAATGGCTTGGCACTCAACGTCAACGCCTACAACATCATTTGAGTTGGGGGTAGTGATATACATACATTATATCCAAGGAGCCTTCAAAGTGTGCGACGTGCCTTGATGAAAATTTGAATCGACGACGTATACCGCGATAGTTTTAGGATTCTGGCGACACGGATGAGGCGCATGATGCGAATGACCCCGATCGACGACCCTTTCTACACGAGACGGGTAGAATCACACTCGAAAGGATGTCCGCCTACCAGTTCGAGGAACATTTCGAGGTAGAATGGTATGATGGACACCAAGTCGATCCAGTTGAACAAGTCTAAACGTAGGTCCGTCCACTAGGTGTACAACGACCGTGGACTGTACGAAAGGTATGTTACCTTGACCAAAATCCTTGACACTAGGAGCGCAACAGAACCGACTCACAAAATCCGCAGTAAACATGTACATGCACGCTCCCTATCCAGACGGTTTGAGACTTGTCTGGCGTTAGAATACGACGCAACACACCTCCACAATCGACAAGGCTGTCTTGGCATCCTCGTCAAAGTCAGGAATCGTTGACAGGATATACACAATGGTGGACACAAACACTGCCGCGAACAGCGAGATGGACACTGCTCGTGCCTACTCCGCCATATTCGCGGTAAACTTTATATATGTGTACAGTTGTAATTCGCACCATAGACGAGGATTGGGGCTCGTTGAAGAGAAGCCATAAGCGCATGCGAATGGGCAAATGTACAACTAGGAGACACAGGAATGGTCATAGCCAACATGAGGGGGCTTGGATTGTCCTTAACCTTACCATGATGAAACGAGGAAGTTCCGCTCTCCCGACCAGACAAGGCAGTCGACCGATGTTTGGAGCTTGGGGGCGCCCTGAACGTCTTTTTGTACGTGCCTTTTCGCAGCAGCTTTGCACAGGACACGGCAGGTATCTCTCGAATCGGTTTCCGAATCGTCGACGGTCGAATTTGCCTGAGCACGGTCTGCTTGCGCGCTTCCCGCTCCAGCAAACGAGACAAGAGCATGGCCGACTCTGGGATCATGTGGATATCTTGCTTTCGAGCATGTTGTTTGGAATCAAACGTGTCCAGGGAGGCTAGGTGCTCGAAGTGGGCTGCGGAAGGTCCCTCCGGACTGTCCATACCTACCAGTATAACCACGACCGCCGCTTGATTGTATTTTTAGAACCACAGGCGGTCGACTTACTGAAACGGCGCCCGTCACGGATTCACGCATGGTGGCAGTAGTGTAGTCCCGACCGTTGAAGACGCAAGATTGCTGTAGCTCTATGTTGTATCTTGTTATGACGAACCTGGACTAATATCCCAGTATGATTGACATACATCGAATGTTAGCCGAGTTAAGTTGCGCCCGAGTTGCCAAACAATCGATCGACGGCCGCACAAAACTCGTCAAAGTCGATGCGATGGTCGTGGTTGGCATCCGTTTGGGCAAAGTGCGACCGCATGTCTTGCTCCGACACGCCGTCGTCGGGCGACGCGAGCAGTAGGAGCATTTGAATCGTCTCGTTTACTGTCAAGTCCCCACTCTTGTCCTTGTCGCACCGATCAAACGCGCTGCGTAACAAGAGTTTGGATGATCGAAATGGACGCATGTCGGATTGGAGGGATGTTAGATGAGCCTGCATCGCATCGACTTTTGCTCGCTCCTGCTCCACCAACCCTTTCCAGTGGTGCAGCTCGGCCTTGAGCTTCCACACTTTCGAGTCCGAGTCCGCCAGCTGTTGTTTTAGCGCCAGCGCACTGTCTGACAATTGGTCGGAAATACTCGCAACCGTGTCGTGGCGTTGGTTTGCTATCAGCGCCTCCTTTTGGGCTTGCAGCAACGCAATTTGGGTTTCTATTTCCCCCACGGAGGTCCTGCATTGTGCTGGTAGCGCATGCCATTCAGCTCGGGCCGCGTCTAGCTTCTCCTTGAGCACCCCCACCCGCGTCGTCGCTTCGCCCACACTCGCCCGAAGCTACACGACTGCCTTCATGAGGTCACAAAGTCTTGGCTGTGAGGTTAGTTTTTCACCTTTTGATTGTCCTTCTTCATTTGCCGGGTCTTCACAGTCAAATCCAACACGCGCTCTTCATTGGACACTTGCTTTGGCGGCGCCACTCGACGCGTCGTCGTCAGTTGCTCGACGGTCAACTTGGCCGTCAAGTCGGCGACCTCTTGTTTCTGCGCTGCTTCGGCGATTTCAGCGGTAGTCACTTTGAGCTGGAGATGGCGCAGGTGGTCATCCAGCGCCTTCTTCTTGGCTGTCAACTTGGTTTTCATTTCCAAGAGCGTTTCTTTGTCGTGAAAAAACACGCCGGGGTTGTTTCGTCGCGGCTTGGCAGGTTTCACTGTTGTCGATGATTTGACTTGATATGGTTCGAGCGTAGGCGTTGATGTCGTCGTCGTGTCGTGGTCGTCATCTCGTGTACTTGAAGCCATGGTAGGCTGTAGCTTGTCGTGGAAGGCAGCCTCGTTCGTACGGTCTGCACTGGGTAGCCTGTCGTGGACATCTACTAGTGTTGGGAACGGGTGTTCCTCATTCGTAGATTGTGTTGGCTCGATGGGCCTTGGCGAGTTGATTTTGGCTTCCTTTTCCACCTGCACTGGTTGAACGCTCGAATCACCAGTGTCATCTTGATGTTCAAAGTCGTCGTCGCCATATTCAGTTTTGGTTGGACTGGAAGGCTCTTTGACGCAAGGACTAATTACAGCCGTCTCGACGGGTTTCTCTGGGATAGTACCGCATGACGACACGAACACCATCGACGAACTGTCGTTCGATACCTGCACCAACAAGAGGGTAAACACAAACGCGATAACAACGAGGTTTTACTGACCTGCCACTTCGTTTCACCGTCGTCGTAGCAGACAAAATACCCCATAGATTCGTTGAAGTCGGTGACGGCCCCATCAAACCAGGCGCCTTCGTCGGCCCAAAACACTTGTACACGCCACCCCACGGCGTCGATCCCATGCCGCTGACTGTCTTGGCGAGACGTGGCCGGCGGAGTCACAATGCTAGACACCCTCGCTTCGACACTTTGCCCAATAGTGTTGGACATGAATTTCACCGACCCAGCATCCGATGTGGGCTACACATTGGATCATATCGTTTTGAGTTGGTATGTTGTGGTGTTTGTTCCATATCGCAAGTACCTGCCACTTCTCGTCGCCATCGTCGTAGCACACGTAATAACCTCTTTGGTCTTCATATTCGGTGACGACACCCTCAAACCAAGCACCCTCGTCTTCCCAAAGCACTTGGACACGCCACCCCACGGCGTCGGCACCCTCGGGTCGCGCCATTGTGAAGCGAGCGAGTTTGCGCCTATTCAAATGCTGCTCCTTGATTGGCCACGATTCAACCAATCCAGTCCTAGAAATTCTTGAGTACTCCTTTGAGTTCCATGCTGCTGCGACGAGCCATCTCCGCGGCTAGAAGGACGCACGGCGCCGTACTTCGCGCTTCGAATCGATGTATGTCCATGGCTGGAAGCGTACAGGTGAGACATTATCTTACGATTTAGCAGATACCTGTGTATAAAAAAGACCGGACTCTGCTAACCCTTTGGACTGGCGTTATGACGGGTGGTGAGGCTTGATGTGTGTTGCTGTTAGTACTACCGGCGACAAATGTTCGTGGTGGATAACAATCGCAATGCCGAGGCATGGCCCAAGAAACTCGAAGACTCATCGAGTCATGTCATATCAAAGTACCACCACGTACGCCGTGACACCTTGTGGAGACTATAGGCGCACTGTAGTGTTGTTCTAGGTTGTGGAGCCGCTCAACCACGCAAAAAATCCAAAGCAATTGATCATGGCGGCCGCGTATCCAGTTGAACAAGCCGCAGACACCATCGACGACGCATCCTACACATCCATCGACGTGCATGACGTGCTCGTGTTCCCAGACAACATTCGCATCGCTGGCGTGCGCGACTCTGATGGTGCTGGTCCTTCCGTAAGACCCAACTAACGTGACCACCTTAGTGTCCTTCGTAGCCACTCATCTCCTCGACGAAGTCGTGGACCTGGCCTCGTTACGTTCTCGGTGCGAAATCGCCAACATGGTTAGCTAGGTTGCTCACATGATCATGCAGATTGGTCGTGTCAGAGCTCCAGGGGCATCATGTGTTTGTGTGTGCTCACACCCAACGGTACAACGCCGCGATGGTTGGATATATTTTAAAAAAACAAGTCCAAACAAGGGTAAATGTAGTGATTTCCGGTGTGCATGTGCCGGTCCCAAGCTCATCGAGTGGTTTCAAGTACGTTGTTCCTTGTCATGACTCCGTGGCACAAATCAGCAGCAGCATCACCCCCCTCATCGATGCAATGTAGGCCAAACGACCTCAAGACTGGACAGTCTTTGCCAGTAGCCACTACGGCGGGCATCGCTTTGCTGGCAATTGCATCATCTACCCAGGTACTGTGTATGTTTGTAAACCCCCAACGGTCTTGCTTTGGTACTTTAATCAACTGTGTTTGTAGAAGGACATTGGTACGGCCTTGTCAACGATCCTAGCGACGTGGACAGCGTCGTCCACGCCGTCACTGTCGACAAGCAGCCTGTGGTTCCGTCCTTGTGGCGGGGGTGCATCAACGCGTCCAAAGCTACGCAGCTCGCGTTGCATCGGGAGGTGGCTTGTGAGGATAGTGCCGCCACGACGCTCGTCTAAGCAATAAAACCCAATACTGTACCATCGAGTGAGTAGTACCTCTTGTCGTGTTCGTTGTGTCCTCAATTACAAATGTTTGTAAAGGTTTGAATGACAGGAAACGTCGTGTTGGATATTGGACGTTTTAGTGGGAATCGAAAATGTGCCTACTACTGAACTACCTGTGAAGTCAAAAGGAAAAACTTTGAAAACGGCAAAGTCGTGTTCCATCGTCATACATTCCATATTGACTGGTTGTCAAGTCGTACTAGCGAATCCACATGCAACCAACTGCCAAGCTACTTGTACGATACATCCTGCAACGTCCTGTGCACATCGAACCAGCTGCAAGCAGGAGTGGTGACTACAATTTGATTGACAATGCACACCTACCGACTGCCCATGCCGACTCCAACGACGCTATTCACTGTGTAGCAATTCATTGGGGCTGGACGATCGAACAAGATGTGCTGGAACCTTCGCAATACGGTACAGTATACTGTATGGACATTATGGAATCCGTCGCAAGCTAGGAAACTGTGCCTTAATCTCCTTGCGATTCCACTAAACAAGTCAGGGCAAAATATCGACTCGACCACCGTCGCCGTCTGTCGTCCGTTCGTTGCGCCGACGAATACATACAACGCCGCGACTCGGCTACATACAGTAGTTGACCATGCATGTTCCCGTGCTTCCCGTCCAAGAAATATATTTTATCTTTTTGAGATTACTTTTTCTCCAATTTTGAATTCATGTGCTGCAGTTTGTCGTTTTGGTCTTTGAGCACAAGGGCGTCGATGATGTCGTCGAGTAGCTCGCCTTCCAACATGCGTTCAATGCCGTAGCTCGACAAGCCCTCCACGCGGTGGTCGCTGATGCGGCTCTGGGGAAAGTTGTACGTACGAATTCGTTCCGACCGGTCGCCACTCCCTGTGATTGAGTTGCGCATGTCGTCGCGGTTCTTGGACGCGGCGCGGCGCTCGCCGTCGTATACCCGCGCGCAGAGGATCTTCATGGCCTTGGCTTTGTTCTGGTGCTGGCTGCGCTCGTCCTGCACAGCGGCGACGATGCCCGTGGGCAAGTGCGTGATGCGCACGGCGCTTTCGGTTGTGTTGACATGCTGTCCGCCGGCGCCACTGGCGCGGTACACGTCGATGCGAATGTCCTTTGGCAGGAAATGCGTCTTCATCTCCACCTACACAACGCAGAATCGTGGTTGTCTCGTTGAGGCTTTTCGTTGAAACGATGGCGGCTGGTCGAGAAAGAGCCGCAAACTTGGGGAAATTCAACATGCTAAGCACCTCATTCATTTCTGGCAACACGGCAATTGTGATGGCGCTGGTGTGCACTCGCGAGTCGTTGACGGGAACGCGCTGGACGCGATGGGTGCCGCTTTCAAACTTCATGCGACCGTACACGCCTCTGCCCTGGTTGGTGCAGTTGCAACATGTTTTTAGTGTGTGTTAACGAGATGATGTTTGACATGTGACTGAAGAGAAATGAAGTCATCAGGACGAGGGGAGGTGTGGTCGTACAGTGATCGAGACGGAGCATTCCTTGCATCCCCCCAAACTCGTGTCGCTCATGGTGAGGATCTCAAACTTCCACCCTTGAAGAAGGGAGTACTTTTGATACATTCGAAACACATCAGCACCAAACAGCGCGGCTTCGTCGCCGCCAGTGCCGGCGCGGATTTCCAAAATGGCGCTCTTGTCGTCGTCTTTATCTTTGGGAAGCATGAGACGCTACGAAGCAAGCCACCACATGAGAGGATGCATATCAAAACAGGTCCCGAGGAGGTCGAAGCGAGGAACGTACTGTGATTTCCTTTTCCAAGTCGTCCAGACCATGCAGCAACTCAAATTTTTCTTCGGTCGCCATCTCTCGAAGCTCTTTGGCATCCGGATCGTCGGCTTGCGTGTCGGCAATGACCTAGTGAGTGATATGTTGTCGGTTTGTATGTTTCACATGGACAAGGTACTTCGTCAAGTTCTGAAATCGAATCCTGGCGCTGCGTGAGTTCTTGAATGGCGTGGATTGCAGGCTCCATTTCAGCGAGCTCGATGGACAGGTCCGCGAGACGCGACGGTGGGATGTTGCCATCATTGCTGATCATATGTTGGTGGAGAAACAAGGTGAAGCAGTAAGCCGGCATTGAGCGTACCTGCTGAGTTCGTCTGAGAGGACCTTATAGCGCGCTGTGAGCAAGCTCATGCGATCCAAGATGGAGCTGTGCAATGCAAAGTGACGTCTTGTCATGCTATTCTTCAGCAACATCACGTCATGGCGTCCTGTGACGGCCACAGCGCGGCGAAATATCGGCAAAAGGCGCATCGTGCTTGGCTTTGCGGCGCCAATTGCTGTCGAAGCATACCCACGCAATTTGATTGGCTGATTGATACACGCTGCCATTGAACAAAATCAGTTCTTATATCGCCATATTACTGGCTATAAAGATTTAATTTACTAGCATATCTACCAATCCGAATCACGGATGCGCCAATCTCTTCAATAACACTTCACGATACTTGTGGCCGTGATTTTGGATTTCAATGGTCGTACCACCGGTGTGCACCAATAATGCCAAAGCAATGGACATCGACTTCATACTGAGGACATAGATGCACACCCAAGTGCAAATCTGTGGGGTGGGATTGTGTGGGACAAACTGAAATCACATCCATCAGTACTGCCCAAGTTCAACCAGTACATTGTACTCCGAGTACTACAGTCTTAGTTGTCGGCGCTAACACAAGCAAGGAATGAGTTGCCATCGTCTCTTGCCATGAGACTACACCGCATGAACATGGTAGACACTGGCGCTGGTACAGTAGCACTTCAAGGGCAGCGGTTGGCTCACGCTGGTACTTTAGTGTTAATAACAAGTAGTACTAGCTATCACGAAACGTTTTTGTTTCGCCTAAATCACTTGTATCTAATTCCTGCTATCTTGAAATTTGTATGTGTTTGCTTGTATCTTAGATACTACGTAGTACGTACGGTATATGGTGATTTACGAAACAATCACGAAGCATGCATAACGTTACTATTAGTAGTACTACGTAATTTACTGTGGACAGAAATCAACGCGCCCCACCATTACCAGTTAGGCAACCACAGCACAGACAAACAGTAATTCTCAAGCTCAGCTTGGTCTGGAACTTGCATAATTTCACATGATACTCTAGTACTACTAGTAGTAGGTGTGTTTCATACTAGTAGTTTGTTTCGTAAATACCCAGATAAAGGCAAGTACTCCGTAGTAAATAGTAAGTAGTATGTTGCAACTGGATCACATTAAGTGCGGAATCCTTCGTCGCTTTTATATGGCACAATTCAAAGAAATCAAAGAATGGAGGCGGCCGACGTGAAGAAGGTGAACGATGGCGCCGGCACACCAGACCCGATCGCGCAACCGGTCCATAACAACGCTTCCGCCGTAGCCCAAGATTCGTCTTATGCGATCTGCACGGAGGAAGAGCTCATTCAAACGTTTGCCAAGCCTGGCGAGAGGGTGTTGTACTGGGGATCAGGATCGCCTCAAGGTACGGAAACGTGTCCGCCCAACTCGACACTTGCACGTTTATATTTCCATTCACGTCACGCCTAATACAACGTCGAAATCCTTTTAGCGTGGCGCGTGCTGATCGCTCTCGAAGAGAAGAACATTGAATACCGCAGTGTCTGTGCGAGCTTCTCCAGTGGCGTCCTGAAATCCCCTGCGTTCCGCCAGCTCAACCCCCGCATGCGCGTGCCAGTGTACGTGGACGGTACTGCGGGTGTCATTCTGTACGAATGCGATGCGATTCTGGCTTTCCTGGAGAGGTTTTACCCGAATCCACTCATGCCCACAGACCCAAAGTCGTTTGCGATTGCCGAAACCCGCCTCCATGAAGCGAATGAGGTGCTGTCCACCGTGGGCGAAATGGTTGTGTACCTTCGACGAGCACAATCGAACGCCAAGAAGAACATCAAGACCAACATGGACATGCTGCACGCCAAATGGAACGTGCTGGAAACGGAGCTCAAGCTGTGGGAAATGTACTTAGACGGCCGCCAGTACTTGGTCGGGAATGACGCGTTTCTGTGCGATGTGGTTGTGTTTACGAACGTGGCGTACGCGGTTCGATGTGGCTTGCAACTCGACGGTCTGTATCCGCGCTTGGCCATGTGGTACCTTCGCATGTGTTCGCGCCCGTCCGTCGAGAAAACGTACGAACCATCGATCTTGGGTTGGCACTTATGATCATGTTAGGTGGCCGCCGCATTGGAAGACCACGATTGGGTTCACGGTGCTCGCTCGGTGTCACTTTTGCATATGTCAAGGCGAATGCGTATGTAGCTGCAGTCCGTCGTCGTCGTAGCCAGAATCAAAAGTAGTTGGACAACATGATAGATCTGGAATTTGGATAAGTCTTGCTCCTCGTTGATCATCGTGGCATCCCCACATACCAGGCAATCATGCCCCAATATTCACTAAGGCGGAAAGTTGGTCGACATAGCGACGGACCTCCGTGTAGGAGCGTATGCCTTTGATGAGTAGTTGGTAATGGGATCGTGATATGGATGTGCTTGCATCGGATACAATTCCGTTCGAACGTGATCCCCGCAGGCTAGGTTCAATCAATCGCCCATGAGTTCAAGCTGGCCTTGGAGACGCAGTAGGGCCTTGGAGAGGAGGGTGATCTTGGCCTCCATGCGGACTTCGGACTCGAGCAGCCGCGTTTCGATCATTTGCTCGATCAGTTGCAGCTGCTGGTCGCTGGGGTCGGCGGTCTTAAAGCTCCCGCCAAATGACAGCCGCTCCACTCTCTTGGCGCGCTCGGGGCTCACGAGGTGCGATTGGTGGGTACGGATCACACGCTGCAGGTCGGCCAAGTCGTGGCGAAAATTATCCTACAAAAGACCAACACCAAGGCGGACGTCAAAATTAGACAATTCCTCCTTGTTGTTGTCGTACCAGTTCTTCGGTTTCGAGCGCCCCGGATTGGTTCATGTCGTACAGCGCAATGAGTTCGTCCGGGTCAATGTCGATGTGGTCGCCAATGATTTCAAACCCTCGAAGCACGTCAACCATTTCCATCCTGACGATCATATATATGCATGTCGTTTGTGTGGGCATATAACTTTGATTGATTGTTACCGTCGAATGACGTCGAGGTTGGCGACCACTTCAATGTTCTTCTTGAGCGTGTCTTGGGCCACCTCCTTCATCACGCGCTGGAAGTTGGACCCAATGACGCTGATCGGCAGTGCCAATATGAGCATCCCGGCAAACATCGTGATGGACGCGATGAACTTGCCCACGGGTGTCACGGGCACCTCGTCGCCGTACCCAACCGTCGTCATGGACACCAGCGCCCACCAAAATGTGGCCGGAATGCTACTCAACAACGTCAAAGTGCACATTGAACATCATATCATCAACATGGTGGACGGACCTATTGAAAGGATTGAGGTCGCAGCAGTCGTCCAGGGGGTTCACGTTGGGATGGCACGTTTTCGAGTACAGGGGACTCCGACACGCAGAGTCGGTCATTTCGGCAAAGTACATGGCACTCGAAAACAAAATCTACACCCAGGGTTGTGCGGACATTGAGGTGGACTTACGGACGTTTGTGGTGGCGAGATATCATGGACGCACCGTTGCCAAACACATGAGGAACACAAGCATGAAGAGCGGTGTGGCGCTCAAGGCAAGCGACTGCATTGGAAATATCAACGCAAGCACGGAGGGGATTGGGGGAGGGGGGCTACCTTGACGAAGATCTGAAGAGACGACGTATACCTAGACAACTTGAGGATCCTTGCCACTCGGAGAAGGCGCAGGGTGCGGATTGCACTCAGCGACGACGCCGACGAGCTGTTCTTCTGCTCCAAATAATTCATTCATGAGATCAGACAGCACATTGATAACCAGATGACGTACCATGTCGACCACGAATTCCAGGTAGAACGGCAGCACAGACACAAAGTCGACCCAGTTGAATGCATCTACAATGGCAAGGACGATGCATATTTCCGCACAAGCGTCGTCTATCCTAGTGTTGCAAGAGCTGCAGCAACCGTACCGAGTAGGAACGCCTTCAAGTGTGGGGTGCAGACCAGCCGAATCGAAAAGTCCAACGAGAAGATGTAAATGCACGTGTGCTGGAACCACAGTGGTTGGAGGGGCATCCATCGTCGGCGTAGTGAATAGTACGTACCTCGATTTCAGTCAAGACATCCCGAACTGGCGACGACAAGTCAGGCTGGCTTTGAATAATATACACAATGATGGATACGGCGACCGCAGTCAGGATAAATATGGACAAGTATTTGGCCTAATGGGGTGGACTTGGTGAGTGGTGGTGTTATTCGGGATACAGTACCTCGAGTGATGACGTGGCGTCGTGAAAGAGCCTCCAGAGTCGCTGGCGGTACGACCAAATGCCGCCTAGAGAACTAGATTACCAACAGGACATAGGTTTTGAATGACCATACCTCGTCGTGTCACAGCTACGTTGTTGTTCGTGCCACAGCCGCGGGATAGCGTCCGGACCGGTGCTGGGTCGGGTATTATGGAGGTCGTGGTCAACACTGGAGTGACGACGGACGAAGCCTTCTCTTTTGGCGCAGTTACAGATGATGGCAACTGAATCGGCTGTAGGCTGACCCGCCTTGTGATAGTGTGCTTACGAGTTTGACGCTCTAAAACTCGAGAGAGAATCATCGCCCTCTCGGACAAATTGTCAAAGCCCGAACCACCTTCGTCGGCCATGGCGGACGCGGTAGCAAACATAGCGGACGTGTTGCGCCTTTTGGTGGATTAGGAACCGTTTCAAGAGAAACGGTTCTGAAACTGATTCATGACACAAAAGGCGTCAGCGCGGGCTTCACAAGTGCGTTGCCATGATACCCGGAATATCCACCAGTTGGTTTTGTCTAAGGCCTCAAGTGCCCCGATCTTGCTGATGGTCACCACATAAAATGACTTGTACTTCGAAGTTATTACCCGTAGCACCTTCCTCTAGAGGTACCCCACGTTCATCGCGTCCACATCGCCTACCGGTACTTCCATAAAAATGATTATCTGCGAGTACAACAGACGCCTCTGCATGCATACCGGTACGCACAGCACATCACATCGTCAAAATTCAAAACAATGATGGAAAAAGCAGTGACCAATGTGGGATTCGAACCCACGCCCTTTCAGACCAGTGCCTTAAACTGGCGCCTTAGACCGCTCGGCCAATTGATCACGATACTCGGAACAAAAGTATACCATTTTAAAGATCGATTACTGTATGAAATCTATGGAAGACATTTCACGATGGCGTCGTAGTAAAACTTGATGCTCTCGCCAGTACGATCATGCTCACACTTCGTCGAAGAGCAATGGCCAGTAATGTTACTGAACAGTGCAAATTTCTTAGTTGCATCTAGGAAGACGTACCCATGATCTAAAAATAATTCTGCCGACTTCCGCGCTACCGGTAGCTCAGATTGCATGATGGAGGCAAATAGTGTGCATGACCGGAGCCTGTCCAAACACCAGTGGCTCGTCAATGAACAAGCCATAGCAGCCATCGCGCCCTCTGAAACGGACAATGTAACTCACAAGCTTATGCATGTTTACCGACTGGACGGACGAATAGGACGACTCGTGCCTCGAATCCAACGAGCTGGAGCAAGTCTACGAAATATTTCGCTTCTACGACTCGTCGCTCCATGGCGACCGGTACAAACATGACTGCAAGCAATGTATTCGTCCATAGCACTATTCGTTCGTCCATGTGTAGGCTCCCGTCAATCAACTTGCCACGATTCATTGAAATCCTCAAAGACGGACACATCCTGTCCAGTTCGTTTACTGCGCAACAAGTGCGTACCTGAACCGCACGCGACTCGACGGCGTATGAACATGACTAGGCGGAGGAAGTGTTTGCCACGGCAGTACTTGGAAAACTACGCACATACCTGGACGCCGGTACATATGCACATCTATATGTCAGTCGCGAACAATCACGATGGTACATAGATGGGGCCCCAGCTCTCTCGTTCAAACTATTCTGTGGGGCACTTATGCAATGTGCCACGATTAAGGTAACGTCACTGTTTGGCCAACTACTCCACGATATATCATGTTATACACCGATGTACGTCGTAGTTTCCAAGCATGGTCCCGAGTTCGGCACTTCGAAAGCTCGCGCGACGGCACCTGTTTTCGCTGATGACGGAGCTTCTATCGGCCACACATGGCGGTTCGAACACCAACCACAGCCATCACCTTGTGGGTAGCAAAGGTGTGGCCGTGGCCATTGGTGACAACTACTGGCATCCGTTGGACGCTCAATTTGAAACGCGGTTGCAAAAGCGAAGGTATATGGCACAGTAGTGCAGGACAGGAGTGCTGATGGGGGGACGATGTACATACGTATAGAGTGTCTCAAGTTGCGTACGACAGCGTGGTGCGACATATTTTACCGACTCCTCCACTCCCCGCCGACACTAGCAGTACATGCCAATGGTCAACGTTGTGTTTATATGAAGAAATATGCGGTAGTGGTGGTGACCCCCGAGATGCGCGCGTGTTTTCAAGAAGACCATTTGGACATAATTGTCGATCGCTTTCACTTGTTCGATCATGCAGAGACAGGCACGATCGACCACGGCGAGGTGTTCGTGTACTTTCACGGCCTCGCCGACGCCCTCGCGCTCGGAAACGTCCAGCCCCTTGTGGCCCAATTGAAGTCGGTCGACAAAGTCACTTTGCCGTCCATTTTGCACGTCCTTCTTGGCCAGACCAAGCTCGATACAGCACCGTCGACTCCGAACCTCACGAACCCCATGGCCACAAGCGCCTCACCGTCCAGCGCCACGGACCGTGTCGACGACATCGAAACGAAAGAAACACTGCTCGCCTTGTCCCACGACTGCCCACCAGACAACTGGGAACTCGACGTAATGACCCCCTTCAACAACTTGTTTTTGTTGTTGTGTTGAGCGCTGTACCTGACTAGGACATTGTCCACGCTCCAGACTACAACAACCCTTCCACCAAGGCCAATACAGTCATCAAACGAGTGACAATCACGAACAACACCCAGACAAAGAAACCGAAAAAGCCGCGCGCGGCTGCCCTGCCTCGGGTGGTCATGGTGCATACCGGCATGAGCGAACACAGCGTCAAGAAATTCTGGGAAGCTACGGTTCGGGACCACGGCCTCGCCGAAACCTGGGGCTTGTTTCAAAAGTACGAAGGGGATATGTCACCATGGGATATGAATGGGTGTGGGGATGTAGAGGTGAGAAGCGAATGCTCACGGAAACCCACACGCGACTCAAGACGGAAGACAGCGCCAAGGCGCTGTTGCAATTGCGGGTGCGCAGCCGATTGGCCGAAGGGTTTGTGGTTATGGAAGGCAAAAAGTACGTGGCCGACGCCCTCGCCGCGGACAAGGCCAGCAAGGAAAAAAAGGCGGCGGCGGCGGCGTCCGCCAAGGAAAAGAGTCAAACGTGGACGCCCAAGATTTTGAGTCTGGACAAGGGCAGCACGGTCGTGCGATCGTCATCCTTATCCAACCTACCCCTGTACAGTCCCACGAACCACCAGCCGTTGTACCACAAGGCACCGTATCAACTCCCACCCGACTGGAAAGACCGCACCGCGACACACACAGTACGCTGGTCCTCATCATTGTTGTCTTGGTGGTTGATGCTTTATCAGGATATGTCGTGGGTGCGTGAATCGTTTTGCCGCGCTCCAGTTGGCCACCAGCATGTACGTCGATACAATATTGTCGTCTGGAGTCACATGGATGTCGTTAGGATATAGAAAGGCATCGCCCGGTCCACCCAACGATTCGAGCCAATTTGTACTTGGCCGACATGACTCGACTTGGCATGTTGCCTCGAATTCACGACAAATCGCCCAGTCGATGACAACGACTTCGAGTTCTTGAGAGTGAGTTCAATGTCATTTTTCAATATGCAAAACACGTTTTGGATCCCCATGCGGAAGTTTTAGGCTGTATGTGGATGTGACTCTCAAGTCGGAAGGTAATATCTGGCATAAATGACCCTTCATGGATTTTAGTATCATATTCCATCTGCCATGTTGCGAACGATAAACTCGTTGCAGTCGCTGCCATCGTAGTCCCATTGAGAAACCAAACACGACACATCGCAGAGGCCATTGCCTACCAGTAGCCTCGCGTGCTGGGGATGGCAAGCAGCTGGCGATCCATTTGACTGGATTTTGCTTGAGTTGGGCTACACAATACGGAGTGCGTCGCTAGGAGAGTCGCCGACACATCCCGAGGCATGGGCGCGATGGGGTTGTTTGTGACGTCGATCACGACCGCGCGTTTGTTCCACGACAGCAGGGTCAGCATGGTTCGGAACATGTCGGGTGTGAACATCGTGCAACATGTTGGTGTTGAGACGGAGCCCGTAGAGCAATTCTAAACTGGCTATCAACGATGGTAACGTCGTGAGGGGGAACTGCGAGATCCACAGCTGATCGTGGTCAAGTTTGGTGGCCACACGGCTTCTGGCATGGACCAGTCGGTGAGTTGGGTTTGCCAGAGTAGATATATTCGACGTTGCAAACCACAGGGCCACGTTGTGGGGGGCACACTGGACGGGTACAGAAATTGTACACCGCCAAGGCCATTACGACTAGCCCCAACACGACATGGTAGACTGAGAACCCCCGCCGAAACGCCTTGTTGTCGAACGTCCAAGGGGCACTGTCGACGATTGACCTCTATCATCAACGATTAAATAATGGTATAATTGCGTAGGTCGTACACTGCTATGCTATTTCACGCGATTGGGCATCCCTTGTTGTGACATGGGGTGGACGAACATTGGGAGAGCCATGGGGCCTTTGAGGTGGGGCGGGGGTATTTTTGTAAACGACACTTGAATGGCCTTTGACGAGCGTTGGCTCGATCTACTTTGTCGCTTGAAACTTCCCAACGCCAGGGCAGCGGTATGAGACGACAGGATAGACGTTGCCAGGCTGGAGGTGGTGAGCTCCCCGGTTTCAGTGATAGTCGACATGGTCGGCAGCTTCTTGAGCTTCAGGGCGTGACTGACGGGCGGGGCTGCACCAAAGCAGCGAATGAGGTTTCGCATCGTCTGCATCATGGCCACAATCGGACATAGCTTGATAAGGATGTCTTTGGAAGCCGACACAGCTACTTGACGCGCTGAATACACACTCACCACGAAATCTTCGTTGGAGAACAAAACACATAAGTACACCTTTGACGCAAAGTAGCTTGCGAGCGTGGGCAACACCATGTACACACAGTGGAATGACAATGGAGAGCACGACGAACGCCACCAAGACGTCGTCCGCATGAGGGGAGAAGGCAGAAGCAGGCAGGCCGGCACCGCGAACGCGGTGGCGCCAACGAGCACGGCAAATGCCAAAGCAAAGTCGGGTTCTAGCACTAATGTCGACATGGTGTAGGCTTGCCACGTTTGAGCGAGCATGGCCAAACCATGCAGACCCACGAGCGACGAGACGTGGGATGTCACAGCGGACGACGTGACTCGCCAACCACCGCGACTTCACAATTTGCAGCCACCATGAATGCAGTCTTGGCCTTGGCTTGTTGGACTCGATGACTTTGTGTTTGCAATGTCGACGGGGTCTGATCAGCATGGATGTACGCAGCACTAACAAGAACGCACCGATAGAAACGTACACCACACCAACAAAGTAGTTGGCCGACCACGTTTGCGCGAGGTGGATTTGACGTAACAATGCGATGGAGTGCATGATGCCAATCACAAAAAGCTGGGCACCGGTGAAAAACCGAGCAACGGCCACAAGGATGAGCACTGGACATGGAACTCTAGCTTTGAATGTGGCTATGGCAAATTCATTGCTTATTGTGTGGCAGAGGACTCAACTTTCTGCAATGATGTGTCTGAATCCTGATATCGGTTTGGGATGGCTCTCCACCGTGTACTTGTTTTCTTTGGTTGAACAATCACGAGAGGCATGACGGAGCTGATTTGACAGTGAAGGTGCCTTTGTCGGTTTCGTACACAATTCAAAACTGCTCAAGCAGTTACGTGATGCGGACAATTGATTTCAGACGTAGGCCGACTTTTCAATGTTGGTTGCATTGCGGAGATCACAATAATGTATTTCAATTCTCCAGGCTTGATAGCGTCGTCTCGAATGTGTCCGCCGCTCGGCCTTGCTTTTTCACAACATTCAAATGTCCAAACACTTGTTACACTATATTACGATGACAGCCTACCCTTACACTATTTAACGCTTGACATTTATCTGGCTTTCTTCCACGTCGATACAACTTCCAAGTGTGATGGCCACTTGCACTTTGTTCGAAAATTGCGTTGATGAAAGAGCACGACACCAAGTCTATCGGTGTCGACGACGACGGCAACGACTTCAGCGAAGCCAAATCGCCGAACTATCTGGAATCCCGAAGCAGCGCCAGTGGTGCGCTGCGATCTGGCCCTGTTCCAGTATACACGAGCCCTGAAGTCGTGGGCCTCCTCGCTCAGTACGTAGCCATTGGCTTGTGCTATGGAGCCCTTCCGAACCTCATGTATCCGCTCTTTGCTGCGTATTTCCACATGACCGGCAGCCAATTCAATTCCGTCAAGACGTTGATGGGCATCGGGTGGTCCGTCAAAGTGTTCATCGGGCTCTTGTCCGACTGCGTGCCGCTGTTTGGGTATCGCCGCAAGTCGTGGATGTTGTTTGGATGGAGTTTCTGCTTCCTCTTCATGGTCGTGTTGGCAACCCGGGACTTTGGCCGGCCATACTACACCGATCGAAGCATTGTCGGCATCGCCGCCGCCAAACTCACCGCGGCTCAGAACGCCACGTTGAACGCGGACGCTCCGGCTACCGGCGCCACCGTATCCATTCTGTGCGGGCTGGCCACACTGTCGTACATTTTCGCCGCCGTTCCGTCCGACGCGCTCGTGGTGGCGGTCGCCCAGCGCGAACCCATGGCCGTGCGTGGCCGGCTGCAGTCGATGGTGTACATGACACGAACGCTGGCGACGATGTTGTCGTCAGCGATGATCGGGTTTGGGCTCAACTCGCCCGATTTTTCGGGGTCGTTTGGGTGGGACATGGGCCAGCACACTATTTTCGTGCTCTTGGCCGTGGTCACTGGGGCCATGGTGCCCATCACGTGGTGGTGCGTTCTGGACGAACGGCACCCAATCATGGAGTCATTTCGCGCGTATGCGCACCAATTTTGGAACTTGGTGCAGAAACGAGCGACGTGGCAGATCATGCTGTTCTCGTTGCTGTTCAACTTGCTCAACTCGGGCGTCACGTCCACCGCGGCGCCGTATGTGATGCTTCGGTGGGCCAAAGTTGAGAACCTCAACTACCAACTCATGAACGTCGCGGGGAACCTCGTGTTCGCCGTGACCTTGGGGGCGATGGGGGGCTGGGGCACCATGTGGAACTGGCCGCTCGTGGTCGTCGTGACCACCGTCGCCGCCAACGCCATCGACGCGTTCGTCCAGTTCTTCACCATCTACGACATCCTTCGCAACCAGTGGTTTTACATTGGCGTGCCGTTGGCCGAGAACCTCCCGTATGCGATGCAGTTTATTGTGACGACGTTTGTGATTGTGGAGCTGGCCGAGGAAGGCAACGAAGGCATCACGTACGGCCTCTTCACGACCGTTACCAACCTCCCCATCGCCGTCGGCCCCGTGATTTCGAACGCGATCTTTTCGTCATTTGATGTGTCGGAGAACGCGATCGCCGCCGACTCGGTCGACACGCGGCACCAAGTGGCATGGACGTATATCATTTACTATTTCACCACCATCGCCGCGTGCTTGACGGTCGTGCTGCTGCCGAGCCAGAAGCCAGCGCTACATGCACTGCAGGCCACGGGCGGCAAGCATCCGTTTATTGGCGGCGCGGTCCTCGTCGTGTGCCTAGTCATGCTCGTGTACTCGGTGGTGGCATCCCTCTTGCCCATGTACGAAACCACGTCGTGCCTTGTGGTAGCAGGTGGAAAAGGATGCAACCAGCCTAGTGTGTGAGGCTGAATGATTAATATAGCGGTAGAACTTTGACGTCCTTTGATGGCTAGTTGCTTGAAACGACCACATCCCCAACCATTGCTCATTTTCAGTGAGTTAATAGCATTTCAGTTGATAGTTAAAAAGCTAGCTTAACCAAGCCCCGCTACAGCAACGATGGGATTCTGGGACGACGTGGTGTCCTCTACCCGTAGATAAATAGAGGAACGATGCACATTAGAGTGCAGCGGCGCGCATGGGAATCCGCCTCTTGGATGGACTTTTCAGAGCGGTTGACCCTTTTCGCACGGGGATGCCACTCGCCAGATGCGGTCGCTTGGGTGGTGGAACGTTGCTCGCGTTGTCAAAATGAGGTCGCTTCAAAATGGCGGCGGCTTTGGCAGGTGTCCGGAGCTTCGTTGGGAGGAGCAGTCGACTTGCTGGTAACTGCGGCATTCGCATAAAAGATGGGGATTGCCGGGTTGGGAAAATGGACGACTTGAACATCGACAACCGTGGCTTTTTCGCGGATGACGTTTGTTTCATCAGCTCCTCATCGTCTTCCTACAATGCTCGGATCAGAACAAACATTGCGTCGTGGCGGAAATGGTGCGTACGTCATTGGCGAGAAGCGACATCCCTGACTCAAACTCGTGCTTGTTGTCGAACTGTTCCTGGAATATCTCCAGCGTTCGCCGCCGATTCTTTTTCTTGTCGTGCTATACATACACGCACAATGTTATAGGGTGATGCCACGAATCGAGCATGTGGAGGTCGAACTACCTCGTGTTGAATCGATCGCTGGGCCTGCCTAAGGTTCTTCTGCCCTGGATGTGGATGAGACGAGTTGCTGCAACTATCATACCTTGTTTTGACATGGGAGACACGGGGAACATCATGAAGTCGTAAGCGTCACATATGACGAAGGGATTGCCAACCAAGTCTTCGTCCACCGCGGCATTGGAGGTCATATCCCAGTCGTCGCCGTCGTCCATTCTGTCGGGGTCCTTTGAATTTTTGAATTGTCAAGTGCGGTATATGGCACCACAACTTACTTCGAAATACGTCGAAGTGTGAAATGACAGTACTTCGAAGTATTTGGTCCAAATTTCCTGTCCCCATTGCCGCCGAATCAATCGACGCTATTGGCTACTCCAATTTGGAGTAGATTTTATTGGCTCTTCCAGAAAGGAAAGGATATTCAACCAATCAGAACCCCAGCTTGATTGAATATTGATTAGACAAACTACGCGAATTTTGGAAGTTTATAGCGAATTCACAATACTGTCGTCGTTTTTATTAAAAAAACTCGAAATCGAATCATGCATCGACATTATGGGCTATTCCAATTTCTAGTGGGTCTGATTGGCTCGACGAGTATATTCAGCCAATCAGAAGTTCCAGCGTGATTCAACATTGCGAAAAGTGAATTACATGTATGGAAGTATTAATACTTATATACTGAAGTAACGTTAGCGAATAATTCACAATACTAGGACTAGCTGCGTTTGTCATTTTTCTGGCGGCTACACGCGACCGTGCGCGAGCTGTTTAGCTGGCGTGCGATATCGAAGACAAAAGAGCACAAATGTAGCTGAGGCCACAACCACCACAGCCATCATGGTGGCTAGCCGACCTTGAAGGCTACAAGAAGTGCCGGTCGGTCTGGCAACCTAATACCATGAATGAAAACTCACCTCAAGAACCTAAAGGTGAGAAAACTCGCGCTCGTCGAGCCTGCATGGTAGACTCGAAAGACCGAGAAGGCGTGGACCGAGTTGGCTGGAAACTCTTGGCCAAGAATCACTAGATCATGGCCACCATTATCGGCCGTCGTACGTCAAAGGATACACGATACGTACCGTTCAGCATGGCAGTCGACGCTACACAAGAGCATTTTGAGTCAGCTCGTTGTTATTCGAGTTGTTCGTCAAGCATATGGGTGAGTGTACGTACAGCTGTCTGCCAAACTGAGAAGTATGGCCGTGGCCACCACAACCATCCACTGGCCATCGCATCTGGCAATAGGATGGACAAGCCAAGTGCAGTACGCTACGAACACCACTGCCAACCCAAACAACAGTGGCCCCATGGGTCCAAATCTACAGGGATGATTAAAAGATGATGATCAACCATGGAGGAGATACACAAGACGGACGCACCTGTCGGCGATCTTTCCAAATGCAAACGCCGACATGACGTTGACCACGCCATACACTGCCATGACGATGCCAATGGATGCACTCCCAAGCGATTCTCGAATCACGTGCGCCGTGAACTCACCAGTGACGAACCCTTGCTGCAGGCCATGAAAGATCATCACTGGCCCAAGCAACACCATGCGGCTACGTAATGCCCACGAGTAAGCACATACAGTAAGGAAGTACATGCACTACCGATCACAAGCGACGAGCCACAACGCGTTGAACGACTTGGATGGGGCGAAGGAGTAGTCTGGTTTCAATAACTTTGACGTTTCAACCTGAGTAGTAACATCGTTGGTAGTGTCTTGTGTCGCCGCCACCACCTTGGGCAGCAACGTCAACAAGAACGACCCGAGCAACGACAAGACCATGTACACGGCAAAGAGCGCAGTCGTGGGCCTGTCATAGCATCGTTAGTTGGTACTTTGTCCCAAGAATGGTGAGTGAGTGTATGTACGTACAGTACCATTGCAAGGCCCCGAGCACGGCAAATGAAATCAAGTTGCCTGCGATTTGGCTCGCGTTGTATCCAGCAAAGAAGATGCCGTTAAACAAGCCCAACGCGCTACCGGGGCTCACGAGGTGTTGTAGCTGGGCGTAATGACCACTCAATGCCGTCAAATAGCTCGCCTGTCAAGATGCATTCTCAAGAGGGGGGGTGGGGTGCAGCATGAAACTACCTGTGAGATCCAAATGACAGACGACGACACCCCAGACAGAACGGACAAGGGGACCATCAGGTACCAGTGAAGCCTCGTGTAGGTTGGGTATAGCGCCACGATCAAGTTGACAAGCCCGTACAAGGAACTACATACGTCTCCAGCGTGAAAACAAGATATGAGATGAATCGATTGGCGTCCGTACTAGGAAAGAGAGCTAGCAACCATGCTTGCCTTTTCACCGAATGCCACTACAATACGCATATTCCATGAGATAACATGACGACGAGCCAACGTACATGGACCATATGACGCCCCAAACGAGCACACCGTGAACGACAAGTACGCAAGCCCAAGCATAGTGCTGCCCAATGACGCTACAAAGTGTACTCCGTGTCACCAACAAGACTGGCACCAAGAAGCCCACGCACATGTGCATTCTTTAAACGGGGCCTCGCACACTTGATCGCACGATGTCTCGATCTTGTCTTGGCATACATCCTGCCACTGGCAAATCCCGTGGGAAGCACCGGCGCACCCGTCGCATTTCCCTGGGAGGATGGACGTTTCGAGGTTCTACGAAGCAGCACAGTGGTGTTGAGGGATGATCTGTCCAATGCGAGCGTACGTCGATCCCTGACGACGCGGTGAAGATCAAGAAGAATGCACACGACAGGATCAACGCGGATCGAATGCACGCGGAGGCGTCTGTCATGGAGCTACGCGTGGCGTCGAAATGAAAAGTGCGTCAATCGGCCGATGGACATGACTGCCATGGATAGTTTTCTGATTCCAAATGTGCGCTGGCACTCAACGTGTCGTTGATTGGAGGATTTCAAAACGTCCTAGTAGTACTAGGACATACTAGTACTATAAACTTCCTACTACCTGTGAAATTGAATATACTACTGAAGTACCTATGATATTATTATTATTATTACTGCTGTATACTGTATGACGGAATAAGTGGCCCCGTGGTACTAAAATTTCGTATTGATTGAAGTAATCTACTTTTCGAAGTAGTTTGTCCCAATACATATTTGAAGTGCTATTTCGAAGTACCACAGGGCCACTTAATTCGTCGTTTTCTGTATTCTGATGGGGAAGAATGTGTGTCATTCGAAAGGTCGCGATCTTTGTTGAATGCTGCAACGGATACGTCACATACCAGCACACGGCAGCTTGTGCATCTTCGCATACAACAGTGTCATCATGCGTGTGAAGTGACGAACGGCCCAGAGCTGGCGAATTGCACATCGATGGCTTACAAGCGCGTGTAGTTTGTAAGCATACGTACTGTATTAGGTAACTGGGGCACACTGTACTTTCGTGTTGAAGTTGCGAAATAAGCAGAAATTCACGTAGATTTCGAAATATTTTACGAAAAAACACGTAGTAACGGAGCTTACCACACAAAGATCGTGGGTGAGTTGGCAGCACATTTACTTCAAGCTTGCTGGCGAGATGCAAGGCGCCAAAGAGTGCATCCGAGGGGCGGTCCTCGTGTCCGTAGCCTTTCTTCTCATCTTTACGTCGTACAACGCCATTGAGGTGCTCCCATGGTGATGTGGATTCATCTCACGACATTATAGAACCTCGAAACGTCCATCATCCGCGGTGAGTGCCAGGGATGTCTTTCCGGTTCTCCCACCGGCATTTGCCAGTCGGGCCATGTGTGCCAAGACAAGGTCCAATTTGCATGCGACGAAGCGTGTGCAGCTCCGTTCCACGAATGCTCCTGTGCGTTTGCTCTTTCTACATTTGACAAACCGAGAAGGTCATGTGCATAACGTCTTAGCCTCGCTTGGGAGCACGATCCTTGGCGTGATTTACCTTACCTTTACTCTAAGTGCCTTCATGGGCCCCCTTATCCCCAGTACGTCCACATCCAGTCCATCCTTGATCGTCTACACTCCTGAGCTTATGTAGATCACTTTGGCATGAAGAAGAGCATGTTTGGCAGTGCTTTTGTCTAGTAAGCTGTTGTCCTTGAATCATCATAGAGCACACACTGATATATGTTCCTCGACAGTGCACTGTTTGCCTTTGCCAACTTGGTTGTGGTATTGAACCCGACAAACCAAACTCTCCATTGGATCGTCATGCTTCCAGCGGCCTTTTTGGAGGGCGTGGCGGCCTCTGTGCTGTGGATAGCCCAGGTTAGCATCCACATTTGTTCATTTCTCAAACGTCACTTTAACGTTATGATTAGGCCACGTATTTGACACAACTGAGCGTCCTGTACGCAGAATTCAAGCACGAGCCGGTCGTGAGCTCCATGGGGTTGTTCAACGGTGTGTTTTACAGCATTTTCCGCATGAGTGCCATCTCGGGCAACTTGATTTCGTCGCTCGTGTTGGGCTACTTCGTCTGGTATTACTGTACCTGCTCCTTACGAGGCATATATACTGCATCATGCCTTCATGTTGTGTCTGTAGGCCAGCCGAAAGTCTCTTTGTAATGTACACCGTGATCGGGTTGTCCGGCGCCGCGTTGATGCTCATGCTGCCCTCTACGACCAAAGTATCTGTCACGAACGACACCGAACTGGCTAAGTTGGTGCAGACGCCATCGGTGGCCCAAGGGAACGAGCCATCTCGCCGAGGGTTTACGTTTCAAGGGCTGTGGACGATGGCCACTGACAAGTATAACCACTGCGTTCATTCGATGACATGTGACAGAGTTTGATCATCGACGGACTACCGCGTAGTCGCATGGTGGTGCTGGCGCCCGTATTCGTCCTGAACGGGCTGCAGCAAGGCTTTGCCACGGGCGAGTTTACATCCAACTTCATTCGCGAATCGGTGGGTGGCGCATCCATTGGGTATGTCATGGCCTTGTATGGCGGGTGCAACGTCGTGTCGTCGTACGGGTTTGGAAAACTCGCAGACAAGTATGAATATGTACTAACTACATCGTCGCTTCTTCACGACACTCAACCATATGTAGATATGGACCCCTGGGGGGCCAATTGGTGGGCTTTGGCGCCATGTTGGTCGCGTTTTCGTTGTGCTATTGGATTCCAGTCGAGAAATGTGACCAGCAGTGGCCACTAGTCGTCGTGATTGCTGTATTGCTCAGTCTTGGCGATGCATGTATGTACTACGACTTTGCACATCAAGCCTACTGATATCTGGACTTATATATACGTTGTGTCACTTGTAGCTTCAACGACGCTTACAAGCGGTGCAACCTCGTCCTTCGACGCTATCTTGGCTTCTCCAATCCATGACGTGGAAAACTCACTTGTGTGTGGTTACTGTCTGTTGTAGTCGTGCTGGGCCAAGAATTCCCATCCGATGCCGTGTCTGTGTTTTCAATCTTCAAAGTCTATCAATCGGGGTCGGCCGCGGCGTCGTACTTTTTCTTCCCATACATGACGTAGGGCGACGATTGAAGATTGACGGTTATATGGTGGTGGTGGTGGTGCTGCTCATGTTGTTCACGACGACTCGTGGTACTGTAGGTTCTACGCCCGAGTAGCCATTTTGATTGGCATGACTGTGCTGGCCTCAGTGTCGTTTATGGTTTACTCCAACAAGTTTCGGCGAGTCTGTCGCAACGGAATGTAACTTGTAGACACCACGAAGCAAATGGCAGCGACGAGAACGAAATCCGCCTTGATCAACAAGTCTAAACTCTTGATATTTGCTCTACATAGTCGTGCACCCGGTGTGTGGTAGTTACACTCGATGGGAATGGTGTGTAGTACTAGTAGCAGGTGTAGTAATTATTAGCAACGCCACCACAGACCAAGTGGGTCGGATCTATCTTGTACCAAGGCCATTCGTTTGCACAGACACTGGATGGACTACATCATCATGCCGCATCCTTGTTTCGTATCACATCACTGACCAACATGAGATATCGTATTTATGACCGACAGAAATGTCATCAAAGTTACACATAAAACGAGGGAGGCATGGGATTGGTTAAAATTATAATAGGGTGCATTATGATTCGTTTAAAATATCTCACCTTCACGACACGTACAGCTGGACGTGGTGAGTATATCCATATCTACGACAATCACTCGATGGTGCCCATCGCATTTACCGTTTCGACGCATCATCATCATGCACGGACCAAAAGAATGCACCCGCGCGGCTGTGATATTGTCGCTAGCGTTCCTGCTCGTGTTTACATCGTTTGGCGGCATTGAGGTGTGTGGCGGTAGTTTATCGGCAACAACCCAAGAACTCACCCGATCATGGTTTCGTAGAGCTTGCAAACGTCCATCATTCCTGGAGAATGTCATGGCTGCACGGAAGGAACGTTGACGGGGATATGCCAAGCTGGAAACGTGTGCCAAGCCAAAGTCAAGTTTTCGTGTGACGATGCATGTGAAAGCCCATTCACTGAATGCCACTGTTCGTGATGATACTGCTCTCCACGACTTTTCACCTAATGTGCGTCCTTGTTAGCCACGTTGGGAAACACGATTTTGGGGGTCGTGTACCTTGCCTTTACAATCAGTGCGTTCTTTGGCCCTGTCGTTCCGAGTATGTGCTGCACATATGACTTTGCTCTGCGTCTATCTAGCCTGACCACATTGCCCTTGTAGATTACCTCGGCATGAAGTGGAGTTTGTTTGGCGCGTCCTTCTTCTAGTAATCGCCACTGTCCATGTTTCTGTTGTCACGAACGCATGGTATATATCTATAGTGCGCTGTTTGCGTTGGCAAATCTAGTCGTTGCGTGGACTCCAAACAGTCAAGACTTGCATGCTGGCATCATGATTTCTGCGGCCGTGCTCCTCGGGATTTCGGCGTCGGTGGTGTGGATCGCTCAAGTAAGCGGCCATTTGTTTGAGTTTGTTGTGTCCTCATGGGACGTTTCCAGGCGAGCTACATCACGGAGCTCAGTGTGATTTACGCGACGTTCAAAGCCGAGCCCGTGATTAGCTCGATGGGGTACTTCAATGGCATCTTCTTTGCCATTTTCAACATGAGCGGCATCTCTGGCAACTTGATCTCGTCGCTGGTGTTGGATGTGTTGATGTGGTACGTGTTGTACCGCCCATGCCAACTCGATCGACTCATCTGACCGAGACAGGCCCAAAACGAGTCTGTTTATCATTTACACGACGCTGGGTTTGTTGGGAACGTCCTTGTTCCTGCTCCTCCCGACGCTGTCGCGCTCGAAAACATCCGTCCCAGTCGACACTGAAAGCGTGAATTGCGCTGCACCGCAACCAGTGTTTTCGGTTTCCATGCTTTGGACACTCGCCAAGGACAGGTACAATGCATACATACTCCCCCCCTTGTTATTAGATTCCCCCCCCCCCGACGACGTAAAATTTAATGGTTGTGCTTCTGGTAGTCGCATGCTGATTTTGCTGCCCATGTTTTTCTTTGGGGGGGTCATGCGAGGGTTTGCCATGGGTGAATTCACGTCCAACATTGTGCGCCAGTCACTGGGCAGCGCGTCCATCGGCTACATCATGACGGTGTATGGCGCTGTGAACGTGATGGGGTCGTACGGGTTTGGAAAGCTCACCGACAGGTGCGTGCCCATATACTATTTTAGTACATACTAGACCAACCCGAATGCTATAATAGATTTGGCCCGCTCGTGGGTCTTTCCATCGGCTATGTGTCGCTGATTGTCGCGTACATCATGACCTATACGTTCGTCGTGGTAAAGTGCGATAGCCAGTGGTTTCTCGTCGTGTCGATTGCGGTGATGCTGGCTGTGGGCGACTCAAGTACGTTCTCGTCTACTATCTACAGAATCATCAACCCAATCAATACTCATGGTTGTATTTGTAGCCACCACGACATTGACCAACGGTATACCCCCCCCAACCACAAATGAACCCCAATGATTTTTCATGACTGACGATTCTGTAGTGGTTGTGGGCCAAGAGTTCTCGTCCAACGCTGTGAATGCGTTTTCGCTTGTCAAGGCCTACCAATCTGCCGCCACAGCGGCCTCGTTTTTCTTCTTCAAGTACATAAGGTACAGAAAGTATTGGAAACCGTTTGAGCTTGTCACACTAATATTTGGTGGCGATGCAGTTTCAACGCACGAGTGGCGGTATTGATGGGCATGGTGGGCACTGCTGCCTTGACGTTTGTTGTGTACTACCGCAAATTTCGTCGAGTGTCGAACGAGGTATACGTTTCGTTGGACAGTACGACGACGTAAGGACACCCCAAGACAACAATGCTGCCTCGTATATCGATAATATATTGTCGATTTTCTTCAAATTTCCCAATTTTGCATGGTTCGTTCACAATCGAGCACAAATAGAACCGAGACATTTGATTGGTCAATATCCACTTCGCCCTTTCAGTAGAAACTCGAAAATATATTGTAGCCAATCAGCGACAAGTAAATTCGGAATGACCAATGGGAGAGATTGGTGCTCGATTCGCTCGATTGAACAGGGTCCGGAAATTCATACCGAATCTCCAATACGTCGGAGTCATGTTATTATTGGGCGTTCTACTCGAATGCATGCATGCATGCCTATGCTCGATTGGTTCAATCGATCGGTTTCAGAACCGATCGAAACCTCTGTAATAACGTAACGTGTAGATATAGAAAGGTTCTGACGTGCCGATGCCGTTCAAGGCAGTTAGGTACGCCACAGCGCACTCCCATCGAGAGCAATCGCGAACGCACTTGCACCGCGAGTGCAAATCTACATCGATTGCAGCTGTTCGTTCATATATTGAATGTTGTATGTAAACAGAGGTCCTGTGTGGTGGTTTGTATCACACTAGTTAAGGTCACACACTAATTCGACGTTGCTGGTGGTTTCCTACAATCTGATTGGCTCAATCCTTCTGTACATTTAACACTGTAAACACAGCAACAACTCCCGTCTAATGGGATTGGCTGTGACCCAGGCCATGGGGACTTTCGGAAATACTTTTTGATTGGCTGAATTACTTCTAAGATTATTTTGGCGAATCAAAAAGAGGAGTCGATTGATTTCCACTTAACATCAATGTACATGTAGGCCTCCGTCTGAAGCAGAAAATTTCACCTGAATTCATCGTCTTCGTGATATTCAAGGATGTCGGCATACTATCAGTTCGTACGTTGGTTGTCAAGGCATTGGTGCGAGGTCAATAGAATGTGACAGCCGAGAAATGAAGCACGTAGCGCAAGCGCGCAATCAGCGTGTCAGAGGTTGTGAGGTTAGGTTTGATCACAGTCGGACAAACCCGAAGGGATATCATAGAATGCAAACCTTGGCGTACAGTAAGACACTTCGAAGTACAGTACAATATTTATTAACTAGTACACGTCTCAAGCTAGCTTAACAGTGCACCCAGTTGGCGTGCATTTCCACTGCTGGAGGCAGATGCTTCAGTATCATCACTAGGCGGTTCAGTACATTCCAATCACGATATACTCTCGAACAGGCCATGCATGACGCTTTGTCATCAAAATTGTCGTCCCGATCAACGTGCCAACGTGTCCATAGGACCTTCAACCCGAGATTATTCACTGTTCAAAATGCACCAGTTTTGAGTTGGATCTGTCACAGCTTTTTCTTGAAATACGCCAGGGCTTACAACATTCGAATTGAACCTTTGGTTGAAGTTGCCATGGGTGCGTGCGTCCCCACGTTGATTGGAACGACAATCTTGAAGACAAAGCGTCATGCATGACGAAATCAACGTATCGTAAATGGAAATGCACTGGACCGCCTGGTGAGGTACACTAGAGTATTTGAGCGGTGCCCCGAGAGAATTCACTCCTACATGGTAAAGCTTGACACGTGCATATATCCAGGGCCTCAGGTTCGGTTGCTGTACCGAGGTTGGATTCTTGTCAGACTGTGATCAAACCTAACCTCACAACCAAAGCAGCTTTAGCTTGCGGTGTAATCCCTTTGACCCGAGGCTTCAAGTTCAAAGTTAAAACACCAATGCGAGAGAAAGGATTGCGAAACTATGGGTTTTGAAATGGATTTCACATGTTATCGACCACCCACCAAGGCATATTTGCATTCATCGTACTAACCTTAGTATGACGCTGTGGTTGCATCCCTTCATTTTCCATTTCACTAACAACTTGTGTCATGCAAAGCCCAAACGAGTGCACTCGTGCGGCCGTGACACTGTCCGTAGCCTTCCTGCTCATGTTTACATCGTACAACGGCATTGAGGTCCGTCGGTAGTCTATGTAGCGACACAATCCCAGAACTCACCCCATCATGTTCCATAGAGCTTGCAAACGTCCATTATTCCTGGAGAATGCCATGGCTGTACGGAAGGAACCTTGACGGGGATATGCCAAGCTGGAAACGTGTGCCAAGCCAAAGTCAAGTTTGCGTGTGACGATGCATGTGAAAGCCCATTCACCGAATGCCACTGTTCGTGACACCTTTCCCACCACTTTTCGCCTAAACTTGTGTCGGTAGCCACGTTGGGAAACACGATTTTGGGTGTCGTGTACCTAGCATTCACGCTCAGTGCGTTCTTTGGTCCCGTCGTTCCGAGTATGTGCTGCATCTGTGACTTGCTCTACGTCTAGCCTAACCCCATTGCTCCTGTAGATTACCTTGGCATGAAGCGTAGTTTGTTTGGGGCATCGTTCACGTTGTACGTGATTCGACAGAGCTTTCGTAATCTTGTCTTCTCTTGACCAGAACTTCTTGTAGTGCACTGTTTGCGTTGGCGAACCTAGTCGTCGCATGGACCCCAAACAGCCAAGGCTCACACCCTGGCATCATGTTGACCGCGGGAGTCTTGCTCGGGCTTTCTGCTTCAGTGCTATGGATTGCTCAAGTAAGCGACGAGCTACCCCTTTGAGATTGCTGATGCGCCATTGTAGGCCAGCTACCTCACGGAGCTCAGTGTCATTTACGCGACGTTCAAAGCCGAGCCGGTGATTAGCTCGATGGGGTACTTCAATGGCATTTTCTTTGCCATTCACAACGCGAGCGGGATCACTGGCAACTTGATCTCGTCGCTTGTGTTGGACTTGTTTCAATGGTTAGTCCTTCTAAACAAGACCAGTCGCGCTTACACTTTTTGCTGTTTTATGTGATAGGCACAAAACAAGTCTCTTTCTTATTTACACTGCGCTGGGGCTGCTTGGAACGGCCATGTTCTTGCGGCTCCCTGAGCTTTCGCGACAGCAAGTGTCGACATTAGCCGAAAGGGGACAACCGAATGGCCCAGTACCAGTGTTCTCCGTTGCTATGCTATGGACAATCTCCAAGGACAGGTACACGTTCCTTTCCTAAACGGGCGTATGTGATCAATGATTGTGCTACCTAGTCGAGTGCTGATTTTGCTTCCCATGTTTCTCTTTGGGGGGGTCATGCGGGGGTTTACAATGGGTGAGTTCACGTCCAACTTTATCCGCGAGTCGCTGGGCAGTGCATCCATCGGCTACATCATGACGGTGTTTGGCACTGTGAACGTGCTGGGGTCGTATGGGTTTGGAAAGCTCACCGACAGGTGCGTGACCATACTATTTGTATAAATCAAAATTACTATATCGATGACATCAGGTTTGGCCCCCACCTGGGCATTTCCATCGGATATGCGTCGCTGATGGTCGCGTATTTCATGTGTTTCACCTTCGAAGTTGCCAAATGCGACAACCAATGGTTCCTTGTGCTGTCGATTGCTGTGTTGCTGGGCGTGGGTGACTCGAGTACGCTCTTGTTTTTGACCGCTCAGACCCATCCTGACACTCGAGTTGTGTGTTTCTACCGTAGCAGCAACCACATTAACAAACGGTGTACCTTCCCACAGCCCTACTACTTTGGCTGACAATTCTGTAGTGGTTGTGGGCCAAGAGTTTTCGTCCGATGCCGTCAATGCGTTTTCGCTTGTCAAGGCCTATCAATCTGGCGCCACTGCTGCCTCGTTTTTCTTCTTCAAGTACATGAGGTAGGATTTCTTCTGTCAATTGGAACCTTTTGAACTTCTCACTCTAATAACTGGTGGTGATTCAGTTTCAACGCACGAGTGGCGCTGTTGATGGGCATGGTGGTCACTGCTGCTTTCACGTTTGTAGTTTACTACCGCAAATTTCGCCGAGTTTCGAGCGAGGTGTATCTCGCCTTTGACAATCAGACGTAAGGGCACGTCAAGGCAAATCAACAAGACTGATGGTACTGCGTTGGATGTGCCTCACCGCGACACAAGCTTTACAAACACATTATCATTCAAACGACGTAGAGAATTCTAGCCTAACGCGAAATGCGAACACTCATCCATAGTATGCCGTTGAATTCAGCGCTTGGCAGTTTTGTTTGGTCCGACGAATGTGTGCACGTTGTTTCGGTGCCCTCACCTACAAATATTGTACTACAGTTAACTGGACTAGGACTTTGTCATTTTGCTTTGATCAAGTTTTCGCAAACGGTACATGTTGCCGCGATCGGGTCTTCATGATGTGTTGGTAGGATTCTAACGTTACGAGTGAAGTTTACGTTAATTCTCGAATTGACAGTGACTTTTTTGACTACCATCTGTTACAAAATTCGACAAAACCTTAAATTTGGGCATATCACAGTCGAATTTTTAATATTTTTCGATTTTAAGCATGTGAAAAACAGCCTCGTCACCAAAACCTAAATGGACGAGCAAGAGTGCACTCGCGCCGCCGTGCTTCTGTCCGTGTCGTTCCTGTTAATCTTCACATCATACAATGGCATCGAAGTACGAGAAAGTGCCATCTTTCATCGTGTATCATATGTTCTTGTGTAGAATCTGGAGACGTCCATCATCCGAGGCGAATGCATCGGATGCGTCCATGGAAGTCCGACCGGCATATGCCAGTCGGGTGATGTTTGCCAAGACAAAGTCAAGTATTCTTGCGACGACGCTTGCGAGCTTCCATTTAAAGAATGCACATGTACAGCAATGTTCTGGTGGTTACGAGGTCATTCTCCACTGACGACATGACGTAGCATCCCTTGGCAGTACCATTCTCGGCGTGATCTACTTGACCTTCATGTTGAGTGCTTTTTTGGGCCCGCTTCTTCCAAGTTCGTTGGCATGACATCCGAAATCTCTTATGACAGCTACCGGTAGACTATTTCGGCCCGAAAAAGAGTATGGTCGGTGGCTCCATTGCTTAGTACGGTTCTACGACATTGCGCTTCCGTTTGGCTTCTCAATCTCGACCAATGTATAGCGGATTGTTTGCCTTTGCAAATTTGGCGGTCGCGTCTTCTCCGTCCAATGTTTCGTTGCACTGGTGGGTCATGCTCCCCGTTGCGCTGCTACTGGGGGCGTCAGCGTCAGTGATGTGGATTGCGCAGGTAACAGCCTGTTGTGCTCTACAATTCACGCCGCCACAATTTCTCTAGTCCAGCTACTTGACGCAGGTGAGCGTCGTTTACGCGACGATCAAGCACGAACCTGCTGTGAGTTCCATGGGCAAGTTCAACGGCCTCTTCTTTGCCATTTACAAATCCAGTCGCGTGACGGGCAACCTCATTTCGTCCGTCGTGTTGGACTACCTTGCTTGGTATGCCTACACGATACAACTTTACCACATCAACCATGTCGTAAAATGGCATTCTCAGGGTTGGGCTGTAGGTCCACTACCACGTTGTTTATGGTGTTCACGTGCATTGGGCTCTGTGGCACGGCGTTGCTGTGCTTCTTGCCCACCGTGGGAGCTGCGCCATCTCGTGACATGCCTCTTCATCCACCAACCCGAGTCTCGTTCAAAGCCCTCAAAGCCATGGCCCTGGACAAGTCCGTCGCCGTTTTTCTACTAGTCAACGCATTGTAGCGTTGATGTGGACATGTATGCACGCCCTTGTGCGTAGGAGGATGCTCGCCCTCGCGCCCGTGTTTATCTTGAACGGGCTGCAACAAGGCTACGCCACCTCCGAGTTCACGTCCAATTTTATCCGGCCGTCCCTCGGCAGTTCCTCCATCGGATACGTCATGGCAGTGTTTGGGGTCGTCAACGTTGTGGGCTCGTACACGTTTGGAAAAGTCGCAGACAGGTACACTGTACACATTCACTTGCAGTCGATGCCTCTTCGTCGAGCCCCCCGCCCCCCGCCCCAAATATCCATTGCCCTTCGTCTAAGACCCCCCCCTCGCTATCTAAATCCCCAGAAAACGCAGCTGAAGCTGTCCTTATGACCCGATGAAAACGTAGAGTTGACCCTGTGACGGGGCATGCGGTGGGATACAGTGCGTTGGTTGTTGCCTACGTGCTTAGCATCGTCACGACCGTGTCCAAATGCGACGACCAGTGGGCGTTGGTTGTGGGCATTGCCGTGTTGCTCAGTGTGGGCGATGCAAGTACGTGTGGATTTGGTTACTCATGAGATAGTGTATGTGATTTCATGGGCGGTGGTTTGTTTTGCATGTAGGCTCGACTACCCTGGCCAAAGGTCGCGTAGCACTACTTACGTCTCGTCCACGTTTGAATGATTGATTTCTGTAGTTGTGCTGGGCCAAGAGTTCCCATCGGACGCAGTGAATGCGTTCTCCATATTCACCATTTACCAGTCGGGAACTGTGAGCGCTTCGTTTTTCCTGCTCAAGTACTTGAGGTAAGGGTCTATCTACGTACTACTAGTATACGACAACATTAGAGGATGATGTATGTACTTGGCCTAGTTTCCACACACGCGTCGTCGTGCTCATCGGCTCGACGGTGGTGGCGACCATTGCGTATTTCGTTTACACGGTGCGGTTCCGCCGTGTTGCTAGGGCAGGGGCCCTTCACGACGTGCTGGAAAGTTAACTATGGTAGCATGACAAGCAGGGCGGCGTGAACTGCCGTATCTTGGATCACCGAGGGGTCGTAAGTTAGTACTAGTACTAGTAGTTACTTTCGGGGAGGATTACAATGTACTGTAATCCTACTAGTATCGGTCATTAACATGCCAAGGTGCGCTGAGCACACCCTAGCCATGCTACAGCGACTGTTTGCGATTGGTGTGTCAGATTTTGATTTGGGTAAAATACTTCCAATGAATTTACACTTGCAAAATGTAGGAGACGAGTCATTCTATCCAAGTTTGCGCAATTAAAATTGGATACCATCATCTTTGACCAGCTAGCTACTTTGTTTGGAGCACATAACGTTGCTGGTCGCGAGCGATGAAAGATGCCAAGGAATGCCTTCAGACGTCGCTGCTCTTGTCGATCTCGTTCCTGCTCTTGTTTACGTCGTATATGGCGATAGAGGTACGTACTAGTACCCTACAATCAAGGCAAGACTCGTGATCCATGGGGCGACTACCGGTAGGTGTTGGAGACTTCCATCATTCCAGGCAAATGCCATGGATGCATGGAAGGAACGATGGATGGCATCTGCCAAGCCGGCCCTGTGTGCCAAGACAAATTGCAGTTTTCGTGCGACCAAACGTGTGTGGCGCCATTTGAAGAGTGCGAGTGTATGTACAGCTGCCCCTTGGGTTCTCCCAAACCTCTCTAACGTTCGTACGTTAGCCTCGCTTGGAAGCACCATTTTGGGTGTTACGTACCTCTGTCTCATGCTCAGTGCGTTCATGACACCACTGATCACAAGTACGTTGCATGTCAATCACGTAACTATGTCAACCTTGACGCTGTGTCCATTAGACTACTTTGGGGAAAAGAACAGCATGGTTGGCGGGTCGTTCTCCTTGTAAATGAGCTCGTTATACATAGTTGCTCCATATAAATGGGGTAACTTCCTGATGGTTACTCATCGATGCGTGGTAGCATCTTGTTTGCGTTTGCGAACTTGATTGTGGCGCTGTATCCGACCAAGACGTCGCTGCATTGGTGGGTGATGATCCCCGCGGCGTTGCTACTAGGAGTGTTCGCGTCCGTGCTTTGGATTGCGCAGGTTCGTCGGCACTTCTTTCCACACAAAACAACTTGGGGCAATAAATCCAACGTTAGGCGAGCTACTTGACACGGCTGAGTGTCATCTACGCACAGTACATGAACGTCCCTGCTGTGAGCTCCATGGGAACGTTCAACGGGTCGTTCTACGCATTTTACAAGATGAGTCGCATCACGGGCAACTTGCTGTCGTCGTTCGTGTTAGGGTTTCTGGGATGGTACATCCTCAACCCTTCCCAAAGCGATGGTTGGTGTCTTACAAAGACTCCTTCATGGACATAGGTCCACCGCCAGTCTCTTTGCCGTGTACACTGGGATCTCAGTGGCGGGGAGTGTACTCATGGCGACCTTGCCTGACCTTGTGCACCCCGCCGGCGACGAAAGCACGGCCCTGCTCAAAGCAGCAGAACTTCCCATCGAGTCGTCGTCCGCAGCCACGACGTTGCGGGCACTGTGGGACATTGCTAAAGACAGGTCGGCTACGCGTGAAGTGTGAACTATGACGAGGGACGTACATATGTATGTATATTTCTAGGCGCATGGTAGTCCTGATCCCCGTGTGGCTCTTGAGCGGGCTCCAGCTCGGGTTTGTGTCGGGGGAGTTCACAGTCCACTTCATCCGGCAGTCGCTCGGTAGTGCGTCCATCGGATACGTCATGGCCACCTTCGGGGTCGTCAACGTCGTGTGCTCGTTTTGGTTTGGCAAGTTGGCCGACAAGTACGTCATCGGTCATGTTATACTGACTGCTCGAAGTATTATAACATATATATATGTTATAACACTTATAGAATTGGTCTCTTTTTTGCCCAAATGGTGGGCTTTGGGTCCCTCTTTGTCGCATATGCATTGTGCATGTGGAGCGACGTGGTGAAATGCGACGGCCAGTGGACCCTTGTGCTCGGCATTGCCGTGTTACTCAGTGTCGGTGGCGCCTGTAAGTAAAGTTCGTCGTGGGTCCATATATCTTTCTAACCATTTTGCTGGCACAGCGTGCACCACCCTTGCCAACGGTACGAACGACCTTGATGACGTGGCAGCCCCCTGATGCGTTTGAGGCACCTAGTGATTCTCGGCCAAGAGTTTCCGTCCAATGCTGTCAACGCGTTCTCTCTGTTCCGAGTGTACAATTCTGGGGCCACAAGCGCCAGCTTTTTCTTCTTTAAGTACTTGAGGTATGCAAGATGACACGTACATATGATGGAGCTCATGTGTGCAGTCTCGAAGGCCGACTGTGGGTGCTCATGCTCAACGTTGTCTTGGCCACTGCGTCGTTCGCGGTGTACTCGATCCGCCACCGTCAAATTGCGGGCGTTCGTTAATACGGTCGGCTAATAGGAACAAGATGGATGTGACTGCCCATCATCCGAAATTGCTACTATAGTATACAAGTGCAGGCTCATTTTTGAAGACGATATCTCCATCGCAACTAGAACCCACTTTGGTTCGAAGGAAGGTCGGACCTGGCATGCATCGCTAGCTGAACGGTAGTTTGAAGTAGATGGTTTGGAATCCTCAAGTTCTTGTCATAATAGTTAAGTCCGCTAGCTGCCAATGCAGCTAGTACGCGGCCGAGGCCATTAAGTGCCCGCTGAGTGATTTTAAGTTTACAGCGTAATATCAATATCAATATGTCATAACGTTACATGAAAGTGGTAACGTTATGATGGTAAATGAACTACAGTCACGCTACACGTACTGCGCAGTACAAATACTATGTAGTACAGTATGTCGCAATGAAATAGTCTACCTACCGGTAGAACCACTGACAAGGGACGTGGCCCCGTCCCTTATCAATACATATATCGGTACAGTATGTGTGACGTGGCCAAACGACGCAACCCGAGGTACTGCTGCTAACATCCTCATTGAAGTACCTCATCGACGTATTGTGCACATCAACACACAACCCGCCGTGCTTCGACTCGTGTCCAGGCATCCTCCAGATATTACGTGTGTGTCTGCACACTGGCCGAGTCGACTTTGAACCACAGTTTGAACTTTGACTGGCCTGTTGAAGATCAAAATCGGACCAATCAGCAGTCGCCATTTGATTTGATCACTTCCGTGGAAGTTGCCATAGTCAATTGGCCCCATGCTCGACGCGCCGACGTGCCTCCGGTCGGGGTTTATTCTCTCCCTGAGCTTTCTTCTCATCTTCACGGCGTACAGCGCCACAGAGGTATCTCACTTTGTCTACATCGTGTATACCGTGTGAACGAGCGTTGGAAGGTCCTCGAGACGTCGATCATTCCGAGCCATTGTTCCGGCTGCGACGAAGGACCAACCACCGGCACGTGCCAGTACGGTTCCATGTGCCAGGAGAAGCAGCAGTTTGCTTGCGACGTTGCGTGCACGGCACCGTTCCGCGAATGCAAATGTGACGCATCATGCCTCAGTGAATGGCTAGGTTGACATGTGTGGCCTTTGTAGCACCGCTGGGCGGAGTCGTCATGGGCACCATGTACTTGACGTTTATGACCAGCGCCATGGCAGGTCCATTTCTTCCACGTAAGACGACATGGCATGCTGTCCATACATGTATGTCTCTCATGTTTTCAAATGGCAGATTATTTTGGCGAAAAGAAGAGCATGGTGGGCAGCTCGACCATGTAGTACGTACAGACTCGTTTGAAGCCAGCATTCGAGTATCAGTTGGTTAACAAGCCTCTAGCGCCGTATTTGCGTTGGCCAATTTGGTCGTGGCGTTGAATCCAACCAACGTGGTGTTGCAATGGGGTATCATGCTTCCCACAGCCGTGCTCGGGGGTGTCGCCGCCTCCTTCCTCTGGATCTCCCAGGTACGTATCGTCACCGTGACGATAGATTGTCACCATGCGTTTGTGTCTAGGCCAGCTACTTGACTCGCTTGAGCGTGCTGTATTCGCAATTCAAACGAGTCCCCGCCATCGCGTCCGTCGGTCTCTTCAACGGCATCTTTCTCTCGTTTTTTAAATTGGCCACCCTCGCTGGAAACACCATTTCGGCACTTGTCCTCAATGCTCTGCAATGGTACTACTGACTTGCCTTGGTACATGCAATTACTCATGGCCTGATCTTATTACGTTTGCTAGGTCGACAGTCAGTTTGTTCTGGATCTACACGGCCACGTCGGTCGCGGGCACGGCGCTGCTGTGCCTCATCCCAGACCTGCCTCTCCAAGCCGCCGCCCCCCTTCCCACGGAATACACCAAGCTCCTCGAGCCCGACTCTGCCGTCGCCACCATGCGATCCCTCGCCGCGTTAGCCATGGACAGGTGCATCTACCCTTTCATTCGTCCATCTTGCCTTGTTCAAAGTCCCAGTATATCCACAGACGCATGCTCGCGTTGACTCCCATAATGCTTCTCAATGGCCTCCAGCAAGGCTTCCTCTCTGGCGAGTTCACGTCGAATGTCGTGCGCGAATCGCTGGGTAGCGCCGCCATCGGCACTGTGTTTGCCGTCGTCGGGCTCGTCTCTGTCTCGTCGTCGTTTGTGTTTGGCAAGTTGGCGGACAAGTACAACTTGCTCATGGAAATCACTTGGGTTGATGATTTCACGACAGATTTGGCCCCCTGCCCGGGCAACTCGTGAGTTTTGCGGCGCTCCTGGCGGCGTACATCGTGTGCTACGTAGCCACCGTGACCAAGTGCGACGACCAGTGGTCCCTCGTCCTGACGGTTGGCGTCATCCTCAGCATCGGCGACGCTTGTATGTGACACTGTTTTCTTCCGCCCACGACGACTAACTTGATTGTTCTCGTTTGTAGCGTCGTTGGCCCTTGTTAACGGTATGTGTTCTATCGCATGATGTCGTGCATGCCGACTTATATATACTGCATAATTAACCATATTTCAACAAATATATATATATTTGTTGAAATATGGTACTTCGAAGGATATATGTTACCCAAAGTATGATTATATATTGCATAGTGGTTCTGGGCCAAGAATTCCCCCACGACACGGTGAACGCGTTTTCCCTTTTCCGGGTGTACCATGCTGGCGCGACGAGCTTTAGCTTTTTCTACTTTCCTACGCTCACGTACGTACCTAAGCCACGCCTTCCCAATCACGATATACAGTATATATATATATACTGAGGCTTGCGGTAGATTCCACGGTCGACTGGTGCTCCTACTTGCGGCCATCGTTGTCTCCGCCGTGTCGTATATGCTGTACTACTTGCGCTTCCGCCAAGCCAGGCACTAGACTAACTATTGGGGGGGGTACCGAGAGAATGCCACGTAGGTTGGGTCTTCCAGGGGATGTACTGGAACTCGCGTAAACCCGTCAAACGATGCCTTGTCTAGTCGCATTTCCGACAGCCCTTGATGCTGGATTTGCACGTAAAACGGCAAATATCTATCAAAATAATACAATGAACCTCCTTAGAGCTAGATACTTGGTCGCATGCAAGCATATTATGTACATGAGTTGAAGGGACGGGGAGTTTTGAAATGCAAATTCAGACACCACGGGCATCGGATTCAAGTCGAGCTTGCTACAGGTGTCGCAGTAGTAATGTCAGAGAATAATGTCGAGGAAGGGTCTTGCGATGTACATTTCGCGCAGCTGGAAGAGCGGCACGGGCCCGTCGTTCCATTCGCCTCGGTCGTTCTTGGTGTATCCACGAAACATATCGGCGGTCACGAGCTGAAAGTTGTTGCCGTTTAAGAACCTAGAGGACACGCTGTGAACTCATGCACGTGTGAACGTGAAGGAACGTACAAGTGAGTGGTTCGATAAGGAATGTATTGCGGCACAGACTACGACAAGATCGACTGCTGTCACGGGAGGAGGACGACGACGGCCATGATGTTGTCGTACCGACAGATTGCGAAACTCACAGTGCACGGTCACGCGAGTGGAGCCAAAGCAAAAACATTCAGACGGACATGCCAATGCGTACCGCGAGCATTGAAGGACGTATGCCAGAGTCGTCAAGAGCCAAACAGCATGTGCATGAAGCATGATGAGGTCGTGGCTTTTGCGAACCGGCACAAGATGTGGTCTAATTTAAACCAATCAGTGATCGATCCAACTTGTGTGTCGTAAGGTTGTTTTCATTTTGGAAAAAATACATAAAAATTTTGGGTTTTTATTACTAGTAAATTCGAATCGGAGTAACAATTTCGACATGGCTGACAACACGTCACCTGACGTCACGTTCTGGGAGACCATTGACCACTTGGGCGGCATCTGGGCCATCATCGGCGTGGTCGTGGCGTTGACCGTGTTCTACGTGGCATTGATTGAGTTCATGATCCCCCGCGGGCGGATATCGCAGGCCGAGCGAGCCAAGTCCCAACGAACCAAGTACGTGATTAACAATGTCTGACGTACTCATGGTGAATCTTTGTAGACTCATGCGGGCAGCACGAGAAAACGTCAAGTCCCAGCGACTGGTCGACTAGTCTTGTGTCTGTTTAAATAGAGGCTTGTACAGCACAAAACTATCATGTCCTCGCTCTGCTCATCTCAGTGCCGACCCACGACTACCCCACGGGACAACTTTTTGCTGTCCTTTGTGTTTGATCGAGCCATAGATCCCCGAACCAGAGCTTGAATCTTCGTCGCTGCTTCCAGAGCTGCGTCCACTTCGTCAGGCAACTTGACCTTGGCCGCGGTGGACGGGCACCGCTTGACCAACTTTTCAACGGGAGCATACATGTGGAACTCTGTTTCTTCCGTGCGAGGCAAGATGGGCGCAGTCTTGTTCGGTCGGGTGGAGGTCAACGTCTTAGGTCGCCCTTGGCCCACCGTTCCCTGCACCAGCACCTCAGCTTTGGGTAGCAACGACGCCATGCTTTGCCTATCATCAACACATACATAATGCTCCGCGTTCCAAGCAGATGGACATGTACCGCTGAGCCCGGTGTCGGAATTCTGCTGCATGCACGTCCTCCAACATCGCTGCCGCCACGGCGGTGTCCTCTACCGAATACACATTCTTCCTCATCTCTCCGAGGAGGTTTGTTTTAGATGACGCACGTGGAAGTTTGGGAGGTCCCATGACCCTCCCGCTCCTCCGTCGCTGCCGGGTTTGCGATCCCCTTGTAAACGCCTGCAACTTTGTCGCAGCCACGTCTTGGTGTAGATGCGTCGTGTTGATGTTCAGCGGCGGTCTCAGCGACGGGCGCGGCTCGATCGTCATCACCCCCGAGTCAACCTACGTCCGAACATCCGAACACCACAATGTGAACCGCCCTGTTGGAGGAAAACAACCAACGGAGTGATCCTATGTAGTACCAGCACAAGGCTGTGTTGATGGATCAGCGACTTTCGGTCGTCCAGATGCCCTCCCGCGATTCGCTACATGTGTCGTCATTTGCTGCTCATGTTCGTTGAAACCTTTGAAACATATTATGGACCTGCAACTTGACCATCCATCGACCCTGGCGAAGTCGGTCGACGGACTTGCGACCTTTGCGCCCCCTCACAAGCCGTTGGATGGTCGTGGCCGCGGTGGCGCCTGAATAGTCGCGTCGAGGTTCCTCGCCTTGGGCGGCAAATCGCTCTAGATGCAGCAGAGCCACCCGCTCTCGGCCCAGGACACCGCTAACTCGACTTGTTAGTGGTCGTTGGTTGTTGTGGACAAGCATACCGCACGAGCGACTGGATCTTAATCGCCGACACCTCACGCAACTGCGTAAGCATAGCAGCCACTCGTTTGCGAACGCTATAGCCCCGATATGCCGCCTGCATGTGGTCATGTCTTTTGATGTTCTGGAGCAGATATACTCACCTGGACGACGATGACTGACCACAGCACCAATTCGTCAATGTGTCGAGATGTGAGGTGAATAAACGCAACACGAGCCAGGAAGCGCTTGACGCAGGCCTACACGAGAATAGCAATGATGAAATAACGTTCGATGATTTAGTTGTGGAGAGAGGTGGCTGACTGCCCTCTGACCTGGATGACGGTCGCAGCATGATGTAGTCTGTCTCGGCGGTGTTTGGCTTCACGTTTCCCTGGAATGAGGAAAAATCCATCGCTGAAATTGGGCCAGGATAATTGATATGTATACCGTGGGCACGGACACCGATATCTTGTCGCCATGGATCGGTGATTTTGGTCTCCACGACGTGACTCGGCAGGTTTTGGTGCATCTCGTGGAGCTACGTAGTCGCATGATGCTTAGGGTGATTATGAAGGTGCACAATGGTATGGCCATACCTCTTTTCGAATGACAGCGGGCAAGTTGGCGCGGCGGTTGTCGTAGATCGTCTTGGCATGTGGTCGCACGCGGTACCCGCGAAAGAGCGCTTGGATTCTGATGGCAGCCCAACATTCCAACATCGTTCGTGTAGACCGCTCCGCGTACAGCTTCTTCATGAACGCGTCTCGCTCGGCATGTAGAATCTTGTTCATGCGTTTGCGAGGAATCGACAACGTCACTGGCGCGGCTGGGAGGGATAGTTTCATTTGGCCATTGGACATTGACCGTGGAAGCAGCGTTTGTGGCAACATGCGCTTCATGGTAGTGATGGTGATGGCGAGGACATCTGACGAAGTGAGGCGACTCTGAGATATGAACGTCACGTGCGTCTCCTCGATACCGACAAAGCATGGCACGGTGGCAATGTCGACCGCCTCGGCCGTCATCGTCGCGAAAAACTCGTAACCGGCGGTTTGGCGAAGATCCAATTTGGGCCAATCAGATCGCGAGATTCGGGAAAAGGCACCATGACCGACGCCGCGCGGGACGCTTGGCTCCGGCACCAAGCAGAGAAGATCCAAAACAGCGTCGTAAACGTCCACGAAGCACTGTCCTCTAGTCCATCCATCTACTTTGGCACACGGCGATGTACTTATAGCGACGTCGTGTCGATCGTCACTACCACAAGGCCATGTGCCAAGTCAAAAGCCAGCGACTCGCCGCTGCATAAAGCCACCGCCCTGCCCTATGCCCATGTAGATAACTTCCTCGATCCCCTATTCGTGTCACCCTTGCAAAACACACTAGAACGACGAACCGACCAGCTTGAGGTACTCATGAAAGTCTTGCATTTCCCTCGTCTTGACACTTCGGTCACAGCGGCACAAAAAGGCCCTTGTATCGGAAAAGCATGCGTTCATGGCGAATCTCGAGGATAAACGCTTTGATCGCCATAGAGTACGTCTACAACACCTACCCCCTCGTATCGTCGTACAATGCTTGTCGTCTCATACCGGAACTGGGAACTGTTTCAGGTGGAGTACGGCGCTGCCAGCGTCATCCAACGAACGTACCGCGGTCACTCGCTGCGGAAAAACTTTGGCAATGTCAAGAAGACGCTGCTCATTCGCAACAAAGTGCGCGCCGCCATGAAGGACGTCGCCACGGGCACGGGACTCATCCTTGGAGAAAAGGATCGGTACCGAGCCAAGGTGCGCGAGCAGACCGCCGCGGCCGTGGTGATCCAGCGCCGCTTTCGCCAGTTGCTGGCGACGATGGTGGTGGCCAAGGAAAGGCAAATGGTTGCAGAGGAACGACAGCACAACAGTGTGAGGACCATCCAAGCCATGGTGCGCCGGAAGTTGGCCCTCGCCTTCGTTCGGAAGGTCCGCGTTCGTCTTGTCGAATCCCTCGCGATGCACTTGGCTCTGGAGGCCCAACGACTGTATCGGGGATATGTTGGTCGCGGGGTGGCCCGCAGTCGGCGCCTCGCGGTGCAGTATGCCGCCGTCCGGCTCATCCAGAATGTATTTACGCGAAGTCTGGCTGCAAAAGCTTGGGCCGCAGAGTCCAACCGGTCTCGCGACACCCGGCGGGATCGGGCGGCAATGATCGTTCAGCGGTGTTTCCGGGGTTCCATGGGGCGACAGCGAGTGCGCCGTCTGCGCTCTGTGGAAGCGCATCAAATCGCACTGGCAGCCGCGCTGTCCATCCAACGTGTGTTCCGCGGTCGCCTCGGTCGGTTTGTCAGCACGAGTCGCGCATGGTGGCGGCGGGACGAGGTGACGTTCATGTCGTCGATCGAAATCACTCGCATCGTCCGGGGGTTCCTCGGCCGATGCCACGCCAAGCAGACGCGACTGGAACAAGAAACCAACGTGTTTGTGTACACCCGCAAGGGTTGCAAGGAGATCGTCGTCGACCTTTTGGACGGGTGTGGACTCGACGCCCCGTTGGACCCGAACGGCGTCGATGGCCACGGTAGTTCCTACTATGTTGAACTTCTGTTTGTTTCTTACGCTCGGGGTGTAGGCAATACAGTGCTCGCAGTGGCGAGTCGATGGGGCCACCTAGGCATTGTCCGGTCTGTGATCGGTCGCATCAAGCTAAACGTGGAGAATCACCAAGGGTACACGGCGATTATGCTGGCCGTCAAGTACAATCATGCTGATGTGGCCGAGTACTTGCTCACAAAAGCCCCTGCACTCGCAACCACTGGTCGGTCACTCCTGCACGAAGCGGCGCGGAACGGCATGGTGTCGACGGCGGAGAAGTTGATCTTGTACGGCATGGCCGTCAACTACCAAGACAACGAGTACCTACGCACGCCCCTCCACGAAGCAATCCTGGGCGGCCACGCCCCCATGATCCAGTTGCTCGTGGACCAAAGTCCCAAAGCATCGGTAAGACTACTTGTTTCCGAGTCGATTTGATGTGCGTTTCGTGTGTAGTTGAACTACCAAGATGCGAGAGGTGCGACGGCATTGCATTACGCTTCCAAGAAGGGCGATCGTGGCGCCGTGCGGAGTCTATTGCATGCAGAAGCAGATGTGGCAGTATTAGATAAGAAGAACCAGACAGCGTGGCGAGTGGCCATGTCCAACGGCCACGAGGCCATTGCAGGGGACATCCGAAAGAAGTGGGGCCTCATGGATCAAAACGAAGATGCGGCCGTGCTAAACGGCGGCGGCGACGAAGGCGACGAAGAAGCGACTGCCGTCTTGACGGTCGACGACCCCCTCAACAACATTGAGCACCTGCTGGAACAGGGAGACATGGAGATTGATGACCGGGATGATGACGGATACACCCTTCTCATGAAGGGAGCGATGCGGGGCTTTTACACTGTCGTGCGCTTTTGCCTTCGCCACGGTGCCACAATTGACCTGGTCGACCGAGCTGGACGGACAGCGTTGATGCACGCGGTGGCCCACAGTGACATTGCGCTGCACTTGGTGGACCAAGGCGCGAACTTGCTCCATGCAGATGACCGGTACATGTCGTGCTGATTTCGAGAGTAATAAGTGTTTGTTTCAGAGGACGTACAGTCATCCACGATGCTGCTATGCACGGATACACCTTCAGCGAGTACATTGCCGTCCATCGTGTCCACTTGGACATCAAAGACCACCTCGGGTAGACCTATTCGTTTTTGACACACTCTCGTGTTAATCTGTGTCTAGGTGCACACCACTACACGAAGCCGCCAAAGTAGGCAGTGACGTCGGGGCCAAGAAACTGCTTAATCTCGGCGCGCATGTGAGTTGTGTGGATTCCGACCACCGCAGCCCCATCCACTACGCAGTTCGGGGAGCATTCCCCCCCACTACACTGCGCGTCCTGCTCAACGCTGAAGCCCCCGCATTATTTCTTCGCGACCGGCTGGGCCGCACGGCGTTGTTTGAGGCCGTCGTGGCTGGAAACGTGCCGTGTTTGGCGATGCTCGTGGCTCAAGGGGGAAGTTTGGGGGACAAAGACCACGAAGAGATGTCCCTGCTGCATGTTGCCATCCTCGCCAAGCAGAATGCATCTGTGGAATTCCTTGTAAACTTGATGACCGACGCGGAACTTTTAGCGACCAACAAGACGTTGGACACGCCGTTGCATACTGCATGTCGGACGGGCTACATCTACGGTGTGGACCTGCTTCTAAAAAAGGCCGGCAGTGTGCTCGTTACCAAGGCAAGTAGTCACCATACGTCGAACCATTGTGTCGAATGACATCTTTGCGGCAGGTGAACGGCCTGGGCGAATCGCCTGTGCACACGGCGACGAAAGTTTCCAACGTGGCAGTTCTAGAACTGCTTCGCCAGCTGGGCTACGAACTGACGATGGTTGAAAGAGAGACAGGGGCGACCCTGCTCCACTTGGCCGCAGAAATCGACACTGATGTGTTGGACCCAAAGATATTCCCAACGTTGTTGAGCGCGGGGGTGTCTGTGACAGCTTACGACAAGAAAGGATGGCAGCCCTTGCACATTGCGTCGGCGCGAGCCAAAGGTCAGGACAAAATGGGAAATGTGTGAAACAGGTGATGACGTTACGTCGTGGTTCAGGGGCAGGAGCGATACGTGCTTTGCTGGCAAACGGAGCTCCTGTGAATGCACCGTCGAAAGTCACCAATATGACGCCGTTCCATTGCGCAGCTCAAATGGGTAAGGATCGTGGGAACTTGTACGCGTGGATAAAGCGTTACGTTGTTTGTTATAGGCATTGCGGAAAATGTCCAGCTACTCAAAGAGAGCGGGGGACGATAAGCCTATCCACCACACGACTAATTTAAGGCATTGACCACTATATACGTGATGTTGTTGGTTGCGTGGGGCCTGTACACACAATGCAAGCTCTGTCAATACTCGATGTGCGACCTTTCGCATCAACTTCAAATTACTCACTTCGTTGAGGTTCAGTTGGAACTTTGGAAGGGGTAAAAGTATATTAAAATCAAGCTAAATGTTTGGCAAGTTGTGTCGGTGCATTATAGTCGCCAATTGTAATTTGTTTCAATCCAACGACATTTATATAATATAAAGACATAACAACCACCATGACATGCTGCATCTCGTCGTATAAAGGTACCCATACCGCTGCCTAATCTTTGCACTTTGCCTAATCTTGGCTGGGTAGGTACTGTACGTCCAAAAAGCAGAGCAGCATCATGGGCTGCAACAATAGCAAGGAAGAGCCCCGTGAGTCGCAGCGACCGCTCACTGCCAATGAATACTACCCTGCACCTCCACCAGGCAACTTTCAGCTGCCACGGAGCAACAGTGGGTTTGCCCAAAGCCACCGGGGCTTTCCTGGCATCAGTGGCAGGCGTCAATTGTCCGCAGCACCAGCACCGGCAGTGCAGGCTTCAGACATGGACATCGTGTACGCGCCGCTGTTGCAACTAAAGAAGTTTTGGATCGACCCCGATGATTGCGGCAGCTCCCGCGCGCTCAAGTCGTCGTACATGCATACCCACGTCGGGTATTATCAAGGCCACCCCACTGTCATCAAGTCTTTCCTTGGGTTCAACAAGCGACCAGCGAATGTCGTGGAGAAGGAGAGAAGTACGATTGCCCATCATATCGAGTACATGCCATCCCTCATCCTGACATGACGTTGCGTAGACGACCTCATCAAGGAAATACGAGCGCTGTCCAAGCTGTCGCACCCCAACATCGTGGCGTTTTTGGGCTTCACATACACGACCGTGGACAATCTCAAGTGCGTGACAGAGTTCATGGACGGCGGCAACCTCCGCACACTGCTCAACAACCCCAAGCGCGAGCTGAGCTGGCGGCGGGAAAAACTGACTATCGCGTTGGACGTGGCGTCCGCCCTCCAGTACTTGCACAGCCTCAAGCCCAAAATCATGCACCGCAACATCAAAGCAGAAAAAGTACTTCTCACGGCGTCGCTCTCGGCCAAACTCTCGGGGTAACGTTATCGTGCGTTGACATGTCGTCCACATTGCCGTTTGGTGGTTTGTCTCATGACTTGTAGATTTGGGTCGGCTCGGGAATGGAGCTACACGCAAACGATGACGCAAAAGGTCGGGACCATCGAGTGGTCGGCGCCCGAACTGCTGCTCAACGAAGATTACAACGAAAAGATCGACATTTATTCATTCGGGGTACTATTCGATAGATGTACATCCTTGCACACACAAGTGAGTGCACACACTAAGTTTGCATGCAGGTACTTCTCGTGGAATTGGACACGCGGGACTTGCCGTATGCGAATGCCCACCCTGACACGTCCAATGCGCTCGTAACCAACATCATCACCGGCGTCGTCCGGCCCACGGTGAGCCCGTCGTGCCCGAAATCCATCAGCAAACTCGTCCGCGCCTGCCTTCAACTCGACTCGTTGCTGAGACCGTCGGCCGACGCCATTGTCCAAGTGCTTCGAGAAGAGCAGGCGCGCGTGGCGGATGCCGTCGTGGAGAAGCTGCAGATCAAACACCAGATATCGTCCCGCGCCCCCCGCAGCACCGTGTCGTCGTCATTGTTTGACACTTCACATCCAGATTTCAAACACCTGGCGCCCCTGCGGACGAACTTTTGGATTCACGCGCGGGACTGCGTCGTGTCGCGGCAGATCCCGTCGTCGTACATGAGTACGTTGCTGGGGCACTACCGCGGCGACGCGGTGGTTGTCAAGACGCTCAACCTGACGCTTCCCCACGAGTACGTGGCCCAAGACCGCAAGTACCTTGTCCGGGAAATCGTCATGATGGCCAAGTTGGCGCACCCAAACATTGTCGCGTTTCGAGGGTTCACGTTCACCACGAAAGACGACCTCAAATGTGTGACAGAGTTCATGGCCGGCGGGACGTTGCGGGCGCTGCTGGACAAGAAGAAGCGCGAGCTGACGTGGCACAGTGAAAAGCTCCGACTCGCCATGGACGTCGCGCTGGGGCTGGCGTACTTGCACGGCCAAGCACCGACCTTGATGCATCGCAATATCAAGGCGAGCAAAGTGTTGCTCACCCCCGGCCTAGGTTCATTTACTTCTTCTCGTGAACATGTTGCAGGACGTGACGATGGAACATGTAGGTGCCAAACTGTCTGGGTTTGGGTTTGCCAGGGTGTGGACGTCGCAGGAAACCATGACGGCGGCCGTGGGGACCATGGAGTGGGCCGCGCCGGAACTGTTGCGCAACGAAGACTACAGCATCCCCGCCGACGTGTATTCATTTGGTGTACGTACCAACCATACTGTATTCGAAAGACAATTGACGGGATAGCCTGAAGTGTCTAACGTTCCTTGCCCCGCAGGTGCTCTTGACGGAGCTGGACACGCGGTTGATTCCGTACGCCGACATCAGAGACCAAGGCGCGTCGCTCTCGGACGAGTCGTTGATGGTGCAAATTGTCACTGGGAAGCTGCGGCCCACCGTGTCTCCGTCGTGTCCGCGGCCGATTCAAAAGCTCATCCACTCGTGTCTTCATGTGAACCCGGCCCAACGACCCACCATGGCCGCCGTCGTGGCCATCCTCGAGCAAGAGAAGCTCATCAAGATGGGACTGTAACCTGTAACGTGACCTTGTTGAAGGTGGTAATGCCACGTGGATTTACAGTCAAGTTGAAACCCCCACTCATATGATGACTCGAAAACGTTCTCTGATTGGTCCATATTTCTACTGGTTTGAAATAATGCGTGTGGATTGGCTGGAATACCCATGACGTCGACAGTAGATTCATCCGGATACAACCAATCCACCGACAAACCTCCATTAAAAAAGACCTAAGCTTGATGTTTATATCCAATTCTATAAAAAGGAAGTCAACGTAAAAGCCATGCCGTTATCCGGAATCGTCGCATCTTGAACATGCATGGGAATCTAAAACTCTAGGGCGGTCATATTGAAGAAGCCGTGACCTAAACATGATGCACACGCGGCGACTCCTCGGCACTATGGCCGGTGTGGCTGGCGCTGGGGTTGTATCCACTTGGCTTTACCATCCCGAGGACCTATCCGAGTCTGTGCCGAAGCAGAATGTTCGGCCAGCTGCACGTTCCCGTTCCTTTGATGAGACTAAGGTCCAGCCTTCGTCGCCATCGATGCTCTCGACGCGGAGTTACGCGGTCGAGCAAAGTGCCTTTCGTGATCTTGGCGATCTATTGGCATCGGCGACGGTGTCTGCCTCCCAAGCGTACATTAGCTGGCTGTCGTCGAACATGAACGCCAACACCTCAACGTCCGACGAGGCGGGCGGCAATCCGTTCCGCCTTGTTGACCCGTCGGTGCCGTTGACATCCAAGGACGCCAAACGGGTCATTGACAGCAGTCAATTCAGTCTCGTTCTCAACGCGATCGCTGGCGACACACGCAACCAAAGCCCCGACGCGTCGTACAGAGCCATCAATCAGCTCGCGACAAACTTGGAGTGCGCCGCCGCCATCGCCGAACGGGCCACGAGGTACGGGAAGAAGGCGCTGCTGCATTTGGCCAAGCGGCACGACGTGGACTCGCGCCTCGGCAACGCGCTCCGGGCACTCACCGTCCTAGACGGCGCGGAATGCCGGTTCGGACCTGCGAACCTCAACTCCCTCGTTGCGCTAGTGTGCACCCCCGATCTGCCAGCTCCGTACGCCGAGTTTGCGTGGTGGGCATTGGCGGCCACGGCCAGCAACAAGGCGCTGACGCCGCGGTACCGGTGGCGAAAGGACTGGCTCGGCGACGACCGCGTCGCCCGCACCCGCGCCATTCTCATGCGCAATCCGTACGTGTGGTCTGCCATCTTAGCGATCGACAACAACAGCTCGCCTTTGGTCCAGGTAGGAGGATCGAGTACAACCTGCGAAACCTCTTACACTTGTTGTAGCTACATGCGGCGCGACTGGTCAAGGAGATGTGTGCCAGTGGCTTGCCGATTGAAGACGACGATAGGCTAGACCTGATCGTGCACTGGCTAGCGTCGGACGACAAGCTCGTGTGTGCGGAAGCGCTTCAGGCGATCACGAGCGTCGCAGCGCACGAGTCGGTCCGTGTGAAACTGGCGGCGAAGGGCACGCTGGACACGCTGTACAAGAAGATTCACGCCGACGCGGCCGACACGGCGCTCCTTCTGGGCGCGGTGCATACGTTGGCGTTCCATCACGCGTCCTCGTTGGATGACCACGCGCTGTCGTCCGTGGACAATGTCAACCCGAACGTCGACCATGACGAGTACGTCGACGTGTTGGACTTTGACGAGCCCACGGTCGTGCGCGGGTGGATCGACCTCTTCACGTCATTTGCTACCCACGACGACCCCAAGATTGCGGCGAATGCCGTCGCGTGTTTGGATGCGATTTCCTCGCACGGCAAGTTTCGCAACCAGGGGTGCGGCGAGCGATATGATGATGCAATATGCTGATATGTGCTTTCAATGTGTGATCTTTGTACTTGATGGCTGGTGATGTGCGTATAGCTGTTGTACGTTTCTGATGTTGATACACATAGGATGCAAGAGTGGGTCGTGGCAGTGCTCGATTCCGTGCTGGAAAATGTCCCGATGGACGTCCGTCGGCAAGCCAGCACGGTCCGCGCCGCCAAAAGCCGTACGCGCCCCCTCAAGTCGGAGCGACCCAACTCTGCCACACACTACGTCCTCGCGCACACCCGCGCCCTCTGCGCGCTCGCATTTGTGCTGGACCGTCCGGATTGCCAAGCGGCGTTCATTCGCGCGGGCGGGTTGCCGCTGCTGCGTGCCATGCTAAAGTCGGTTGAGTCGTCGACGTCCGCGGATGCCGCCGCGGTCACGGGGCTGCAGCAGGAATGGGCCCGCGTGGTGGCGAATTTGCTCTCTGCGCCGTCCGCCACCGTCGTCGACGAACTGCGCCAGCCGTTTTGGAGCTCCCGACTGGAGCAGTTGGCGCACTCCAAGGTGACGTCAAAGGTCCAGACCCACGCCGCGCGGGCGTTGCACAACCTACACACCGCGCTTCATACATCGTCATCAATGCTAGAAGATGGCTGGACCGACGAAGAGGACGAGGTTTCAACCCACCGCAACGACGGAGTCGTGTACATGGAAGGCGTGCACCCGTTCACGATGCCCCAAGACAATGCAGCAGCAGCGACGGACTACGATGTCGACATCGTGTTTGTGCATGGGCTCCTGGGCTGTGCGTTCGAGACGTGGGCCGGCGGCGCCGCGGGTCAAGTGTGGGCTTCCGACTGGCTCGTGGCGGACCTCCTGAGGCAGCACGTCAACCCCCGCGTGGTGTCGCTGGGGTACGACTCCAAGCTGTTTGCGGCCGAGTCGTCGTTTGAAACGCTCTGCTTTGACGACACGAGTCGGGATTTGCTGGTCAAGTTGCAAAAGGCCAAAGTCGGCGTCGACCGCCCCGTGGTGTTTGTCACGCACAGCATGGGCGGCCTCGTGGTCAAGAAGATGCTCCACGACGCGGCCACGTCATCGCTCGCCCAACGCACCAAGGGCCTCGTGTTCTACGGCGTGCCACACCACGGGTCCCCCGTCGCCGCCGCGATCTTTCCGGTCGCGTCGGCGGTCCTCCGCCAAGGCATTTCGATCCAGCACCCCGTCACGTCAGACTTGCACGGCACCCCCCGTCTAGAGGCGCTCAACGAGTGGTGCGCCGGCTTTGTCCAGGACCACAACGTGCACGTGCTCAGTGTGGGGGAGAGTGCCCCCATGCGCCTGCCACTGGTCGGCGTCGAGGCGCTGGTGGTGCCGGAAGCATCGAGCAACCCCGGGTTTGGCGCGTACGTGAAACTGCCCGATCTCGACCACATCCAAGTGTGCAAGCCGGCATCGATATCGGATGTGCGGTACACGCTGACGAGGGATTTGATTGTGGACGCAGTGGCCGCGGCGGCAAAAGACGACGAGGCGACGATGGATATTAATATATATAAATAAATTACGACGATGGACTCAATGGGACGCCGACGAAGGGGAACCGACTCGTGTGGGGGTGGTCGGAGGAGACGAACTCCACCAGAGAAACGCCGAGAGCGGCACCCATACCGGCGACGTGGCTACGGAAAATAACACAATCACCGGACTGCACAGCGCCAGCACCAACACGATGGGCGCGCCAATGCACGTCGCAACGCCGAGGAACGCGAGCCGAGCAAGGGGACTGGGTGGCGGCTGGAAGAATAGGTGTTAGATGTGCGATAGATGTGACGATACACGACGACATACCAGGGTGGTCCAGTTCGACGGCAACGACGATGGCGGATGCGATGCATCGGCGGCGGAACTCTGGGGTTGGGATGTCGATGATACATCGTTCGTCTGACTTTGGTGTAGACGCTGCTTGAGGGAATTCAGATTGCAATGCGGGGTGTTATATGGCGTGAGCATGCACGGGGTCAACGGGTACTACGAACCACATTAGCCTTGCAAGCGACAGGACGAGCGGTACCATAGTAGAATACACCTTGGACTTTGACGCCATGATACCATCCCATTCCTCCAGTGGCACTTGCTTTGGCTCATCACTCGTGGCCATGCTGCGTCGAAGCTCGTCGGACATGCCGAACCACCTTCGCCTAGTACTATATCTTTGTTCGTGACCAGGCACCGTTTACGCAGCATCCGGATGCCCAACCGCCGCGTCGATTATCCGAAAACCGGAAAATTCACTAGTACATTAATTACTCCACATTTTGTTTATCCGGATAGCCTTCCAGTAGCGCCATGCACGCTGAAACGACATCAAGCAACGCCACCGTGGAAGAGTATGGACTGTTTGGCCTGGCGACGTTGCCTCTTATGGAGCAAGTACATCGCTTGCTGCATGCGATTGCGATGAAGTACCCGTACAAAGAAGTAGGTTGCGCGCCGATGCAGTGTTTTGAATCACTCAATTCACGCCATAGACTACGTCTTGGAAAACCCTTCCCATGGACAACAAGCGTCGGATTCTGCAATATATCAAAGACAACAAACCAAAGACTGGTGGACAGGCTGCTCTTCAACCGAGTGCACAGCCTCCGCGCGACACGACGCAAGACGACGACTATGACAACGAGGACGAGGACAAGGCTGGATCGGCACCATCGTCCATATTGGACGAACGTGACGAGTCCCAACCCCCCAACGCAACGCTCACAATCAAACCACCTACGGCATTATCGGATCCGTACTTGGCTACCCTTCGAACCCAGGTGAACCAGCCTGGGGGGTCCCCCAAGTACCAAATGACGTGGAAGGTCAAGCACGTTCCAAAGCCGCTGACGTTCAAGTGCGCATGTGGGGCAGTGCATCGAACTGCCACGGACAACTCGGTGCTGGACGAGGTCCGGGTCATGATGACGACGTTTGGGGACGTGGATACGCCGTGCAATGCGACGGCGCTGCTTGTCCAGTCGATTGGTATCTCGTTCCAGTCGAATAATGGCTTGGTTGATGAGTATGACGGAACTGCGTAGTACAAGGGCAAGTGAAAGCCACGCTCCAAAGCTCTTCGTTGAAGCAATACTCCCTCTTGGCACGAATCCACATGCTTGTTGTGTGTGTTTCTCATCATATATTGGTTGTGATAGGACTTTACCCACCTGTTTCAGGATGAAGCCATGTACTATGGGCGGTGGAAAGACTTCAAATCGCACACAAAGGACGGCGACGAAGGCGGGCCGGACGACGTCGAGCTGTCGGATGACCTCGTGGACGAGCTCGACATGTTTGCATCGTACGAGAGCATGGAGTTGAATGCGTTTCAGCTGTACTTTTTGGTACGTCGTTCGTTGACGTGGCTGTCGAGGGCTCAGATGCGGCTTAGGAGCGGATGAAGTTTGCCGACAAACGAACCCAAGACATGGATACGTCGACATATTTGGATTTCTCCAAGTAAACAGAAAACCAACACACACAAACACGTTTGAACCCCGTGGTAGGAAGCGCAGCACCAACT